TGCTCAAAATAAATTGCTTCTATTCCATTTTCAAACCCCGTCCCACTCCCATCCCTTCCAAATTTCTCTTCATAAACATCCAAGAAATATTATCAAAGGCCTTCTCCGCATCAATGAAAATTAAAACAGCTTTCGTATTGATATTAGTTTGTAAAAGTTCCAAAATATCAATAATGTTCCTAGTATTATCAAAGAGATGTCTCCCTGGGAGAAAGCCTGCCTGGTCCTTATGAATTACTTCATTAAGTATTTTTTAAGTCTGCTCGCCAAAATATCAGCAAAAATTTTGTAATCCACATTTAGGAGTGAGATGGGACGGTAGTTCTTAAGCTGAGTCTTTTCAGATTCCAATTTAGGAATCAATGTGATGAAAGCTTCTTTCCACGTTTCCGGTGCCCTCCTCCCCTCCATAATCTGGTTACAGACCTCCATTAGTGGTTGTATCAAATAATCTTTTAGTGTCTTATAATACTTGGAGGTAAGTCCATCTGGGCCTGGAGATTTGCCTAGTTGCATATTCTGAATGGCACCCTCTATTTCCTGTTGTGTTATTCTATTATTTAAGATTGTCCTCTTCTCCTGAGATAGTTTTGATAAACCGTTAACTTTTAAAAATTGATCTATCTCAGACATTTCCTGAGGCCCTTGTGTATAAAGTTTTTTGAAATATTTCTGGAAACACTTTCTAATTTCTTCTGGTTTCTGAATGTTTCTCCCTTCCACCTCTAGATTAGTGACAAAGTTCAATTTTTGTCTCTTTTTCAACTGCCATGCTAGCAGTTTTCCACATTTATTTGCCGATTCAAATGATCTTTGTTTCATTTGTTTAATTTTCCATTCCACTTCTTGATTTATCAATTTCGCATATTGAGCTTGGTGGAATTTGATTTCTCTTAAAACCTCTTTTGATTTTGGTTTTAGTCTCAATTTTTTCTCTCCTTCTCTTATCTTCTCTAATATCCTATCTTTTTTTCCATTCCAAAGTTTTTTCTTGGTTGTGTTCTGTTGTATCAGAAACCCCCTCATTACAGCTTTACTTGCATCCCAAATTGTTCTCTTTTCCACCGAAGTGTTCAAATTAATTTCAAAATAGTCCTTTAAAGTTTTTTGGGCCTTCTTCACAATCTCCTGATCTCTTAGTAGGGTGTCATTCATTTTCCATCTGAAAGAACCGGTTGGAGTAAGTCTCAATTCCACTTTCAAAGCATTATGGTCGGAGCAAGTCTTTGGACAGATTTCCACTTTTCTGATCTTAGGTGCCAGTCCTCTAGTTGTCCATATTTGGTCGATTCTTGTCCATGATAGGTGGGCCTCAGAAAAGAATGTTCCTTCTTTACCTAAGGGGTTCCTTGTCCTCCAAATATCAATCAAGTCCATGTTGTCAGTTAGTTCAAAGAAGGTTTTAGGTAGTCTGCCGTCTTTAGTTAAATTTTGATTTTGTGACTTATCCATGTGAGTAGAAACCACCCCATTCATATCACCCATCATTATGATGTTAGTATAGTCCAGATAGTCCAGCATTATCTCATGCAGCTTCTTGTAAAATTCTGATTCCCCTCATTTGGTGCATATATTCCTAAAATCAAAAACTTTTCTCCTTGTGTTTGTATCTCAATTGCCAAAATTCTTCCTTGCTCATCTTTAAACAGAAGTTTCGGTGACAGGTTCTCCTTTGCATAAATCACTACGCCTCTTTTCTTGACTTTGTCTGATGAGATAAATTCTTGGCCTAGTCTTTTATTGATTAACACTTTCCTATGGAGCCTAGTCACATGCGTTTCCTGCAAGCAAACAATATCCAATTGTTCTTTTTCAAAATATGAAAAATCCTTCGTCTTTTTCCGGGAATTCCCGCCATTGATATTCCAACTGTACAGCTGCAGAGACATTCTGAATCAATCTGTTGTTCCTATAGTGGGGTGTCTTCCTTTTCTTCTGGCCCCGAGGGTGTAGGTGTCGGTGCTATTCCAGGCAGTGGCGGTGGCCAGGAGGCTGCTGCTCCCTTCTGAAGGTCTTCTCCGTGGTCGTGCAGGAACTTCTGGTTATCTTCTGATGTTTTAATCTTAATTTTCTTTCCTTTAAAATTGAAAGATAAACCTTGGGGAAACTCCCACCTATATGGAATCGCGTTTCCTCTCAGTAGTCTTGCTAAGTCTGTATATGTAGCTCTGAGATCCAAAAGTTGTTTAGGAATATCTCTATAAAGTTCTGCTCTTTTGCCTTGGATATCAAGTGATTTCTTAAAGTGGAGGCCTAGTATTTTATCTCTCTCCTGCTTGGATCTCAAAATAATCAAACAGTCTCTGGGCTTGTCCCTCCTCACGACTCTTCCTAATCTGAACGCAGTTGTAATCTTAAAATCTTTGTCCTCTTCTATACCCCAGAACTTAGAAAATTCTGCTGTCAGATAACCAATTAAATCTTCCTGTTCAAGCTCTGGGATAGCTCTTAATCTCAGATTATTTTCCCGGTTTCTCAATTCCACCATAGACAGGTAGGCCTGCTGGTCGCTAACGTGCTTGTGTAGTGGCCTTACCTCTTCTTTTATAGCCTCAACTTTTTGATTTGCTTGTTCTGCTTTTTCATTGGCTGCTTCAGCCAGTCTCCGATTTTCCACAGTTGCTTCCTTGAGATTCCCAATAACTTGTGTATGTTGTGCAACTTGGTCAGATAATTTAGTAATAGAGGATGTGGCTTGGTCTATTTTTGCCGATTGGTCATCCACCTTCTTGTTCAATATTGCAAATTGTTCTAGCATTTGTTTTAAGAAGGTATCCGATCCTCCCTCCGCCATATCCTCTGATGCAGGCCGTGCAGTTTCCTTTTCTTGTACTCCCAAAACAGCTGGGACAGATGATCTACGTGACTGAGTAGTCAAAGTTGTTTGCACAAGTTGGGCTTGTCTTGCTTTCGTTTTAGCAGATCTTGTTTTCGGTTGGCCACTCATTCCACACCTGTCTATGAGTCAAGGTCAAATTATATATTGTCCCATGGGAAGGACAGTTCCAAAGTGTAAATAACAAAGCAGCAGATAGTCCAAATAAAATTTGTTCCGAGGCACTTGTAATTCCAGAACTCCACTAGGGGGAGTATTACTGTAGTTCATAGAAAGGAAAGAAATTTATCCGCCATTAAAGTCCCTGCAGCCCCAAAACAGTCTACTTTACCAAAAGTCCTTCATAAACTTTTTTGGCTTGCAGAGCACTTCCCAAGCTGCCACAAAGTCTCAAATAAAAGGTGCCAATAACAGTTTATTTAATTGTATCTTGCCAGTATCACTCAACTGTAACAGTCTCTATTTTGAATACAGTTTCCGCAATGACAGCTCTCTTTTTCTCCTGTCAGTCCGAGGTTTGGTTCTTAATTCTTTATACTCCATAAAGGGGAGGAAAGTCCCATTTGAAATCCAAAACACTTTGAAATAAAAGTCCCTTCTCCTTCTTTTTAAAAGCCAATTCTGTCAACACGATAGTCCCAAATTTAAAATCTTTTAAAGCTGCTTCCCGCTTGTTAAAATCTTTGCCTTTGATCTTTAAAGCACTGCCGGAAGACGGACTTCCTGTTTATCGTCTCCCGCTTTCAGCCAAATTTAACCCTTTTAGTTCCAAAATGATTGATCCTTACTCACGAGTAGGTAGTTTAGAGCCTGATGTTCCAAGAAGAAAGGTCGGCGCTCATCAGCAGCAGCCGCGCGGCTTCGCTCCCGCAGAAAGAGCGATGAACTCACAGCACCGCTCCCCCTTCTACGTTTCCGGAGCCCCTTACGGGGTTCCTTCTTCGTTTCTGGGGTCGCTCCTGGTGCCCGCTGAGTCCCACGGCCACGGGCTCACTCTGCCCGTGGTTTTTCTTAATGGGTCACCGCTGTGCCGCAGCGGACGACCCTTTCCTGCGGAGCCCCTCTTCAGAAACCGAAGAGGACCGCCATTGCCGTTTCGCGCCGCCTCCGGAAGTCGCTCCCAGTATGTTTCCAAGCACAATTCAAAGTCTTGGTGCTGACCTTTAAAGCCCTAAAACGACCTTGGCCCAGTATACCTGAAGGAATGTCTCCACCCCCATCGTTCAGCCTGGACACTGGGATCCGGCACCGAGGACCTTCTGGCGGTTCCCTCCCTGCGAGAAGTGAGGTTACAGGGAACCAGGCAGAGGGCCTTCTCAGCAGTGGCACTCACCCTGTGGAAAGCCATTCCATCAGATGTCAAGGAGATACGTAACTATACAACTTTTAGAAGACATCTGAATGCAGCCCTGGATAGGGAAGATTTTAGAGTGGCTGGGGCAACCCTGTCAGATAGGCGGATATAAGTGATGATGATGATGAAGTTGATTAAAAAGAAATATGCAATGAAAACAGATTCTGAAACTGCCAGCCCCATGCCAAATTTCTAATTTGACCTGGTACAAGTACAGACTCACAGAATGCACTCAACACCGTGTTGAAGATGTTCTGGAAGCTCTGCAAACACCACCCTGGTAGTCGATATAACCCTACAATTAATTGGTAGCTTTTACAAGAGTTAGCTCATATATGATTATAGTCACTTGCTTTGATATATGCTAATTGGCTCGCTTTTATGTGGGCCCTGGGATGCTGGGCTCTGGGCCCAGAGACAGGAGATATCAGTAAGACTTGGATAGTTGCCACTTATGCCCTCATAGGTCAGGTGGAGGTTGTGGCCAAACTGATGTATGCTGTCTTCGATATAAGCAATGGTTAACATATTAGCGCTTGGTGGAAAAGTCATCACAACCTCTCACTGCTGTGGTGTCCATCCCATGTCTGTAAAGGCAGTGAAGCTCTGCAGGTTGTGCTGTAAATTTTCACCCTTCTTTAACAGAGCATTAGAGCTGGCCATTCTGGCATTTTTGACAACCTACTTTGGTATCCCTGCATCAAACCACTCACACAGACCCTCGTCTGGGTCTGTGGATCAGAACAACTGCTGTGGATTATTGTCTCTGGAGAGAATAGATGGAAACAAAGACATACACAAACACACACATCAAAACAATGTCGATTATTTTAATCCTCCCAGCTGCAACAAAACCTATACAGGAATTTCAAAACACTAGTAGGATGCACAAAGTTATACATATAACTAATAGTACAGATGCTATACCATTTCCAATCTACACCCACTTTCCACTTTAGAAGAGCTGTGCTCCGAAATTCAACTGCTGAGGATTACATTATGTACATGATTCTCTGTTTAAAAAAAAAAAAAACCAACACAACAACACATAACCCACACTAAAATCAATGTGGTTTTTTTGTTCGGAGCCGCCGCTTGATGATTTCGTGATCGCTTTCCTTTTGATCCATCACGATCTGAAAAGGAATTTAAGGAACTGCTGTTAACAGATCAAGTGAATAACTACTGGACCAAAGTAAGTGAAACTTTTTTAAGAATTTTTTTGGAACAGTATAGAAGTGTAAGATCAGTGGCCAGGAATCTCTAGTCTTCAGAGTGTTTTCCATAACTGAGGGCCCTGCGTGCCTGGACAGCTTACTCTCAGGGACAAATGGCTTTGCTGTCTCAGTAATTGCACCCCTATGCTCATGATAAAGCTTCTTGAACCCCTCCCACTAGTTAGTTGACTAAGTCATGTAGAAATGAACATCTTACACTCTGTCCCATGTGGGCTGACAAGGAATCTGAACTCATGATGAACTACTCAGACCAGGCGTTGGCACACCTCAGGGTTCTACAAGCCCTGAAGTTAACCAATCAGAGACAGGTACAAAATAGCAGCTCAGGAAAGAGGATGTGCACCAAGAAACAGGGTACCTATGAGCACATCCTAATCCCAGGAATCGTGTTCAGAATCAGAACTGGGTTCATAACCCTTTCACAACAAAATCCACTCCTGCCCCTTGCCCCAAAATCCACTTTGTTTCAATAAGCCTAATTTAGAGAGGAAGACACCTCTCAGTTGTTGCCACTGTCGACCACATGGGACTCAGAAGCCCTCCCGGCAACCCTAGCTGAAACAGGTTTGCCCTTGGTAACAAGTCCTTACTACAATTCTGTGTGTGTTTACTTCGGATTAAGTCCCAGTGGACCTTAGCAGATATGCGTAAAATCACAGCTTGATGGCGGGAGAAGGAAGAGAGCCTCTGGCATAAAATGAAATGTGTTTGTTCTGCCATACTTCCAGTAGATTAAGCTAGCATATTTGTTTAATGCTGCTTCCAATAGCAGGAAGCATAGGGAAAGAGGGTTAAACACAGCCTAAATCCCTTTCGTCTATCTGTGCTATATAATAGTGTCCAGTTGGCTGCCAGCTCATTTCCAGGGCTGATTCAAGGTATGCTCACATTAGTTGGCCCTAAATGACTTGGACCCAACTAGCTGAAAGACTTCCTCCTTACAGCACGTCATGGGTGTTAAGATGAACGAAGGCGGCCCCTGTTGGCTGTTCTACGCTCTCAGGTGCTTGGAGGTGTCCCATTCTCTGTGGCAGCCCCTAAGCTGTGGAGCTCATGCATCTGGTACCTTCAATAGTAGTTTTCACTGTATGCTGAAGACACAAACTTTACCCTGGCCTTTGGCACGAGATGTAACTGTCTAGGACCCACTCTATCCCTGCAATTGCAATTTGTTTTAAACAATTTTTAATGTTGTCTTTTAAATTGTTATGATACACCCTCACTCCAAGATCTTGGACTGAAGGAGAGGTAATAAATTAATTTATCAGATGAGTTGTCCCCCAAGGGCAGCTTCCTTAAAAAAAAACTTTTTTCACGATACCGCTTACCACTTGTCCAGAGAACTCCATAGGGGAAGAAATATCCATTGTGTACAGCTTGCGCCTCGCTCGCTTTGGCTTGCTAGCATTTTCTTTAATGGACTCCTGCTCTGTAGATCTGGGGGATTTCATCGTTGCCATCAGCTTCTTGGCTGGAAGAGGCATTTCGCGACATTTTACCCTTCTGTTATGTGCAAAACTGCACAGGTGCATCCCTTCCCCACAGGATTGCATCCACAGCAGCAGACCATATATCAAATGAACAGCAAATAAAGGTAGCAATTTTTTAAAAAATGCAATAGGAACCATTGGAAATAAGTACAATGCAAATAAGTAAATATAAGGCAAGCACATCTTATTGCTTGTGCTGTTCTTTTACCTAAGCCACCACACTGAAACCTTCATCAAAAAGATACTCTCCTGATGTCCGGTTTCACAAACCAGGACCAACTGGAATGCATGCAGCAAAAATGGGCACAGTGTATAGTCTGCCTTGCCTCCAAGGAGCTCAAGGTAGGATATGTGGTTCTTCCCCGCTCTCCCCCTTTAACCTGACAAGAGCCCTGAGAAAGGTCAGGTTGAGAGAAAGCAATTGTCAGGAGTCAGGTGTCGGTCAGCAATAAAAATCACTGCCATCAGTGAAGTTAACTCTTTATTCAAAGAAACCAAAACAGTGCAGGCTTAGTGATCCTATCAACCCTTCCCAATAGGTCTTGCCCCAATGAGACAGTTGCGAGGAGTGAAAGTCCTCACCTTCCCACCACTGAGTGTCGCCCCCCCCCAGTTCATTCCTCAGCACCCTAAGGCTTTGTCAACTTGCCTCTCATTCATTTCTCTGCATGTTCTGAGAGACCAGGGGAGAGGGGAGCTGGTTGCAGCAGGAGTGGGGGCTTCCCTAGATTCTTCAGCAGCCTGCCTTATCTCTGTCTTCTGGCCCCCCTCATCTCCTGCCTCTGAGTCTGGACTGCTCTCTGCCACAGCCTCTTCCTCCTCACTAAACTCTCTTGCCTCTTCTGACACTTCCAGTCCCCTCCCTCTTCTCCCTCTGACTGCTCATCATCGTCCCACCACCACGCCCCTGGCTCTGAGCCTTTTTCCCCTTGGGGTTCCCCAGCTGGTGCCTCCCAGCACTCCTCTGCATCCATGACACCAACTGCTCTAAGGTCACCTGCAAGCTTCATCGCTGATTGGAGATTCACACCCAGGTCTCCCCAGTCCTAGTCTCACACCCAAACCAATGTTTGACAATGCTGCAGCAAAGGGGCTGAAGCCACCTCCAAGTCCTTGCTCTGCAAGAGGATCAGACTACAAGAGTGTTATTACAGCTCTAAGTGTGCCTCCCAGAAATGGAAGACAGATCCCCCAGACATGAAAACTCAGTTCTTCCCCCATGTGATTCAACATAAGCTGTCTCCTTTAGAGTAGGAGTTACAGAAAACCTTTAGGAGATGAAATAAATTAATCTCTGGTTTGCTGTTTACCTTTGGACTGTAGGTTTGTAGAACTCTGAAAGAAATTGCCAACTTTCTGTAGTGCCCCACCCACATTCCCAGGTGACCTTACAGCCGATGCAAGTTGTTTGCTTCTTAAGGGATAATCCTTTCTAGGAGAGCCGTCAGGAGCAGTCTGGAGGGACACAAAACATCACGACACTTAGGATGGTAGGCTTGAGATCTAGTGCAGTCTGAAAGACTTTTGCCATCATATAACCAACTGTCTGTGGGCAAGCAAGCAGCTGATCTTCCGGAGGGAGGGGCAGGATCCTGCTACAGTGTAATACAACTAATAAAGCTGAGGCCTTTATTATAAAAGTTATTTGCACAGGATTTTAAGGTAGAGCTTAACTACCCTCCAGAGGCCAGCGGGGGGATTACACTAATGGTTTCTGGAGTGCTGGTATGCCCCAATGGGATTTCCAAAACACTTTACGAGTGTTCTGAGTACAGTCGTACCTCGGCTCCCATATGTTCCAGCTCCCGAATGATCAAAAACCAGGAGTGTTCCAATTTTTGTAATGTTCTTTCGGAAGTCAAACATCCAACAGGGCTTCCATGGCTTCCGATTGGCTGCAGGAGCTTCCAAAGCTGCGCTTTGGTTTTCGAACATTTTGGAAGTCGACCAGACTTCCAGACTGGATTCTGTTCAACTTCCAAGGTATGACTGTGCAGGTGATGACCATTTTGCACACGTCCAATTGACGTGGGTCCTTTTGGACCTGAAAGAGGGTGGAATGGGCTTACTTCACCAATGCGTGCAGGGGCCAGAAACGGAACCTCCACGCAAAGTGGGTATGACCTGTAACAGCCCAAAGAATTGGGGAGCATCTGCTAGTCAAAATGGTGATTTCATATTAAAGTGGACAACTGCATCATTAAAGTCATTGGATACAATCCTTCCCACACATACGTACATGTACGCAAACACACACCTTTTTCTTTTCTCTGGATAATGAACCGGACCAGGTACTAGCTGGGGATGGAGCATTCTTCTCATTTTCACTCTTCAGGAAGTCCTTAAAAACAAAGCAGCATGCTCAGCACCCAAGTACTATTTCTAAGAAGGGCCGTTTAAGTTAAAAGAAAACTATTGTTTCTCAAAGGAAAAAGAAAACTATTGTTAGAAATCTACCTAAAAGCAATGCTCAGAAATTCATGAACTTGTTATACAACATTACTTAAACAAGAAGCATGCTCTGAAATGAAATGGAAAGACTGAAACCGCTGTTTTAATCCAGTTTCACCTAATTTCTTCTGTGTGTTAATTATGCAAAGAAATATAATGAAGTGAAGTGAAAGGGCAACTTTTTAATAGCTACAGAAGTCAGTATGGCAGCATCTAGCATTGACAGCCAGCATATAGGCCAATAAGATGGGAATGTTTGCTTATGTTGTAATGAATAGCTAGTATGATTCAGGTGGACTAGTCGGGACCTTTTTGCAGGTTTCTGTCAAGATGTCGACACCCTGTAGGTTCAGGCTAAACCAAGGGTGAGGTAGCAAACACTATTTGATAAACCACTAAAGTCCACTAAAGAATATATAGTGGGAGCTTGCGTGTCTAAATGGGAAGATGATCGAGTTCAGGACTCCATTGCCACCACTCAATTAAATAAAAACAGCCCATTCATTTTTTTTTAAGTTTTTGAATTTTAAAGTGCTGTCACCAATAAAGGCCAGCTTTATAATCCCAGTTCCTGAGCAAGTTTCTCATAACTTGCAATATAAAACAAACACACACCAAAACCATTTGATGCAGGAAATCCAACCCATTTTAGTAGAATTTACTTTCAGGTACAGATGCTTAAGACTGTAGCCCAAGTGCCTCTTAGAATTAATTGACACGAGTTACTGGCAGGCTGATTTCAGTTGTTGTACATCTCCTGTTCTGAGTGACAAACAAGTATACTAGCATAGCAGATTATCCGCAATAGGTAATAGGTGGTTGGTGAGAGGTGGCCTCTGGAAGCTGAATTTAGCTATGGCTTAGTTTCATTGAAGTGTTATGACGCTACACATGAAATATGAAGAACTAATACTGTTGTCATCTACACATACATCTAGAGCATAGAGCTCAAAGAGATCCAGTACCTGACTGAGACCATCAGAAGTGCATTTATTCCTAACTCTGCTTTTCCAGCATCTTGAGAGTGTATTTGTCTTGAAGAAAAATAGTTGAGGAGACCAGTTATTTTTCCAGTGAACTCACCTCCTCCAAGTATTCATGAATTCATGTGGCCCCTTCTGCAGCACTCGAAGTTTTAACACAGATGTTAAAAGTATCCAAAAGTATCTGCCACAGATAGTGATCCAAAAAGACCACACACTGCTCTCCTTAGCAGAAAGCTACCATTAGTGTGAAAATTAATTATGAATTGGTGGGACTCTTATGTGGAAGGGAAGGCCAGATATTTTATGGGCACAACCTGACGCACACTTCTACCACTGTCAATGACATACTGATTGGAAAGCTGCCAATAATCAGAGTACAGGCTGCATTCAGCTAGAAAGCCAATCTAAAAGTAAAATTCAAATTCCCTGGGCTGTGACCTTCTCCGCCTGGGAAATACAGAGATGTCCTCTATGCATTGGCTTGTGCTGCCTTTGCTTAGATGACAGCAACTGACTAGAAGACGGAATTTATGTTTCCAGCTGTAAACAGTCCAGAGGGGCAACTAAAATATGATATAATTAAAACACAACAAAGCTTCTTGCGGCACCTTAAAGAATAACAGATGTATTCTGACATAAAGGTTTCATGCCCACTTCATCAAATGGGTTTGTGAGTTTTTAAGATGTGTTTAGGACTGAAACTTTTGGGGATTTTTCGAATCAATATTTTAAGTACTACAGTCGTACCTCGACCTTGGTAGTTATATGTTCCGGTTCCCAAACGATCGAAAACCAGAAGTGAGTATTCCGGTTTTCAATCGGTTTCTTTGGAAGCCGAATGCCCAGCGCAGCTTCCGCTACTGTTTCCGGTGCGCCTGTGCAATCGGAAGCCAATTGGAAGCCGCGCCTTGGTTTCTGAATGTTTCAGAAGTTGAACAGATTCTGTTTGACTTCCAAGGTACAACTGTATTTACTGTGTTATGTGCACACACCCTGAACAACGTTAAACAATCTCATGACTAAATACCTCATCCATGGCACTGCTTTTCCTTTTCCTTGCCTTGGGGACTTTTATGGTCACTGTGGCAGAACTCCCCTGATGCTTCACTTCCATCTTATTGGGCTGCAGAGGTGTGAACTGAATCTCCATTTCAGGTTTTGGAAATCGACTGGCTTGGCTGCTCTCTGAAGATACTTCGCAAGAATCCAGGATGGTGTCTGACTGGTCCTACGGTTGGAGTAAAGCAGCGTAAAATGGAAAGAAGAGAGGATGAAAACCACATGGGTAACATTCAGAGTGACAGGTGCCAGGGCAAGTTCCACATGAGCCCCGAGGGAAAAGGAGAAATTGGAGGATGGAGGCCTACCAGAATATGCATGGAAAATAAAATAAAAGATGCAGAACCAGTTATCTTACAAAACAGTGCCTGTCTTATGAAATGCCCTCCTTCTGTAGAGCTTGTTTGCTGCTGAAAAGCCACAAATGTCCATTTATATAACTATTTATATTTTGCTCCTCATAAGACATCAGGGTAGTATACAAGAAATACACTACACAATAAAATATCCAAACCATGAAAAACAGAAAAATGTCTGGCTAATCAAAATGTTTTGAACAGTGGACTTGTTAACTTATGATGATGATGATGATGTCTTCAAGAGGTGCCTGAAAGTCAAAAGTGAGGGAGGCCTGCTGAATCTCTGCTGGTATGGAACCAGCAACACAACGTGCCCAGTTTCTAGTTGAGACAGTCAGAATCCAGGAATATAAACAATGAAGGTGAATATCCTTATATGTAACAATAATCATCAGCAATATAAAATTCAAAATAATATACATTTTATTCACAAACACCCCTATTAACAAGTATTGAAATTTACTAATTTTAAGTATGAGTAGTAATTGCAGGGAAAATGGCACCTGACCTAACAGTAAGAGACTTTGGCTGCATTCCTCACTTATCTAGGTGTAAGTCCCACTGAGAACAGTGGTAACATATAGGATTCCATTGTAAGATACTAAAAACATTAAATTACCAGTTTATAGTCACAGAGGTTGTCCATCTTGTTTTCTGCTTCTTTTTTTGGAATGGGTGACATAGTTGTAGATTTCTCAGAACTAACTCGTCTTACATTATTTGTAACGTCGTCTCTAGATTCTTTAGCTGTAATTTTGCAATCCTTTTAAAAGACAAAAAGAAAAGAAAAGCACTGTGTGTTATCAAGAAATGAATGGTCAAGCACAGGTTAAAGTGCACTACATTAGATTCCACTCTTTTATATAAAAACAAGCTAATCCAACTGCAACATACGTTCAATGTGGATGTTTCAGTGCATGATTCTGTTTGTTTAAAAAAGGAGTCCAAAATATTTCTGAAAATACACGTGCAAATCATATTTGTCACACTGAATCTGTCAAAAGAAATCCCTGATGATTAAAAAGCCAGCTTGTATTGCACATAGTACAAAAAAGATGCCCATCATGATTCAGCAGCTACAAAAACACAAGCTAGATTCTTGAAGAATCTGGAACTGCAAGAAATGCTGTAGTTCCTGTTCCAACGCAGATCAGCAAGGGTGCTTAACAAAGTTTCTCCGTGTAACCTGCCAGATGTGATCTGTGAGGCCACCAATGGCAAAAACTGTTGTTCTTCCCCAGCAACTTCTAATTCAGAAGTTTGCACCCCACATGCTCGGGGGTTTTTTGGTGGTCAACATTAAGTGATCATTGCGCGAATGGTCCATCACAGACCGAATGCCACACCAATAGAACTTTCAGATCATCCTAGATATGTGTTTCATGGAGTCAGTTCACTCATTCAGCTAACAGTCATCAAACACCCAGTAGGCCAAGCAGTGGACTTGTAAATATCAAACAAGTTCTAGTGAGGGAAATGTCATTAAGACTGTTAATTTCACAAAAAGCAGAATACGTGTGCGAGAGACACATCAATACAAAAAGGCAGATGCAAAAAAAGGAGAGGGCATTGCACAGACCTTGCCAGAAGTTTTCAGTACAGTTTCCTTCAGTTCTTTTATTTCTTGGTCTTTTTGTGCATTACTTGAAAGCAGAGAGCTAAGCTGAACTTCCAGAGCTGCCACCAGCTGATCTCTCTCTGCCCGCCATTTTCGGAGATCATTATCTTTCTCGGTCACAAGTTTTTCCTATAGGCAAGGAATTGAAAATCACAGTAAAAACCCTTTAGGGAGGAATTGTCCCAGCTGCATGACTTTTTGTGGACATGTTGTTTCAGGGTTGTTGTTGTTTTTTAATACAGGGAAGCTTTTGTATTTTTATAAGTAATTCTAATCGTAAACTAGTTTGTGTCGTTTGGCAGAGAAGCAGCAGATCGGGGTGGAGAACCTCTGGCTCATGGGCCAAATTATGCCTGCCAGGCCTTCCCATTTGGACTCCCAGGTCGTTTTCCCCAAACCACTCCTACCTGCTGCACACATGACATCACATAGAGATGTGGCTGGATTGGCTACTCACACAGGTGATCCCTGCAGAAAGCTGGATTTAACTCCCTGTGCATCAGTTAATGCACAGAAAGTTCTATCTCCACCTTCACAGGCCAACTTTGAAAGGTGGGCAGGAACACCCACTTATCAGTCACTTGACATATAAAAGCTGACCTGCAGGGTGGGGAAGATACCGATCTGATCCAAAAAGTTTTCCCCTTTGGTAAATTCATTCCCATTTATCTACAACATTTGGGATTACATTTTTGGGCTCCTTCAATTCTTTGAAGGTACAGGATTTTGTTCCCCAAAGGAGAACATTATTGGCACAGTGCAGACTTCCAGCTGATACCTTCCCAACAGCCCCCTGGCAGCATGGCTGAAGGTCAGGGATAAGAAGCTGCATTCCAGAATATCTGGAGAACATCAGGTTGGGGAAGGCTAGCCTAGAACAAGGCGCTATCTGCAGATCATGGCAAGGGGACTGAATGGAAGGAGGAATTCTAAGAGACTCCAGTCCGATTCAAATTCATAGTATTGACCAGTAGCCAGGAAAATTCTCTTGACACAAGTATACAGCCTGAGTGATCAACACTGGCTAATGGCTGTGATGCCTCGGTTTGAACAAATTAAAGTTTCAAGGGTGGCCCCAAGATAAAATGCATTATACTAGTCCAGTACAGACAGAGGGTTGGAGTGGGACCAGAGGTGAAAGGGTAATTTGGGGCCAGTGACCATTTGTCTGCTTAACTTGCCTTGCAGGATTGTCACAAGGATAAAATGCAGCATCTCTGTCACCCCCCTGAGTTGCTTGAAGAAAAGGCAGGATATGAATATTATCAATAAAAGTGATTTAATTAAAAATGTGCACTCCGGAGAGAAGGTAATGGGGTATATAGTATTTTACGCTATGAACCATGAGTAGGAACAGTACGAAATAGCTCAGCTGGTGGAACATGAGGGTCTTAATATCAGGATTGTTGGTTCGAGCCCCACGTGAGGTAAAAGATTCCTGCATTGCAGAGGGTTTGACTAGATGATCCTTATGGTCCCTTCCAACTCTACAATTCTATGGAAGAGGCTGCCGATCTTTTGAAGGGTTGAGACTGCAATCCTACACCCAGTTACCTGAAAGTAAATCCCACTGAACACAGCAGAACTTACTTCTTAGCGCACCCCTCCTGTATACACCTGCTGCATTAGGAGCTCATGGTTACTCACTGCTTCTTCCATCTGCTTCACATGATGTTCTCTGTCTACAACAAATCTTCTCATCTCTCTGTTACGGTGAGTCTCTGCTTCTTTTGCCTGAGTTATGAGAGCCATTTTTTCTCCCAGCCATTTTTTGCGATCCGTTTTCTGTTGTTCTTCATATTCCTGTCAAAATGTTAAAATTTTAGCTGTCACACAGTCTGGAAAGAACGTGTTATTCTTTTCTACAGAAAAAAAGTGTCAATCTACCAACATGAAGCACCCTTGCTGAGTTATTTGTAAAGTAGTTCCAAAGCTATGCTGCATTCAGAGGCAGTGCCAAACCATAGTTTAGCATTATGTGAATACCACATTGGCAAGCCTTCTGTTTGCATGCTCTTCTTTTGCCCACTCTCTTTTTGGCATGCAAAGGGGAGAAATTTGAAGCTTCCATTTCATCAGAATCTGGGAAATTGTACATAGCCACATGAACAACTCTCAGGAAAGGCAGATTCCACCCAAATAATGTTGTCATGGTAGCTATGGGTGGTACCCAACTAAGCAGTTCCCCTGGTGCAAGAACTTTAAGCTGTGCAATGAAACTCAATGAAATGCATAAATGAGGGCCACAGAATGAGGCTAGGGACCCACAGAGGGAAGGGAGAAACGAAGAAAAAAATAGGTTTCTGTGCACATCAGTGCAGCTGGCATATCTTTAACAAAGAATACACCCCTCATAAACTATCTGTGATCCTGGTACAAGTTCCTATCAAATATATGACCTGGGATGAATAATATCCTGACCTTTAATAATTGTATAAAATATCAGAGTTGCGTATTTTCTTTGATTTGCCTTGTTCTTTATGCTCCTTATTCCAATTATTTATCCTTAATAAGTTTGTGTGTGTCGTAATGGGACACCAAGCATTGTTACCAAGTATGAAATGAAGAACTGAGTAAGCTTTAGGATTATCAGCTGTATGAATGCTACAATCCTTTTTCCACTTGCCTACTCCACCTCAGAAGGCTCTAGGTTCAGGGAAGGAAATTATAGCAGCTGAAGAAATAAAGAGGCCAGTGAAGGCCTAAGAAGAACCCACTTGTAGCTCTAAACTACTGGAGCCAGCAGGAACTTCTCATGCCAGTATTAGCAGGCCATGCAAATGCACATTTCTAGATACTTTTGGTTCAATCAAAGGTGCAAGTTGCACAGGCATTTGGGTAGTTTACATAGGTAACACAACTCCTTCATTTGGGGAAAACAACCCGTTTCACTAAGGTGAGCTCGAGTAAGAGAGACTCACACCAAGTGGTGTGTCTCTCACTTCCCAAGTGGGAAATCATTAAACCACCTGGATAATGATGTTCCAGACACACGGGTCTTAGAAGCTCAGGCTTACCTGCCCCTTCTGCCAAGATTATCCAGTAGCAGTTTATTAATATTCTTCTGACAACAAGAAGGACAGATGGCAATGAGGTCCTCCATGTGGTTTGCAACAAAGTCATGTAGAATCTTTAAACCATGACAGCAACCCAAACATTACCTTCAGCTTCTCTTGCAGCTTTTTTAGTTCTTCACGGAGCAACTCTGTGCTTTTTTCACATTCTGTGTTAACCTTCTGTTGTGCCGGACTCCTCATTTGCTCCTCTAGGTCACGGTACCTTTTCCTCCACGCTTCCAGATCTACAGGAGAAGATGCATTTATAACAATGCAAGAGGCTGCATAAACTGCATTGTCGGAGGGATTTTTTTGGACTTTCCCCTTCATTTCTCACCCCGATCCCAATTTGTTTAACATCTTGCCCAGTGAAGAGTTCTGGAGAACTTGAACTTGCTTCTGTGGCATTTTGGTTGAACCGAATAAAAGTATTTCCCAACTGTGGATTCTGGCATTTCTCTGTTATTAAAAGTTGCTCATATGTGCTTGGATTTCAGCTATTTCAACTTGAAATGTACTGTCAGAGACAGTACTTTTTGAACTGCATGGTATTCAACTACTCCGCTTCCTTCTCTTCCCTACCACCACCCACTACCAATTTAACATTCTTTAATATTATTTATTTAGAAGGTCTGTATCCTCCAAAATTGCCTATCCCAAGCCAGGTTGCATCATATCGTCCCTAGCGCTGCTCTAGTTCATGAACATTTATTATGCCATAGCAAAACTTCTTAGTCTTCAAGCTGCTATAAGGCTATGCCTCTCAAATTCAACAGAAGCTTTGACAAAATTTTAACTATAAAGAATATATATTTTAAGAGGTACACACACACATGTACCAAAGGGATGGGGGAAGGTTGGGCTCAGAAAGGGGGGTAAAGGAGCTTGTCCTGTCCTCATAACTTACCTGCCATGAGTTTATTATTCTCTTCAAACCTGGCTTCAAGTTGTTGGTCTTGTTCTGACTGAGTCTGTTCTTGCTCCTCCAAAGTCAGTTTCATATCTTCAATGATTTTCTCTTTGGAACATAGATCTATAAAAAGATTAACAAATACTGGCATACAGTGGTACCTTGGTTCTCAAACACCTTGGTACTCAAACAACTTGGAACCCAAACACTGCAAACTTTTGCGAACTTTTTTCGGAAGCCAAACATGATCCGCTTTGAGTGTTACACTTCCGATTTGAGTGTTATGCTGAGGTCTGTCTGTTTTTGCTATTTATTTTGCATTTTTGTGGCTCATTTTGTTTTGTTTTTGTGACCGTGTGGAACCCAGTTCAGCTACTGATTGATTGATTGTGGGACTGCAGTACATTGTTTATTGCTTTCATTTCTCGTTAGATAGTAAAATTCAAGTTAAATTGCTGTCTTAGGGGTTGCTTTAAAAAGTCTGGAACGAATTAATCCATTTTGCATTACTTTCTATGGGAAAGCACGCCTTGGTTTTGGAATGCTTTGGTTTTGGCCTCCAGGGCAGATAAAGTTTGAGAACCAAGGTACCACTGTACTTGTTTAGAGCCGCAGCCAAATTCAATATATAAAAATAGCGAGGTTTGACTACTGAAATAATAGTCCAGAACAAAAACATTCAACACCGTGAACACAACACAATAAGCAATAAACCCAAATTAGGGCACACTTCTCTGTAAAATATACAAACTTTGTTCATTACATACCCTTGCATGCTTTCTGATACTGCTGCAAAGCTTCCTCAAGTTTCTTATTCAGCTCTTCCTAATTTGGATCACAGAGGGGGGAAAGGTGCATATGTGCAAAAATGAAAATAACATCAATATCAATAGCTGTTCATAAATTTAAAGCCTTGTTACACAATAACAATCTAAGAAATAAACTCTACTGAACAGTTTTCCTTTGAACCAACTTCAGTAACTTTTCAGTAGAATACTCTAAAACTGAGCTCAACTGTGAAACTCTGGCTTCACCTATGGCAAAGTCACAGACCTGGAAGGTACATTGATGCATTGGTCTTCAGCTGGTGGGTTCGGAATTACAACTAGATCATCCCTGATCCAAGATGGGTCGAAACAGCAGTACCACCAGCAAACAAATATATGGGCAGAAATTAAACAGGTCTCTCAATGCAGGTTTGGGTTAAAAAGATGGGTCCCTAGTCTGAAGGCTACTGGATTATAGTGATGCAGGAGAGAGGTGCAAAACACAGTGGGAAATTCATTGTAAGACTGAAAAAAAGCCAGTACCCGTGCAGCATAGAGAACAACATATACGGACATAGACACGAAGGTTCTTGACCTATTCCTGATCTTATTTGAGATCTGTTTTGTGTAAACGCTTCTTGACACTGTCACTCTGCATTTTAAAAAGTGTTCAGTGTGCTTCATTAACCTCTGAAATCCTCACAGGGCCAGTGCAAAGTACCTGTATTATCCCATCCATAATATAGGGAACAGACAGTGATAGTGCTATGTCTAAGTTAGGAGTAACCCATGCTAAGAATTCTACTGGGTCAGACCAAAGGTCTATCTAATCCAGCTTCCTGTTCTCACAAGTGGCCAATCAGATGCCTATGGGAAGTCTGAAGGCAGGACATGCATGTGACAGCACCCTCCCCAGTTGAGATTCCCGACAGCAGGTATTCTGTGTCCCCAACAGGGGAAGCAGAACGTAGCCTTAAGCTGCTGGACTAGAACTCCCATCAGCCACAACCAGTCAGGGCCTAGGACAGCCTAGCCATATGCTTAATCCCTATACTCCAACACTTCTGTTTTTGTTATTCAGGGAGTTCTCACAGTATTACACAAAAGCAGACCTGATTTTTATTATAACAACAACAACAACAAGTACCTTCTTAAATTCCTGGATAGTTCGCTGCTTGGTGACCAGCTCTTCAGATAGCTGGTTTTTGGCCTTTTCAAGTTCACTGACTTTATTCCGTAGTAGTTTCTCTTCGGCACGCATGTCCCCCACCTGCAAGGAGATTCAGGTCTCTGTAGGTGTTTGATGCTTTATTATTGTTTCTGCAGATAAGCCACAAGCAACTGCATGGTTCAGTGTTGCCCGCTTTAGTTGCAACTTGGAGCACGAGGAGCAGGACATAGAAACAAAGTGAACCAACAAAGCATACTATAAAATTAATGGTGTCCAGTAGGGTTGGGAGCACCCAATGCTCTCTTAGCTACCAGACCAGCAGCCAGCATTGGATGGAGCCAAACCCCACAACCTCATGCACTCCCCAGCTGACTGGGAAAGATTGTCAGTAGGAGATATTTCCTCGTGGTCAAATTCATTTCTAGATTGCATTTTCCATACACACACATCTGTGCTCAAAGCGGTTCGCATAAAGAGCAAGTGATCTAATTCCAGTGGTACAATAATGATATCTATTGATATATATTAAAGAATTATATAAATTAAAGAAATTGCTTTTTCCTGACTGCTCCTCCTACAAACCTGTCTCTGAACTTGCTCGATTTGCTTTTTGGCATCAGTCAGTTTCTCTTTCAGTTCAGCATACAATTCGTTTTTCTGTTGGATTTCTGTTTGTAGACAGGAGGAAAAAGTCGTGCTCTCAGAGAGCTCCTTATTCAACCTGGAAAGTAAAAGCAGCGGGGGGGGGGATTATTTGAGAATTTTTTTCTTTAAGGCTTGGGGCCTAATTCTAGGAAGTCAAGAAGCAGAAGGGAATGAGGGTTTCCAGGAGTTTTTATCAACTGCAGATTCTTCAGTTCAATATGCACTTCTCACCCAGCAAATGCCCTACTAAAGCCTCGGTAGAATTCATCTGCTTGCATGAGCCAAGTCTCAGCTATTGCCACCATTGTTAGCACTTTCCAACCAGGCTCAGCAAGCCTGGTAGAAATATTATAACATTATTATTAATGATTTAATTTATTAGTTGCTTGCCACACGGCTCTCCAAGCAGCTTACAATTTTTTTTAAGAGAATGAAATAACATAAAATAAAATTGCATAACATAAAGTCGGAAGCATAACGTTAACACAAAATTGGGGGGAAATGAATACATTACTATAAAAGGTGTACAATAACCTATAAAGACAGACACAATAAAGTAGCAGCAAAACTTCATCAGCAAGAACATTTCGGCAATGAATAGCAAAACCATCATGATCTGTCAATTGCCAGAGAGGATGCTCCAAAGGTTGACCAAGCCTTCGACAGGAGCACCAGTCATATCAGCCAGAAAATCCCTCAGATCTGTCTGAAAACCCATTGAATCCATCAGCCTCTGAGAGCAACCTCCCTAATGGGTCCTTTGCCTCTACAGAGAGGGAAAAGGTGCTAAAAGCCTCTATCTCAACAGAAAGTGATCTGATGTCAATATCCTCCACTTTTACATCACCCTTTTAATAGTAATAATAATAATTTATTATTTATACCCCGCCCATTTGGCTGGGTTTCCCCAGCCACTCTGGGTGGCTTCTAACAAAAGATTAAAAATATATTAAAACATCAGTCATTAAACATCAGTCAGATAGTTGATAATTTCTTTGACATCAGGTGGGAGGGCGCCACTACCGAGAAGGCCCTCTGCCAGATTCCCTGTAACTTTGTTTCTCACAGTAAGGGAACCACCAGAAGGCCCTTGGTGCTGGACTTCAGTGTCCAGGTAGAACGACGGGGGTTCCTGCCCAGTTGAGAAAACAAGAGTGTGGCTTGCCATGTGCATTGCACTGGCAGCATGCTAGGAGAACCCCACAGTCATTATAGCAGCCATGAAATCCCGATCCACCCCAGTCAGTCGCCTTGGCATGGATGTTGAAACCCCCCAAAACAAGAAGTCTGGGAGTCCTTAACATGGCCTCTAAAACCAGCTCAAGCAGGGAGACTGCTGGGCAACGAGGCAGGCAGTAAACCAGCAGAACCCCTAATCTGTCCCGATTGCCCAACGCCAGAAACACACACTCTAAACCCATCCACCCACTGGACAGAGAGGAGGGAGGGAGGAGAGGGGATTTCTATAGACCACAGCAACTTCCCCTTGCTGACTCTCAAATCTGCCCTGATGCTGCCCTGAGTACCCAGGTAGGCAATAGGACAACTTGGCCGATAAGACAACCACAATTCCCCCAGGTTGGAGGAGGTGCTGCCACAAGTCACTAACTGCCTGTGCCATGTGCACCTTACCCATCAGGGACATCAGTTACTCAACAGTGTTCAAATCCAATGAATCTATTTTCAAAGCCTTTAATGTGCCGCCTTATCCCAACCGTGCTTATTCAGAAGCAAATCCCATTCTTGATTAGTGGGGCTTACTCCCAGAGAAACGGCACATGTCTGAAGCCTTCGTCATGCCTTTATTACACACTCCTCGATTTAATCTACACTATTTTAGAACAGCTTGCAAAGGTAAAGCTTGTAACTTTAAAAAATGGCTCAGAAAAGTCTGAAGACACATCAAGTTTTCATTGTCTTTTTCTCACTGCTGTCTCTTCACAGAAGAGGGACGGCCACAACACCAATTTGCAATAAAACCATAAGGGCCAATCTAGAACTCTGTTACATAATACAGTTCAACTACTGAAGCTAAAAGGGTGGAATGGGGACCTGACCCCGGGCAATGTCGGGATAGGAGACCACCACAATGTAAACCACTGTAAACAGAGCAATACAAGAACTAACATCCTTTTATGCTCATGCCTGCATTTTAGGAAGATAAAATAGTTTCTTACCGTTCCATTGCTTGCTTTGATTCTTCATTATTCTTTTCAGCGGTTCTCAAATTATTCCTCAACTCTAGAACTTCTGCCTTCAGTTGAGATTCCTGGTCACTTAACCTCTGCATTTCGGATTCTGAAAGGTTGAGTTTCTCCTGCATGTCTTTCACCTTTCTTTCCATGGCTAAAACTGCAGATTCTTTTTCTTTCAGTGCTTGCTCCAGAGATGCTATGCCAGCCTCTTTCGCCCTACACTCTTCCAACAGGCCCTCAGTTTTTTTAACCGCCTCTAAATAGCCAAGGGCTCTGTTTTGCTCTTCCCTGTATTTTTCAGCATAACACAGGTTTTCCTGTTGCAGGTCCCTTAACTGATTCAGGAGGCATTCCTTTTCCTGTAAGGATACATCCTTTTGGTTGGTCATTTCGCTCAGCTCTAACTTTAGCTGAGATGCCTGATCCTCAGCATCCAAGGCCCGCCTCTGCAACTGCTCAGCTTGTTGGAGGAGGTCTTCAATACGGGCGCTCTTTTGAGAGGAAGCGTGAATGATCTGCTTGCTTATTTCCCAGATAATTTCAATGCTGCAATGAAAGGAGCTCTTTCGAACAGCAGTTGCAGGAGTTTCCTCAGGCTCTTCTTTGGCAATCTCTGCCTTCTCCGATTGATTTGCCAAGTCAATATCCACAGTGAGGCACTGTGGGCCTAGCTTGCTTAGCTCGCCTATTTTTACCTCAACCTCTTTTACCTTGGATTTTTTCTGTGCAATATTTTGGCTGACAGCCTCTAGTTCTTGAAGGAGAGCCTGAATTTTCTCTTCTTGACCCTTATTTTCATCTTTCAGCACAACTTTTTCAGCCATTATCTTCTCACAATCAGACAGCTGCTGTTGGAGTTCCCTGCTTAAGATAGAAGCCCTTTCTTCTGAAGAAAACTGTTCCTGACACAAGCTGGCTATCTTTCTAGAAAAGCCCTCACTCTCGTTTTTCTGTTTTTCCATCTCCTTCCTGAGCGTAGCCAACTGCATTTCTAACTTTTGATTGGTTTCTTGCAATGCCATCATTGCTCCCTTTTCCTTCATTTCTTGCATTTCTTTGGTGTTCTTTGTCTCTGTGGCATCTTTAGACTGGTTGATAACTGACCCTACAAAATTTTTAAAAAGATGGTTACTTCTATCCAACAGTAAGCCAATACCAAGCAAATATTTTCCAGAAGATCTAGAAATAAAAAGCTTGTTGGATAGCACAAGTTCGCTCAGAAATGGATGTGCTTTCACACAGCTGGAGACCATCTTTTTAATTTCTGCTCCATTCTAAAGTTCAGATCTTGGGATAAGATCGGGCAACTACAACACCTAAAAAGATATGAGCATCATCATTGGGCAAGGACCTAGGAAGCTTACTTTAACAGTTACTGTAAACGGAGTTAAATACTATCCTTTAAGTTACAGTCATTTATTGGCTAGCTTTGTTTCTGGTCTTGCCATACTGAATAATCCTGCTCTGAGATGTTTTACCAGTAAGTACCCTCTTCACATTACAAGAACCACTTTCGTGCTTTAAAAAGGCAAAGAATCATCTGAATATTTTTCCTACCAAAGGCCCAGAATATGATTTCTTCAGCTCTAGGCACTGGGCCCAAGTACAAGATGTTTCTCAATTTATTTATAAAAAAATTTATATACCGTTATGTCATTAAAATATATCACGGCGATTTACATCAATATAAAAATGTAAGGCCAGACAATAAAGTCATTAAAAGTTAGAAATAAGTTAAAAGTAAAAAGAAATTAAACACAAACATCAATAGATCATTGGGGGTGGGGGTCCCTTCATATTGGTAGGATATGTTGCCTGTTGCGCAAAGTGATTTGTTTGTTCAGTTGGTTCCCTAGCAATGTTTTTTGGCTGTCTCAAATACCTAAAGTATCAAATGTGGTGACAGTAATAATAATACAACAAAACAACAACACTACAAACTGGCTTGTAAGTATAAAACCAAATTTACTAGAATAATTGCTAGAATAGAGAGACTTGTAACCATTCAAACAACAAACATACTAAGGTGCCATGTGCAAAACAAAGCCTGGAGATACTGTAAACATGAAGTAGATAAATGTACAACTGTATCTTAACTAGTTACATGCACAGTAAGCGTTACAGACTAGATAAATAAACCGTTCAACAAGTAGCGCAAGTCCAATTACAGAACGGCAGCCCCGTGCCGCCGCAGCAGCAAGGGTAGCACACTGGAGAATATGAAAAAGTTTTTCAAAGCTGTTTTTCAAAGATTGTACTGGATGAGATGTTCTCCAATGGGTCTTGAGTTAGAAACACAAAGCCGTATGCATGGATCAATCACGGGAAGGCAAATCAAAGCCACCACCCTGGTGAGAATAACTCAAGTGGGCAAAAGGACACCTGTTCTCCGGATATATTACAGGTTTCGCTACACGCTTCATCAGTCCGAAAAGCCAGTCATACAAAACGGTTTGCTCAGGATAAAGAATGTATTCACAGGCACAGACCTCCTTTTGCCCACTTACCTTGATTTGCCTTCCCATGATTGATCCATGTGTTTCTAACTCAAGACCCATTGAAGAACATCTCATCCAGTTCAATCTTTGAAACACAGCTTTGAAAAACTTGTTCATATTCTCCAGTGTGCTACCCTTGCTGTTGTGGCGGCATGGGGCTGCCGTTCTGTGATTGGACTCACGCTACTTGTTGAGTGGTTCATTTATCCTGTCTGTATAACGTTTACTGCACATGTAACTAGTTAAGATACAGTTGTACATTTATCTACTCCAGGTTTACAGTAACTCCAGGCTTTGTTTTGCACATGGCACCTTAGTATGTTTGTTGTTTGAATGGTTACAAGTCTATCTCTATTCTAGCTATTATTCTAATAAATTTGGTTTTATACTTATAAGCCAGTTTGTGGTGTTGTTGTTTTGTTGTCTCAAATACCTGGCAAATAATGCTAACCATGGCCTGTTTAACCTCAGTGTGGATATAACAGTGCTGTGCACCATGAAAAAACTGAAAAGGAAGGAAGAGCATGGAAGAGAGGTGGGAACCTGCAGAAGACGCCTGATGCTTAAGCATTGTTTAAGCATTGTGATGCTTAAGCATCACGCTTGCACTGGACCTACACAGATATTTTGGAGAATTCTTTTGACTAGAACACATAGAAAAATCAAGTTACATGCACACAGGAACTAAACAAGAAGATTCACTAAGCAAAGGATAGCTCATACAGCGGAAGGATAACTTACACCTACTCTATGAGGAATAGACACAACATGAAAAAGGAAGTTTGCAATTAAGACACTTTTATTTCAGACTTGTATAAAACAAAACAATAAGCAACAAAGAGTTCAGGCAAGATGCATATGCTGGTTTGATCTGACAGTCAGCTTTCTTCGCAACCCTTCCTTTATGCTGGGGCTCTTTTGTTCTCATTCTAACAAGCAGTTAGCTTTTGACCTCAGGAGCCTCTGCATCTGAAGAACAGGAAATGATACCTTGCTTCGCAGGTGGACCTTCCACCTCCTCTGCCTCTTCTAAGCATCGTTTTCTTCTGCCACCCACACAGTTCTCCACAGGCTGACGAGAACAGGAGCAGCTTTCTCTGGTAGCGTTTTCCTGCGCCATTTGTCGTTTAATACTGGCTATTGTGCTCTCCTGCATTAATATAAAAAGGGAAGGCAATTTAGTAGAGTGGTACCTCGGTTTTTGAACATCTCGGAAATCGAACGTTTCGGTTTTTGAACACCGAAAACCCAGAAGTAACTGCTTCAGGTTTTGAACGTGCCTCGGAAGTCAAACAGGAAAGGCGGCTTCTGCAGAGTGTAAGACCCTAAGTCCTAGCTGTTGGCTATTGAATTTCGGTTTTCGAACTTTTCAGAAGTCGAATGGGCTTCTGGAATGGATTACGTTTGAAAACCGAGGTACCACTGTATAGCCATTTCAATTTCATTGGTCTGGTGCTTGAATAACCAATGAGTCAGTGGCTAGAGACCACTGTTGTCTTCCACTCCCTCAGCAGCTCTCACATTGCCTTAAGAGAGGAGGTGTGGAACCTTCGGCCTTCCAGATGTTGCTGAATGACAGCTCCCATCAGATTTAGTCATTGGCCATAAATGCAGGTTGATGGGAGTTGGGACCCCAGTGAAACTGGGAATGCCTCACTTTGTGGAAGATTACATTAGACATTATTTCTCTTGAGAATTTGGGATTTCTTCAATTTTGATGAAAACTGTTGTGACTGACACACAGTGAAGCCCCTTGCGAAAAAGAAAAATACATTCCTCCCCCCCCTTTCCTCCCTCTGTATTTTACCCCACTGCCGTTCACTCTTACTACCATCTTCCCCATTCCACGCTCCAAAGTCTGACCATTCTTCCTTGCACATTGCTGCCATTTTAAAATCTGCCTTAAGGTAGATGATCCTCTGCCCCTCTTGAAATCCAAAGTTGGTGCTTTTCTAAGGAAAATTTGACTGCATTTATAGCCAAGCTTTCTTTTCAAGACATTATACATGGTGTTCCCAAGAACCAGACCTGCCTAGCTTCTAAAATGCTGCTGCTACATCATGTGCTTTCAGACCAGGCCTTGGGAACAAAAATGCATTTGCTCTGTCCAAAGGCAGCAAGACAAATCCTATTATGCTTGCATGGTAACATAAAATACAAGTAACAAGTTTTAAGTCGGGAATCCAGGAGCCATATTTTAGACACACCCAAAGGCTTATGCATGCAGCGTGTGTTTAACTTTCTTTGAACAGCAGGCACTCATGTCTTATCACAAAACACCTTTTCTGAAAGTTTCCATTTTAATAGTGTTTTTGTGAGGCTTGCTGTTTAAAAAATAAAGCTCTTAAAAGTCCCCCTTGGGGGAACTGTACTAAGCATGTGGCTTTTGGAGCCCAGTTTTGCTCTGGGACAGCATTTTAATTTGGCACCACCATGTCAACATGCAACTGCTACTTTTGAGATTAACAAGTGGAACATTAAACACTCACAGACTCTTTTATGATCGCCTCCAGCTGATTTATCAGAACTTTCAGCCTTGCTATTTCATCATCCTTTTGCTCCACAATTTCACTTAGCTCTTGTATGCGCTTGTTCTGAAGAGCCATTTTCTTAAGGAGAAGGTAAACAAGTTTAGGATTAGATGCGACAATGCACTGCAATATGTGGCCATTTGGAAACTCAACATGCAGTGAGGCAAAGTGTAGGCCAGGTCCAGGTGATTTTTCACAGCTTCATAAGCTATGGGTTTAGAGCTCCTCCCTTCTGGCATTGGAAGAAAAAAGGCTTACTGTACATTTAACAGCTGTATTTCTACAATGAGGACCAGCAGACATAGCTGACTTTCCATGGCAAGCATGAGGTTCTCACGGGGGGAGGGGGGATCAGCAAAAACTATAGTATCACTAGTTTTGTGTTATACCATGCCACCCCTCATAACAGTCCTTTTGTGCCCCTGACAGCCATTTTGTGACTGGTACCCAAAACTCAAAACCAGAATGTCCAGAAAAGTTGGAGACTCCTATTGCAAAGGCAGATGTTAAAGAAATCTAAGCACGCTTACCTGAGTAGCATCTTGAACCACTTTAGCAGATTCACTCAGTTGAGTCTCCTGTTTTGTCAGCTCTGTAACAGAGTGATTAAAAGTTAACATTAAATACATGTCGTGGAAAGAAATGCTCAAATTTGCTTGGGAGATGCGTTAGACGTTCTAACCACATTCTGTATTTGATACTGCAAAGTTTGATACTTTAAAGAAGTAGTAGACACAATATATTAAGTAAAAGGCTACTGGGCTTTTGGACTTACTTCCCTTTAAGAACAGAGCCCTTCCCCGTCTCAATGCCACATCCCAAATTGCTTTTCCATGTAAGTTTACTGTGGTAATGAAAGACTGCTAGCCAAGAAACACAAGGCCAAAATCCTGTTGGATGCATGGAACTGGCTGTTTGTTTCTTTAGATCCTAGTCAATACTTTTATTAAGTTTCTCCATCATACCTACCTTCTTTCCTGGCCAAGAGCTCCTCCCGGGCTTGAGATAATGCAGCTGTTACCTCTGCCAGCTGCTTTTCAAGACGCTCAATAGTTGTTTGGGGCGCTTCTAAGGCACTAAGCATCCCATACGCTATTTGGGCCTGCTGCTTAATATCAGAGACGTTTTCTTGCAGTGACTCGACCACGCAGGAAAAATCAGCTGGATTTCCCGATTCTCTAGCTTCCGCTCCCTTATTGAAAGAAACACACAAAAATAAAGGGGAACAATGAAAGTTTGCTCATACAGGCTTATCACCCCTCTTTTATTATCCATTCCGGGTCGCCCAACCACTGCCATAGTGTCTTTTCTCTTGGCAGATTAAGATGAGCAGATGACAACAAAGGTTGCAAGGTTTTTAGCCGGGGCAATCAAAATAAGGTCCGCTATTTGACTGTTGATTCAGGACCCTAAAGTGTGTTTTATATAATTGACTTTTTCTTTCTTTGTATATCACATTGTTCTTTTGTTGCTATGGCCGATGGCTGACGCAAATAATACATTCATTACTCATACTGGAGCTTCACTGGCCACCAGGAGGCAATATCACACCAGAGGACCACTGGAAAAGTCCTCTGGAGGGAGATGGGGAGAGAGCCAAGAATGGAGGGTCCTTCATGAAGTCTGGTAGACCAGCCAACGCTGCGCATATACCCCAGCTAATTTGGCATGATGAGGACTGACCCTCAAGTTAAAGCAGCATTGTATATGGCATCTTCAAGAGTCAGTCCACCACCTGGCTCAGGACAGGTAACTTGCATCATACACAAGGGCTTTGTTCAGGGGATGGCGGGTATACGTAACAACGCATATACTCAAACCACCCCCTTGGAACTGCCCCCGCGTGAGTGATCTCACCTTCCAGAGATGGTGCACTAAACAGGTTTTACCATCCCAAGCAGTGCAGAGAGTTTCTAAGCTCTCTCCATTGCTTGCTAGGTTCTGGGAGGCTCTTATGAGATCTTGCAAGGCCGGAGCAAGTTCTCCAAAGCCTGGGGTAAGCAAGTTTGAGAGCTCAAAAGCTCTTTCCCTGCCAAGGAAACCCTGTGCAAAAAGAGCATTTAAGTTCTCCGCTGGATCTGTGCGATTTCAACCAGCTGGCCTTCAGCCACATAAAGCCGAGTTTGTGCAGGTGAAACTCAGGCAAGTTGCTCTCTAGGATTTCAGTCAGGGTTCTCTTCCAGCACTTACATGGAGATGCTGAGGACTGGATTGGGGAACTTCAGCATTCAAAGCAGAAGTTCTGCAATTGAGATGTGGGTCCTTCTGTATGGCTGCATGTTCTTGTTCTTCCTCAATGCATTCAAAATCAGGGTACCCAGTGGTTAGACTTAGCTAACCTATCTGTTGAAAGGTTTATATTTCAGGTAGAAAGGGGGCTTTACCTTTGGAAAGATCCCTGTAGTCTCAAACTTGCGAGCATCTCAAGTGTCTCTCAGGTAGCAGAACTATACAGTCTGACTTTGTTGGCACAGCAAGAGCCCTACAACCACATTGGTTTGGTGCCATTTTTATATTAGGACCCCAGTGAGTTTGAGAACTAAACTTTAGAAATACATCTCTTAAGAGGTTCGAGGGAGAATAAGGTTACTGGCATTCCCAGTCTTATTAGGCTGTACCTTTTGAGTCTCTTCTGCTTCTTCTCTGCTATTTGGCAGTGGGATGCATTCCTTCACCAAGTCCTTGTAAATCTGCATGCGCTCCTCGCAGTTGTCCTCCATGATTTCTTGCGTAAGGCCAACAAATGTCCTAAGTTTAACCAGTGACGGAAATGAAATACATGTCAAATGGTTCTCCCAAAGAGAAACCTCCTATACTCCAGAGGAGGATGACAGCAGCAGCAGCAAAAGGCAAAATGTCAGGAAGAGCAATGATGCTAAGCCCCTGGGCTCCTGGGAAGCACCAACTGCTGGTGCAGGTCTTAAGACAATAGAATGGAAGAGGACATGGTGCAAGATGCACATGGGGGTGTTTTCAACCAGGCACCTTGAAAGCTGACGTGTTTGCACATAAAGAAGCCACACACATTAAGCATGCCTTGTTCCCTTGGGTATCAGCGCACAGTTCATAGCCAGCTGGCTGCTGGATTGGGCTGTATGTGGATACATGCCAATCCCGAACATTAAAGCAATGCTGGCAAGCCCTTCGGAAATACAAGATCAGCAAACTTACTTGAACTGGCTGTCCTTTTCTGCAAAATACTGAGCACATTCCTGTGTGACCTCTTCACGGATCTTCAGCTCCATGAGCAGCTTGTCCTTCTTTTCGGCAATCAGCTTGTTTTTCAGATCTTCTATTATAGCAAGCAGCCTCTAAACAGGAGCACCAGGAGCAGAGTCAGCACATGGAAAGCATGTTTAGGGATTCATTGTTGCGGCACATCAAGTCATTTTGTTTACGGGGAGCCCCAAAGCCTGTGGCCTGTGGCTTCTCACGTTGTGAGTCACAAGAAAGGCGGACGTAAAAATGCATTCTGGTGAATCCCTAGGGAAATTTGGAAAACCTAAAATGGTTTATAGAAATGCAGGAAGTCCTGGAATCAAATTACAAAGTTTGAGAGGCCACCAAATCCCAAGCTTTAACCTGAGGCAACGGTGGAGAACCACCCCATTTGGCTCACGAGGCTATATCAGCCAAGCCATTGTGCCCTGCCCTACACCCAATCTCAAATAGAACCTTAAGTGTGGGACAGGCCTGGCTCAGTCCAAAGCGCATCTGCAGGTCCCACCTATCATGCCTGCACAGCCCTTTGCACAGGGCTTCATAATAGCTATCCTGCAAAGCCCCTTACAAAGCACTTTGCAGGAACTGACGGTCTGACTACCGAAACTTTGCAACCTGTACCTTCACCCACAACTGATTTCAAATCAAGCAGGCAAAAAGGGTATTATCATGACATCAGATCATCTGACAGGTGGGCAGCCCTATCCAGCAGACATTTTTCGGTGCATCTTTATTGTTTTCAAACTGGCTGCTACGTTCGTTTTAAAAAATGAAAGCAGATTGAAGTATGAAACACCTTAGAAAAGCGGACTGTAAACGCCCCAAATTAACTCAGTGGCTCTTATTTTCCAGCATTCCTCCTTTTTGCTGCAACAGATTCACATAGCTATTCCTGTCATAAGGGCATACCTGGTACTTTTCTTTTTCAATGACAATGTCACTGTCTTCATCTCCCACTTGGTCTAGCATTTCTTCAGGCTCAGCCTCTCTGTCAAGTCTGGTTTCTGCCACAGAGTTTACCTCATACATCCCACTGCCATCTTCTTCTAGCTCTTCCCCCTCCCCCTCCTCTTCATCTTCCATCACATCCTCCAAAGTCCTCTCCCAGAGTACAGTTGCTCTTTTAACGGGTAAACGCACATCTTCTTCAGTGTTCATTTCAGATTCAGCTTTGACAGCCATCTGCTCAAATGACTCTTCTGGGGGAGAATCGTTGGAATCTAAGACCATGACCTATTTAGGAAGGAAGCAAAAAACATATGAAAGCCAGTTTGTGACAGTGGTTTTAGCTGCTATTAAAGCTTCCTGCCAAAACAAACAAAAACAAAACCCTGCTCATTTTAAGGATTTCCAGAATCCATGCTTTCTTCCAGCACAAACCCATGCCATATAGCTTCTTTATTATGACACAGAAGCAGAGATTGTGGAGTGGGTCTTGCATGCCATTCAGGTAGCCAAACACCTCCTTGCAGGCCATCCAACTAGCTCAACACACTGAATGAAATCCACTGAATGAACACCCCAAGTAACGGCTGTCTGGCCTCATTCTGAAGACCCCCAACAAGACAGAGCCCACAGCCTCTCTAGGTCATTAATGTCAAGGTGCTATGTCTCATTTTACAATAAGATGGGAGCACTGCATTTTATAACCCGGAGACCCTCTCCATCCAGGCATCCATCTCTGACTTCTGAAACATTCACCTGCCCTTCAAAAGAGCTCTAAGGGCAGAAGCCAGCTAGCTGACCCATAGCCTTTTGCATGTCTCTAACTGCATGGTGATCTATTTCCAGTTTCATACATTTCCAGTTTCATAATCTATTTCCAGTTTCATACAAATGTGAACACTTACTTTCTGAGCAATTGCTGAAAACCTGAGCACGTTGAGGGTTTCATCATACGCAGAGGCGCTCTGGCTGACGTTCACTATCATGCACACCTTCCCCTTACCACTGAAGAAGCCTTGAAAGAAGTGAGTCAGCTTGCTTTCCCGAAAGGGGATGTGCTGCTGCAGCCTGAAAATGAAACAAACAAGTCAGCTGCAGTTCACTTTTTCGAAAAGTGTTTTCAAGCGCATTTTCTAGGATATGGGGCCAAGCTTCATTTTAAAGAGGCATAGACTGAAAGGCTTTAGGTCCATTCAGGCCTGTTGCTTCTTCACCACATGCTTCCCAGTTTGTTTGTTTTTAAAAAGTTTCTACAGAGATCCAAAAGACAAGGGGGTAAAGGATTATTGTCATTAAGGATGGGTTGTGGGCAGCAGCCTGAAGGAAGCCCCAAACTGAAAACCATAGGAGCAAGTCAGTAGCTGGGACCAAATAACAAGTTAATACCAAAGGGTAGGCCAGAACCAAACAAAAACCAACAATCTGTGAGTACGCCAGAGCTCAGGCAGAGTATGTTGCTCAAGGAAGCTCAGCCAGAACAGAAAGCCATTGAATACTCCTTCCAGAGCAGAAGAGTGGGTTCTTTGCAGAGAAAGCTGCTACCTGCAGTGGTTCACCACATGGGGCAGCCGCACACAGATTCAGCATCTTACTGGGTACCTCTCACGCTTATGAACATCAACTGTCCTTTCAAAACACTGCAGGTGTTCACTGGGAAACAAGTAGCGGGCATGCAGCAAGCTTGGTTTGAGCATCCATTTTTAAAGTAAGTGTTGTACAGTCATGGAGGTTTTTGGCTTGCTTCTTTGATCAAGCAAACTTGGGTAACACAGCACTTTTGGCAGCGGAAAGCTTTTTAAATATATTATAATCGCATTATGGCCCTGTCTCTTGCATGTTTTAGTTCAGTTTTGAAAAATCATCATCATCATCATCTATTATTTTAGCTTGGAAACTGCACTGCCAATTGAGAACTGGTCAAGTATCATGCTTCACCGGACTAGCAAAAGAATGTGCTTGCCCTAAAAATGGAAAGATTTCTTACTCCTATTTAAGGACTGGTTAAAGGCTTAAAGGTGACATTTGGAAAGATAAGGCAATTTCTGGCTCTTTAAAGCACTCTGCCTCCTTTTACACCATTTCCCGCTTGTTAGGATTCATATCCTGTAGGGATCATGTCAGGTGGGGGGGGGTTAAGGACAGGCTGTTAAGCAGTCTAGGTCTCTCTTAAACACCTAAGTTACATGAAAGGTAGCAGAGATCTGCATGAGGAATATGCATACTTCTCTCATTCAAAAGGTGTTTTCCTTCTCTTTACAGAGAGCTGCTAGAAGCCCCCGCCCCCATCCCTTAACATGAAGCGAAACGCTTTCCCAGAACCTACTTTGATTGCTGGCTCATCTTCAGGGCACTGATGCATTTGCCTAGAATGAGCAAGGAAGTGTTAATATTCCCACTCTCTTTCAACCTCTCTCCTTCGTTGTGGGTTCGTGTACAACGCTCTGAGCCAGCGAGGTCGCAGAGGAATAATCTGGAGATAAAGAAAAGGAGTGGGGAATTTAGGTTGCCTGGTCTTACAATTTTAATCGGTAAGAACACATGAAATACAAAACTTACTCATTGACTTGCATCACACGAGTTGCTTCAGGATCAATTTTTAGCATTTTCACAGTGAATATACTGTGGCTGAAAGACCAAAAATACACAGACGTTGCTGCCAGCAATGCTATCTTTAAACATCAGTGAACACGTTGCAGCCTTCTGCCATTTTGAAAATCTTAATAGCTCCTAACCTCGAGGCACTTCTTCCATTCTAGTATATAGTGATAGATTTTAAGATATATTTATACCATTTGGAAGATACATAAACATGCATATTAACTTCTTTTAACATCCCAGATAAGGATTTTAGAATATTGCAGGCCTCTTCACTGCCCTATTCTCCAACGGAGTACAGTAAGTCTGCAACTTACACACATTGTACACATTCAGCTTTATGCACTTGGCCAATTTTTTTTTTAAGGGAGTAGGTGTCTTGGAAAAAAGACTTTGGCAATCCCACCCACTGTTGCACCCAATGTGTGTTGACCATATGCAATTTTGGCTTTACGCGTTATCGCCCGGAACGCAAGCCCTGTGTTGTGTGCTTACTGTACTTAACATTAAAAATCACACTGGATCTCCAAGGAATCACCTACCCATTACTATTTATTAAATCACAGAAAACTTCACATAATTAAAAGCCCCAAAGTTCAGCACAAGATACAAGCATGTGGGTGACTGTTTCAAGAAACACATCTGAGCAAGAACGGTGTAGGGATCCTTAGGTACTGGGCATTACTTTAACAAGTCTGTGTTGCATAAACTTGCAAGTAAAAGCTGAAAGTGAACCATTATGCTACTACACATTGAACATATCCTGATTTTACTATGGGCCTCTTACCTTCTACTGGAATTGGCATTCAGTTTTGTGGAAGCAAAACTCTGATGTTTCAGGCCTAGTTGCATGAGCTTAAAAGCTTCTTTGAAATTTGAAACCTGAATCCATTGTAGATCTTCAAGAAATAGAAATGGTTCATTATTCACCACTGAACAAGAATTAAAGCAAGAAATTAAAGGAAATAAGAATGTGAGTTAGGAGCATTACACTGAATTAAAAGCTAGTTTGCACACAGCCTGGGCACTGAATAAGCAGGACACCTTAAGGCTACTGAAACTGGTTACCAAAGATTTAAGATATTTGTTACCTTTAACATATGAACAGCCTTTTACATCCTGTGACAGACGCAACACCTTCCTTCTTCTATCATTGGACACTGGGAGCAGCAGGTCGTAAATGCACTCATTATAAATTTCACAGAACGAAACCCAGATGGAGAATTTTGCACCTCTCCCTTCATCCACATTAGCTTGTTCAGCTTCTTTCGCTACTTCATCCAACTCTGTCGGAACAATGGAGTGGCATTAACATTCTGCTGAAGTGAGTCCATCTCGATGTGATTTAAAACAGGCTGCTTCAATAGCACTGAACATTGTTCAGACAGCATTGTTGTTTGCAGCACAAGATCCAAGGCTGGAAAATGACAGCTTTTTAAAGTATCAGAGGAAGTCTCATTTCAGCATTACTTACTATGGCAATAGTGCACGCTGAATTTTTGGAGCCTAATTTTGGCTTTCGGATACGTAACTTACCATCAGAATTATCAGCAATTCCACTGCGATTCCCATTAACGACACTTGGATAATCAACCTGAAAATTAAGACAGAAACAAAATATGGGTTATACTAGATGTTCTACTGTACTATCATCTATTGTATTTTCTAGGGCAGGACTGAAAAATTAGGATGTGCTAATGGATCATTGCAATGAAAATTTCATTTCTATGGTAACCATAGCAAGCCTTACCAGGCATACCTATACGAGTCTGCTGCTGCTGCAACAGCAGCATTGTATGGCACTTTAAGGGCCGAAGGAATAAGCATTCATGGGCCAGAACCCACTTTGTGTAGCTCACAAAGTAATCTGGATATGTTAACAATTCAGAAGTCAGTGGAAGAACATTTCAATCTCCATGGAAATACCACAATTCCACAACACCTCCAGGAAAGTTCAAACATGAGGCTGCTGAGTTTATGCTCTGCATAGCAATGGAAACACCTACAGCTATTTCTTGTATTTTTTTGCCTTTGGATCACCAAGTTTTCTTCCTCCTCTCATGCACCTGATGAAGCAGATTCCAACTTATGCCACAATTTCCATAACAAGACGGTATTCGTACCAGAGCATACTTAGCACTTGAGAAGGTACGATGGCTCAGTGGGACAGCATCGGCTTTGCAAATGCAGGTTCAGTCACCAGCAGGGATGGGGATTTCCTCTGCCTGGACCCCTGGAGAGCTGCTGCCAGTCAGTGTAGACAATACTGAGCTAGCTAGACCAATGATATAAGGCAGCTTCCTTTGTTCCTGTTTTTTGATAACAGTTGCATGCTGGTCAGGCAATATTTAATAATAAAAAAAGTTTGAACAATGGCATAGGAAGGAAGCATGGACAGTACAGGGATGGACCTCTGTAACGAAGCAATGTTACATTAGCTGGAACTCAACATGGTGCCCTCCATAAGTTGTTGGCCGCCAGGTCCAATCAGCCCCAGACAACATGGCCTATGGCAGTAGTTTTCAAAGGGTGTGGCAGGAGAGGATGGCAAATGTGGGAAGATTCAAGGACACCCAAAGAAACATTTAATCATTTGAGTGTAGTATAGTGCCCATCTATCTATGTGTAGAATATGGATAAATATATTTTCAAAACGAGAGCATCAAGTGACAATGCTAGCTGTGATCCAGAATCACCATTCGAACAGAGTACTGGAGAATAGCATTGGCTACTCTTCTACAGTTCTCCATGACATAATATTGTGAACAGGCATTTTCAACTCTGACAAATATGGAAGATCAGAAAAGAGAAAGACTTATTTGCATTGATGAGATGAGAGTTTGTTTGCCTCAAACTAGACCTAATATAAACGAGATTTCCTGGCAAAAGCAAGCTCACACCTCTCACTGAGTTTGTATATATGTAAGAGGCTCATTTATATTTTGTGAATGATTGATGTTCTTATGCAGCTGCATTGTTTTATACTTTCTGGGTGCCCCATGATCATATTATAAAGTAGCCGCTTTTTATTACATAAATCACGTAATGGTAGGAGTCGTTTCTTTTCATTTTCCAAGTTCCAACGTAATTTTATCAATAAATAATTATGTGTAGCACGAACAAATTTGAGGCCAGTTGTGTTTAAAAAAAATATGTTGTGGGGCTGTGCTACAATCCCATCTCCAACAATAAGCTCTTTCTTCCTCCCCCCACCCCCGCTGGCAGGATTCCCCTGGCAGTTCCCCGACCCCCCCAGTTAGTGTCAAAGAGTGGTACTCACTTAGGCTGGAATTCAAAATGACACTATTAGAAATGTCTCATCTGTGCAAGCATCCCAGCTTGACAGGCGGAACAATCTCTCCTCCCACCAAGCACTGTACCAGGATTCTCCCGACCCCCATAAGGCAATTTCAAGTGGCCATGGGGGGGGGGATGAGAAGGCGATGGGAGCCCCACTGCGCTAAGATTCTGCCGACGGGTTTCATTAAGTGAATCCTGTCAATGGGGTCCTAATCATGGCGAAGAAACCTTCAAAGGGAAGTGCCCATGCATGTACAACTAGCATAGCAACATCAGGATGAGGCCAGCTCCTGCTTCCGCCTCTGCAAAATTCAATGGACACACCTGCTTGCCCTTTATATTCTGTACAAACAGCTTTGATCATTACAGAATATGTGGTGCCCATGTGGTTTTTATTATGCCACTCTCTACTACTGGTATCACATTGACAATCTACTTTGTTGCAATATAGACTATTTATTATGGCACCTCGGATATGATTTGTCACTGACAGGCAGGGATTTTTTTTTCTCTTTATGTATTTAACATGGTCAAATCACCTTTTATTCTTGAACTGAGATTCTACAAAACTGAACAGAAATGTATGAAGATACGTCAAACTGCAGAAAAGGTAAAGGCAGAAGCACAGCAGATTCTCTGGCATTTTAGACAATCACAGCAAGCACATGGGTTGCAGCCAATGTGAATCCTACTCAGAGTTGACTCACCAAATGAATGGACATGGCCAAGTGGTCCATTAATCTCAATGAGTCTCTGCCAAATAGGTAAGAATTCCCACAGCCAAAAAAACCATCACACCAACATAGAAAACTCTGGTCAGAGCATAGTGAATTTTGGTAATATGTGTATATGTATACATACATACAAAAACACACACATGCACAACCATTTTCAGTTTCTTTACAAACGGCTGTTATTAAAACTTATCATAATTCTAAATCTGTCCAACTGATTTAGTGGGGCTTAAATCCCTAGTAAGTATTCAGGATTGCATTCTAAATTGACACACCTCTTTTATAAGACGGAGAAGTGAGCATTTGACAGACATTTCTTCTCTGATTTCTTCTTTAGTCAGCCTTCTGTGTTCTCGGCAACGATGGGGTTTGAGATCCATCTCTGAATACAGTTTGCCTTGGATGCGCTTAAACAACATCTCCAGCGCCCTTGGGAGAATGCCACCATCTTCATTAGTACCTGTCATAAGGACGATTTGACAGAACTTTGAACACTCTTTTGGAGCAGAATCAGGAAAAGGGGGCAAGGAGGCAACATGAACTGTATACATGTGGAATTAGAGCTACCCTTGGAGTAAGCACAAGGTGATTGGATCAGCATTCCAATAAAAATATATTCAACCCCCATTTTGGAAAGCAACATTTAAACCACACTGAATACGCTTTACCCCTACTCACCGAAGTCAAGTATTTCATTTCAAATACTTTTGGCTATTGGAAAAGTCTGAAATATTTATACAGAGCATAAAATTATCACAGTATGCGTTTTCAGTTTTCTTTACTAAAACAGAAATGCTAAAATAGATCAAGTCAATTAAATGTAGTAATCCCTCCCCCACCCCTGGAAAACCCATATAGGCGGTCAACTAGAAATCCATTTGTGCTGTCCATACTTAGATCTATTCCATTCACTCATATTTCAGGGGGCAGGGATCGGAACAACCCTTTAAAGCAAGGGTAGGCAACCTAAGGCTCGTGGGCCGGATGCGGCCCAATCACCTTCTCAATCCGGCCTGCAGACGGTCTGTGAATCAGTGTGTTTTTACATGAGTAGAATGTGTGCTTTTATTTGAAATGCATCTCTGGGTTATTTGTGGGGCGTAGGAATTCGTTCCTTTTCCCCCCAAAATATAGTCTGGCCCACCACATGGTCTGAGGGACGGTGGACCAGCCCACAGCTGAAAAAGGTTGCTGACCCCTGCTTTAGAGTACCTAGAGGGCCCATCAGATGTCAAAGAAATAAACAACTGTCTGACATTTAGAAGACATCTGAAGGCATCCTTTTTTACGGAAGTTTTTAATGTTTGATGTTTTATTGTATTTTTAATATTATGTTGGAAGCAGCCCAGAGTGGCTGGGGAAACCCAGCCAGATGGGTGGGGTATAAATAATAAATTATTATTACTACTACTACTATACGGAGTTACAAAACCAGTTTCCTATGTTCCAATTCAAAATGCATTTTTTAAAACATCATATTATACACATATTCCAATTAAAAATAAGTAGTTCAGAGAGTTGAAATAACTGTAGCACACAGTTTGATGACACAGAGCATACACAAGTAACACGGAACTCAAGTTAACATTTTGTCCAGAGAAATATGGATGCTCAGTAGTACCTTTGTATGTATATGTTTTCCCAGCATTTGTAACACCATAGGTAAATACAAGGCGACTGTGTCCCTTCAGGAAGTCTTGCACTGGCTGCTTCACAGTCCCTTCAAAGAGTTCTTCCTGGGTTGTTTCAGGGCCAAATACCTAAAAAGTTAATAAGAAGATATTTTATGGCTTTCCACACTGAAATTCCAGACAATTTCTTTCAAGACTATATTTTCTTAAGCTTTTCAAATCAGTGAGAAGTATTCAAGCATTATTATGTGCAAAGTTTCCATACTAAGGGTTATGAGTCGCCAATAGCCCTTTACACTTTATTTACCTGTGAAAAAGTAAATTTCTGCACCAATTGCTGCAAGTTTTTTTCACTAAGCCGGAATACCTTGGAAGACTTGGGAGCTTTTAATATAACACTTGATGCGTCAAGAACAGAAATACAATTCTGTAAGAAAGGGGAGATAGATAATAGATATTTTTAGTTCAGCAGATGGCATTCTTAAACAAATTTTGCTTTTAGAATTTATTTTTAAATCACACCTGAGAATCACCTTCCTTTTCTGACTGCATCAACGGTCTAATGCGCAGGCAAACATGAATGCGTTCTCTGGATTCCAAGCTCTCTCTCTACAGAGGGAAAGAGTAAAACCACAGTGCTGTCCAACAATATTGCCATATACTCAAGGCTCTTGGTTTTATGAGCCTTTAATCTCAATAGACTATACACAGCTAAGTTATTCCACATGGGGAACAACTTCCCACACAGAAGCTGGACTACAAACTGTTTAATTCCATAAGCAACTGAGTATTCCAAGACATCACATCCACCTCAGCCATTTCTGCGTGGATCACTTTCACAAGTACAGTACAATAGACATTGTCATTATCACTTGGAGTCGCCCAATTCCCTTACCTGGCTTATATCAGAGATTGATGATAAATCACTATAGAGATTCTTCCTAATGTCACTAACATCCACAGGGATAATTCTTGGGGACAATTCAACAGCAGAAATAAAGGATGGTCTAAGCATTGATGGCTTATCCAAATTAGACTCCATCCTATTAAAGAAGAGAAAGCGGGGGGGGGGGGGAGAGTTGCTTGAATGGAACATCCAATAACATGAAATTTGGACCTCTACACAAATTTCTTCATCATGTGAACTCATATGTCAGATTGTAAGTATTAATCAGATTTTAGAGTTGCCTTGTCCTGTTTGTCTGAACTTTCCTTGCAGAAAAGGAGAGGAGAGTGAAAAAATGGGCACAGCTACAGTACAGTTTAACGCAGTCATCATCAACCTGGTGCCCATCAGATGTTTTGGAGTACAACTACTGGAAGTGCTGGCTATTCCCAAGGTTGTCAGGACTTGTAATCCAAACATCTGGTGGACAGTGGACACCATATTGAGAAGGCCAATTTAGTGCCATAGTCCTTCGAGTGTCTTCTTTGGAACCTTCATTGGAAGCTTTGCAAGGATGTGAAGTAGCATTAATTGCACTTTGTTGTTGTTGTTTTTACACAAAAAGTAACCCAAATTAACTTACAAAAGAGTGCAAAGTTAAAAAGTACTATGTAAAGGTAAAGGTACCCCTGCCCGTACGGGCCAGTCTTGCCAGACTCTAGGGTTGTGCGCTCATCTCACTCTATAGGCCAGGAGCCAGCGCTGTCCGCAGACACTTCCGGGTCACGTGGCCAGCGTGACAAGCTGCATCTGGCGAGCCAGCGCAGCACACGGAACGCCGTTTACCTTCCCGCTGGTAAGTGGTCCCTATTTATCTACTTGCACCCGGGGGTGCTTTCGAACTGCTAGGTTGGCAGGCGCTGGGACCGAGCAATGGGAGCGCACCCCGCCACGGGGATTCGAACCGCCGACCATGCGATTGGCAAGTCCTAGGCGCTGAGGTTTTACCCACAGCGCCACCCGTGTCCCGAAAAAAAGTACTATGAAACCAAAACAAATTAAAAACCAAAAAACACACCCGTAATATAAAAGGCAGGCTTAACACATCCCAACCTCTGAAAAGAGGCAACAAGTATTTAAAACACTACAAATTAAGGACCAAAAGCCTAGATAAGAAGAAACATGGTCAAGTTTCAGGTAAGATGGCCCAGCAACGATGCTGATATTCCACAAATGTGCAGCTGTAGCAAAACACTGAGCACATCCTATGCCATACCTCCGATTTCCATGTATTTAAAGTGACCTACAGACTTAGAGTGAAAATACAGATTTAGCATTTTAGCAGGGGCTTCTGTGGGTCAGATGCACAGCCACTATCGCTTGAATAGACTGTACTTTTAATAAACCAGACATGACCATTCTATTCCTCAAATGGCTTTGGAAATGTAAGGAGTGCTTTAAAAAACAACAACACGGCACTGTGGGTTTGTTTTCCTCCCCAATTTTCCTGTGAATTTGCTTCAGGAAAATGAAAGCTGTTTTTCTCCCCCATGGCTTCAAAAGTTCATCTCTAGTAAAGTCTAGCATGCTTTTTTTTGGCACTACCAAGATTCGGATTCAAAGCGCAGGTGCGTTACTTCAAAAACATAAGATATAATGCAACGATGCCTGCAACTACAGGCTTGCTACCAGCTCAGCTTTGGGCTTGATAATAAAGCACGCCGTTCCGCTCGGACCCCGGACCCGAATGCAGACCGAAAGGGGCAAAGGCAGGGCCACCATTTATCTACTTACTTTTAAAACGACATACAGTCGGGTGCGAGAACCAGCTGGGTCTCCCCCCACGAAACAGAAGAAATCAGTCCTATCCCACGGACGGCGACCCAGGCAACGGCAGCCCTTCTCGCCCCGTTAAGCGCACAACTGCCCCCCAAAAGCGGCAACTGCCTCGCCGCCCCAGCTAAAGAACCTCACCTGCGCTCTTTTTCAAACCTCGCCGCCGAGGCTCATGGGAGCCAACCGCCCGCGTCGACGAGCACGCTGGGAAATGTAGTCGCGGAGGCCTGGCAGCATCCGGCCGCTTCTCTATATAGGAGCCCGTTGGGCGCGGCGAAAGACTACGAATCCCAAGAGGCTCCGCGTCCATCCGGGAACTACGGAAGGACTGTTGACGGTAGGGGTGGCAGCTTCGCCTGGGTGTCTCTCGGAAGGCAAGAGACGCGGAAAGCGGTGGGGTGCGAGCGCGAACGTGGGAACAGCGGCTGGCTTAGCTCGGGGCAGCAGGCAGGGCTTCGTTTGGAACCAGGGTTTGGGGCTCGGCCTCGTTCTTGGGCTCCGTGCACTCTCAAGTCCGATATAAATAAAGGGAAGCGGAGAAATGCCTCTGCCAAGCTGGTTACCCTCCTGGTGTTTCCTGGACCACGAAACCGCTGCCCAAATACGTGGAGTATTTGTAGTCCCAAATACAGTAGTACCTCAGGTTAAGTACTTAATTCGTTCCGGAGGTCCGTTCTTAACCTGAAGCTGTTCTTGACCTGAAGCACCACTTTAGCTAATGGGGCCTCCTGCTTCCGCCACTCCTCCGGAGCCCGATTTCTGTTCTCATCCTGAAGCAAAGTTCTTAACCTGAAGCACTATTTTTGGGTTAGCGGACTCTGTAACCTGAAGCGTATGTAACCCGAGGTACCACTGCACGTGAAGGCCTCCTGCTGCATGTCTGAACGGCAGAGGGCCTCCTCAGTGGGAGCGCCCGCCCTGTGGAACACCCTCCCATCACATGTCAAGGAAATACACAACTATCTGACGATTTCTGAAGGCAGCCCTGCCTTCAGGGAAGTTTTTAATGTTTGCTACTTTATCGTGTTTTTAATATTCTGTTAGGAGCTGCCCAGAGTGGCTGGGGAAACCCAGCCATCTGGGCGGGATATGAATAATAAATTATTATTATTGTTGTTATCATTTTGCTGCTCGGAGGGTCATTATTTGTTAAGATGCCTGACGTGAGTCAAGTTAGAAGGCTTCAGAGTTTCATTCTGAACACTTAGTTGAGCCGAGAGAGGGCAACTTTGATTCAGGTCGTAAGGGATTGGTTAATGAATGGTATGCAATTTTGGGAAGGGGTTAGGGACAGGGACAGTTTAAGACAGTGCTTCTCAACCTTTTCCAGACTGTGGCCCCCTTCCGACTTTGCTTCCTTCCTGTGACACCCCCCCCCCTTTACCGGTAGAAAGATAGCTATTTTGCCTGTAAATAGAACGTGGAGACAATCCAGCTCGAACATGCCCTGGTGTGTTTTTTGCTTCTCTCCCCTGGGATCTTTGACCTACCTATTAACTTACTGTTAGGATATTTCCGTTCCTGTTCAGGATTGGAAAGCTCTGAAGCGCATAGCCCGCTATTTGAAATGGACTTTGCACTACAGGCTGAAGTTCACCAGTCAGAAGACTGAAGGTCTTGAAATCTTTGCAGATGCTAGTTTGGGAAGTGACACCACGGATGGTACAAGCACTTCTGGAGTATGCTACATGTACAACCGCTGTCTGTTTGACTGGCTGTGCAAGAAGCAGACGGCAGTGAGCCTAAGTTCCTGTGAAGCAGAACTCAATGCTCTGTCATTTTCACTCATGGATTGTGAATGATTGATGCAACTGTTTAAGGACATCAGAGTTTCTGTGAAATGTCCTGTACAAATGTATCAAGACAATAGATCCTGTTTGGCTTTGCTGAACTCAGAGAGTTGCAAGCAAAGAACCAAGTACTTGCAGATTAAGCTACATCGTGCAAGAGAGTGTATTCAGAAAGGACTCATTCAGGTGTCCTACATGGCAGGAAATGAAATTCCTGCTGATCTGTTGTCTAAGGTTGTTAACAGAGAACAACTTAAGGTTTATGTACAGAGGTTGCAATTGGGTTGAACCACAGGTACTACAGGTTACACGGAAAGGGGGAGGATGTTAGGATATTTCCATTCCACCTTAAAAGGGAGCAGGATGTTTGTGTCACAGCTTGCGTATTTCCTGTTCACAGGATGTTTCTGTTGTGTCCTTTGCTTTCGTTTCTCTCTCTGTGCCTGAGACATCTTTCGCTGTGTGAATTCTGCTGATAGAGCGTGCATCAGCTCTGGAATGTGGCAAGCTATTTCTGGAGCTTTTGTCGCTAATTGCTGATACTGTATCTATGGGAGATCGATGGATCGCAATGGAGACGACGTGGAGTCATGATGGACTTTGTCTCCCTGGCAGTATCCCAATACTTACTACTCTTGGAATTATATTTTTTAATGGGGGGGCAGGGTAGGGGCGAGAAAGGCAGAATTTAAACATTCTGGTTGGTTGATCTGAAGGTTTTCCTATTACAGAAGAGCAGTACAATAACAAGCATTAAATTAAGGACTCATTTCCATGCCACTTAACAATTTTCACTTGCGTATTTTCTTTTAGAGTAACAACAGATCATTGAACGTATCATGCACTATACTCTTTTCCATTTGTGGCTTTAAAGATTACTGGGATATTTGCTGATGGCAATAATTTTAAAAGGGACGCGGGTGGCGCTGTGGGTTAAACCACAGAGCCTAGGACTTGCTGATCAGAAGGTTGGTGGTTCGAATCCCCGCGACGGGGTGAGCTCCCGTTGCTCGGTCCCTGCTCCTGCCAACCTAGCAGTTCGAAAGCACGTCAAAGTGAAAGTAGATAAATAGGTACTGCTCCGGCGGGAAGGTAAACGGCGTTTCCGTGCGCTGCTCTGGTTCGCCAGAAGCAGCTTAGTCATGCTGGCCACATGACCCGGAAGCTGTATGCCGGCTCCCTTGGCCAATAAAGCGAGAAGAGCGCCGCAACCCCAGAGTCGGCCATGACTGGACCTAATGGTCAGGGGTCCCTTTACCTTTACCTTAATAATTTTAAGTAGCTTTACTGTTATAATAATTCTAAAGTCTCAAATATAGAATAAATTTTCATAAATGCACAATGTAAACACACATACAGAAGTTTATAAACCACATGTCCAAAATAGTACAGGAGAGCAATCCTGAAGCCATTTTGACTCCCTAAAGGACCTCAAATATTTCTCTGCAGTAGGAGGATGGGGGAAACTTTCCAATTGTCTTTTCACTTCCAAATATTCCCTTCAAATCCAGTCTGGCAAGTTCCTTAAAAAAAAAAAAAAAAAAGTTTTGAATTACAATCCAATAATAGCCTCATTATAACAATACCAATTTATACTACAATTATTAATACCAATCGTTCAAATACCAAATTATATAATTTAGATAAAGGGGCCTCCCGCATGCTAGATTTGGTGAATTGATTATTTGCTTTATTTCTTTATTTATTCCAAAATCTTATTAATTGGGTCATTCCACGCCAAATGATTTTAATACTCGACCGTGCTCTCAAGATTCAGATTTTCTTCAAAAAAAAATTATGTGTAGATACTTATGAGATAACCTCAAATTAATTTGTAAAGTTGTTTTGGTACACAATTGGGCACAGGAGATTTTTTTGAAAATTTCTATTTTCACGTGATTTAGGCTAATGCAATTTCTGCATCAGTTTAGAAAAAAACAACCTGTTTTGCTTATTTTTCAACTGATTGGGTTTATTTTGGTATCAAAATAAAGCTAATTGTGGTCTCTTTCAAAATAAGGTATGTATTAAGTGCCACAGAAAAGGGTCACCAACCACTCAAAGTGAATTTTTGTCATTTTATTCCTGATGGGTTCCATAAGCCCGTAGCGCACGAACCACAAATAACACATGTATCATACTTTTGTTGTAGAATGGGCTAACTATGTACTTGTTATGTTTTGAAAATAAGGAGGATGTTTTGTGTAGTTATAAAATAAGTTAATTTTGAAATAATTTTTTTTGGTCACTTTTTTGTACAGGTTTAAGGTCTCTTTGAGCCTGAAATAACTCACACATTCGTGCAAATAGTTAAAATTGTACCCTCTTACGTTACAATGTCAACAGGGTAGCAATTTTCAAAGTCTTTCTATAGGAGCTTGCACATCATTGTTCTGGGTCTCTGTTGTCTCCTTCAAAGAGGGGAGGGAACACTGTTGCAACAGAAAAATAAGGACCTGCCTTGCTTTTCACGGCATCCTGCCTCCATTCATCTCTGACTAATCATGGACTTGGGCAGCAGAAGTAAACCTCCTTAGTTTCTATAACATTACTAAGGATTATGGGTGTGAAAAGATTAACCAATGTGGCTTATAACTTGCAAAAATGGAGCTAGGCTCTGTGAAGTAATAGTTTAGCAGGTGTAATCTAGTTAGCTAAGGATACAAAATAAGAGTTTTGCAACTGGTTAGGAAGCTGCAACTTTGGGTGCACAACAGCTACATGCTGATTGCTTTTGGGGAAAAACTAATGTTGCTTTACAGATTAGGGTAATTTATTTAGGATCTTATGAAATGGTACTGACATGAGCCTAATGGCCACCAGCCAACGAAAGCTATTGATGCGCATTTAAGCAAACTTCCTTCAGTAGTTATTTTGCCTTAAAGTAACATTTTTATCTTTTATAGTTAAACAAAACCCCAGAATGGGTGGAGTCACAAAGTGGCTTACAAACAATAAATAACAATAACATAATAGAATGTTACAACATAAATCGTGTAGAATAATTAACAAATCATCAATAAAACAATTACAAATCATCAGTAAAATAGCACTGATACAACATTCCTTCTGTTTGCAAAGGTGATGTACATCTATGTAAAATTGACAGGACATGTGGATGTCCCCTATGTAATCTAATATTAAAAGGAATTGACCCCAAGTATCACCAATTAATCACATTTGCTAATATGTTTTGCTGGGTTTTATACACATCTTTTTGAGAAGTCACACCCAGGGAGTTCAGTAGAATTTGTTCCCAGGTAAGTGGGTGTAGGACTGAAGCTTTACACCATCCTATAAGGTTGAGTGATTAAAGGTCATTATGCAGCATTTTTTTTTCAGTGTGGGAGGAACCCTAATAAAAGATCTCATTAATGTTACTCAATCTAGAACCATTGCTGGTTTCTTTGTTGACACTACATATTCAGTTAGCTATTTCCCCCATGCCATGATTCTACCCTGAGGGTTAGTGAAGCTACTTTCTTCAACTAGCAGATTGGACAAGAATACATCATCTGTCTCACCCCCTCAAAAAAGAAAAGGAGGAAGGAAATACAATAAGCATGAGCGTCTCCTATAAATACCACCAACTTCCCTCAACTTCCCCATTTGGGGCCCTAAACTATCCAAGTATCAATCTCTAACCCTAGGGTGAGGTAATAATAGGAATCCTTCTCACCAGTACCTAGGATTTGGTATTATCATGCATTGTAATATATAGCTCTACTGTTTAGATGTGTTTATGCTGTAAACATTTTGGACTATTATTTGTTTCTAGTAACAACAGTCTAAAATAAAAAGAATTTGGGCATTGTTAAAATGGAGGCCAGTATCACCAACCTGACCAAACCTTAGAAGCCATGATGAATATAGGCCAGCTTCATCACAGTTACTATAAAATTAGAGGTGATGACTGGCTGACTCATACTGTCAGGGAATTAATTAAAAAGAAGCAACTCTAAAGCTGGCTGCTGTTGATTTTGTTTACCCCACCACCCTGAATATTACATTGAGGTGGCTGTTGCTAGCATCTTGGTGATAATGCAAATTGGGACCCTGATCTTTTCAGCTTCAGCTGTTCCTGAACAGAGATATTTGGCCACAGTGATCTGTGCAGTAGTAACCTCCTGACTTGATTAGTCCAACTCACTTCTGTCCTTAAGCAACTGCAGCTGGTGAAAAATGCAGCAGCCAGACTCTTGATGGGCATATCTATGAGAGATCAAATAATACTGGCTCTCAAAAGACCTGCACTTGCAGCCTGTTGGTCACTGGGCCTAGATCAAAGTTTAGGAAGCCCTAAATGACTTAGGAGGCTAGTGTATGTAGGATGCCTTTATCCCATATAGCTCTGTCCAAGCCTTGATATCAGCTGGGGAGCCTCTTCTGGCAGTGTCCTCACTGACAGAAGTCTGGGGATTCAGTTACAAATGCTTCTTCCTCCTGGGCTTCATCGGCAGCTGTTTTGTCATTTGGTGTCAGCGGAAGACTTGCTGTGCAAGGGCAATATGGCCATGCTGCTGGTAATATTTAAATGTAGATTGGTGACCATGATTTCTCCTCCCATCTTAAGTATTGTCTTTACTAGTTATTGTAATTTAAATTCTTGTAAACTGCCCCAAGATCACTTGTGATGAGCAGGATATAAATTCTATACATAGATAAAAGTTCTTCCCTGGAAAAAGAACCTTATCCTCACCTGGTTAGGAAAAGATGGAAGCTGTCAAACCAAGTGTGGGAGGAGAGGGGGCAAATCCTGTGGCACTGGTGCTAATCCTTGCGCTGGCACAAGTATTTAGTTGACTACCGCCCTTCTATGCTGATGGGGAGCTTACAGCCATGGCCATATTTCATTCATGGAGTGAGTGGAACCAGGTGAATTTAATTACCAGCCCACCCCTATTGACAAATGGCTGCTTAGATGCTGACTCATATATTTGGATGGAATAAATCCAGATATTGCGAGGAGCAGTGTTGACTGTGAGTAGATGTAGATGTTCAACAGCACAGGGAATGTGCAACGTTGCTCACCATGGAAGCAACTGATGCAATGAGAAGACAACTGCTGACATAAATGGGGTATTTCTCATTACAAGAAATTTCTTCATCATCCTGTGGACTCTGTCTAGTTGGCAAGCTAAAAATCAAACAAGTGATGACGCAGAAGAAGATCCTCTTTACTCCTGGAAATCAAGGACTGCAAACAGTAGGCATTTTCAGAACAGTCCAACTGGGATCTTTGGTGATTTAAAAGCCAAATTACATTGCACTACACGTGAATGTTCACAAAGACCAAAAAATGGCATTTTTTTAAAAATAAAACCTTTTTATTGGTTTTAGAAATACAAAGTACAAATAAGCACAAACTAGTAAAAACTAGAATCTGTATAAAGAGATTTTCTGAATCTTGAGACACTCCCCCCCCCCCATGGAGTCTTATTTTAAACATCTACAACAGTATATTCATCCATACTCCAACTTCTTTATCAAACCATATTGTTCATAGCAGGGGGTTTTCACTACAAGTGAGTCAGAATCCTGCTCTTGTTTCCATCTGCTTACAGTGGTCTCCTAAGTAACTTATAATTTTTTTCCCATTCTTTTATAAATATTTTATCCTCTTGGTTTCTGAGTTTTCCCGGCAGCTTTGCCATCTCAGCATAGTCCATCAGCTTGGTTTGCCATTCTTCTCTGGTAGGGACTTGGTCTTCTTTCCAACTCTGGGCTAATAACATCCGGGTGGCAGTTGTTCCATACATAAAAAGTCTTTTCTGCTCCTTTGGTATGTTGGTACCTGTAATTACTAACTTTAAAAAAGCTTCTGGTTTCTTAACAAAGGTTTTTTTAAAACTTTTTTTTATCATTTCAGTATATATCATCTCCCAGAAAGCTTTTATTACCTTACAAGTAAAAAATGGCAATCTTCTGAGGTATTAGGAGGAAAACCCTTATTTCAAATATACCGTAGATCTTGATGTAGAATGGACTTTCAGCTTTATTTTATAATGTTGTGTTTTTTAAAAAACTGAAAGCTGTAAAATCAATGTTTCAGTATTATAGGAAACAATATACGGTGGTACCTCAGGTTAAGTACTTAATTTGTTCCGGAGGTCCGTTCCTAACCTGAAACTGTTCTTAACCTGAAGCACCACTTTAGCTAATGGGGCCTCCTGCTGCTGCCATGCCACCGAGCACGATTTCTGTTCTCATCCTGAAGCAAAGTTCTTAACCCGAGGTACTATTTCTGGGTTAGCGGAGTCTGTAACCTGAAGCGTATGTAACCTGAAGTGTATGTAACCTGAGGTACCACTGTAGATGTGTTTTTCTTTGAGATCCCCTAAAAACGTTTGTTCGTTCCTTAGAAAGAGAGGAAGAACAGGCTATAGAAGGCTGAATAACTCAGTGAGCTGAAATGGCAAGAAGTGTTGTCTCACTGAGGCATAGTATAATCTATGAAACAAAATTAATGTTATGTTTTTCTTTCACTTGCTTTTCAGGCAGAACAAATATATTGGCAGATGGGTCCCTGTAAAAGGCCAAAAATAAAACTACAGTGGCATTTAAAAATTCCTAAACTGAATGATGCATCCTTCTGCAAACTACTAGCTTGCTGTCAGTGCTGGGTGGAACTTCATCTACCAGGTGCACAAGGTCTGAGAGTCAGACAGGAAGGCATGATCTCTGCCTTGGAAGTGTAGCAGCAGAGATCAGTCACTATGTTCATTCTTTAGAAAGAAAGAAAAACAGGCTATAAAAGGTTGAATATATATAACTCAGTGAGCAGAAATGTCAAGAAGTATTGTCCCGCTAAGGCATAGTATAATCTATTGAACAGAAATGTATAAGTAGCATTGTAAGACTGCAGTAATGTAGAGAGAGTAAAACAGAAAGGAATGGTAATTCTTGGAGCATAGATTTGCTAGTAACTGTAGCAAGTTCTTTTTGTAATTATCTGCCCTACACAGTGCTTTCTCTGTCATGAATGCTACTTATTAAAATTGTTTTCCAGAACACGATTCACTCTCTCAAGTTGGCATTGCATAAGAATAACTCACATGAAATGCTCTGGGGAAATATTTTTGGTTCCTGGGTGTTGCAAGTATATGTTGCACCTGTTACGCTTGTTTTGACCTAGCCTGCAGCCAGAGGTCTGTAAGCCCCAAACAATGCAAGAGAAGTTAGCCTCGTGCAATATCTTTGGGAAGTTGGTGCCTAATTGCCATTTTTGAGATGCAGGGTATAAAACGACTTAGGCATCTGCTGCATTGTTTTAATTCTCATTAGTGTGATTTCAGTAAGGGAAGTACAGTACAGTGGTACCTCAGTTTGCGAACTTAATCCATTCCGGAAGTCTGTTCTTAAACCGAAACTGTTCTTAAACCAAGGTGCACTTTCCCTAATGAGGCCTCCTGCCACCAGTGCTTTTCCACCGTTCGGCTTCCGTTCTAAGACCAAGGTAAAGTTACCAAACCAGGCCACTACTTCTGGTTTTGCAGAGTTCGCAAACCGAATAGTTCATAAACAGGGCTGTTCTTAAACTGAGGTACCAATGTATGTAACTATGTTTTAAACCGAAACTTCAGATTCAAAGATGGCAAAACAAAGACTTCAGATTCTTAGGCTGTAGTCCTATACTCACTTACCTAGGAATGACCGCTGGGCGGAGTGCAGGGAGAAGAAATGCTATGGTGCATCTGCAGCAGCACAACCGGGCACCTTCATCTCCCCTATCTGCAAGAAAACATGTCTCTCCCATAATGGACTCTACAGCCTCAGCAGGCACTGTAACCTGCCAACAGTTTTAACTCCACCCCAAAAGTGCACTCCTCCATTGTCTCCCAAGAAAGACAGATGCCAATACCAGGAGTTAACTCCCACCTAAGTTAATGTAGCTTATTTTTGTGTCGACATATATCAGCTTGCAGTGTTAAAGTCAGAAGTATCGTAGAATTGTGGAGTTAGAAGGGAGCGTGGAAGTAATGTTGTCTAACTTCCTGAAAATGCAGTAATATTTTGCTTAATGGATCCTGAGATTAAGAGTCTCATGCTCTACCAACTGAGCTATGTGTGCCATCTCAAGTAAAGTTGTTAAAGTATAAGGCAAGGGTGGAGAACATTTGTTCCTCCAGATGTTGCTATACTCCCATCAGCCCCAGCAAGCATGGTCAATGGCCTCATATAATGTGTCAGTAAAATCTTAGTATACTTTAACTCTGCAACTTACACAGGGGTTGCATTCCAGAGATCACACCCAAAGCCAAAATTGTGTATGGTCAAAACACATTCAGTTCAGTGGTGGGGTTTTCCTGGATGCCTGCCCCATTTAAACTATTATTATTAGTAGTAGTAGTAGTAGTAGTAGTAGTAAGTGTGTAAAGCTGAATGTGCACAAGTTCAATGCATTCAAGTTGTGGGTTTACTGTATAGCAATGGAACAAAGATGCAATATGCAAATTAATTTGTGGCTTACTGATCAGGGTCTGTGAATCTTGACAGGTAGGATGATACCCCACATTGCGTGAGCAGAATTCCTCTTCTCTCATCTTTGATCCCCAAAGATTCCCCCTCATCAAAAGGGAAAAGCTCTAGGGAAGCAGTGCTTTCCCATGCTTGGTTTCCCTTAGAAAGGAGGTCACAGGAAGCTTATGGTGTTGTGAAATATTCATATTTATTTACAAATACACCAGTTAAGCAAAGGTGGAAACACAGCTTTTAACACTCCCAATGCCGCCCAAATCTCCTTTTCTCAGAATATCTTAGCCGGGACTTTTGCTGATTGCTTTTCAGAGCCCTAGGCCAGTGGTCTGTCTCTCTCCTCAAACTGCAATCTGTGCTTGATCTGCCAGTGCTCCTTAACATGGTCCTGTATTGAAAAACAATTAACTTGTAACTATTTAGTTCCCATGGTAACATATCACTGGGTCATCTTGGCAATCGAAATTTCTTTGTCAAGTCTTAAGAGGCAGGCCCCAAAGCTATTAAAGTAAGTTGTCTTAACAGGCTTGACCACTTCAGCAGATACTTCCCCAGTCTCCAATCTTAACAGTCTGAATTACTGATTTGGAAGGGAAACTGGGGGTCATCCATTCTACCACCCCAACCCCAAATCCATTTAATGTGTGTATCTATTTAACATACCAGGTTGGAGCTATGTCCCTAGAACATCATTTAGTAAGACAAGGCAGCATAAGTGTATAAAATTGAATGGGAAAAAAGTTTTTCTCCCTCTCATATAAGGCTTGGGCTCAATGAAACTGAATACCCAATTAGCTTTCTAGGCAGACTTACATCATATATGCATATAGGAAGACAGACAGATAGACACACACATGTGTACATATTCAGCATGTACATATTCAGTTATAAATCAGTAGTGTTTCCTTCTAGATCAGTAAGGATTCCTCTGTTGAAGTGTAAGACGTATCGTACATATATTGGTTTGCACGTAACTGCTTAGTAAGCCAATCATCTGCATTGTCCTGTTGAGTAATTTTTTAAAAAATCTTACTACTTCTCCGGAAACCTGGATTTCTGATGCAACATACAAACGCAGTTAGATTTTTCTCACTCCTTGGCAGGATAATGCAGCTGGCTGGTTTACCAAGCAGTTCCGTAATAATATTAACTATTGCTTTTTTAAAAATGAATAGTTAGGCTCTGTAAACAAATAATGGAGTCTCTTGTTCATTTTATCTGGTCCTTTTTAATAACTGTTAATACTGCTCCCTTTGGCACTTTTGATTACTTTCAAAATTCATTGCATTTTTATGATATTGTGAGCTATATTGAGTATGCTATGCATAAAAATAATTTTATAAATAATAAATATGAATGGGTGCACCGTGGTAAGTTACTGTTAGGGTAGTCTTTATCTGGTAGTATTAAATATATCAGAATTTTCTAAGTAAAGAAAGCAAGATCATTTTCATATGGAAGAGATTTTTCCAGCCATCTCTTCTCCACAGAGGACATGTTCACCTATTCAAACACTGAAAGCGGTATTTACTCATCACAGTTGTACCAGCCTTGATTTATCTGTAGCCAAGTCTGCGTACTTAATTTGAAAGCAAAGTATTTTAACTGCATTCTTTTCAGAGTGATAACTAAAAGTCCACACCCATGCAAGGCTTGTTTCTGCTCCACTATATCATCATCATCATCATCATCATCATTATTATTATAGCTTAATAACTTAGACAAGAAAAAAACTTGTATTGGAAGCTAAGAAACTGAAAAGGCATCGAGTCACATGTGACAAAGGTCCCCCTGAACTGCTTAAATACAGAAACAGAAATGATATAACACTCGTGCAAACTCCTATTTTGTGCTCAAACAACATTCACAGGTGTAAAGGTAATACAGGCACATTTGCAGAAGCAGAACATAAGAAAACATGGAGTACAAAGGACATGCCATGGCATCCCATTGAACATAATGCAGAAAAATCCTTAGTTTTTACCATTTGGTAAGGCCACAGAGTGGCCTTAAGAGGAATGAACATCGCCAGTTATCCTCACATGTGAAAATCACATGTGCAAGGCAACACATGGAAGTAGCAAATGTTTTATCTGTAGAAGTGTGAGCTGCACAGAATGTGTATACGCTGACTTACTGTAACAGTACTATGCAGTGATATGAAAGCCCAGGAAAGTGACAAGTACACACATGGTTTTAGATCTGAGTGATGGAAGCTGACGTACACACATTAGTACCATTCCTCTTTATCTGTTCCCAAATTACCTACGTAGATGAGAAACACAGACATAAGGTTCACAGTAGGAGCCAAGTAAATGGCCTGCTGCAGAGTTAAAGGTAAGCAGGTGTGCATCTGTATGGGAAAGCACAGCCCCTTCTAATAGCAGGAAAGAAGTATAGCCATTTAAATACTGGAAAATACAGTTTTCACAGTAAATGCTGGGAATCAAATCTTCAAACGAATTTGTGTTCATACTGTGCTAGATATTACACTGACTGATGCATTCATGTCAACACGGTAGCGAACTCTACAACATTTTGTTCATCTGCATGGTGTAAGAGAGATCTACAACCCTTCAGATTTGTTTGGATAAAACCAGAGATGTTTGGATAAAGAGGAGTACTATTTACATACAGTTACACCAATGAGGAGAGAAGTGGATTTTATTTTTTTATAAGCAGATTGCTTTGATGACTGTCATTTAGATAATATGGCTTCTATATAAAGACCACATAAAGACCCACACCAAGAATATCAGGTGTAAAAAGACCCACTTCAGACTTCATTTGATGATTTAGCCTGCAATTATAGGCATTTTAAGGAGGGATAAAGTCCTATTGAACTCAGCAGGCTTACTTCCAAGTAGGAACATAAGAAAATATTATTAGGGTTGTGTTGTATATAATGTAGTGCACTTTCCACAGCTGCAAACAGTGATAAGTTATAGGGGAACTGGTACAGGTTTAGCATTCTTTGGATGAGAGAACACTGCAGCAGACTTACAGTACCTTTATAATATTTGTTTTTTATACAGGGGCTTTTTTCTGTAACCTGAAGCGCCTGTAACCTGAGGTGCCACTGTAATCCAGTCAAGTGACCATTAACAGGTAACCTGGCAGCCATGATAAAAACAACGCACTGATTTCTGTTGTAGTCCGCCCCTCCTGTGATGTATGTATGATGCATTGGGGGTGGTGGTTCTGGGATACACCCCTTCTGTGATGTATGTATGATGTTTCTGAGGGTGGTCTGGAGTTTGAGGGTGGGCAATTTAAAAAGTTTATATAAGGGTGGGCACACCTTTGTTCTGGGTCCCTCCCCCCCTCCTGTGTGTATGTGTGGGGGGGAGCACCCGGTTGCAACAGCTTTAATAAACATCAGGCTTACTAGCTGCCTTGCTTCTCAATATTCTCTGGTTGGCCTGTTATTTTCTCCTACTGAGAAGGAAACCCTTTTCAGGACTCTATACGGGCTCTTGGATATCCCATAAGGGAAAAGGAGCAGGTTTTTTCTTATAACACAAAGGAATTGTCAGTCAACGGTGTAACAATGGTGGAAGTTCAATCAGCTTGGATTTGTTACCCACTATCTATAATACATTTTATCATCATATTTATTGTACTCAAAATTAGAGTGGTTAAAAAGATGTATTTTCCCACCTTTGGCATGCACCTTTATGAGTGAAGAATGAATTTGATCCATGTTAGTGGCTTTGAATATAGAAATTTGGTGGTAGTTGTTGCCATACTGACATAGAACTGAAAAGTATGTTTATATTTGACTCACAGGAGTTTGCAAAATAAGATGTGTGAAGAACGGTGTGATGGTGTCCTTTATTCATGATTCACACTACTTAAAATACAATTCGCACATTTTTAAAATGCACCCACATTAGAAAAGGATTCTGTGGAAAAGGTAATGGGAGATGTGACTCCATGTTGTATTACGCAGAAAGTGTGCCATGATGTGATCATGTATTTGCAATATTGGCCTTGGCTCAGGGGCAGAACTGTGTGATCCCTAAGTTGGCCCACATGCAGTGGGAACCACCTATGGAAGTTGATTGTGCATAGACAGGATTTCGTAATATCTAAAAACAGAGGCACTAGAAATCATGCCCTTCGCCCTTCGAGCTCTTCACTCAAATCTGCAGTGAAAGAACTGACTATGCTTATTCAGAGGTGAGGGAAAAATACTGAGTTATCACTTCACTCTCCAGGGTTAAGCTTTGGCACTGAAACAATAACAAAGGGTCTAGGGTTTAATCCTCACATTAAGCATTACAAAAAGCATATAGGTAAAGGTAAAGGTATCCCTGACCATTAGGTCCAGTCATGGACGACTTTGGGGTTGCGGCGCTCATCTCACTCTATAGGCCGAGGGAGCGTCGCAGACAGCTTCTGGGTCATATGGCCAGCATGACTAAGCCACTTCTGACAAACCAGAGCAGCCCACGGAAACACCATTTACCTTCCCGCCGGAGCGGTACCTATTTATCTACTTGCACTTTGACATGCTTTCGAACTGCTAAGTGGACAGGAGCTGGGACCGAACAACAGGAGCATACAAGGATGCAAATCCTGCCTTAGCCACAAATTCAGGTGGGTGAATCACAATGGCTCCAATTCTAAGCATCCTTATTGGGGAGTAAGTCCTGTTGAATTAATTGGGACATACTTCTGAATAAATGTGCATAGGATTCAATTGTATTTATTGGCCTTGATTCTCCATCTGTGATTTTCCTACAAAACTCTGCATAGGAAATAAGGTGTAACGTGTACAGTGACTTGTACAAACACTGAAACCTGCAACTGACACTAGCTTATCAGTGTCCACATTGTGAGAACATACTGCAGAAAAACTTTATTGTGCAATCATTGCGTGACAGTTCAAACATAAGTCGCAAATTGTTATTGCACAGAAGGGATTTTGTAAAGTATAAAGTAGCCCTAATGACAGCATATTACTTCACAGGATTGGTGAAAGGGATAAAAATCAATCATTATGGGGAAATACAATTTGCAAATTACAACTATGTCAAGCAAACACCAAGATGAAATACAAGGGAGGATGTCCCCATCTGACACCCTTTTCCCTTTAGGTGCATCCATTTATTCTCTTTGTAAACTGTTTTGACGTATTTACAACCAAATGGTCTTTACATTTTATGAAATAAACATAATCCACAGTGGCAGGAAAAGGACATGAAAGAGACCAAGAGATGAGGGTGATAAAACCTGCACCAGGTAAAACTGGTGTCAGATGTGGATAAAGATCCCGAACAGATACTGTCAACAAACAAGGCTGGGAATGGGAGGTCTCTTGGGCAAGAGAGAATTTTTGACACCCATCAAGTGGAAATGGCATTTTCTGCAAGTAGGGACAGGTTGATGAGTGGGAAGGATATATTATTTTTAGTTAAAAACAAAAAAAATCAGAACGAAACCATGCCTTTCAAACAGCTCGAGGGAGTCAGTAAACAGGCTTATCCCTTTCACAGCAACCTGATATACTGTATATAACAATTCTGCCCCACTGAGAGACACGGCTGAGTGGAAATTTATTTGAATCGGGGGTTTCCTCAGTCCTAGTTCAATACTCCAAGCAATGCCCAGCAAGGACTTTTTGCTACCCTTTTACCAGGTTTGTCCGTTCCCCTCAAATGGCCTGTAACTTTTTAGCGTGTGAGTGTTGGGGGGGGGAGGCTTTGAGGGAATTGTGGCTCCCTAGCTGCCGACAAGGGCTCAGCAATCATCCCCATCCCTCCAGCTTAGCCTGCTTCACAGGGTCGTTGTGAGGGGAAACCCAGGAGCTGCGCCTTGAGCTCTTCAGCAGGAAAGGCGAGAGCTGTCAAGAAGACGCGAGGCGTCCTGGGAACAAAAGGTCGCGGAGGGTTATTTCTCCACGTTTTGTCTTCCACGCGAGGGCGAGTTAAGGAGTCCCTTATGTGAGACACGAAGTGCGCGCGCGGAGGAGCGCGCTCGCGCTGGAATAGGCGCAATCCCGCCTCATGCACAGGCAAAAGCCGCGCGCGAGAGGGAGAAGGAGAAGGTGCCTCCTCAGGACGACACCGCCGCCGCCGCCGCTCCAGCTCTGGAAGGAGCCGGGAACTCTGCGGCTGCCTCCGCCCATTCTCGTCAGTCCTCCCTCTCTCCTGCGGAGGGCAGGACGCCTGCGCCGGGGAGGGCGGCGCATTCCGGGCGCCAGGGAGCCGCTGTGGGGAGGCATGAGCGAAGGCGGCGGGCGCTGAGAGTCCCTCCCTGCCTCGCTCGCTCGCTCGCTCGCGCGCTGCAGGGGAGAGGAGGACAAAGAGGGAGCGGGCGAGGGGCCGCCTCCTCCTCCCCGCCGTCGTCGTCGCCGCCGTCGGTGCGGCCGCCATGGGGGAGCGGCTGCGAAGCCAAGCCGGCGTTTCCTCGGCGGCCGCGTCGGCCCCCACCCCCACCTGCTCGCTGCATAATGGGCTGCTGCACAACGGCTTCCACGGGCTGCCCAGCAATGGGGAGGCTCCCGCGCGCTCGCTGCTCTTCCGACAGGACCCGCCGGTGCCCAGCCAGGGCTCGCCGACGAAGAAATGCCGGACGCGCCGGAGGATGGACTCGGGCAAGAAAAACAGGCCACGTAAGTGAGGAATGCGGAGAAGGGCCCGCCTCGGGCTGGGGGGCAGCGCGGCTTGCCTTGCAAGCATGCACGCGCGCATGCATCTGTGCATCTCCAGGCGTGCAGGAGCCCTCTGCATCGCGTGATGCAGCGCAGGCCAGGCTGTTTCAGTCGTGTGGCAAGCAGCCCTGAGTCACCACCATTCGGCCACCTCGGGGCGGGGGGGGGGGGGCTGCCTTGTGAATGAGGCGAGGGCGCTTCTTGGCTGCTGGCTTGCTCACGTGTGTGCTGTCAAATGTGATTGCCCGTGACGAAATCCAAGGCTTGAAGAGCAACGATTTGATTGCTTAGCTGGCTGCAGATAATAATCTCATATACATGCACATATATATGCATATGTATATACTGTGTGTGTATGTATATACACCCACCCACCCATACATACATACATACATACAGTATTTTAAGGCAGGAAGGAGGTAAGATTAGAAAGGCTGATTTGCCCTACTAGCGCGCTCGTTATGCCTTTTTCTGCCTTAAAGGACCCAATCGTTCCTTCTCATTGTTTGGTTTCCTCTCCAAAGAGCTCCTCCTGCGCGCGCCCCGCCAGCGGCGTGCGGCAGCCTCCTGCTCGAACGCACAACAATCAGTTCATTAAGTACTGTTTCGCTCCGACCAATAGGGCCGCACTCCCGGCGATCACACCCACTGATACCACGTAGGCCGGTCCCGCGGCCGACCAATGAGGAGGCCGGGAGGGAGTGGGCTTGCCTCGGTTTCTACACCGCTGAGTGCAAGTCGCTAAAATGAGAGATTTCTCAATTTACAGCCTGCATAAATGTGACCTTGCTAAAGCGGATGCCGATTGTTGGGGGTGTAAAAGACGCGCAGGCTTGGATTGTCAGCCTCCTGGAAGCCGGCTCTCTGTGCCTTTTAGCAGCTCAAAATGAAGCTTATAATTGATGAGAGGCATTGTAAGTAAATGGCACTGGCAGTTGAACTTCTTTCTCTCTTTGCCTTCCATTAAATTTAGGGAAAGCATTTTAAGAAAAGAGGAAGGTTTTGATTAGGTGGCAGAGTTAAACTCCAGTAGGTGAGACTGTTTTGGATGAGTGGGTTTTAGTTGATAATCAGTTGGCTCTTTTTCACCCCTGTGGTTCTATGCAATTTGTTTCCTTTTTTATTTATAATGCAGAAATAATCTGAGCTCTCTGAGATTCACCTGATCTGCACGCATCTTGGGGCTCATGTATGTGTGTGATTCCCCCCCAAAAAAGTGAATAATCAAGAATAATTAGAAATTCATAGCATATTTTGCCCCTAAAGGGGGCCTTGGAAATGACTGAAATGGTGAGATTAATTGCCTGTTCCTAATTTTGTTTACATGGAAGCCAAACCCATTGTTTTGAGTGGGACTTGCTGGTTGGTATGTTTAGGATTAACAGCATTGAGCTGTAATGTAGACTTGTCATTCTTCTGCTTGTTTGTTTGTTTGTTTGTTTGTTTTAAGGAAAGCCAACCACCACTCTGGATAACTTGCTGAGCCAGAAAATGTGCACTCATACTCCCATTGAAAACAAATACTCGAGAGTTTATTGTTATCTCATTATGTAGCATCATCGATGCATGATGAGAGAGAGCAGGCTAGTATGAGAGATCAGTTCTATAGCTGGCTAAGAGATAGAAATGATAAAGTAAACCTGAGCACATGGGAATCACATATTCACTGGAGCTGAGGTTTAAATCCTGTTTCACACATGGATTTATTTATTATGGCTGACAGCACAAATACAGAAATTGCATCTCTTCTAAAGATGAGTGTTTTGCCACTGACTATTGTGGTATCAGAATTTCATGAGCTGCTTTGGATGAATATCTTACTTCCGTAAATAATGCACAGCCCTACTGTGATGATTAAGCCTAAGCATCCCTTACTCTTTAAGGTGGAACATACTCATCTTAAAAAAGGCAAAATTTCCAAAGATACTGTTCATTCTGATGCAGGTAAGTTAGTAAGACTACATGGAGTCACTCAAGTGCCAATTGACTTTCCCCCCCTCTGGAGTTGATGGGTCTGTGTCAGTGCCATTTTTTCTATTTCATTTCCTACAGTAATTTAAAAAATAGGAAAAAATATGCCCTACTATCTGGAATACTGTCTGTCTGCAGGTTTACAGAGCTGGCCTACTACATCCCCCCCTCCCAATTTTGTTTACTATGGGTTGCATCTGACTAAAGTCATGCTCAGAGTAGATTTATTAAAATAAACATTCTTAAGTTAGTCTTTGTTAACTTAAATCCGTTGATTCCAGTGGGTCTACCCTGAGTATGAGTTAGATAGCACCCTGAAGGTGTATGTTTCTTTCTATATATCAAGCAAAACTAAAAAAAGTTTTGCATTGTGAATTTGGTCATTTGATTTCTGTAGATTGTACATGTAATCTTCAAACCTGGCTTGAGTAAGCAAAGGTGAAAGGAAACTTTCTAATTCCCTTTTGTTCAGTTGTTGTTAATATCATGTTTAAACATTGTGTTTAAGAAAAATAGTCAAAGACAGTGTTTCATTTCATCTTCAACAAATGCAAAGCGGGATGCTTTTATTTCTCTTTCCTCCTGATTTTAATGTATATATGTGGGGTATATTGTCTGTTTGGTTGTAAATCACTTTGTGTTGTCCTGGGCAAGATAAAGCAACTGACAAATTTAATAAACAAATGAAATAAATATTAGGCCAGTACGTTTGTGCTGATAATGTTAGTTCCAGTTTATACTCAAATGCAAAGGTGTGTTTTTTAAAAAAAATTTATTTGCAAAACGGGTTGCAACTTCTGTTGTTTTACATAGACCTTAAAGATACAATAACATATTATTTTAATACTTTTTTCTGAAGAGAATGGGCAAAAATAATGTAAAATGACAGTACATAATCTTTACACTGAGATACACTTGGGCCAGCTCAGAAAAAAAGCTCTGGGTGATTCTTCCTGGCCCTCATTAATAAACTAAAATAGAGAGTTGGCACTGAACAGATCTGTGTAGAACATAACAATGAAAAATCCAGTCTTACTGGTTTAATGTGATTATTCAACATTGGCCTGCAAAGGTGCTTGTTAGCTATGTATGTTAAAGGGTGCAATGAAAATTGCATCAGCTGATTTGTGGGAAGGGAACTTTCCCACATGGCACAAAACATTATTTTTTCAGTGTCAAGAAAAAAATCAATCCTGTTATAATGCCAGAGCTATATGGGAATTAAATGTACACTAGTTGAGATCTCTCTTTTTTTGGCAGCAAGCAGCATGGAAACCCAGACCTGTGGAGAAAGAAGGTTACTTGAAATAAATGGAGCTCATGTTGCGTTATGTTGAAACTCTAGTTGGATTCAACAGATATATTCCATTGCATTGTGATGGAACATTCATTACTGGTCTCAAGATGGAAATTGTGGTGATCTCAGGCGGGGTAGCCAGGTGATGTCTATGGGTTGCATCTGTTTAGAGCAGGGGTTGTCAACCTGGTCCCTACCGCCCACTAGTGGTAGGATTCTAGGTGGGCGGTAGGGGGTTCTGTGGCACAAGCTGAATTCTTCCACTGAGCACTGGTGGGTGGTAAGGAAATTTTTACCATCAAGAAAGATGCATTAGTGGGCAGTAGGTATAAAAAGGTTGACTACCCCTGGTTTAGAGTGTTTATTTTATTCAACCTACTTGTGGTTCAGGGTTCCCTTGTGCAGCAGCTTCTTAGAGAGTGCTCACAGTTCTTCAGTGCATGCCATGGGGTCAGGCATGCATCCCAGTTCTGGGGAAAGAACTCTGAGCTGCCTAGCTTCCTTGCAGAGACTGGTCATAGCCACCTCCTTGGGCAGAGGGAAAAACAAGAGAAAGAGTTATCCAATAGCAGCAGTGGCAGGTGGTACTGTTGTAGTTCGTTTTGCTTTCTTCTCAAAACTGTAACTTCTCAAAAGTTATTTTTTAATCAGACATTCCCTGGATGAGCTGAGCTCTTCTAGCTTGCATGTGCCCAAGGTTCATTGCACAAATTACCTTGAAGGGTGGGGAATATAGAGAGATGCAGATTTGAGTCCAGTGCTTTGAATCAGGGCAGGGCTTGACCAGCTCTTTATGCATACGAATAGGCCCATATCTGTTTGTGTATAGAATTGTCCTTGAGTCTATATTCTTCCCTGCCTGCCAGAAAGCACTTTTTCCGGAGTGGCAGTATGCAACTGCTTTTCATGCTTTGTGTACCTTGGCTACCAAAACAAACTCTTAAAAAAAAAAGAAGCCTGTACAGAAACTGGCTGCAAACCAATGCAAATGAAGTAGCCTTATCTGAGGATTCAAGTGTTAATGCTTTTGAATGTTCCCTTTCATGCCCCAGGATTATAATTTAGTTGAGTAGTTCTAGTCAAATAAATGCTGCACGTATTTCCATTTTCTGTGCCCTCCTCACAAAAAAACCAAGAGGGTTTTTCATTGGTGGTGGTGATAATGGTGTTATTACCTATAAAATGCTCAGAAATTCTGCATCTCTGCGGAGAGCAGAGTTGACCATAAGACTTTCCAGTGCTTCAAACTTATTTCAGTGTGCTGGCAATCATTCGTAAAACCCTAAATAGTCCGGGTCCTGCACACCCAGAAGACTGCCCTCACTCTTATATTTTATTATGATATTAATGATTCTCTTAAATATTCAATCCAGTCCATTGGCTTCCCTTCAACTTTGAAACTACCGTATTTTTTGCTCTATAAGACTCACTTTTCCCCTCCTAAAATGTAAGGGGAATTGTGTGTGCGTCTTATGAAGCGAATGCAGGCTACGCAGCTATCCCAGAAGCCAGAACAGCAAGAGGGATCGCGGCTTTTGCGGTGCAGTGATCCCGCTTGCTGTTCTGGCTTCTGGGATTCAGAATATTTTTCTTCTTGTTTTCCTCCTCCAAAAACTAGGTGCGTCTTGTGGTCTGGTGAGTCTTATAGAGCGAAAAATACAGTATCTTTTTCTAGAGGCTTGACTAAAACCACTAATGGGAAGGAGAATAGTGGGGGGGGGGGAGGGAAATGGCATTTTGTCGCCTATCCTAAGCCCTCAGAACCCTGATCACATTGCAGAGGGTTGGACTAGATGACCCTTGGAGTCCCTTCCAATGCTACAATCCTGTGATTCCATAAATCCAATCAAATAATTCCTCATTCTAGAAAGCACTTTAACAACCCTAAACTGGACAGTGTTAGGCATTTTTTGTATCGGTGAAGTAGTCTAGGCTTGATTCTAACCTGCATCATGTGTACAGTGGTGCCTTGGGTTACATACGCTTCAGGTTACATACGTTTCAGGTTACAGACTCCGCTAACCCAGAAATAGTACCTCAGGTTAAGAACTTTGCTTCAGGATGAGAACAGAAATCGTGTGGCGGTGGCGCGGCGGCAGCAGGGGGCCCCATTAGCTAAAGTGGTGCTTCAGGTTAAGAACAGTTTCAGGTTAAGAACAGACCTCTGGAACGAATTAAGTACTTAACCCGAGGTACCACTGTATATGTATGAATGATGCATCTGTATATATATGAGTGATGCAGGGCAGATTAAACATCGTAGGCAGAACTGTCATGAAAATGCAAACCCAATGGTGTTCAGCAGAGTCCTAGTGTTCTGCTGCAAGTCACCAGATCTGAAGAAATCAAGAGAACTAGCTTATTGGTGGTGACTGTTATTATTTATTACCCACCTTGAGGTTAGGTGTGTCCTAAGTACTTGTTAGGCAAGTGATTACATCAGGACTGGAGGGGGAAGCTGTGTCATCCCTCACAACCATGTACTTATTGTTGTTATTATTACCCCATTTCTTACCTGCCTTTCACCATAAGACCCCAGAGCAAGTTACAGCAATTTAAAACTATAATATTAAAAACAGCTTAAAACAGATTGCAGTCGCAGGAATAGGGTGAGAGGTGCAGTCTTCCACTTCTGACTTCCTGCACTTCTTGACTGCATGGTAGATGACTTGCAATGTGTTGCAATAACGAATGACCTGGTGTGATCTTATTGTGTGCAGTCTGAACATTAAAGTAATGTGTGATGTGCAGCAGACTTTGCTTTGTTGTTTGATTCATGTCTGCATGTAAAGATCTAAAAAATAATAATATATGAATGAAAATGTAAGCATGCATTTTCTGGGGCGATAACCTTGTTGCTATGCACAGGGTTTTCCAGCAAGGGAGAAAAGTCATGAACTTCGTACATAAAGATCTCAACCTTGTAGGCCATCTATATAATTGCAGAACTACCGTATTTTTCGCTCTATAACACACACCCGACCATAACACGCACGTAGTTTTTAGAGGAGGAAAATCCGTAGGCATGCCACCCGTAGGCATTCCCTCCATAACACGCACAGACATTTTCCCTTACTTTCTAGGAGGAAAAAAGTGAGTGTTATGGTGCAAAAAATACGGTACCCATTTCTTGCTCTATACCATCAATCAGTAAAGTAGATTAGAATTCCCTACTCCAAATCTAGATAGCACACACAGCTTGACTGTTTCCCCCCCTTCCCAATTCTGGACAATTAGTCCAGTTTAAAGTGCACCCGGGAACTGTGTTAAAGGTACTCTCACAGTATCCACAAATGAACTTTCCCCTAGATTGTCCAGCTGTTAGCAGCCATCAAGTTAAGTGATCCTTGTAATCTTTTAGATACCTCCTGTTTGCTTTAGACCTCCTTCCCATTGAGGTGGCAAACATGGGTCTGAGCTGTACCACTTCAAATAGCACGAGGGGCTCACATGATTGAATTGTCCAGAAAAAAGAACTTCCCTGCACATAGGAAGCTAGATGTCAAGAGAAGGCCTTCCAACCTAGCCTAAGCTTGTGGAGGGGGGGAATTCCTTTTTTATGTAGGATTCTATCCCCCCATGGGCATACCATCATACATGCCCCCACCCCAAAAGTATATGACTTTGAGAACTAAGCCACAGTCATATGCTTTTTCTTTGAATGGTTAAGAGCGCCCAGAGTTGGAAGAGAACTTTGAGATCGTCTAATCCAGGCATGGTCAAACTTGGCCCTCCAGATGTTTTGGGACTGCAACTCCCATCATCCCTAGCTGACAGGACCAGTGATCAGGGATGATGGGAATTGTAGTCCCAAAACATCTGGAGGGCTAAGTTTGGCCATGCCTGGTCTAATCTAGCCCCTGCCTTAATGCAGGATGTGTAATGGAGGCTGCAACTATGTTATCCCATTGAGTCTCTGCTAAATACCTCTTGTCAAATGAGAGCCCATCACTGCCCTTGCTCTTCCCCTCAGACCTTAAACCCTCACAACTGGAGGTTTTGAAACTTTTATTGATGAAGTCGGTGTAGCATCCCAACGTGTGTCTACAGGTTACAAGCAGGTAAAACATGACAGAGCAGTAAAATACGTACATGTGTAGGCTTACCTGAGATGTTGATCCAATACTTGGCATGGCCCCCACACTCTTCCTTTTGAAGAGCAAGGTGTGCACAGCTTATTCACATGCTTGATGTCCTGAGCCTCAGGGCTGGGCAAGCAAACAGAAACTCCTCCATAGAGGCTGGGCTAGCATGGCCTGCTCACTCAGGCGCCTCTGCGTCCTTGGGAGATGGAGGTTGTGTTGATATAGCCTACTCATAGTTGGGCTTGAACCCTGGCACTGGAGCCACCGCCGCAGCTGGTGATGTATCACTTGGGGTTTTCGATGCCACGGAGGCAGGCTGCTCTTCTGACAGGGCCCTTCCTCTGAATCCAGATCTCCCAATCCTCTGGGACCTTCCCTGGGTCAGAATCCTATAATGGCGCCAAGTTATCACCCCCTCCCACCCCACTAGGATTTCCCCTTGTTCAGCCTCTCCTGGCTCCTTCCACTTACTCTCGTCATCCAGCCACCCTCTTCATGATGACAATCACCTCCTGAGGCATCCTGTTTCATTGTGGATCAACCCTTAGCATTCAGAAGTTTTTCCTAACTCTTAGCTGAACTCTGCTGCCTCCTTAATAATTTCCCACCTGTTAGTTCTAGTCTTGCCTTCTGGTGCAGCCCAGAACAAGTTCCCCCTTCTACCTGGCAGTTGTTTTCCATTGTCTAAAAGGTCAAACATATCCAGCTCCTACTGTTGTTCCTCACATAGGATTTGGTTTTTGAACCCTTTGACATCCTCATCCTCCTCCTTCACCATTCCACAGTTTTATAAAAGCCTTTCCCAGTCGGGCACATTTTTAGATTAGTGGGGAGGGAACTCTGGCCTGCAGATCTATTTAGGGCTGCCCATTTGGCCATTTCAACCAAGCCCTGCCCACCTGTCCGAGATGGAGGAGGTAAGGATTCAGACTACCAGTTGGAGCCAGTTCCCCACTCCTGCAGTAGATATTTTGGACTACAACTCCCACCTGCTCCAGCAAGCACTGGCATGTCAGCTGAGGCTGATGGGAGTTGTAGTTTTTTAAAAAGGCAGGCGGATACACTGGGTTGTGCCAGTGCAAGTTCCTATAGCCTGGTTCAACATGAAATAACAACAGTAGTGGACACCTTCTCCCATCTCTCAGGATTTTGTTAAAATAATGAGACTAGGCACAGGAATTGCTAACAAGTTCTTTTGAACAGATGAGAAGTAAAAAGAAGCAATCCCAAACAATGCAATGAATAATGGTGGTATGATAATTTTAGATAATATAAAATATTCAGCGATTTCTTTTAAAAGACAGTTATACAGTGCTAACATTTTAATTGGATTTGTTAATAATGGGTGTGTAACAATTCAGTGAGAAGTTGCCAAGGGTGTGGGGTGGGGTGTAACTTCTCCAATGCCATGGGAATTTCACAGCATTAAAGGCATCTTTTAAATCTTATTTTCAATCCTAAAGGAAGGATGCTCTTAAAAAACAACAACCAACAACAATTCCAAACCCAAGAAAACTAATAATCTTAGGATATTCAGGTGCTATCCACAAGCTGAAACCTGTGACTTGTCATGTTACAGTTATTGTAATGAAATAACGTATTTTTTGCTCTATAAGACTCACTTTTTCCCTCCTAAAAAGTAAGGGGAAATGTGTGTGCGTCTTATGGAGCGAATGCAGGCTTCACAACTATCCCAGGAGCCAGAACAGCAAGAGGGATCACTGCTTTCGCTGCGCAGCGATCCCTCTTGCTGTTCTGGCTTCTGGGATTCAGAATATTTTTTTCTTGTTTTCCTCCTCCAAAGACTAGGTGCGTCTTATGGTCTGGTGCGTCCTATAGAGCGAAAAATACGGTAAATATTAACCAGTGTGGTACAGTAAGCATATAGTATTGGCCTGGGGTTCAGTTTCCATTTGGCCACAAAACTCAGCCTAGCCTATGTTTATGATTGTTGCTCCCTGATTTCCTGCGAGATGGGAAGACAGTAGAAATATAAATAGGATAAAATAATGGTAGTAAGCCAGAATGTCTGGAATCAGAATGGGTTTTATCACTTTAATGTCTATTACGTATATGAGAGAAGACGTTAAACCCAAATAGATCTATGTACTCTGTTCCCAACGAAATTGTTGCTGGAAGAAATAGAATTGTCTTTCAGAAAGCTTTTGGCCTGTCTTCTTCAATGTGTGCCCCCAAAGGCCTTGCTTGGAGAGTAGGTCAGGATGAGCTAATCCAGTGTGGCAATGGATATATACACATGGCACATGGGAATACATAGCACGTCAGGCGCTGCAACCCTCCAACAGTTTGACTTCACCCCCGAAGGCGCACTCTTCCATCGCCTCCAAGACAGATGGATGCCAACAAGCAATTAACATAACTGCAATACCACTGTCCAGTGTCTTGTTTGTGTACTATAATTTCTCTGCTGCCCTCATGTGGATTTTAAAGCTTGCGTGCCCTTGATAGGTCAGTCATATGATTTCCTCTCTGCAGTTCAAATTCCTTTGTGTTGGATTAATGGCTTGCAAGTAGTGTAGGAATTAATACGACTCCTAACACCGGGGGCCTGCAAGTTGTTTGTGCTGACACCGGCAAGCAAACTGAAATGTGCTTTAGGTGATAGATGGTGAAAGAGGGAAATTGAAATCCTTTTCTCTCTTTGTCTGCCCCCAAATGGAAGAGAAGAGGCAGCTACTCTTTACACAGAACATAAAACAAGCCCACTGTCAAGAACGGACTGAGTAAGCTCTCAGGATCTCTTTGCTTGCTCTTAAAAATTGAGAAGAGTGGAAACCCAGGTCAAAATACACTTGCGTTTCTGTTTGTAGCAAGATGTATGTACTTCCCAACAATGGGAGAATCCCTCTTCCTCTTTTGCAAAGGGAAGAGGAACTGCAAGACACTGAAAGGGCTCAGGTGGGTTCAACTCGTAGCATCTCCAGGAAGGGCCCCCTGCCAGAAACCCTGGAGAGTCGCTGCCTGTCAGTGTAGACAATACTGAGCTGCATGGATCAATGGTCTGACTCAAGGCATCTTCCTGTGTTCAGACAGGTTCCATTTGCGCAGCTTATGCATGAGGTCAGGTCATTGTAGCCATAAGCTATGATCCAGAGAGAGAGAGCGCACCTACTGTGTCTGCACAGGCTGTAGCTTGATGCAAAGTTTGCATTGGCACAACTGGATGTCATTTATTTACACTGTTCACTTTCCTCCCCTCTTGCGTGTCTCAGTAAACAGAAGCTGTGTTTTGAAATTTCCCTGAATTTAAAGTTCACCGTACAGGAATGGTGGAGTAGCACTGAAGTGCAGGTGTAGACTGTGCCAGGCTCCAGGTGGTAAGGACAGGCCTTCCAATCAATGGTGGCCATGGATTTGTATAGATTCAAGTATAGCTTTAAGCTTTCTCATCAGTAGATGAGACTAACTTATGCTGGCTCTGCATTTTCATTTTGGTGAACACCTGTTGCCAGAGGAACTCTTTCGCTGTGGTGCAAATGGGCAAGTTCCTTTAATTTGCCATCCACAAATAATTAAGTCGATAGAGCGAGTGTGAATTTACCTGTAATTAGAGTCCTTGGTTGCTTAAAAACCAGGATTTGTGTAAGTCTGTAATGGGATTAGTGTTATGAGCTTCAGTGCACCATAGTGCAATACGATGTGAGCTTTTGCAGCGTTTAATCTAGATAATCTAAAATATTATCCTGTTGGCGCTGGCCGCAAGCCTTCTGGAGTTTTATGAAAATGACATTGTAAGTAACAACTCCCCCGCCCCCCAAAGAAGTTACCAGCCTGTTGGGGACTGACTGAAAAAATGCATTTGTATGCTGGGTGCTGGAGAAAGGGCAGCTCATTCTGCTTCTATCCTGTGTGTGGAGATGTCACTTGCCTGGGTGACTCACTTGTTTGGGTATAATTTCATGCACCTGCCTGCTTCCAGTCCTTGGTTGCCGATGGGTACCAGGCTAGTACTTAAATACAAGGGTGTCTTTAAAAGTAGGATCTTTGATGTTGCACCAGGTAACTGCAGAAACATATACTGACAGTATTCCCTGGTGGTTTATAGATTAGTCTCCTATCGGGCAGACTTTGGCATGCACTGTGCTGGGGTGCTTTCCCCCCAGATACAACAACTTTAACAACAGAGTACATTTTAGTGTGTGAGAGAGCAGGGAGTTAGTTTTGTGTAAATGGTGTAGAACTTAAAATATTACTTGTTGCTGCAACCAGGTCAAGCTATGAGGCATCATTCTTTCATTCTTTCGCTGGTCTGTAGTACACGTCCTTTGTGAGCGGATATGAGTTGTGCACTGGCTTTGGATAGAGGAAATCTGGTGTTATCAGGGGGTAGGCAATAATGGAAAGTCAAGTATGTGTATTCCTAGCATTATGAACAACCTGTTGTTGGAAGCTACTAAACAAACACACCTTGATGTGTGTGTTAAGAGATCATAGCGCAGATTCTGTTCAACACAAATATGGCTTAATCTTCAGCCTTTATGTAGTACAGCTGAAGTCGTCGTCTTTTTAAAAAAAATTACGGGGATCAATATTTAGAGTGTGAAATAATCTGGCTCCTGTTTTTGCTTGTTTGTAGAAATGCCAGTCAGAAGCTGATTACTTGGAAATGGGATCACTATGATGGCAAATTCTCTTTATGGTATTTGAAGTGCAATAAATAAATTTTGGGATATATTACCCGGTAAATAAGAGAACATTTCTGCCAGCGTAGCTTCTCTGTCATGCAAGTTTGTCATCTTAGGTTGACAAATCCATCTGGTGAGGGTGTAACTATGATTTTGTGTTGCAATGGGAGGGAAGGCTTTGCAGAAACCTCCCATTAGTTGACAGATTCTTTTGTGTATTACACTAGTAGAATTGAAAAGGAAATCTGTATGGCAGAGGTTTTCAACCTTTTTGAATCCATGGCTTCCTTGGCCAACTACAGTCTTTCTGCGGCACCCCCATGGGGCTTAGGAGCCCAGTTATGTCACCCCTTGCCTGCAGAGCTGGCGGCCTCTCACCCTTTTTCGAACACCCTACCTTGTTGAGGGTTCCCTCAGCCTCCTCTTCTCTCTCCTTGGGAGTCCTCTGGGCAGCTTCTGTCTCTGGTCTCTGAGCTGCCCCCACCCCAAAGAAGAGGTTCCTCCCAAAAGCACCATTCGCCTGCGGAGCTTATAGCCAGGGCTGCTGCAATAAACAGCTGTGCAAGCAGGCACCCCAGGTTGCCATGGTACAGTGGTTGAAAACTACTTCTGTACGGTAAGAAAATTAGACATGCAAAAGGATGAGGTGTTTAGCTTTTTTAACTGTGAAGTGAAACAGGTTTGGAAGCAACAAAATCTTTTTGTGAACTGTGTGTGTTTGTGGGTGTAGAAGAGCCCTATTCAAAGTTTTCCTCTTAGGTACATAATGTTCTTTATCTCTTAAGGGCTAGAAATTAAAACTTCTATAAAATGGACCTTGAGATGCTCTGGGAATATGAATGAAAGACCTTAAATCCTCAGGGCAACATTACAAACAAGAAGGGAAAACTCATAATAACAATTCGTAATAAATGTAAGGTTTCATAAAAGGCTGTGGGGAACCATTAACTTGCAATCCTCTGCATGCTTATGTAAGACGAAGCCCCATTAAATTCAGTGGGACTTGCTTCTGAGTACTCATAGGATCAGGTTTTTGGGTTAACATGTATACTATACTAACACTACCTTTCAGTCATAAGGGTACTATCAGTAAGAGCTTAAACATTAGGCTTCTCCTCTAAATTGCCAGAAACGCAGAATGAAAATCCAAAACCAGAAGCTGTGCAGTCTCCAGAAGCTGATTGGACTGAACAACACCCACTGTTTGAATATTATGACAGCAACTATTTGTAGCATGGTTAGTGTTTAGCCTGCTCACCAGTAGGCATTTAGAATCTGAGGGAGCCTTCTAGGAATTTAAAGCACCCTTCCCACTATTATAAAATTGACTATGCCTCTTTCTATGGTCAGCCTTGTCCTAGCAACACAATGGAAATACAGATGAAAATAATTCTTTTAATGAAGGGTTTGGGGAAATGTCTAGGTATCTCTGTTAATTGTATTTGGATTTCTTTTATCTGCCTTAGCTCAAGACTGCAAGGTTGATTCCGGTACATCTTTATCTCTTTTTATCTACACAACAGGTTAGATTTATCCAAGAGTGGGTGACATGTCCAGAAAAAGTATAGGAATGGGAGATGGAGGGGAATAGAAATACCTTGGCTACAGCACCGGCTGGGTTTGTTTCTCTTTGAGATTTCTTCATCCTTTGATTTGTAATTAATTGTGTAAACCGAATATATTTAGGTTTTTTAGGCTGCCCATTTGGAGGTTTCAGAGAGAGTGCTATTGGTTCTTAAGCCCTCCATAATGGCTAGCTAAAAATTAAACTTGAGAATGTTAGTCCACTCCTGCCCCCCCCCCAAAAAAAACCCAGTCACTGGAAGAAGGGACAACATTCTGCTCTTTTCTTCAAATTTGTGCAGGATAGTTGCATTTTTCACTCACAAGAGAAAGTTAAGAATATCTTGTTGCCCCAACTGCTTTTCTATTCCAGACTGAGTTAAATGTAGCCTTGTATGCCACATGGAAAGCACATCCCTGTGTCAGTAGTCCATGCTTTGCAGCAGCAGTATCACTTAAAGGGCTCTTAATGCCCCCCCCGCCCTATCTGGTGCCTGTAGTATCTGCACGTCAGTATAGTTCTCTCCCAGAATATACAATGACATTGCAATGCTGCGTGCAGCCTATAGATGAGTGGCCTTCTGCCTACTCAGTAGTCAATCCCATTGAAATAGAATCCTAGGCATGTGTACTTCAAAGCAGTGTTAGAAACTGAGATATGAAAGCTAGGATCTAAACGGCACCTTAAGCATGGTTATGGGTGTAACAGTGTCTAGGCACATTTTTCTTATAACAAGAATACAAAGCTGAAAATGAATGAACTGCAGCTAAAATATTATGTTCATTTTTTACATGGTCTAGTAGTCCTTCCCCTGACCACCCCCTTGATATTCTTAAGAGGGCCTCTTCTCCAGTCTTCAGAGAGTGGCTGGAAGTGGGGAGGCAGAAAAGGTCCTCCTTTCCTTCCACTGCAGTTTTAAACTGAAATCCTAGGGCTCAGTACTGTGCCCGGAATTCAGAAGCTGATCGCGCTAAAGATCAGCTTTTTGCAAAATGCGCCTAGAACAATGGGAGCTTCGAACACTGCTTCAAAGTAAATCCCACTGAATTCAGTAGGATGTACTCCCAGGATTGTAGCCCTTAATGTTATAATTGATGTGTGGAGCGTGAACATGGGCTTGTGGTGGTTTGGGGGCAGCCTCGACACAGAAAATGGATTGTTCAAATTGACTTTCTGTTTAAATGTTTGCCAGTAGCAAATAAATAAATGTAGCTTATTTCAACGACGATGCATAAGTAACACAGAGGATAAATTATGTAAACAGCCCGTATGTTTCTGGTGGCATCTTATCCTTTGACGGGAGGCTGTTTTCCATCTGTTTCCTTGTTCAGTTTGGAGCAACTGGTTGGGGCAGGCATGTTCCTAACACCCCCTGTAGCACTTGTGTCAATTCCAAAAATAGAACCAGAGGAACTATTTTGGGAGCGTTGTTTCCCCAAAGGAGGGAGACAGGGAAAGCGATTGGCCAGAAAGTGTTCTTCCCTTCCCTTTTTATCCTGGCTCATTCTATTCAGTAATTCTAAGAATCAACCATAATAACATACTGTATACCTGCTGTGCGTAGATCCAGATTTGAGGAGGTGTTTGTAATAAGAAATACGTAATTCTACATTTGTGCGCTGTTCCTTTGAGTGTGAACGTAAGGCTTAATAATAGGCATGGGTAAACAATTCCATGGGCAGTGAGGGTGGTGTTGGCAGTGCCGCTTTTTAAAAGTAGAATAGTGAGTGGGCTGCATCCTAGAACATAGATATCTGCTTGCTCTTTCTTCCTCGCACAAAGTATTCCTGCTGCTTTGCCTCCATCCGCCCCAGCATTGTAGAAACCTGTGCAGGTTATCATTAAGACGGAAGTTGCTATGGGAAATAGGGCTGGGAGGTGATTGCTTTTCACTGCTCTGTTTTCCATCTATGTCAGGAAATACCTGTATGCTTAGTACTGTGAATGTGCCTGGCACAACAGGGTAACATTAATTAAAAAAGGACAAGTCTCTGTCCTAAGTTGCTTACAGTCTAAATTTTAATGAAGCTGGGCAGAGATGATAGAGTAAAATAAACAATGGGAGAAAATATTCAGAACTTGCTGATTCAACTCTTGGAAAAGTGGTGGTGGTGGTTGTTTTTGCAGCCAACTGGGGGTTGAGGTTAGGGGTTAGGAGAATGCATATTTGTGACTGAGCTTACTGGTTCTAAATTCTGAACTACCATGGTAATAAACAATTCAGTGATTTTGCATGCTAAATATGCATATCAGGCTCAGAGAGAGAGAATTATGATTTTAACTGTCTTGATACGGTTGTTTTGAAGAGGTACTAAATAAGTAACCAAAATATGATTTGTGCTTTGCTGCTTATTATTGAGTTATATCCAAGAGAGGACCTTTAAACTTTCCGTGGGACTCTTGCCCTGCTGGAATCCCTTTGCCCCCACCCCCTTCTGAAATGGCATCCTAGGCCACCTGAAACTTCACTTAAAACACACGAACAAAAGCTTTCAGATAATTGGGCATGAATATCACTTTCCAATCAGCGCCACGTTTCTAAGCTTAATGGCTTTGTTACCCTTAACGTCCCACCTTTAGAAATACTTTAAGAATGCTCACATTAATTCTTCTTTTTGTCTCCCTTCTATTCCTGCCCCTTCTCCAGCGTTCCCCTGGTTTGGCATGGATATTGGTGGGACGCTTGTGAAACTGGTCTACTTTGAACCAAAGGACATTACCGCTGAAGAGGAACAGGAGGAGGTGGAAAACCTGAAAAGCATCAGGAAGTACTTGACTTCCAATACAGCCTACGGTAAAACTGGGATTCGAGATGTCCACCTCGAACTGAAAAACTTGACTATGTGTGGGCGGAAAGGGAACCTTCATTTCATCCGTTTTCCAAGCTGTGCTATGCACAGGTTCATACAGATGGGTAGTGAAAAGAACTTCTCAAGCTTGCACACCACGCTTTGTGCCACGGGAGGCGGAGCTTACAAGTTTGAAGAAGACTTTCGAACGGTATGTTTTGTTTGCACAATGTCTTGGTTTAAGGAGCTCTTTCCTACCCCTTTCCTGGTGCTGCCAGATCAAATACAGGGGGGGTGTTTGTGTCAGTCAGACCTTAGGACGTCATTGTTTATTTTTGTCACTCCAAGCCAGCAAACCTGCCTTTAAGCTTCAGTAAGTGCTAACTGAGGAGAATTAACTACAAGTGCTAACTACTGTCTGTGTCTCTGGGGGAGAGAGAGAAAGGAGGCACAGGGGTGGCAATATTTGTTATGCCGTGTTAACACATATATCACGCTCAGAATTTTCTCCTTATATCTATTATTTTTATCAGTTTTAAGCCTAAATGCAGGAAAGCACAGCTTCGACTCAGCATGCCACACAGCCTCAAACTGTGCATTGTAGACGGAGTCTGTCAACAAATCAAGTTCCTGGTTTTTTGTTAGCAGGCATTGGTGTTCCATTGAGTCAGGTTGACCGTTCCTTGTTGGTGTTTTTGTGAGCATGGAAGTTGTATAGCTACCTCATGATCGGGGAAATGGCTATAGTGTGCTGCTATCTGCAGCTTTGTACACAATCAGATTATGGGGAGTAACTGAATGCATTTTGCAGGTATTCCTCAATATGTGGTTGCTGTATGTATGTAAAAGATGTGAGGGCAGGGCCGATAGGTTACCATTGAATTATAGGATTACACATCCATGCTTTTTAAGGAAAACTGGCCGCTTGAATGAGTGGTTAAGAGAGAGCTCAGTGAACTGGTTTTCTGATTCACTTCAAGAAACCATACGTAACTGATGGTGCTACTGCTCTCCTTTCCTCCAAACATGGCTGCCTGCTCAGGTGAGCTGTAGTTGTAGAACTGTAGGCATGACTTTTAATTTAAAAGAGAGACAGAAAACACTGCTGGACTGCAGGTTGACTAAAAAAAAAAGTTTCTGATTTAAATAGCTGTATGGAGATCTTGCATTGGGAGCTCTGGTATTTTCTGAAGATTAGCAGGAGCTGCAGATCCATAAATTTTGCAGAACTTTCTTTTGCCTGAAGTCAGGAAGTCCTCTAAAAAGATGCCCAAACCCCCAATGTAATTTTTCTTTTGAGTGATACCAGCTGCTCCCATAGGCACAGTAATTACCGTATTTTTCGCTCTATAGGACACACCCGACCATAGGACGCACCCTGTTTTAGAGGGGGAGAACAAGAAAAAAAAATTCTCCCCCTCTCTGTTCAGCACCCCTTCAGCGAAGTGGCAGGAGAAATGGAGCCCCTTCCATTTCTCCTCCCACTTCGCTGAAGGGGCGCTGCACAGCTCTCCCTCTCTGCTGAAGCCAGGAGAGTATTGCTCTCCCAGCTTCAGCAAAAGGAACCCAAAGCCTTTGGAGCGCAGCGCGAGTCCCGCTGTGCTCCAAAGGCTTCAGGCGGCTATCCCTGAACCCCTCTCGCTCCCCAGGCTTCAGCAAAAGCAACGCGAAGCCTCCGGAGCACGGAGGGAGCGCTCCCTCTGCGCTTTGGAGGCTTCGTGTTGCTATTGCTGAAGCCAAGGAGCCTGCATTCGCTCCATAGGATGCATACACATTTCCCCTTAATTTTTGTGTGTCCTATAGAGCGAAAAATACGGTACTTCCTTGGCCTGCTTTTCTTATTTAAAAGTACAAGAGAAGCATTTGTTTTTCAAAATCACACAACCCCTGAACAGATTCCACTAAGAATTCAGGCAGGTCTGTGTCAACTTACAATTCTCAGAATGTTTACGGTGTTTGCTGCTGTCCTGAGGCAATGGGTGAGGCAAGGTAAGTAAGACGATACTCTTTCTGTATTGCTTTCTGTGGGTGAGCATGCTGCTGAGGATTATGTAACACATGCACACACGTTCTTTTGTTTTTCACCTTATGGCACCTTAATTCTAGAAGAGAGGTGGGAACGATTATTCTCAGCCATCTTTTGAAATGTCAGTTAAAACCCCCACCCAACACAATTTTCAGAGCATGCATTATATCCAAACAACTGATGTTCCACCGCTAAGGGTTTCAGATTGTACGTATTTCACTAACGAATGGATCCCTGCAGGGAAGGGATGGTAACAGAGCTGTTTCAACACTGTAACAGAAGCAGCTGATATTTCCAGTCCTGTGATGGACTACAGTTTCAGTTATACACCCTTCATTCATTATGCAAAACTCAATTATATTGCCTGTGTGGTTGTAGAGGGTTGACTAAGAAAACAGACCAGTTCTTGGTACGTGTGTGTGTGTGTGTTTTTGTTTTCATGGTAAAAACTAGTCCTCTTTCATGGTAAAAACTAGTTCTCTTTCCCTACCACCCACAACTATAATGACTAATGGGAACTTCAGTGCAAAGGTGGATTTTTAATTAGGCTCGACTTTTGTGTGGTGTTTTATATTCAACTGCACAAATTTTGTTCAACCTGAGGGATTGGCAACCGTTGGCCAGGGTGTGTAATTCAGTGGAGTATTTGCTCTTCACTGTGTGCATCTCACGGCTGCAGATTTGGTACCTGAGTAAAGTAAGGGGATCAGCACCAGAGGTTTGCAAGGGGAGAGCATATCCCCAGGGTGTTGGTATTCACACTGGAGCAGAGGTGTTCAACCTTTGTGAGCCCACGGCTTCCTTGACCAACTGCATTCTTTCTGCAGTTCCTCTGTGGGGAAACATGCTGTGAGCCTCAGAAGCCCAAAGAGCTGGCAGCTATATGGCACATGGTTCGAAAACCTCTTCACTAGAGAGAAGGCCTTTTTTTCTGTGAGGCTGTGGACAAAGGCCATGTTGCCTGTCACTCAAATTTGAAAGGTCCCGTTTGTTTTAAAGTTGCTATTAGGCTGGACTTTGCTGCATAGCTGGATTCTGGCTTTATAATTGCACTTTAAAGCTGGCAACATACATTGTTATGGGAACTGAAAATATTTGAGGGCAATATTCTTCTCATAAGTTACAAAAGCATTTTGTTTGACTCATCTCTTGGAAAACAGTTTGTGTAGGCTTTGGGGACAATATTAAAAACCTATTTGATTTCAGGTGAAAGTGGGATGGGTAGATCCTTCTTTCGAAACCACTTAAGATTTCCTTTAAAAAACCCAGCAACCATGGTCTGCGAGTATCGCAGTGTCTTCAAGGAGAGAAAAACAACAACCCCCGAACCTCGAAATGCACAACATGGCTTGACCTTGTGATGTGCTTGTTTTCATTCTGATGGCCAACCTGCTTGCTTGATTATGAACTTCCTGTGCAAATACTTCTTAATTACTTTAGTGATGACCCGTTGTGCAACTCAAACAGTACAAAGTACTTCAGCAGGGCCTTTTGACTCTTCCATTAGGTTTCTTAACACTGTATCAACAAGTGTTCATTTATTAACTTCTCTTCCAGATTGCTGACCTCCAGCTTCATAAGCTAGATGAGTTGGACTGCTTGATCCAGGGCCTGCTCTATGTGGATTCTGTCGGTTTCAACGGCCACCCGGAGTGCTATTATTTTGAAAACCCCGCAGATCCTGAACGGTGTCAGAAAAAGCCTTACTGCCTTGATAATCCTTTTCCTATGTTGCTGGTTAACATAGGCTCTGGGGTCAGCATCTTAGCTGTGTATTCCAAGGACAACTATAAGAGAGTTACGGGGACCAGGTGAATATACTATCTGCAGGAAACAGCTCTTGCTAAAAGAAAATAACCTGTCTAGATCTGAGGTTCTGAAGTATTTTATTATTTTTACAGAGGGCCTCCTGAAGTCAGGTTAATGCTATCTAAGCCTCCTCAAGCATATGTGAGGCAGAAAAATAAATAAAATGCCCCTGAGCTGAGGTGTCAGAGCTAAGAGACACCATGGCGCAGCCTGTGATTTGAATTCACCTTCTTCCTCAGAGCTACTGAACCACACTGTATGGATCTGAGACAAAAGCAGACTTCCCCACTTAATTGCACAGGACTTTTAGCCAACATATTTGAGCAGAATGTTCTTAAGAGATCTGCAACTGTTTGCAGGTGTGATATCAACAACTTATTGCTTTAGCTTAGCTTGAAAATCAGATTCTTGATAAGTATTATCTTCACACATGGTGTCTACACAGGCATTTTCTTCTAGAAATCAGGTACTGCTCCTATCTTCCTTCCTGCAAGTCTGACAATAGATTGATTCACACAGAATGATAAGGCATGGTCAATGGCTTATCAGGATTTGAACAGGATGCTGGTGTCAACTGTTTGATCCTTCCTGCTTCACTCCTCCCCTGGTACCAGCAATAAGCTGTGAAACACGGCTTGTCATTGTGGTTTCTCCTTAAATCACCGTTGCTTGCCAACATGAAGCTGTGACGTCTTGTTGGCTTTCTGAACATGTTTTTGGGGAGCCGGTGGGAGACACAATCCCAGATTTCGACATAGTGACAAACCAAGGCTTTATGGCTTGTTACTCCTGCTCTGACCAGGGGAGCCATGCTTGATTACATTTGAACAGACCACAGTCTTCAGATTACAACCAGATGCATCATACCTTAAGCTATCAAGATGCAGTTCCTCCACCACCCTTTAACCAGTGCATCATTGCGAAGTTTCAATTTGAGGGGCTTTCTTGAAGAAAGGAATTTGAAGCTTGCCCAGAGAGCAGGCTATTTAGGAATCCAGACGGTTGTTACTAACTATTATTATTTATTAAAGTTGTTAGTTGCTTTGAAAAAACCCAAACAAAAGTAACTCAGTGTGACTTACAACAATAAACAAATAACACATACAGCAAAACCAGCATAAAACAAAACAGGAAAATCTGCAAGTTGCAAGTTGGCTGAAATGAGTCTTCTCTTCTTCCTAGTCTCGGTGGTGGTACATTCCTGGGCCTGTGTTGTTTGCTGACTGGCTGTGAGACTTTTGAAGAAGCTCTGGAAATGGCAGCTAAAGGGGACAGTACCAATGTTGATAAGCTGGTGAAGGATATTTATGGAGGAGACTATGAACGGTTTGGTCTTCAGGGATCTGCTGTAGCATCAAGGTAAATATCAACTGGTCACATATAAATTGAGTTATTGCAGATTATGGGAGATTACTTAGATCAGTGTTTCCCAAATTTGGTTCTCCAGCTGTTTTTGGACTGCAACTCCCATCATCCCTGACCACTGGTTCTGCTAGCTAGGGATAATGGGAGTTGTAGTCCAAAAACAGCTGGAGAGCCAAGTTTGAGAAATCTGGATTTAGATATTGAGAGCCTAACAACATGTTGCATGCAACCAAACCTGAGTAGGTAGCTATTTTGTTCTTCAGGAAAAGCTGCTTCAGGAGAGACAGTTAGGAGTAGAAAGAAGTGTGTGTGTTTTGCGTAGTAACCATTTCCTTACCTGCTGCTTTTCTCTTCCAAATTGTCCCTGCTAAACTTTTTTCCTGCACATTTGAAATACCACGAGGGTGGGGGGAGAGGCAGATCACTGGGGGTTAATTTGGAGTGAATAAGAGGTTTTGTGGAAAAGGTTTTGCATACGTTCTGCATCAAATTGGACCCTCCCAAAACAGTTTTCCTGAAAATAAACTTTGGTTGCCTGTGTTTGTATTTAAAATTATAGCTGGGCCTCCATGTGTAATGCTTATGTGGGTATAATTAATTATGTGTACTGCTTAGGACCCTAGTTTGATTAATTTCAGCTCACTTGTATCATACCGCTTTGCTTTCAGGATGCGTTGCTTGTACATTAATCTTGCCTTGAAAGGAATTTTTTCCTTCCTCAATATCCAACAGCTTCTCTGTGTATTTCATACCAAAATTAATAGCCTTTAAAGCAGGGGTGGCAAACTTCCACCTGCCCCCATGTGTGATGACAGGTGTGGCACAGGTAGAGAGGCGGTTGGATTGGCTGCTTGACTGTGTTCCCCATGGGGAAATTGATCATGCAGTGGATCACTGCAGAAAACAGGGTTGCACTTACCGTCTGTCAGCTGAGAGGCGAGGAGTTCAGCCCTACTGAATTGGCCGCATGACTTGAGTTCTCCATGTGGAATGCGCTCACGCACCGATCCCTGCAGAAAGCACCTTTGTCAGCCGTTTGCTGAGTGTAGGGCTGTCAGAGGCCCTTGCACCATGGTTCCCAAGTACCTGACAACCCGCTGACTGTCAGGCAATTGGGAAGCGCTGCACAAGTGTTGTCAGGTGAGCAAGACAACCCATGCCAGCCATATGATGTAAAGTTGTCTGCTTACCTGTCAAAGTTGGCCCGCAGGCGTTGCAAGACTCTGTTATTTAGGAGAATTGCTTACTACTAAGTATCCACAATGTTTAAAAAAATGGTAAAAGCTTTCAATATGAAATGCAGCAATTTTGTAAGAAGGTGGTGCTAGCTCACTAAAGTTAGTTGACGTCCTCTGGGTCTGTGTGCGTGTCTTGCATCCTGCAATGGTGACGCCTGTTTGTCCCGGGCAAACTACTGAAAAATGTATTTTTTAGAAACCTTGGCCTTTATGAAAAGTGTAAGAAAGATCATATCCTCTAGTATTATCACGCAGCTTCGGCAACATGATGAGCAAAGAAAAGCGAGATTCCATCAGTAAAGAGGACCTAGCAAGAGCGACCTTAGTTACCATCACCAATAACATCGGCTCCATCGCTCGGATGTGTGCTCTGAATGAGGTAAGAACATGCTGATTAGCAAGCATTGGAAAGCTGCTGTTGTGCTACTGTGTTACTTTGATCTCTGGTTTTGCATTAGTTAAATACCGAAGAACATTTTTTTACAGTGCACACCATGCTCTCATGTGAAACTTTGACAGTACGATCCACAGAGTTTTCTTTTCAATGGCTAAAACGAACAGAATGACAGTGCCTCTTCATTCATACACAGTGCTTGACGTCTCCTGGTGTATTCTTACAGTTGAGCACCAGCAATGGAATCCCACCTGTGTGCAAAGCCTGCTTCTCAGCTTTGTCCTCTTAGACCACAAATATTAACAGTGTAACCGTGTGAACTGATGTGGTGGTGAATGAGGCTGGTAGTGAATACTACTTTGTACTCTGATAGGTCCTTTGTGTGAAATTCTTCCTGAATGTTTGCTGTCGAATTGGTTGTCATTCATTCAAGCATTCTGGATTTTTAAAATTTCTTTTGGGCTACCGTCTGGAGAATCCTGTAGCGTCCAGAAACATCTCTGCATTCTTTTTAAGGTCAACCCACAAGAGCTTCCAGTCATATTCATATGCCTGGTGGAACCTGGTTTGATAGTGGTGTTGACTATGGCATGGCACCTTTGAAGGTGTGCATTTGTTAACTTGACACCTGCAAGTTGGCGCCAGTGCAGTGCAGAGCTAGGAAGAGCATCACGGTTCAGCAGTGACGCTCAGTGGTGGCTTTCGGCAAGTCAACACCTGTAGTTGTGAAGCCAATACCTCTTGCCAAGGGCATCCTTCAGCCATTGAAGCAGCAGCTGCTCCAGTGTTTACTTTCTTGTTCTCTACCCATTCCCCCCCCCCTTTTGTGTTGTTTCTAGTAGACTTATGAGTCTGCAGGCAGGGACAGTCTTATCTATCTATAGTTAACATTTAATGTAAGCTCCATATTTTACCTCCTGTTCATTTAATGGGTGCGTCACTTGTTGAGGCAGGTAAACTCACAACAATGGAATACTCCGTTGCACATAAAAATAAAAATAATAAAAATAAAAATAAATTATTATTTATACCCCACCCATCTGACTGGGTTGCCCCAGCCATTTTATATGCTTCCAGCATATAAAAAAAACATTAAACAATAAAGCTTCCCAATACAGGGCTGCCTTCAGATATCTTCTAAAGGTTGTATAGTTACTTATCTCCTTGACATCTGACGGGAGGGTGTTCCACAGGGCGGGCGCCACTACTGAGAAGGCCCTCTGCCTGGTGCCCTGTAGCTTCTCTTCTTGCAGTAAGGGAGAGAGAGAGAAGGAAAAGACACAGGTTCACTCTTTTGACAACAGCCACGTGTCTGCCATAACTTTGGGGCATTTGGTGGAGTTGCAGAAGTCTAATATATAACAAACCCAGCAAATCCAGTACATACGAATCAATTTGTTAATTGCTTCAGTGTTGGCAACTGAGAACGTCTTTCAGTATTCCTGAATGATAAGAAACCTTTCGTATCGAAGTATTGTTAGAAGCTTCTCGGGGAAACAAGTAGTCTTTCTCTTTGCTTTCAGCTTCTTTACAGTGTTGCCTTGTGGCATGGAGTTCAAGCAGCATTGTACAGGGCTATCAAAGCATAGAGAGTTAGCTGCAGTGAGCAACACAGGGTATATTTAAAATGAAGAGACTGATCGCCACTTGTAGCCTGACATACTTGGTTTTGGAAGAGGATGATGGTGATTTGCTTGTGAAAGCATGAATATCATGAAGGAACTTGTGATACGATACAAATATGAATAGATGGGATTGCACAGATTCAGATAAACTGTTACTATGAAATTGCTATTATTTTGCTACGTTATGAAATTGTTGCTATGTTATTGTTTAGCTGTGTTATTATGAAACAGTTTTTGTGGTGATTGTTTGAAATGCATCCCTGTTGCTTTGTTGTAAGCCACTTTGAGCATGATATGTGTGCGGAAAAGCGGCATACAAATAAAGGAATGAGTTAATGAATTATATTTGACAGGGGAAAAAAGGATTTTAGGGATCTTTGCTTGCTTCTGCATCCCAGTTGTATTCTGAACCCAGCAACATTTTTGCAAAGGTCTGGAGTTCGTTAATCTATGGCTCATTTCGAATGCTCTTCCAAACCATTATTGCTACCTTAACAGAGATTTGAACATGGGAAGCTTGCCTAATACAAAGCCAAACTTCTGTGCCTCTGTTAGGTGGAAGGCAAGTAGCAAATTGTTCTTTCCTCCCTAAGCTCCCCATTTTTTCTTAAGACCATGGTTGGGCCATGTACATTTTTAGACAGTGAGACAGCTGGCTAAAGACATTGTGTTATAGAATCCCTAAGTCATCTTAAAAATGAAGCCTCCATGTTTCTATAAACATTTAGGATTTTTGTTTGTTTGTTTTAAAAAACATTTCTAGAAGCTTAAGTAGTAAAGGGCATGGACTGTGTCCCAGGAAAGGTTTCACTCAGATCAAGATGGGTGGCCCTAAACGGCCATCACTTAGCTTCACATTTGGGGATGGAAGCAGCACCAGCCCACTTAACAGGGTACTCGTAAAGATAAAAATGTTCTGTGGAGGTTTCAAAGAGAAGTTCAAAAAAGCACCATACAAATGCCAAACTAAGTATTTTCTGATTTTACTGATTGGAATGTCGGAAAAGCACTGAGTTGTCAGGGGAGGCAGACTTCAGATGTGCTTGATTAACACCAGTCCTTATCACATTAACACCTGAAAGATTTCCAAGCAAAAAATAACTTGCAGTGATTCATAAGAAGAGGCTGGTGCTTATTTAGTCACCCAAGCCCCCTAGGGTGTTAATTGGACTGTCAGTTTGGGACTGAAACTGCACTATTGGGATAACACTTTGACCAACCTAAGTAGTGTGAACTTGAACAATTTTTGCTGTCCTGTTCTTTCCAAAGCAGATCAGTCATGCTAAATACTGATGGATGTGTGTATAGGATTGGAGCCTAGAGTGTCTCTCCCTTGCTGTTCTCTCCCTTAGTCCATCTAGCACAGAATACGTATCACAATATGTACGGGTGGGAGAGAAGATGGGCTAGTACAGTTTTTTGGTGGCTATCTGGAGGACATCTGGTAGGTTGTGTTATCATGGGGGCTGCTTTACTTTAAAAAGGTAGTTGCTAAGTGAAAATTGTCCACAACCTCCCTAGGGGGTCCACCCCACTGTCAAACAACCCTGACGGTCTTAATAGTACTACAGTCAAACCTCGGTTGTCAAATGTAATCCGTTCTGGATTCCGAAATGTTCAACAACTGAATTGCAGCTTCCGATTGGTTGCAGGAGCTTCCTGCACTCAGTGGAAGCCACATCGGATATTCGACTTCCGTAAAATGTTTGAAAACCGGAGCATTTACTTTCAGGTTTTTGGCATCCGGGAGCCGAATCGTTCGAAAATGGAGCCATTCGGGAGCTGAGGTTTGACTGTACAGAAACTTCATAACATTGCCCTCAAAAATAGCATTCTAGTTTAAGGAGAAATGTTTCCCCAGTGTACAATCCCATTTAAATAAGGTAATCTAGTTTTGGTTGTCTTTCTGATGCTTTACTGTTAGGAGACATTTGATGAACACTGAATGAATATCATAGCTGTGAATTCCATAAGTTTTAAGGTAAACATGGCACCCTGTTGAATGTATATATTTTCCTAAATTTTGCTTAAATTTTGCAGAACATTGAGAGGGTGGTGTTTGTTGGAAACTTCCTGAGAATCAACATGGTCGCTATGAAGGTACTTGCATATGCCATGGACTACTGGTCAAAGGGACAACTCAAAGCTCTCTTTTTGGAACACGAGGTAAAGACTGTTCAAAGGAAATATGTATATATATGTAACTCGGTTGATCTGCTAGTGAAGTCATGCTTTGAGTTATGATTGGACTTTCTCCAGTTCCCGAAATGTAAATAGAAAGACCCACTCAAATATAGAGGTGATATCTGCCGTTGTAGTTTATGTGCAGCCAGCCAGTGACGATGGGAAAGAAACAATTTTAATTTGGGATAATTGATGGGTCTTAACAAAACTGTGCTGGGGTGGGGAAAGACTGTGAACTGTAGAAGTCCAATAGGCTTCTTAATTAGTATTGAAGAAATGGAATGCAAAAATAAAATCTTTTGTGTTATAGAGTCGAATAGGAGTTTTTGTAATTAGTTTTCATGAATGCAGGTGCTTGGTAGCGATAGATCCGGGGAGTTTCTGGTTACATTTGCATGTTGCACAATGTTATCATTTACCAGGACATGAACAAGTTGCATGGAGTTTTGGGCTTCCATGCTTCCTTCTCCCATCTCTTCCTGACAGGTGGCTTTCATTTCTTTATTGCAAAATTTTATAATCCACCCTTTGTCCAAAAATGAATTTCAAAGAAATTTAAAATTGCAAATGTGCTTTCACATGAACACTACAATGAAATTACGAGGAATAAAACAATTCAACTAGCTATAACAAGCATAATTTAAAAGGCCAAATAAAACAAAAACAGAAAAGACAAATAAAAAAACTGGCTCTGAATAGAATACATGGCCTGCATCAGGGGCACTTCTTCCTCAGGACAACAATCCACAATCTTTTGTGTATTCATTATGTATTCCTCTTAAACTTGGGAAACATGTAAGTGATTATTCCAATAATCTGAGTAGGTTTGTATTAACCAGTGTTTGGTGTAGTACCCAGGACTGTGATTAATCTTTGCAGTACAGTGATACCTTGGTTCTCAAATGCCTTGGTTCCCAAACACTGTAAACCTGGACATAAGCGTTCTGGTTTTCAAACGCTTTTTGGAAGCCAAATGTCCGGTGCGGCTGTCGGCTATTGTTTCCGGGACACCTGCACCAATTAGAAGCCGCGCCTTGGTTTTTTAACATTTCGAAGTCAAGCGGGCTTCCAGAATGGATTGCGTTCGAGAACCAAGGTACTACTGTAGTTAGTTTAAACAACCCAGCTTGGGTTACTTTGGTATCAGGAGCTACGGCTTTTACTTTCACTGAATGTGATTTGTCATGTCATCCAGACAAACCCTGTGGTTGCCGTTAGCTATTGTTATTTTCAAACAAGTCAACTTCATACCATAGTTACAGAAGTGGGCTTGTTTAAACTAACAGTTGAGACGGTGGTTAATCTTAACAACCAAGCAGACAGCGTCTAAATGCTTCCTAGACAGGTGGGAGAGGAAAGGGCAAGCCTAATGCTTGCTGAAGCTCATTCCTGCTCTTTGATTTTGTGCTAAATTATGGTTTAGCATGACATGTAAACACAGCTCTCTCTCTCTCTCTCTCTCTCTCTCTCTCTCTCTCTCTGTGTGTGTGTGTTTGTGTGTGTGTTGACATGCACACACTCTAGGAAAGAGTGCCTTGAAGGCTGTTTTAATTCATTCAGAGGGGGTGCTGTCTTCACTGGGTGAACCATTTGGATGTAGCAGCTCCTTCCTCTCCATATAACCCTTTCTGGCTCTTCCCAACATTGTGGAGAAAGCTGCTTTACTCACATGGGTGAAATGGTGCAAAAAATTCAGCACATAGTTACGGTTTTCACGCTGTGTTAAAGTAGTTTCCCAATGGCACCTGTAATGCATAAGAAGCTGAGCCATTTTTTTCCCCATTTAACCAATTGAGAGTAGAATGATAAAGCTATAAGAAACTGTGTAATCTCCCTTAGGGCCTGTTTCCATAACACGGCATACTGGCAAGCTTAGATGTCCTTGTGACTCTTATAGCACACTTATAGAAGTCTCTATCCACGTCCTCAGGTGTAGGGCCTTGTACAGCAACCCAGTGCCTTACTTACAGCTCAGTGCAAGTAAAATACAGGCAAGGAAATTACCTGTTTATCTTACAATGACTCTCTTCCAAGGGTCCAAACATTTCTTCCACTGGAAGAAGTTCCAAATGACATCTGCATGCAAACAAAATCAGTTCTGGCTTTTGTATTTGTACAAAAAGTGGAATATTTATGTCATCTTTTACTGGGCCCAACTACTTTTAAGCGTTCAGAACTTCTGAGAACAGCTCTACTGAATAGACAATATGCTTGCTTGCTGCTCCTAGCATTCACTTGAATTTCCAGTAGAATTGGCCCTGGCTGGTATGGATTCCTTCCTTTGCTCTCAAACAGCACTGTATTTTGTTTTGCAGTACCTGCTTGTCTGATGTTTCAGATGTTTTCAGACCTGCACCTTTGTTTAAAGAGAGAGAGAGAGAGAGCACTTGTTTTATGTTGTGCTGAACTCATTGACTCTGTGACAATTGGTTTGAGCTCAAATAACATTACGTACTAACGCCTTCCTCTCCTTTCAATAACTTTGAAGGGTTATTTCGGTGCTGTTGGGGCCCTTCTGGAATTGCTTAAAATGACAGATGATCAATGATGAAGCCTCCAGGAGCCCAATGCCTGTAGAAGCTGCTACAAGACGGACAGCTGCTAGGAGGATGGAAAGAAGCCATGATGGACACTCTTACCTGCTGGATTTGTAAATAATAATTTAAACTCCTTTTAGCTGATCTTTTAACTTTAGGGTTGGACATTAGCTTCAGAATTCGTACCAGGAATCTAAAAGAAAAAAAGAGGCATTTTTAACTGTATAAAACATTTTTTTAAGACAAAAAAATGTGCAATGTGGCCAAACATGGCAGATTTTTATGGATCGTATCTAAAAAGTGGATACTGTGTGGGAAATGGACCTAAGATATGTGACGACACTGGTTTTATTTTATTATTTTTCTTCTGGGGTTTACTGACCTAGTGTGATATAATTATTCTTTTAGTAATTGCTCTAGGAGATTTTTTTTTATTAAATCTTTCATGACGTTTCATGATTGCTGTTGGTTTCAGGTGAAACCGCAAAACTAGTATATAGTGTGAGCAGTAAAGTAATGAATTTTGTTGCCTTCATTTTTATTATTATTATTAAACTGTGTTTCCATCTTCCCCAAACTTTCTTTGACTGTCCATGTTGTCATCAAATCCACCGAAAATAGGAAGAAGACCTCAACCTTTCCTTTCAGAAACTCGCGCACAATGAGTTAACTATTCCTTGTAGCACCAGAAATCCTTATTTGTGGTACGCTGAGCTGAAAAAAAAAAAAAAAAAGATTATTGGGCCATGGGCAGGGGGAGGGCTAGTTCTCTGTCTGCAGAGGATGTGGTAAACCTGTATTCTTACATACCTGAATGCACCTGCATGCAAAGAAAACATATCTCTTCCCCTCTCATGCCAGCATTCTACATGCAGATGTATTTTTCTTCTTTTTTCTTATGGAGAAGCATTCAATTCTGTGAACCCCCCATCTGAAATCTGAAAATGGTACAATCCAGCAAGTTTAACCACCTCCTCTGCTGTTTGTGAGAACTGGGCCTTACTTAAAATACATTTTTAGTATGCTGAAAAGTTCTTCGGCTGTTACAAGACAAATACCATGCCATATATCTGACACTTTTAAAAATGTCAAATGTGTCAGACCACATGTTGAGTATTAATGTATACTATTTCTTAGAAGTTCTTACTGATATTTACCACAAGGAACAAATGACGTAGTGGTATAAAATGTTCAAATTTTAAAATGTTTGAGTGAATTTACTACATGCCCTGGCTGATCAACTACAAAAATTATGGACCTTGCAAAGAACAGATTAATTTCCTAAGTTCCTTTCTACCCTGGTGATTCACATTGGAAAGACGGTTCTGTTTTTACAAAATGTAAAATGTCCGTCACGTGGTGGCGGGGGACGACAGCATTAGCTTTAAGGAGCAAACGTTTTCTCTAATAAATTTGAATTATTTGTTTGGAATACAGTATTTGATTTCTTTACCTTGAAACCTTTAATAAATTAACACTAACTGTTCACTTACCTGGCTGAAATAAAAATAATCCATTACTATTGTGATGGCTTTGAATGCATCCGTGGCCTCCTTTTCATTTAAGAGCTTTACAGTCCTGCTTTTTCCCCCAGGTTTTCATTACAGGTGCTTATTTGTTGGATTGCTTTAAAAAATGCAGAAGGGGGTGGGGAAGCCAGCTGAACACAACACCCAAAGGTGGGGAAGCCAGTTCCACACCTAAATCCCTGCCATTATACCTAAAATACTGGATTTAACATTTGTGGGCGGAGTTATAAAGTAGCATTTATGAACACCTACATACATTACAATAGGTATATGGACAGGATGAGCAGCAGCATCGAATACTCTTTTCAGGGTGTGGGAGGCACTTAGAGGCTCAACAAATATATAAATTTAGATACAGTACTTTGCATGTTGTCTACCAAGCAACTCTGGAGCTTGGCAGCAAACCCTGACAGAACAATGCAAAAAGCAGCAGGAAATTTAGGCAATGCAGAGAAAGTAATTTACTCTTTGTCTTTTGGTGACACCCACCCCCAGTCAGAAAATGCCTCTTGTGTTCTCTCATGGAAGCCTCTTCAAATGCAGTACAGTGGTACCTCAGGTTAAGAACTTAATTCGTTCCGGAGATCCATTCTTAACCTGAAACTGTTCTTAACCTGAAGCACCACTTTAGCTAATGGGGCCTCCTGCTGCCGCTGCGCTGCCGCCGCACGATTTCTGTTCTTATCCTGAAGCAAAGTTCTTAACCCGAGGTACTATTCTGGGTTAGCGGAGTCTGTAACCTGAAGCGTCTGTAACCCGAGGTACCCCACTGTATTGTTAGACAAATCTCTTTCTTGCATGCTTTAATTCTTCCAGTAGAGGGCATTGTTGGATGGGAGTTTGAGGTTTTCAAACACGTCCCTTGTGGAATTTTGTGATTTATAAGAACTGCCAAAATGCTTTCTGACAGAACGTGCACAGTTCGTTTTTATTTTGTAAAAAATAATAATAGACAAGCTTATTCGCAGATTAAAAAAATAAATACAGAGTGTGTTGTGTATATAAAGGGCCAGAGAACGAGAATTGTGTCTCTACTGTACCCCCAGACTCGGAGGTCAAATGTCTCCTTGTAGTGGCTCTTCACTGGACGTTCAGTCAAGAGTCTTTCCCAGCCCTGAAGAGCATTGTACATGAAGTGGTGAGAAAACCGGGCTGCAGCATAACGGCAGCGCACAGTCCAACTGGAGCTTGCTCCCACAGGAGGCGGTGATGGTCACCAGATTGGATGGCTTTAAAAGACAAATTTGTGGGGGATACGGTATCAATGGCCACTAGCCATGGTGGCTATGCTCTGTTCCATAGTCTGAGGCAAGAAGGTTTCTTAATACCAGTTGCTGGAAACCACAGAAGGGGAAAGTGCTCATGTGCTCGGATCCTGCTTGAGGTTTTCTCACAGGCACCTGGTTGGCCTGATCCGTAGTTAACTGTAATAGTCTGTTCACACATGTAAGTCACCCCCACTGTTTAAGGTCCTCAGATGACAGAAATACTTGTTTGAATCAGTTCTGTGTCAGCCCTTCATCTGTAACATGGGGATAATAATGCCAATCCGTTTTTGAAAACTGAAGGATTTTCTGAAGTGATTGTATGGAGGGGTGCTACATAAATGCTAAATTCTGTTAGTTGGTTTTGAGGCATAATCTCCGTTCCTTTCAATGAGGCTTACACAGGTAGTCTTTGGCCGACTTTGTTTGAAACCCTTCAGGTGCAATACATCAGACATGTTTTTGTATGTCCAGATTTCACTGGAAAATATCCTAACCGGACACCTTATGTGCTGCTGGTGCATGCAAGAGCAATTCTGCGGAGAGCAACATGTCAAAGTAATTGCAAAGGAATGTCGTTTTTAGAATGTTTTTGCGTGTGCCAGGTAAGGGAAAGCAATAGCTACATGAAATATGTCAAAAAGATTTGAACCAGAGAGAAGAGCTTAACATGTGTTAAATTATTTTTTATCTGTCACTCGTATACCTATCCTGTGCGCTGTGTTTTCAAAACAATGAATGCCAGTGTTGAACAGTATGTTACTTCACTATAGCTAAATATTTTTTCCATGCTGATGGTGTTTGAAGGACTGTATAGGATTTGGTTCTTGTTGTTTAGGAGTCCACTTGCTGCATGGCCTTTTCAGTGCAGCCTCTGTGAATCACGTTGTGGTGAGATGCTTCTGGGTTTTCTCTTTTAATTAAAACTTGCTCTCTGGTTTTTAAACACCAAGTGAACAGAGTGCTACCACAGAGAAGTGTTCTTGTTTCATGGGCCAAAGGAAACCTCAGAAGTAGTCTTTTAGCTCACACAGACACAGTTATAACCTAACTTAGTGTTGTGTGTGTACAACCACACTTTTCATTTGTGTGCTCTACAGAGAAATGTTGTAGCTCCTAAGAAGACTGTCCATAAACCCCCAGGAAGCCATATCTTTGATTTAAACTAGTGATTCCCAAACATGTGTACCAATGACTTGTTTCTTTTGAGACCATGAATAGAAGCCCATCCTGCCATTAGCCTCTTTGATATACCGAGTGACACATGTACAGCTGAATGAGTGAAGAGGCCAATAGACTTACGAATGTGGTAGTCACTTTTTAGAGATGTGGAATATGTGGCTGTAGTAAATCCATGCACACATGGAACATAGTTGTGTGAATGTTAGCTGAAGTCAAAACTCATCCAGTCTACACACACACACATACACACACACACACACACACACACACACACACACACACTGCACCTGCTGCTGATTGGCTTGCAACCAGTAGTGCCGGTTGAGACAGCTATAGCTTGCAAGCTGCTGACCCACTTGGCCCAGGCAAAATGCTGTGACAGGCATGTGACTTTGGCAAGGTGCTGAGAATCTTCAGCAACATCCGTATGGTGCAGACTTCTGCATGCACTGTTTGTTGCACATGGCCTAGAGATCAGTGTGAATAGCAGCTGCCATGCTAGGAGCTTTACTCCCCAAATAGAGTTGTGCAATTATATGCTGCATTGAGGATGCAATGTACATCATGTCTCTGCTGAACCAGAGCGGGCACCATGCACTGGTAAGATGGGGCAGTTGCTGGGTCCTAGATCCATTAAGGAACCCACCAACTGAGAGCCCTCTTGGCACAGGATCCAGCAGGTCAAAAGTAGTGCATACTATCTCTGATATGTCCAAGCCTTATTAGGAGTCCCTTGTGACGGTATAATGAATTGAGAGCAGTTCCTTTCCCCTAAGATCCTGCGTGATTACTTTCTCCCACTTTTAAAGTGTCATTGAGTAGACAATTGCATTACGAAAGAAAATAAAGCCCCAACATGTTTTCTTTTCTTGTGATTTTGGCATTTATGCCAGAAGACAATCATTAGAGTCCTTACAACTTAACAGGCTCAATTCCATGCCACCAATGGTTCAGGACCTGCGCTTGGACAGGAATGATCAAATTACTTTAATAGTGGCTGAATTTTTGAGTGCTGTCCATGTAGAAAGACTGGGCCATTATAAAGAGATTTAGTGGTTCTTAATTGATCGGGGATGTGATAGTGTTATATTGTATTATTTATGCAAATTGATTTTCTCTGGAGTTAAAGATCTGACTGGGACAAACCTTGTTATGCTGAATTCGTATTTTGCACAATTTGTATACGGTGTTTGTTTGATAATGTGTGGTTTGCTATGTCTAATAAAGGATAAAGCCCCAAATTAATCTGGTACGGTTAACAAGGAGTGGATGCTATCTGCTAGGTCTTTCATCAGGCAAACAAGTATTTAATCAAGACACCGGGAGTTTGAAAAACTTCCTCTTCCAGGCTTTTTGACAATGGGTCTTTCTGCTGAATTGTGAAACAGAAGTGGGTCTTCATTGAACAGTATATTGCGTTTTTAAGCATGCTTTGTTTTTACATGTGGTTTTATGCATTGGTATATAGGTGACCCGCCCTGAGAACATCTTACGATGAAGAGCTGGTTATACTTGTGACATGTTGTTGCTGGCATCCCTCTGTCTTGAGAGAGAATGGAATGTACCTCTGGGGTGAAGTCAAACTGTGACATTAGCCACATTGAATATAAAAAAATGTTGTTACAAAGGAGGGAGAACCAGTTTTCTTTTGATTTGCAAAACTTTTTCTAACTTGAACTCATTATTCGGCAGCTAAATTTCATGGTCAGCTGTTCTAGAAACCCTTTTAGAGTTGAAGGAGAATGGTAGAAATCTCTTGCCAATGATAATGATAATAATAAATATTAACATGTAGAAATAAGATTTTTTAAAAAACAAAAACAAACATAAGATAAAAAGGGCAGAGGGGAGAACTGAAGATGGTTTACATCAACAAAACATATTATGATATAACCCCCCCCCCAAATAACTTAAACCACAATCGTAATAAAACACAACCCAAGGAGCTAAAAATTCCAGCAAGGAACAAAAGCAGCATTCCACAAGACCAAAAAACAAGAGGGGGCAGGACCCAGGACCATCAGAAAACCCATTTTCTCAGCTCCGGACTTCCTTGAATAACCATGTTTAAAGCAAGTGCCTAAAGTTTATATGCGGGACACGGGTGGCGCTGTGGGTAAAACCTCAGTGCCTAGGACTTGCCGATTGCATGGTTAGCAGTTCGAATCCCCGCGGCGGGGTGAGCTCCCGTCGTTCGGTCCCAGCTCCTGCCCACCTAGCAGTTCGAAAGCACCCTTAAGTGCAAGTAGATAAATAGGTACCGCTTTATAGTGGGAAGGTAAACGGTGTTTCCGTGTGCTGCGCTGGTGCTGGCTCGCCAGATGCAGCTTGTCACTCTGGCCACGTGACCCGGAAGTGTCTGTGGACAGCGCTGGCTCCTGGCCTCTTAAGTGAGATGAGCGCACAACCCTAGAGTCGGACACGACTGGCGCGTACGGGCAGGGGTACCTTTATCTTTTACTAAACATTATATAGTGCCATTTTTTAAAAAAACTGAAAGCATCCTGCAATGGAGATCAAACTTTTAAGTAAACAACCTCCTACTTATCTTTCTTGTGTTCTTTGAAATATTTCCTGGTAACTCCCTTTGATGAGCATGTGACAGGCAACACAAATCTGTGCTAACATATCTGTGTGGGTGTTTGCTTTGGCACATGTTAATCTGAACTAACAAGTTACTTCCCCCAAGTAATTTACTTCACACCTGCCGTTGTGTTAAAGGGTTTATAATGAATGGCCAACCAGCTAGCCAGCCCTCCTCTCCCCTGGTTAACATAGGAGAATCAGATGTCACTTATTTTGGTGGTTTTTATTATTATTAATTTTATTTTATTATTATGGTGGGTCAGCATGGTGGGTCAGCATGATGGGGCATCAGTCAAGGGCTCACTCCCAGGAGCCCCCTGGACCTGCCCCTCCTGCTCCCCATTGCAACCTACTTGGTTTCCTGCATCTCTCTCATTTCTGCCTAGGCAATGGTGCAGCAACAGGCAAAGGATCAGTTAGTGCTACTCTGCGCTTACTCATTAGCTCTCTGCCTGGCATGCAAGCAGGGGATAGCCGTGATAAGGAAAAGCAGCAGCAGCAGCTGGTGATAGTGTTGGTGAAGAGCAAGACTTGCTGTGGGAAGCTTATGGAGGATATCTAGCCAAAGTGCCCCCCCCAAAAAAACCTGGAGCCATCCCAGTTGGGAGCTGTCATCTCTATCATAATTCTTATTGGCGAGTTCCAGTAACACCCACATAAGCACTGCAACTGAAAGGGTGGCATACATCGCATGCGGTAGTGGGGCTGAAGACCCAACAAGCACCCATTTCTTCAAAGGCTTTCAGGCTAGGTGGGGAAGGGTCCTGGCCAGCAACTAGCTGTGTTTATGGGATTGTCAGAGGTGGCACTGATGCTCCAGCAAAGACAGTCCTCAACCTCTCGTGGCTTAGAGGAAAAGGTGTGGTGGCTCCACTGGCACTGTACGGATGCCATTACTAAACACAGAAAGCATCATGCAAGAGAAGATCTCTTCTACTAGCATACTTCATGGCCTTCTATGTCACCTCCCCACCCTGGTCTCTGTATGCAGCTCTTGCAGATGTGAGGTCAAATATAGGGCACCATCCACACTCTGCAATAGGTTCAGTTCACTTTGGAGCGTATCAGATAGCTGTCAGGAAATGGGTCTTTCTGCGCTCTCAAATCTGCACAGAAGCAGAGAATAGGGTGGTACATATGAAGCTGCCTTATCCAGAGTCAGGTTATTGGTCTAGCTCAGTAATCTACACTGACTTAGGAGCAGACCTCCAGGATTCCAGGGAGGGGTCTTCCCTGGTGTAGTGATAGCTACCAGCTTAGATGCCACCACTATGGCCATAATGCCAGTGCTTTGCCTCTATCAGTTGCTGGGAATCACAAGCGAGGAAGGTGCCGTTGTACTTGGGTCCTGCTTGCAGGCTTCCCATAGACCAGCTGGCTAGCCACTGTGAGAACCAGATGCTGGACTAGATAGGCCTTTGACTTGACCCAACAGGACAGATGCTAGGGACAAAAGGAAGGACTTTACGCATGCAGAGCAGATGCTGTACCGCTGAACCCTTCCCATGTGTGGTGGACTGCATGATACAGAATGGAGAGGTGGTTCTTTGAAAGTGCCCATAGAGAAGACATTCATGGCAGAAGAGAAGCAGCAGCAGGAGGAGGTAGTGGGGAAAACAACAACTCCACTCACTGTTACTCTCAGCTGGCTGGGCCAGGCACCCGCCCCCCCTGTAGATTTGGGAACCAACTGTTCTGTAAGGAAGAGCAGCTTCGCGGGTGTTGGCACTGCAGAACCAACAAGCTGGTGTCGGATTCCGGCAAGGACTCAGAGCGCCAAGTCCTCATCCTTTAAGGTCAACAAGGTATGGCTCAATTGCAGCTACAGTGGTACCTCGGGTTAAGTACTTAATTTGTTCCGGAGGTCCATTCTTAACCTGAAACTGTTCTTAACCTGAAGCACCACTTTAGCTAATGAGGCTTCCTGCTGCTGCCGTGCCACCGCCCCACGATTTCTGTTCTCATTCTGAAGCAAAGTTCTTAACCCAAGGTAACATTTCTGGGTTAGCGGAGTCTGTAACCTGAAGCATATGTAACCTGAAGCATATGTAACCCAAGGTACCACTGTACTTCCAAGAAGGCTGGCTACACCAGGCTGTTTTCCCAGGTACTGTCAAGGCAAAAAAACCCCACAGCAATCCCCTGTTACAAGAACTGTTCCAGAAGCTCTGCAAACACCAAGATAACTCCACAATTAATTGGTAGATGTTGTAACAATGAGCTCATATATGTTTATATTCACTTGCTTTGATATAAGCTGATTGCCTTGCTTTGATGTTATCCTTATCGATGGGCTTGGGGTGCTGGGCTCTGAGCCCACAAAAGGGAACTGTCTGTAAGACTTGGGTATTTGCCACCTATGCTCTCATCCGGTCAGGTGAAGTGATGGGAAGTTCTGGCCAAAGTGATGCATGCTGCTTTGGGTATAAAGAATGTATAAAACGTTTGCCTGGGTGCAGACTAGTCATGACGGCTTCTCACTGTTGCAGTATCCGTCATGCATATGCAAAGGCAGTGGGGCTCTGCAGGCTGTGCTGTAAACCTACGTTTCCTTCTTAAAATAAAGCACTGGAACTGATCACTGTTGTTTTTTGACATCTTTCTTCAGTGTGTCTGCAGCAAACCACTCCTACAAGCCCTGCTTTGGGCCGGTGGATCAGGACAAGAACCTTGTAACATCAAGGATTTGGTGCAGAATTCGCCAGTTGCCCTCTTCCCTCACCATCCGTTGTTCCTTTTCTGTCATGTCTGAAAGCAAGGACTCTGGTTGTTATATAAAAATATATAAATATATATCTCTAAAATGAACAATAAGCCATTCTGGAGAGCCTTTTTGGCTAAAGAATGGGATAAAGTTTTCTGAATGAATGTAGATTCTTGTATGTCATCTCCCTCTCTTGTTCCTTAAATTTAAAAAGATTTTTTTAAAATTATTATTCTGGTACTGTATATTGTTTACGCAACCAGTTTTTTGTGTTTTTATATGTAGCTTTTAAAGAAGTTTAGATGGAATGGAATCAATGACTATTATGACAGCTAGAGGAAACCTCCATTTACAGCAGTAGTATACAGTGGTACCACAGGTTAAGTACTTAATTTGTTCCGGAGTTCCGTTCTTAACCTGAAACTGTTCTTAACCTGAAGCACCACTTTAGCTAATGGGGCCTCCTGCTGCTGCCGCGCCGCCGGAGCACGATTTCTGTTCTCATCCTGAAGCAAAGTTCTTAACCTGAAGCACTATTTCTGGGTTAGCGGAGTCTGTAACCTGAAGTGTATGTAACCTGAAACGTATGTAACCCGAGGTACCACTTTATTGCCAAACCCACAGTGCTGGAGACAACAGTCCCTCAAATTCACAGCTGGGATGTAAACTCCCCAGGGCACCTGGTTGGTTGCTGTCTGGCAAACTGATTTAGACAGTCTACACAGTAATCCAGCATGGGCAGTTTATGCTCATTTGTAGGTCTTATATTCCCAGGTGCAGGAAGGGGTTCTCATTTGTTCACATGAAGAGAGACAAGATTCTTCATGTCCCCTAGTACCAACTGCCAAGAAACTAGTCACTAAATGCAAATTCCAAGATGCCACAGTTGATAGAATGCACTTGGCAATTGCAATGCTTCCTTTCCAACAAGATTAGCTGGAAGCTATGCCCTTTTTGACAGGTATTGTTCTGTCTTGTGGTTCTAAATGCCCCAGGCCAGTAGTGCAGTATAACTAGATGGAAGGTGTAACCCCCCACCCCCCATGGACAACATGGAAGAGGGCACAAAAAGGGCGGGAAACACAAGCCCTGGAGGTTGAATGTGGCTCTCTCCCCAGGCCGTACACCCCCTTGCCAGACCTGCTTTATAGAACCTCATTGACTTTTTTGTTTGTCTGGAATGTGTTCTTGAACTCTCATAATGGCTCTTGGTTGTCTGAATAGAGAAGGTTTGTGAGTGTGGATAGAACCAAGTCTACTGCACGCAGGCCAAAAAAAATAATAAAAAAAATCAAACCCATTGTTTCACACACTTTTACCTCTGCCCCCACCCACCACTGGCATATGCCACTCGCCCAGGAAGGTTGCGCAGATGAGAATAAGGCCTGAGTATGAAAAGGGTTCCCTACCTTGAATATGTTGGCTTTACAATACTGTTAAATTATGACATTTATTTATTTGTATACACTATATATGTGCATATGGCTGTATCAAAACATCAGGGTAGTGTATAACAATAAAACATAAACACCATTAAAGCAGTGGAATGATCTGTTACTCAGAGGCTTGGACAGGGCAGCAGGCCAGGTGGATTGGCACCTTGCAGCATTTCCCCGTCCTTGTGAACACAACTTACTACAAGCACATTCTCCTGCCTGCTGAACGGCATTGGCAGGAGAAGCATCTTTTAAGCTAGGGTGGGGCAATGGTTAGTTGAGAGTGTGAGACGCAGGTTCAAGCTGCCACCCCCCCCCCCATGAAACTCTCAGGGGCTGCACAAGCACCATGCATGTAAAGCCCTTGCTTCCCACCACCCTAAAAAGAATCCTGGGAACTGCAGTTTGTTAAGGATTCTGGGAATTGTAGCTCCCGAGAGGGGTAAACTACAGTTCCCAGGATTAATTTCAGGTTAGCCTACACCACAGACTTATTGTGAGGATAAAAGCCGGCGGGGGTGGGTGGGGGTTAGAGAGGGAAAAACGTAGGCTGATAGTACCTTGAGCTTCTTGGAAGAAAGGCAGACTATCGCCACCACGTGTGAAATCTGAACAGGACCGGTGAGCATTTCGGAGCAATATTTGTGAAAAGTCCATCCTTAACACTGTTCTCTCGCTTGTTGCTTTTCCCACGAGGAAGGGCAAAAGAGCCCGAGAAGCTTCTCCGCGAACCACTTTGGAAGGATGTGTCGCGGCTCCGGCGTAACCGACTGCGGCGAGGGAAAGGCTCTTTGCCCATGCTCAGAGGCACTCTGGCCTTTAGCCAGACCTTTCCTTTCCAGGACGGAGCCCTGGCATCCACCCCGCCTTCTGCCGCGGAGCAGACACAACAGAGCAGCAAGCGAGGGCTTTTTCTCTTGGGCACCAACGTGGCCAAACAGCAGCAGCAGCGGCAAAACCTTTTCTAGGGCGAGACGAAACCCGCTTGGCTGTGGGCGCGGCGGCGGCGGCTGCCGGCTTAGCTCTGTCTCCCTGCCTGGGCATCTCCCCGTCCTCCGCGCCACTTACTCCCGAGTAGACATGCTTCGGCGGGGCTCTGCGGGAAGCCTCCTCCCTCCTCTGCCTCCAGCTCGGCCCCGCTCCCCTCCGGCCTGGATTAAGCAGCCGCTTGCTCCCGCCCCCGGCTGCTCTCCGGCTAAATCTCCGCGGTGCCGAGGGCCCCAAATAAATCCCGGGGAGGGAGGACGGCCGGCCGTGTAATCCGATTCCCGGCAGGGCGCGAGGGGGCCAGGCCTGCGCCGAGGGCTAACTTCCCTGCCGCCCTTGATTCCGCTGCACAGACGAGCCGGGGGCAGCAGCCGGAGCTGCAGGCTCCGAGGAGGAGCCGCCTCTCATGCGCTAGGTGACCCTTTCTCCCCGCCCTCGTCCCCCGCACAGACCCACACGCAGCCTGGCAGCCCAGAGGAGCCACGGCGGCGGCGGCGGAGGGAGAGCGCGCGCGCCCGCCCGCGCGGCTACAAGACGACCGCAGGTGAGCGTGGGTGTGTGGGGTGCGCGTGTGTATATGTATATGTATATTGCCTAAAGGGTTGCTTGCCCTAGAATCCTAGAACTGTAGAGTTCGGAAGAGGGACCCTGAGGATCATCTGGTCCAACCCCCTGGACTGTGCAGCTGCCCACCACCCGTTAGATGGAGTCAACCTTCAGCCTTGGTGTTATGACCAGCACCATGCTCTAACCAGCTGAGCTACCTTACCCAGGTGTGCAGTAGCACTGCTGTGGCTTTAAAGCACAGCTGCACACGCCAGGCGGAAATTCAGCCGGTGCAACCTTTCGTCAGGCAACATTGTAATAATAATAATTTATTATTTATGCCCTGCCCATCTGGCTGGGTTTCCCAGGAAGGAAAGGCACACACCTGTTTTGTGTTCATGAGGGGTGGAATGGCAGGACGGGGAGCAATAGCGGTGATATATAACTTAAGCATGGTTTGTTTAAGAGTGGGAAGCGTTTGCTCAAATTATCTAGCTGGTCGTTCATATAAGAGCTTACTGCCTAACATAGGAGCTAACTCCTGGGGGCCGAGGTCCCTTTGCCCCCCCCATAAAATATTTGAGGGAGCCGGAGCCCCCAAAGTTGATGGGCATTGCCATTCAAATGGTGTGCGCTGTGTCATGTGTTCGATTATGTGGGGCAGGGTCTACCTGACACGCGCCCCCCCCCCCAGTATTTTATTCAAGTTGGCCCTCCTGCTGCCTAACTTTTAAGAACCGGTGCCTGAGGACTGCTCCAGGTGACTAGCTTATTGAGCATTGCTCTGGACTTCATTGCACAAAGGTTGCCTGAGGTTAGATTATTCCAGGTCTTGGTTGAGCATTTGTTCTGATTCCTTTCAAGTTTCACCATGTCCTAGCTTCCCTCTCCCACAAAACAGGTGGTAGTCAGGCAGCATCCTGAGTTTTGCTTGTTTTCTTTCTCCCTTCCCATCTCTTTTTGTTTTTTTCCCTTTTGTGTTGTATACTTTATTTTTTTAAAAAAATAATATTTATTACTTTTCCAAAAGCTTAAACACTAAAAAGACAATACAATGCAATACATTAAACTAACAAAACAAAACAAAACAAAACAAAAACAATAAAATAAATCAAACAATTTCATTATCCCATCTTTCATTCACTTATTTCCACGACCTCCTCACACCTCCCTTTTTGTATTCCACTTCTGTTAATTATTTCAGCAATTCCTTTCCATCTTCCTCTGTTTTCTATCCTATAATTATCTTAACTCATTCTAACCTTATTTTTTCCTTTAATGCTCTATTAATCTATCTATACTTAATTCCTTATAACATTTCTACTAAAGCCATATAACTTCATTCCAACATTTTTCTAACATTCATTAATTTTACAGTATTTCTTTAAATAATCTTTGAATTTTTTCCAATCTTTTTCCACCGACTCTTCTCCCTGGTCTCGGATTCTGCCAGTCATTTCCGCCAGTTCCATATAGTCCATCAACTTCATCTGCCATTCTTCCCGGGTGGGTAAATCTTGTGTCTTCCAATATTTTGCGATGAGTATCCTTGCTGCTGTTGTTGCATACATAAAGAAAGTTCTATCCTTCTTTGACACCAATTGGCTGACCATGCCCAGGAGAAAGGCCTCTGGTTTCTTCAGAAAGGTATATTTAAATACCTTTTTCATTTCGTTATAAATCATCTCCCAGAATGTCTTAATCCTTGGGCATGTCCACCAAAGGTGAAAGAATGTGCCTTCAGTCTCGTTGCATTTCCAACATTTATTGTCGGGCAAATGGTAAATTTTTGCAAGCTTGACTGGTGTCATGTACCACCTATAAATCATTTTCATTAAGTTTTCTCTTAAGGCATTACATGCCGTAAATTTCATACCTGTGGTCCATAACTGTTCCCAGTCAGCCATCATTATGTTATGTCCAACATCTTGTGCCCATTTAATCATAGCTGATTTCACTGTTTCATCCTGAGTGTTCCATTTCAACAGCAAGTTGTACATTTTTGACAGATTCTTAATTTTTGAATCTAACAATTCTGTTTCCAATTTGGATTTTTCCACCTGGAAACCAACTTTTTTGTCCAAATTGTATGCCTCCATTATTTGATAATAATGGAGCCAATCTCGCACTTTGTTTTTCAATTTTTCAAAGCTCTGCAATTTTAATCTGTCTCCATCTTGTTCCAGAATTTCCCAATATTTCGGCCATTTGGCCTCCATATTGAGTTTTTTCTGTGCCTTCGCTTCCATTGGTGACAACCATCTTGGGGTTTTCTTTTCTAACAAATCCTTATATCTTATCCAAACATTAAACAATGCTTTTCTAACAATATGATTTTTAAACGCTTTATGTACTTTTACCTTATCGTACCACAAATATGCATGCCAACCAAATACATTATTGACACCTTCTAAATGTGTTGTGTACTTTAGATGGGAAGCCTGCAGGCAAGGACCGTCTTGTTATCCTTGCTGTTATGTATGTAAGTTGCTCTTGCAGGCTTTTTTTGCTTGAAGAACAGAGTGAAAAATGCTTAAAATAAATAAGTGTAAGGGAAGTAGGTTGAAGGAGAAAAGGTGGCTGGTTGGAAGTGGAGGTTAGGCTGGAGCAGGGGGTGGGAGACGTGTGACCCTCCCATTGTTGTTGGACCCTTGGTTAAGGTTACCAGATGTCCCCGTTTCCTGGGGACAGTCCCCGGATTTGCAAATCAGTCCCCTGACAAAATCCATCCCCTTCAACTGAAGTTGAAAAGTGTCCCCAGATTCATTGAAAAAAATCTGGTAACCTTACCCTTGGCAGTGGTGCCTGGGGCTTATAGGAGTCCAACAATAGCTGGAGGTCAGCCACACACCTGACCTAGAGAGGAGAGGCAGGCTATTGACAATGAACTGCTCACTCTGTGCACCCCCCCCCAACTAAGATGGTCAGAGACAAAAAGTGTACCAGGCTCCTGTACTTTTACCATTTGTGTAGAAGAGGAAATTTCAGCACATGTCGCTGGTCATGCAAGCTATACTTGCTGAAATCCCCCTTTCTACGCAACTATCAAAGATGCAGGAGTCTGGTTTTATTTGTTTGCTTGCACCTGACCCTCTTTCACATGACCTCCAGGCCCAAGGAGCCTGCCCTTACTATCTGCACTCTCAGCTGCTGATGCTTCTATGTGTGAGCCAAGACCTAAGCCAAGTGTGGGGAACCTTTGGCCCTCCAGATGTTGCTGAACTACAAACATCCCTATCTGCTGGTTGTGCTTGCTGAGGCTGCTGGGAGTTATAGTTCAGCAACATCTGGAGAGTCAAAGCACACCCACCCACCCACCCCTTGATCTAGGCAAGTAAGGAATGAATAAGAACAGAATTATTTTCTCCCGTTCGCATTGGTGGGGTAGATTCTTCTTTAGCCTCTTTGCCTGTGTCTCACAATGGAGGCACCATGGATGAACTGGGGAGGAAAGGATTAAAGAGATCTTTGCTTGTGTTTCGCCCAGTTTTTACCAGAATGAGTCAGCGGGTGGAGGAGCGTATGATGCTTGCTGGCTCTTCAGCTTTTACTCAAGGCAAAATATAGACTCTCTTCCACTCTCCCACTGTTAAAAAATAATTGCTAACCAGGATTCTAGAGAGAGTTGTGGAGCAAAGGTGTTCTTCGGAAGCTCAAAAGTGTCAAGAAAGCAAATTGTGACTCGCAGCATGGACTGAAGTGGAAGGAAACAAGAGCTTGGCTTGGTCAAGCTTTACCCACAAATCCCTCAGCTCCCCAAATTTTAGCTGAAACATGCCTTTTCTCATCCCACAAACCAGCAGAAGCCATCATAGTGCCTTCCAGAAGGTGTGGAACAACAACTCCCATCATTCTAATGAGTACTGATGGGAGTTATAGTCCAGCAAAATCTGGAGGATGCCCTGCCATAAACTTAATTGTAAAAAGGGTTACTTCCAACCATCACCCCCAAGAGCTTGTGTGTGCTGGTCCTGTGGGTTTCCGTGAGACGTGGTCCGAGTCCAGTCCGAGGTCGAGGGTGCAGTAATGAGGCCGTCCATCAAAGTTGAAGCTGGGTCCAAAGCAGGGAGTCAGGTGAGGTCAGGAGATTCGGCAGGACAGGGTGCAGGCAGGAACAGGCTACCAACAACGTTGCTCCTGCAACTTGGGATTGGGGCTGGCTGGCTTTCATCTGCCCCAAGGCATAGGGCGGCCCCAGTCCACAGGTGACTCGCCTCTCCTGGCCTGGAGGCGAGCATTCCTCCTGCGGGAACTTAGTTCCCTCCGCCTCTCTGCCCTGAGCCTCTGCAGCTCAGGAGAGGCTGGAAGGTTACCGGACCCAGAGGCAACCTCAGCTTCCTCTGATGGGGCTGAGAGTGGAGCACCTGAAGGCAGTGGGTCCTCCATCACCTCAGGGGCCAGAGCAGACTCAGCTGGTGCATGCACCTGAGGATCCCGCACAGGTGAGGACCCTTCAGGCTCAAGCCCCAGCCCTGGCTCAGCTGGTTCTGGAGGCGGGGACTGCTGTGCAGGCTGGGATTCCTCAGGTTCAGCCTCCGAGTCCGAATCCCAGGCCATCACATTGTGGGTACAGCAGTGTTTCCCAAACGCGGTCCTCAAACTGTTTTTGGACTACAACTCCCATCATCGCGAGCTAGCAAGATGATTGGAATTGTGATCCAAACCCAACTGGAGACCCAAGTTTGGGAAACATTGCAGTAGAGTTTTGCATCCCCGATGTAATTAGGAATATGGATCGAGAGGTTAATTATTCCAAATAATTTATAAGAAGAATAGAAGAGCAGGTGTTTGGTGTTGCATGATGTGCAGTGCATCTGATAAGCTTTTATGAGGCCAGAATTTCTATCTGGTTCTTAAGTAGAATACAGGATGTGCACCACATATATAGGATCACATAATTGCACCTCCTGCTGATTACCGTATTTTTCGCCCTATAGGACACACTTTTTCCCCTCCAAAAATGAAGGGGAAATGTGTGTGCGTCCTATGGGGTGCGTCCAGGCTTCAGGAGAGCCCCAGCCCTACAAGCTCGGGGGACAGCGGGGAGGCGCAGCGCGCCTTTCCCGCTGTCCCCCGACTTGGTTAGAAGGCTGGCGGGGAGAAGCCTGCTCCTCCCCGTCACCAGCCCCGCAAGCTCGGGGACAGCGGGAGGCGCAGCGCGCCTTCCTGCTGTCCCCGACTTCGCTAGAAGGCTGGCGGAGGGCTTCCCCCTCCTCCATCCCCGCAAGCTCCCAGAGCCATGCCAAAGCTGCAAGCAGCTTCGGCATTGCTCTGGGTCCCGTTCTGGGGGCTGGGGGAGGGGGAAGCTCGGGCTTCCCCCGCCCCACGCCTGGGGAAAAAAATAATTTCCCCCCCTTATTTCCTCCCCCAAAATCTAGGTGCGTCCTATGGGCCGGTGCGTTCTATAGGGCGAAAAATACGGTAATCTTGGAACAGGGAGTCCCTGATTCTGGCTTCCCAGTTGCCCATTAAACTGAGGATTCTAATGTGCATTAGTGACCTGGAAGATGGAACTGGGAGTGGCTGTCTGTTTAGATTAATTAACAGAGAACACAAGAATGTGGTGGTGTGCTTTTAGACTTATAGGCGGAGTGCTAAAACTACATTGCCTATTGTGCAGTGCAATCCTATACTGGCTTACTCAGAAGTAAGTCCCAGTGAGGCTCCCCAGATAACACACTTGCCATGTCCCTATAAAACACAAATTCAGGGTTTTTGTGTGTGTTTTTAAAGGGAAAACTGGACATTTCCCATTCTTTCAATTTGTGGAAAGAACATTCGGTCCATGTGAATTTTGAGCAAAGGATTATAGGGGAGATCTGTCAACATATTTACCAGTTCAGTGGGTTGCCAGGTCTCACTGGAGAACTTGTGCTTGTATCTGAGACAGCTGCTGCACCTCCTTTGGTCCCTGCCTCCTCCTGGGGGGCTAAAACTAGGCATTTTGCTTGCTAAAGCAGGTGAGGAAAGAGAGCAGACAAAGGCAACAGTGCAGCATCTTCAGCATCTCCTACTCTACTGCCCTGGAACGAGGTCTCTAAGGTGCAAATTAATGACCCTAGTCAATGTAGGCAACCAGCTGTTCTACTCAGGCACATAGTTTTAAAAGGATGTACATTTTCCCAGCTGCCTAGTACCAGTATGCCTTCATATCCTTTGCTTGCTCTCTTGGGTGTAAACCCCATTGATCTCAGTGCACCTGACAGACTGAAACAAGCTAAAACTAGTAAGTATGGCAATTGGAAGCATTGCTTGTTTACAAGCAAGAATTTGTGCCTTGCTAATGCCCCCCCACTGGCCGCCCCTCTCCCTCCCCTTCAAATCATTCCTTTTGCCAGAGCATACTTCAAAAGCAGGAAGCAGCGGGAGAGGAAGGGATGCAGTGCAGTGAGGAAATACGCTGAGAATGGGTTATCTAAATGCTCCTCCACCCAGATCTGAAGCATTCATCCCCCCCCCCACCATGCCAGACTAGGCTGTAGGTAATCAGATGCAAAGGCTTTTGCATCTCTGCAGAGTTGTGCAGAATGACTTTTGCCCACCTGGGGCTCTCTGGATGTTTTGAAATACAACTCCCAACAGACCCAGGCAGTGCAGCTGGTTGTGACTGATGGAAGTTGTAGTCCAAAACATCTGGATGGCAAAGGCTGGGGTAGAAGGTTGGTGCAACTTTCCTTGTCCCTATATTAAAAGATGCATATACATCAATATTTTCTCTTCTGCTGGATGGGCCACCTTTGTGTCTGGGGAGGTTCGTCTTGAGAAGGGGGCCATGATTCAGTGTTAGAGCACATGCTCTGCATGGATAAGGACCCAGGTTCAACCACCAGTGAAAAGGATCAAGTAATACATCTCCCTTTCTAACCTGTATTCTCTTGTCACGTATTGCTCGTATCATTGCTTTCGTGGACAAGGGTCATATAAAAGCCTCCCTGCAGTAGAAAAACTCATCTCTGGAAAGGGTGGAAAGGGAATTAGCCACAGTAGTCTTCTTGGATGGATGCTTGATTTTAAAGGTTCGGGATTGACATCTTTATGGATTTTATTGCATTATTTGTGTGAATTGTCCTAAGCTTTTCCAGGAAATCTGCAGATAAATTATGGGCAGAGTCAGGGGCCTAGCCAGGATTTATTCGGGGGCGGGGCAGGCTTTATGCTAGGGGCCCCTAACCGAATTATCTGTGGTGTAATTGGTCAGTTACAGTGGTGCCCCGCAAGACGAATGCCTCGCAAGACGAAAAACGCGCTAGACGAAAGGGTTTTGCGTTTTTTGAGCTGCTTCGCAAGACAAATTTCCCTATGGGCTTGCTTTGCAAGACGAAAACGTCTTGCAAGTTTGTTTCCTTTTTCTTAAAACCGTTACAGTAATACAGGGTGCATTGCTTGAAGAGGTGCAGTTGCGACTTGACTTCGAGGAGCAACTCATAGAACGCAGTGTGGTAGCCTTTTTTGAGGTTTTTAAAGACTTTGGTGATTTTTGAAGCTTTTCCAAAACTTCTTTTGCAGCCATTTGGTAAGTTAAACTTTTAAAACTTTTTGGGGGTTTTGGATTTTGGGTTGGGGTGTTTGGAATTCAAGGACTTGGTGTTGGGGAGGGGTTTGCAAGAATCTGGAAGCTTGTGTGTTTTTTTTCTGCATTTTTATGATTTTCTGTGACCATTGGGCCACTCTGCTGTTTTTTTTTTAAAAATTCTGGATTTGAATTTCTGTGTGGTGGGTGGCTGGGGGAACAGTTGAGGAGGGGTTTGCAAGAATCTGGAAGCTTGTGTGGTTTTTTCTGAATTTTTATGATTTTCTGTGACCATTGGGCCACTCTGCTGTTTTTTTTTAAAAAATTTGGATTTGAATTTCTGTGTGGTGGGTGTGACTTTAAAGAGCACTTAATAAACTCTTTTTGTACCAAATTTGGCTTTGTTTGGACTTTTTTTGACCATAGGAACGCATTAATTGAATTTCAATGCATTCCTATGGGATTTCGTGCTTCGCAAGACGAAAAATTCGTTGGATGAAAAAACTCGCGGAACGAATTAATTTCGTCTTGCGAGGCACCACTGTAGTTAAGCATTTTTATTTATTTATTTGATTGGGTGGGCAGCTGCACCCCCTGAACCCCACTGGCTGCACCCATAGGCGGGGGTGGGGGTGGGTGGTATGGAATTTGTCATCTGTGTTATGGGTCTTGGGCGGGGTGTGTATGTGTGTGCAGCAGTCTTCCTATACTTGGTCTCATTCCCTTCCTCCCACTCTTTTCGTTGTGTAATGGGGAGAGTGCCATCACTGGATATGGGACACTGGACAGGATGAACTTGTGCAAATGCACTGATAATTCTTTTTCTTCAAATGAACTTAGGAAGCCGCCTTACACCAAGTCAGGCCGGTGGTCGGTTTAGCTGAGTATTGTCTACACTGACTGGCAGGGTTTCAGACAGGGAGGGACTGCATTTCCAGACGTACTTGGAGATACTAGCAATTTAACCACTGCATTGAAAGCAGATTAAATTTGATGCTCTGCAACTGAGCTATGGCTCATTGAATATAGATTTCTTTTGCTCATGGTCCGCGGGAAAGCAAATTTTCTTTAGGTAAGTATTTGGGCCAATTTCCAGTAGACCCCCAGTAAACCACTGCAGGAGTTTATGGGATGCAAAACTTTCCTTCCATGAAGTTCCTTCCCTTATTATTTTTTTAGGATCCAAGCCTTATCGACAACAATTTACTTATTTACGGTGAAATTTGGGCATAGATGGAAGTCTGCAGAAACTTCTTAAGGCTTTCAGCATTGGGGAAACATGCTTATTTTATGCTGCCATTAGTTTGGTCCTGCGTCAGGATTTATTTATGGAGCCCTCTAGACTAGCTCTCATTTCTCTCAATGATGCCGCCAGATTGCACTTACTACCTTAAAAAAACAAACAAAAGTGGCCTAGTGATGAATTCATTGCTCAGGAGGAACTGGTTCGAGTGAGTTTTGCATGGAGGCTTTTGAGTACAGTGATTTGATTGTATTAACAAGCAGATTGGAAGGCCACCTTCTGCTCACAGCTTTCCATGCCTGTTCCCTGCAGAGCTGATGAAGGAACGTTTCCTTCAATGCTGGCAAATTACTAGGACAACAAGAAAACTTAATGAAACGCGGCAGGATTAAGGCGTGCTCTAAAAGTTATGCCTTGATTGCAGGTAGCACCAGTCTTCGTAAAATCCATTTTCATTGCTACAGTTTATTTCAAAGTCCCACTGCACAGCATTTCTCGATCCAGAAATATTTTTATGTGCAGATTCCTAGAGTGAACACAGTGGCCAATTTCTCCTTCCTCTGAGCTAAGCCATGGTTTGGCTTAGTGTGTCATCGGAAGCACGCATTGCCCCACCAACCTCAGCCTCCCCTCCCCTCCCCTGCCTGCCTGCTGTCTTGTTACATACAACCAGCCCATGGAGTGGCATTGCTTGCCAGCTTCTTCCTCCTCAGTCTTGTAGAACTTTGCGGGGAAGGAGGATGGGAGCAAACCTGGAATTACCTGGCTGTTCCTGTCTTTCGCTGTGGCTCTGCTTACTGCTGGTCTCCCTTCCTTCCACCCTCCCAGTCTCAAGAAGCATCTGCAACCACTGGAAACCAGGGTTATGGTTGACTCTCCTGGACAAATCACAAGCTGTAAACCACGGTAGGTCAAACCTGGTTTATAGCTTGTGGTTTGTCTGGACAGTGCTGTATCACAAGTCCAGGTTATGCCAATCCATGACTTGGCTCAATGCAGGGCAGAAGCAAAATAACCAAGGTTGAGCAAAGTGGCTATAATCTCCTCTATAGGAGCCTGCTCGCTCATACTAAGCCATGGTTTGTAATTGATCTTAAGGGGACTGTTCTGGAGCAAAGGAACCTCAAGTGGAGACTTCAGTGTGAAACTCCAGAATTACAATTCATCAAGAAGTTCAGTGCTGTCATTTGTGGATTGCATTGTCACAGTGGATTCTTTTAAAAAAACACAAATCACATGACATGGGTTAGCTGACTTGCCAGTGTGAAGATGTCTGTGTTATCAACACAACTTTTTGTGTGTGTGAATGGCCACGGTTAGGAATGAAATACATGCACACTTTCAACTCAGAATAGCGTCTCATGCGTCTAATGAAGTGGAGTGTAGTTGACAAATGCTTTTGCCGTAAAAAAAATATATGGTGGACTTTCATGAATGCGTTAGCCATGTGACTGTTATTTTTGCTATAGTAAAGTATGCCACTTAATTATACATTTGCCTGCTTTGGTTCTTCATGAAGCAACAAGTGTAAAAGCCTTTTTTCATTTGTACATGTGATAAATGTGGAAAATCTGTTTCTAAAAGTGATTGGGATAAATCTATGGAATTGTAGTTTCCCCTCATAACATTCTTTACAAACTAGGGTTCCCATTTTTTTTGGGGGGGGGGGAGTCCTGGACTTTAAAAGTGAGTTGGATGTGCTTTAAATGTATGGTATGGAGTTGTCCTGGGAAACTCCTTGTTTTAGCTGCATATTTTGCAACGTTGGCTCTGCACATGGAGTGTGGGGGAAAATTAAGGAAAAAGCAGGCTTCATCTTTTTTATTTTTTAAAAAAATTGATTGTGCATTGCTGCAGTCATGAGACAATGGAAAAGATCCAAAGAGTTATTTTCTTTTGTTATTAAATAAATAATAGAGCAAAGTCAACAGCCTAAGCCTTAAGCTGTTTTGCCTCACTCTTCGCTTTACTGCTGAGTTTTCAAACCTCCTGTCTTGCTTCGTTTCTGAAAACAGATTAGGGAGCAGCGTTATTTGTTTCCTCAACTCTCTCTCTTTCTCTCTGTTTTTGCTCAAATGTTTCTCCCCCCCGCCCCCGGTGTGTATTAAGTGTGCTTACTAACATTACAGTATGTTTGATTCTGGATTCAAAAAAGTTTGGTTTAAGAAAAGAGTTGAAGTGCTTTACACGGAGGAAGTCACGCTGAATAAAAAAGCATAGAAATGGTTGAGTTCAGGCTTCCACCTTGGTTTCCGTGTCAAGTAAGCAGCAAACGTGTTCTATAGGATTGCATATTGTGCTTCCTTACAACTTGACTTTCACATGCCTGTGCTTTCTCTTGGCCCGTTCAGGGTCCCCCCCCCTCCTTTCTTAATCCTTTACACTTCAGTCCTCATTTGAAATGGAGCTATATGTTCCTAGTTCTGTGGCTTCCTTTCCATCTGTTTCCCTTTCTACTGAATTTAGGTTGTGAACTTGACCAGGTTTGGTGGGCTGTCATTTCCTCCTACTTTACTTTTATCTATAAAGATAGCATAAAAATAACCACTTCTGCTACTAGTGCTCCTACTATTAATACATTTTTGCAGAAAGGAATGTTTTCATGTTGGCCAACTCGACATGAGCCAGTCTGCTATAACAGAATATAAGTCTGGGGGAAAAAAAATAAATAAATCAAAGAAAGTCTTGAAGTATAACATTGCTTCCTAGATACGGGTAACCCAGAACAATAATAGTGTTCTAGAAAAAAATTGGGGTTGGCTTTTACAGCCCAACTCTCCATCAAAGGATTCAGTTTCCCCCTAAGTCGATCGGAGAAAATTGAGTGAAAGCAAGGAAGATCTTTATTTTTCTGTTGCAACAGAGTCCCACCACCCCTTGCAAGGAGGGAGGACCCAGAGCAAAGGTGCGCCAGAATGACATTTTGAAATTGCCCAACTCCTTAGCCAAAGACCACCCAAAAGGCATAATATACGTGTCACAGAAAGAGGCGGTCTATAACAGAAGAGAGTGTGGCTTGTCCCCTGTCTGACAAGATACCTGATAATGGTCACTGATTGCATTACCTGGCCAGGTCACAGACATACCCTATTCATACACAAAATATGCCCTTAAGACAGGATTTGTAAGTGAAAAGAACGATTGGAAAAGGTTCCTCCAATATATTTTCTTCTGCACAGGAAATAAGGGGGGGTCATTAAAGGTCAAGATGGCTTCAGGATTGCTCTCTGTACTCTTTCAGACTTGTGGTTTATATACTTATATGTGTGTATTTACCTTGTGTACCTACAAACATTTATTTTATATTTGAAACCTTAGAATTTTTGTAACAGTTGGAAAAACATACTGTTTGTGTCACTACACAGCAAAGGCATATCCTCTACGAAAAAATGTAGCAGTACTGGTAGTAGCGATCCTGCAATCAAAACAGCATTTGGGAGGGAGGGAAAATAAAATGGCTTGACTTTGGTTTGCGTTTTGCAAAGTGACCTGTGGCTGAGATGTAAAATTGGCAAAACAACAAAGTTGTACAGCGGCGCCAATGCTGCACATCTCAGCAAGGGATTGTTTCCTGGAGGAGATGTTGTGTCCTTAGATAACATTTTGTAATCCTATGGCGCATGATGCAAATATCCGGAGCAACTGAAAAATAAGCATTTTGGGTTGCTTTTGTCTACCCGGAAGTAAGCTCCACTGAGTTCAGTGGGACTCCCAGCAATACTTGGTAGACTCATTAGCTGTACCAGTTTGCTTCAGTTCTCTTTAGCTCTTCATAAGTAATGTTATTGTTTACAATTTTTTATTACACTTTCAGAATTGGCTGAAATCTCATTGAGCTGGTAATTGCTAATTGAAGTAAGGTAAAGGTAAAGGACCCCTGGATGGTTAAGTCCAGTCAAAGACGACTGTGGGGTTGCGGTGCTCATCTTGCTTTCAGGCCGAGGGAGCCGGCGTTTGTCCGCAGACAGCTTTCTGGTTCATGTGGCCAGCATGTCGAAACCGCTTCTGGCGCAATGGAACAGTGTGATGGAAACCAGAGTTCACAGAAATGCCATTTACCTTCCCGCCGCAGTGGTACCTATATATCTACTTGCACTGATGTGCTTTCGAACTGCTATGTTGGCAGGAGCTGGGAGAGAGCAATAGGAGCTCACTCTGTCACAGGGATTTGAACCACCGACCTTCTGATCGGCAAGCCCAAGAGGCTCAGTGGTTTGGACCACAGCACCGTCCCTTTACCTTGCTAATTGAATTATGCATCTTGCTTCAGGGTTACTGTCTGTTGGAAGTGAGGTTGAGGGGATGATGCACCTTCATCCCCTGCCTGGAGTTACGCTTCTTGGTGACTTTTTTCTTGCCATCTAACCAATTTACATTGTCAAGCAAATGACTGCCCATTTCAATTATTGTTGCTTTCGATTTTTGGACAGATTTCAGGGCACTGTATGTTTATGGTCCCCCCCGCCCCCAACCCACATGCTCTGTCCAGAAAAAACAACAACAAAAAACAACAATCCACAATACAGTATTGGGTATTTTTGCATGGATTAATAATGAAAATTAATAAGCATAAACAGCATGATGGAAAAATTAACTGTTTATTACGATGTTATAAATTTGTCACAATGTTATTAGAAAAATATACGCATCCAGCTCACATTTTAACACTCACAAAATACAATGGTACCTCGGGTTACAAACACCTCGGGTTACAGACTCCGCTAACCCAGAAGTAGTACCTCAGATTAAGAACTTTGCCCCAGGATGAGAACAGAAATCGCACGCCAGTGACAGTGAAAGGTCCCATTAGCTAAAGTGGTACCTCAGGTTAAGAACAGACCTCCAGAATGAATTAAGTTCGAAACAGAGTTACCACTGTACAAGTAAAGCTCATTTTTCGCTACATTAATAAATAACATAGACTCACATTTAGATGAAAGACAATGACTGTGCTTTCCGCTTGCGTCACAGGGCCAAAAAGTGAGGGAAAGATTAACAATAAGCCAATATACATCAACAGTGGTTAATGGCTAACATAATCATCTCAACAGTGAATAAAAGAAGTTAAACTGAATACACAGTTAAGATCAAAGATGGTAGCTGACCAAATCCTATGGCAGGCATAGTCAAACTTGGCCCTCCAGATGTTTTGTGACTATAGCTCCCATGATCCCTAGCTAACAGGACCAGTGGTCAGAGATGATGGGAGCTGTAGTCCCAAAACATCTGGAGGGCCGAGTTTGCCTATGCCTGTCCTATGGGAACAAAGGCTGTCGAATTCAAAAACTTGTAAAAGGGAAAAAAAGCCCAGTATTAGAGAAATTCACAGAAAGACACTGCAAGCAAAACTAGAGAAAAGTGGACTGTGGGCCAATTTGATGCTTGATCTACCCTCCCTATTCCCAGGTTAGCATGTATAAGGTTGCAGCTTCTGGGGCCTAAAATGTGGAGACCAGCAGGGGCATCCTTCTCACTTTTTATTTATTTCACTTCACATGAAGTGAGACGCTAGCTGTGCACCATCTTAATCAAGCCAGAGACATTTGTTTTAGTATTACTATGACATACACAGCAGTACAGGCTGCAGGTGGGGTAGAGGGCCCAGGCCACATATAGTGTTCTGAGCCCAGAAAATCCTCTTGGCAGTCAGTGTTTGCAGTCAGGCTACATTTGCATCAATGCGTATTACTGTGCATGCCCCAATCTTTGAGCAGCAAGAGATTCCAGGAGTTCCAGGAGCTCATTCATGGTTTGGTTTCCTTGGAATGCAGGTCAATGGAGATTGCAGTGTCTTTAGGATACATGGTTGTATTTACACACATATACAACCTGAGCATAGGATGGAATGGATTATTACATCAATGCTCCAACAGATCTTGCTTCCCTGTTAGGGTTCTAGGGGTGGGGGTGAGGGGTCCCCAATGCCATAGCTTTGGATTCAGCAGAAAGCAAGAAGCCTCCCTGTCTTTCCAGCTTCCAGTCAACATTAAACATGCCAACCAGCCTTTGCTGTTCTCCTCCTTACAATATGATGTCACCTCCAGCCAGGTGAGGGGGTAGAGAAAATGTTTGCCCCCTCCTGTATAACACCATCCCTCCATTGTCTCCATGATAACATGGCCGCCTGTTTAGTCATGCAAATGGGGGTACTTAGCTTGGCTGGCTAGGGCCATTATCTTACAAAAAGATTGGTTTCTTTCACCAGTACAGCAGGTTCTGTCTTGTACAGACCCCCTTTTTGCAGATTCAAAACCACAGGTTTGGTTGGAACCCATTAGCACCCTCCATACCCAAAGCATCAACTCAATATCTGCACTGGGGCTCATGATTAGGCTCTCTCCTTGCTAACCACAAGCTTCAGCCAAGGTTTGTTCTTGACCTTAGCTGATAGTGAGGAGGAGAAAGTTAATTGTGAGTCCTGGTGTGGATGACACACTAGAACAAATCTTGGCTTAGCTTAATTCAGCAGCCAAGAGGGGCAGGGGAGGAGCAAAGTACTGTGAGCTCCTCTCTGGGAACCTGCAAATTCACACACAAATTGGCTCACTGCACCATGCAGACCAGGTCATAATATTGGAAGGCATCTGGGTGGGAAAAGAGGTTTCCTCTGCATTTGGTACATCCGTTCATTGAGTTCCCTGGAGGAAGGATTGGATCAAAGCATAAAGTTCAGTACTTTATTGATCATTTTATTGATTTTATTGATTTCTGCCATTTGCCGTATATTGCCGTATATTAACACCATCATTTCTAAGTGGTCACAAAAGAGATATAAAGGATATAAACCATTTAAAATTAGCTATAAAATTTTAAGCTTACTTAAAATTTCTGTGGGAAAAATGGTCTTCACCGAGTGCCTGTCTGGTCTCTCCTGGGAGTGAATTGGACTCAATCATTTCTTAGCTTTCATATTTTGTATCTTATTTCATGTTATAGTAGAAGATTGTAATCATTCTCACTAAGCTTGATCATTCAGCATTTTTGTGAGAAGCTAATGGCGTGGGCGGTAATCTTTAAGGAAATAACATTTCTTTTGTTTGTGGTGTATTCTGGGGAAAAAAACCCATAATGAATGGATTTGATTTTAAAAGGAAGTTATGATACAGACACCACCACCCCCCGATCTTTTTCTTGTTTTCATTTTTTAGAATTAAACTTTAACCTCTTATTTTCTGCCAAAAGGAAAGAAAGGAAATAATATATATCCAAGGCGAAGTGTTTCCCACGAGAAAGTTATCTCTTTGGTGGTTTAGTTGAAAGGGGACAGACCTTTAGGATAATGACTTTAAAGCTGGCTGATACATTATTGCTATGGAAAATCAAGTAGATCACTTGGTTATTATTTTTATCCTCTGGTTCTGTGGCTTAACTTTTCAGTAACAATAATTGCTCAGGAAACCATTAGATTATTGTTTACTTTTCTCATCATACTTAAAAAAAAATAAATCATACAAGGATTAATGTGAACAAAGTGATCTTGCATTTAACCCTTTGTTGATAGAAACATTGACGCTTATCGTTTTGGTTTTGGGTACCCAAGAAAGCTATAAAGATAAAATACTTAGTGGAAGGTACTGAGGGTGACCCCATTTACAAACAGAAAACTATGCTTTTATTGATAAGGTTCATTTTGCAGTAAAACAATGTAGTGATACATAAGTCATGGGAGTCAACAATACCCCACTATGTAACATTCTTCAATGTCCACAAATGGTATGTGTGATCTAACTGACCCCACAGCTTGTAAAACATAAAACATTAATATACATATAGTGTAATTATAATAGCTGCACAAGTGTAGGAGTAAAGAATCTCAAAAAAACCCACAACCTTGCAACCTCAGCACACACTACTTGAGGAGCCTACGTAAAACAACCCATTGCACAACTGCATTACTAAGACAGACTAAATGGTTACATGAAGCACATGGTTGCTGTAAAACTATGCCCCCAATGATATTGAAAGCCAATGAAAGATCATGAAGCAAGAGCGAGGTCCCACTCCCCCGTCCCACTTTCTACAAAGGGTGATCAATGACATCTCAGTCTTGTGGCCAGGTCTGAACCAGATTGGAATGGAACTGAGTAATGCTTGTCATCCGATAATGCTTGCCACTGCCCCAGAATAAACCTGAACTTCTGCAAACATTGTGGCTTCCCCAAGCCTGCTGCTACTTTTGTCTCGGGCGTGGGTGGGGCTGTCTTGGCTCCATAAGGAATGGCACCTTCATGTCTGAACCAAACCGCCACACAAGAAAACGCAGCTCAGACAGTTCCAGTTAATCCTATCTATTGTCACCTCTCTGCAGCCGTTGGGTCTCTTAAATGCATTGTTTCCAAGGGAGGACCCTGAGAAGAGCTTAACCAGAGGTAGACCGCCTGATCTTTCTTTTATTCGCATGGTCCCTGATCCCTTTTCTTTTCTTTTTCTTTGCTTTAAACAACCGACCTGTCATTGCACACAGCCAGAATTCTGCAGGGGCAATGATCCCATCGTTGATTAATCCTTTCCAAATGAAGCAAAAAACAAAGCAAGTATTAATGAAAAGCTGGCACAGATGTGTTCCATTTTCTTTGGAAGGTTCGCACAAGGGTGTGTTGGTTACACACATGGCATAGATGCAAGGGTATGCCTTGATCTCACGTGGCATCTTCTCCTGTCCCTGGCCCCATATGACCTTTAATGGGAACAAGAGCATTCTTGCATCCATGTCTACTCAGGCAGGCACTGCATACATTAAGAGTGTAGAACAGAATGTTCCAATCAGCAGCAAGCATCTAGCTCATGCTCTCCTCTCCTCTCCTCTGGCACAGCTGTTGGAAAGAGAGCAGACAGCTTTCTGTTTCCATTTTCCACGGAAACCACTTAGAAATGTACTTCAAAGGCAATGTTGCGTCCCAATGTCATGATGACGTTGGGTGATTGACAGGTGGGTGGTCTCGCCCACCTGTCAAACTTGCCCCCTGGGTGTAAGTGGAGATTAGGACTTGGCCCACTGGCCAGGCTCAGTTCCCCACCCCTGTTTGAATTACTCAAGAGTAGCAGCAACTTCACTACTTCCTTTATTTATTTATTTATTTATTTTAAACAACACGTATATTATATTTAAGAGTCCAATCATACATTCATATATTGCTACAAAAATTAAAATGATGACACCTATATGAAACATACCTATGCAGATATTCATAGAAATCATAATAACTAACAATCTGGTATACATAAGGACCTTGGAAATGATGGAGTGGGAGAGAGACATGTTTATAAGAGAGGGAAACTAAGCATATACTGTATATGCAAACCATTGCAAATACCACCTTTGGATAAGCCTATTTTTCTGATGTTCATTTGTCAGTCTTTCACTTCTATAGCATGTTGATTTAGTAAGACTGTGATATTCCATATTTTCCCATGCCACTTGGCTACCAGACAACTGCTGTGCTAGTCTCTTGCTGCAAAAAAGAATGAGTTTTGTGACACCTTAAGGACTAACACATTTCTTAAAGCATAAGCTTCCATGGACTACAATTCACTTCATCAGACACATGAAGTGTTCCCCTGAGTTTTTGTTGGCATCCGTCTGTCTCAGGAGACAATGGAGGAGTGTGCCATTGAGGATGAGGTCAAGCTGTTGGACAGTGCCTGCTCTGACTGTAGAGACCGATGCGGAGGAGACATGTTGGATTGCAGCTGGGGCAGATGAAGGTGTCCGGTTTTGCTGCTACAGGTGCACCATGGTGTTTCTTCTTTCTGCAATCCTCACAGCTATCATTCCTCCTTTGGTCACTGCTGTGGAAGCACAACCTGGCTGTTTGTCTCCAGGCACAAACATACAACGGAGTTCATGTTCCAGAAGACGTCTTTGTAACACAGAGTTGGTCTGCCAACAGGCCTAGTGCCTGAAGCTGGTTCCCCATAGAGCATGTTCTTGGGGATCCTGCAGGGATGGAATGACAATGGGAAAAGTCCACTCTGTAGGCTTCTCACTCAGGTTTCTTTTCCATGACTAGTTTGCCTCAGATTCCTGCTAGAATCCCAAATCAGCTCTGCTTTAGTTTACACACACTCTCAGGCTTGGCGGGGGGTGGATTTACAAGTACAGTGGTACCTCAGTTTATGAACTTAATCCGTTCTGGAAGTCCGTTCTTAAACCGAGACCGTTCTTAAACTGAGGTGCACTTTCCCTATTGAGGCCTCCCACCGCCAGTGCCCTTCCACCATTCGGATTCTGTTCTTAGACTGAGGTAAAGTTTGCAAACTGGGACACTACCGGTTTTGCGAAGTTCGTGAACCAAATCGCTCTTAAAGAGGACTGTTCTTAAACCGGGGTACCACTGTACTTCAGGAAAATATCATTGATCAAATCCTGAAGATAGCGTAACAGAACTACCTTCAGATCTTGTGGTATAGTATAACCAGTCATTTCATTAATTAAATGCAAAATTTCTATTCAGAAGGGGTAAGCAGTTGTTCTTTAAAAATCACTACTTCTCCTAAAAGGCATGAGGGCAAGAATGTTCCTCTTTAACTAAGCCTTTGGATGATTGACAGCCAATGCTATCGGGGGGGGGTGTGTTATTGGGTTGTTTTTGTTTTTATTTTGATTATTTTTTTAAAAAGTTATTGAAATATGAACACACTTAAGTAACATGGCAAAATGGACTGGGGTTCTTTTTCTAAATGTAACACTCTTGGGTAGAAAGGCAGGGGAGAGAATCAACAACTAAATGGAAGAAAATGGCAGCTCCTGAAAACCTTTGTCCATATCAATTACAGTCAGGAGCGCAAGTCTGCAAATCTGTAGGACACCCTGCCCCCCCCAATAACCATTCCCTGTTCATGCAGTTACTGCTGGCTGGTTACTCAGATAACAACATGGTCTTTTTCTTTTGTTCTACTGTGGGAGTTCAAAATAAAGCTTTTGAGAAAAGTGTGTAATACAGAAAAATAGACATTTGGGAATGTGAGTTATTCAGCAACTCCAAATTGCTCATTGAGCACAGAGAATTTGCTGACTTGCCTGGCCACACCAGTTACCTTTAAACTTATGGAATGCGATTCTCTCTCTTTGAAAGACTAGAGCATTAGTTGTGTGACCAGTTCAAAGTTTCCTAACGTCCATATAGGTAAGAAAAAGTGCTTTCCCTTGACCTCCACTTCTTTTTCTTCTCTTTCATTGTTTCATTTCATTTTATCCAGTTGATACTTTGCTTGTGGTGTTGCTTTTAGCCCAACGATTCTATTCTAGACTTAAGATGAGAGCAGAAGTCATGTACTCTAAGACAATTCCGAGATTTTCCACCTGAGTTGAACTACCTCATGCTGCCTAGTGGTAGCACTCATCTTGACTATGCCTTTATCTTTGGAACACGTGCCAAATCTAGACTTCAGCGTAACACAATATGGCTACTGATTAACAAAAATTGGGGGTGAGGTGTGTTTTGGAGTGACCACAGTATAAAATAGGGATAGGGAATTTTTTTCACCTTGCGAGCCAGATCCAGAATTATCCTACCCTCCGTGGACCATTTTTGATAAGAGTGTGGAGCCAATCCCCTGATGTTACATGTTATCAGGCGCAGGATTATCTCCCATCTTAGCTTCAACTCCTCTTGAACTCCTTAATGTAAGATATGGATGTAAAAGTGTGGACATGGCCAGCTTCTCATGTTGCGACGTACAATGATCTTTATATAAATCCCTCTTTTTTTTAAAAGAACCACCTTACGTTTATTTACTTACAGATATGTCCTTCCATCTCTTTGCTCTGATCTGCTGACAAGTACATATCCCGGCAGCTCCCAAATCCACAAGGTAAGCAAAGCGTTACGGATTCAGATACACACAGGGTTTACATTATTGTTGCTATTACTGTTATTTATTATAATAAATCGCAGGGTGGTTCACAACTCAAAAATACAAAATAAGAATGCAAAATACATAACACAAAATACAGAAGAAAACAAAAATGGAAGCAAAATCATTTACTCCATTAACACATTTAAAAGGCCTTGGAATGTTAATCAGCCCAAGGCCTGGTCAAAGAGAAACATTTCTGCCTGGCGCCTAAATATATATAATGTAGGTGCCAGGTCAGCCTCCCTAGGGATAACATTCCACAAATGGACAGCCTCCACAGAAAAGGCCCGTTCTTGTGTTGCCAGCCTCCAGACCTCTTGTAGAAGGGGCACTCAAAGAAGGGCCTCAGATGATGATCACAACATTCAGGTTGGTTCATATGGAGGGAGGTGGACCTTGTGGTCCTGAGCCATTTAAGGTCAAAACCAGCACTTTGAATTGGGCCCGGAAAGTAATCGGCAGCCTGTGCAGTTGGGCCAGGGGCAATATAATATATTCAAACCATCTTGCCCTGATGAGAAACCTGGCCACCAAATTCTGCACCAGTTGAAGTTTCTGAACCGTCTTCAGAGGTAGCCCCACATATTGCCTTTATTCCTTAAAAAAACCACAACAACTAATGTTGCCATTCCAAACTGTTTACATTATTTAGAAAACTAAAAATTTTTTGTGTTGCAATACAATTTCATGCATTCATTCATTTCTGAACCTCTCTGCTGGCTAATAAAACTTTTGGTCTCTTTTAAAATCCTAGTCCCACCTGGTTTAGAGGATAAACTCACAGGCCGTGTGTGTTCTTGATACACAGTTGCCTGCTAATAGATATGAAATAACATTGGCACTGATAGCAGCAGAAGCAGTTGTAGCAGCCGCAGCACTGAAACAGAAGCAGTATGTTCTTTATCCTCTGTGACTGCCTCAACTTCAGGTCAAGGGTTGAAGCGGGATTGGCAAAGGAGATTTGGAGGCGGTTCAGCCAGGGTGACACAAATGTATCCAAACCTTTACATGAGGTCAACAAACATCTCTCATGAATCTGTTCTCACCTTTGAGCTATGCTGTTCCTTGTTAGGACTGTACCACCTCAGAATTCACACGGGGGTGGGGAGGATTGCTGCTTCAAAGCTGCTCGATCAACCTATGGCTTCTAGGCAACTTGGTTTATTCAGGAGCACTGAATAAATTTTCAAGTCAATTTTGGGAATTGAGTATTTGGTGCTGCCAATACAGTGCCATATTAGGCAAGTGGGCTACGGTGGCATACAACAGATCTTGGTTTTTGGAAGTGAAAATAAATGAGGCATGTGTGATCTCTTGTGTGAGTGCATCCACACCCCAACCTCATTTTCTTATTTACCGCTTATAAAACATTAGCAACAGCAACAACTTCTCTCGTAGTCCCTACAGATCAGTTTAGTTGAACAAGGCCTTTCCAAATTCACCTCTGGTTTTACTTTAGGTGAAATTTTGTGGAAACTCAGCATATACTGAAACACACCCATTTCCCACAAACTCAATGAGCTCTTAAAGCAAGGAGTTTCTAATAACTTGGTTAATGGGGATTCTGTCAGATTTATGATTTGTGTTTGCATTGCTGGCTGCACTGCAGTATTGAGCCTCATTGTTGCAACATGTTCATCAATAACTGACATGTTAAAGCCCCCCTTTTAAAAAGCCCATACGTCTAAAGAAATCTCACTTGATTCTTGTGGTTGAGCTGTGGACATCCCCTACTTTTGGATATGTTCTTTTATTGCTTCCATAAATCCCCTTATGGTCAACAGTGGTGGTAGTTGAGAGAGGGTGGAATCAATACAATGAGGCTTGATGATATACAATGATAGGCATCATAATTTTCAGAAGCATAGCGCACAAAGCAAACCTGCAATAAGTGGAAGTAATGGCCATTGAGAAAGATTAATATTATAGTACTAGTAATGGATTTTGTCCATTATCAGAATACATGCTCGATTAAAAAAAAGCCAGTAGGTCTGGTTGGGTATCTTTTCATGCTCAAGATTAGGAAACAATTGATCCTAGCCTTGTTTGATTTCCACCCTGATAGCAAGGAAGACCTCACTTACATCCATGTAAAAATGAGAGAGCACTAATTAGGGATGGAAAATACCAAGAGATATAGTTGAGGAACCGGAAGTGCTCATTAAATAGGTCATTGCTCAAGTTTCTTTTCAAAATTAGGAATACTGAAGCTCCAGCTTGCCTCCAGGACCGGCTCTCTGACCTAGAAATTCTTCCCCTGGAATCCACAAAGGGTTGGAACTTACTTCTGATGCCGACTAATGGAAATTGTTGGTTGGTTGGTTTCAGTAAGTGTTTTCCCTCAAGATCATGTACCCAGTTTACACTTTCTGTCAGGGTTTGTGTGCAGTCCAGGATTTCTGGGCTATATACATATTACATAGGTATTAATTAAATAACTGGAGGAACAAGGTGTGGTTGGAGAAAAGGTGGGTGGGAGGACTGCGGGGAAAACAAAGTGAGAAAGATTACAGCGACATCATGATTTGCAGCTTTTAAAGAGGCAGGACGGTTTCACATGGCAACCCTGTATTTAACAAGGGAACAGATGTAATGGTCTGGGAAAGAGATCTTGATGGGAAATGTAGCCCGAGTCCAAAGCATGGGGTGTGCCCATTGGGTTTCTGTTCCTTGATCATCAGGCTTCTAAGTTCTATGTTTGAAAGTGAGGTGTCATTTAGAAACAACACCGACACACAACCTTGTGATGTTGTGTGGGGTCTACTGCCTAAAAGAAAATGTCAGAAATTCCATTGCTTTTCTGGTTGCTTCCTTTCCTTCTAATTGTTCAGGCTCCATCCTGTGCCCCTTCAGCTCCCAATGTGGCTGACGTGCTGCCATTGTATCATGTCTAGCCCTTAATACTTAATCCCACACTGTTTTGCAGTTATCCAACCAAGTGGATGCTGTTTCTGACTTCATGTTGATGTGAACGAGAGCTTGTACTTATTCCGCTTTTGGCTTCTGTTACATGTACAGCTTCTCATAGTACGTGTTTTTAGATGGCGACTACTCACGAGTTCTAGAGTTGAGGCAGATTAAGTATCCTCACTCTGATGTATCTGATTTCCATTTAGCTTCACCATTCCCGTCCTTCATGGGGCTGCTGAGCTTTTAACAGCTGTCCAGTTTTCATCAAGTTTCCCTATCACTTATTCACTTCTGGGAAATCCCCCCCCCCAAGCAACAGAAACACAGAGATACCACCTAGGAAAAACACCTTCCATTTTATTGACTTGCTGCTATGCTTGCTCTTCAAAGTCTGTTGCACACGGTGATGGTGATGCTGGTGATGTTTTTGCCTTGAGGAAATGCAGAGATTAGTTTCCCCAACATTTGATCTACAGATTAGGAAGGTGTGTCTCATTGCACTAAGATGAATACAATGGTATTTCCAAATGGCCCTAAAAAAAAACAAAGCCTCAACAGGATATTTCTATTAGTTCTGTGCCGAAACCTGTCCTCCATGTTTTCTTCCCCTGCAAAAAAAAAAAGAAAGAAAAAAAAATCTTCAATTTTCCTCCTTATTCTCAGGGTTTAGAATTTCTTTATCATTTCGTGGGGTGCAGGATTGAGCCTAATTTAACATTGCACAGCGGCCATGGATGGTGTGTTTTCTTTATTCCCATTGAACATTCCTTCACTGCTCTGACTACAGACTTCACAGCTGCCTCTGCTTCCTGGTCTGAAAAAGTCCAGCAGTAGAAAGTCACATCTATACCATACATTTAAAGCATATGACTTTCCCCCCAAAGGATTCTGGGAACTGCAGTTTGGGGCTAAGTGAGGAGTAAACTACAGTTCCCAGAGGGGGAGGTCATGTGCTTTAAATGTATGGTGTGGCAGTGACCTTTCCCCCTGAAGTCCCTTAGTGGGCTAGAGAGGCCAGCTGCCAGTTGCAGGATCCAGGCACATTTGCTATCCTTTCAATATGCCCGTAAGGTAACTGGGATTGTAAGCTCTCTTCTACGAATGCCCTACTGAAAGCAATGCAGAAGAGTGCATTTCAGCAGGTACAGCTTCTTGCCCTGCATGACACTTCACACCCACTGAGATGTCCTTTTCCATGCAGCTCTTAAAGCAACCTCACCATCTCCCTGCATGAATGGACTGCAGCCTAGCACACACAGCTCCTTCATTCAGCTGCCCACTGCAGGAGAATAACAATTAAAAAATGAACAATGACTACTCCAATCAACTCCCGATAATATCACCAAGGCAACTATCTGCAAACAAACAATAAATGTTCATAAAAATGGCTAAGGCAGTTTCTTTCCCAAATAGGTTTTATCCTAAACAATAGCAAACACGGTCAATAAAGAGTTCACTAGTAATATATCAGTGGTTCAGTGTTCATTTCTTCTCTTTCCAAAACAGATTTTATCTTGAACAATTGCAAATGCAGTAATAAAGAGTCCACTTGTGATATACCAGTGGTTCAGTGCTCGGACGTCGTTCCGGTAATCTGACGTTTCGTCACTAAAAAGCTTAGTCATCGAGCTTTGTAGTAAATAATAAACAAGAGAAGACAGTATGTAAACGACTTAAAGCAGGGGTACATCTGTCCCCATCTGCATGTTTCCATCAGGAGGAGCATAGAAAGAGGACGCTGTTCTTCAGTTTGTTAAACCTGAACCACTGATATATTACAAGTGAACTCTTTATGTACTGTGTTTGCTATGTTTAAGATAAAACCTATTTGGGAGAGAAACTACCTTTGCCATTTTTATGGATGTTTATTGTTGCCTTGGTGATATTATCCTGTGTTGTTCACTGCAGGAGCAGGTAGAAATCGCTGCCTTTTAGAGAAGCTTTTAGGGAAGCTCTAGGTTTAAGGTCACATTTAGATTTGACACCTTTGTTTTCCAGACGAAGTCTCTTGGGGTTGTCTTGAACTAAGGCCTGTTTAGCATAGACCCACTAAAATTAATGAACCGAAGTTAGTCAATAAACTTCAGTGGGTCTACTTTGAGTAAGACTTGGTTGAAGGCAACCCTTAGGACTGGTTTAAATTTAGCTGGCACACTAACAGAAACCAGTGCAATGGCTTCCTCTCGTGCAGTGGGGCTCCCTCCCCTGCATCTTCCCCAAATCCTCATCAGACAGCTGGGAGAGCCCCCAAAACAGCACTTAGAAGACAGGAGGAGGGGATCATTCTGTCTGACAAGCAAGTAGCGTGGCATAGGGGGAAACTGTACCTGTTGCATTTCTTTCAGGCATGAGTTAAAGGCAGCACACCATTATCGGGGTGGGGAGGTGGGGATTGTAATGGTTTTTAGGGCACTTCCAGAAACATGACAATGGGTTGTTATGGCATCAGGTGTTTGTTTTTTTAACTCATTGGATTTCCTTCAGGTAGGGTAAATCTGGATTAGATTGGGGAAAGCTAGGTACTGACATTTTAATGTTCACTATGTCACAAGGACACTGGAAATAATCTTGGGTGCATGTGGAGCACTGATACATAATAAACCTCCTTCTGGAAGCAGACTGATTTTTCACTCAGCACTTAAAACTGTTTGAGTAGAGTGGTCAGATGGAAGGGGGAGCAGGGCTGCTATACCTACTGCAATCCTGATTTTCTGCAGCTGTTAAAGGTTCCAGGAGTCCTGCCCTCCTTTTCATCTCACCACCCTTCTTCCGAACCTCTCTTCCACTTTTGGTGTGGTTGCATGTAAGTCATGTGCACGGCTATAAAGGAGCAGCTTTTATAGAAACGTTTGGGGGAAATGGAATGTAAATGTTTAAAACAAGTCATGCATAAAAGTTAATATGCAAAATCCTGAGATTCTTAGGAAGCACTTTCCTGCCAGATCTCCTGTTGATCTGAGAACCACATCCCACTTGGAGTTGGTATGTATGTTCAAGCAGGGCACTTGATGCACAGCAGAGGATACGAGGCAGCTTTAATGATCACAGTTTTAAAAATAAAGAAGGGAGACCCTTGACAACTGGATGAAAGACATGAATACTCTTCTACCCAGCACAGATATACAGGTATAGGGAAATGTGCAGAACTGCTGCCTGTTATGAACAGCTCATTCCACTGAACGGGACCTTGGCCCTCTGCCCCAAAGTCCTGGCCTGGCTGGCACCACACCAGAGTTCTGTCAAGGTAGGGACCATTGCGCAAGCTATTACAAATGCGAGTCCTGGGCACATTCCTGGTACTTTATTGGTAGTTATGATGTGAGGCCATAACATTAGAGTTGGCCTCAAGATCAGTGCTAATAAAGCTGAAATGGAACTAAAAGCTTCTTCCAAGCTGCTTATCGTTGTTTATCTTGAAATGGACTCAGTTCCCTCCTAGAAATGGCATTGGATAAGGTTTCAAGGGACTGCCTGTGATTCTTGTCAGCAGGAATATTGTGTGTTCAACCACTAAAGGATTAGGCTGCAGCTGGGCTATTTTAGGTCTCCCTCCAAGGAAAACTATATCACATACCAGACAGCTTTGCTTATTTGTTTTATTATTATTATTTTAAAAAAAGAATTCTTCATTCAGCAGGGGAAGAAACATCCTTTTCAACAGAGCAACAGAATGTTAATGTTGATGGTCCAAATGAAGTGCTTTTGCTTGAGTAAGGTAGTGGAAAGTGTGGTAGTGTCTTAGCTCCAGGGTTTCTCCAGATAATTTAGGCTCTCTGACCTGGAAGCCATTTCCCTTGTTCTCAGATGAACAAGAGGGCATATCCATACTATGAACTAATAACAGTTCATAAATATGAGGAGGTTTTTCCTGTCAGTGTAATTGTTAAGACTTTCTCCAGAGAATTCTGAGAACTATACAACACCACAGTTAGAAAATCCATTCATATCTATGAGGCAGATTTTATATCCATTTAATTGTTAAGGTTTTCCCCAGAGAATTTTGGGAACTGAGAATTCTGAGAACTGGGAATCCGTTCAACACAGCTTCCTACCCCTGTCCAATAAGACTCTAAAATTGGGCCCTGACAGGAGTACAGACAGGCAACTGACAGGTCCAATGAAAGAGGTTGTGTGGGTTTTTAGATGAAGGTATAAGGTGTTTTATTCACTTTCGTTCGGTAAATTTGCCTACCACTATTCACCTAATGGTGATTTACAGCACAATTAATCCCAACAATAATAAAACCACGATATACCCATTTGAATAAAACTATAAACAACATCACATTCTTTAGAGATACCTGGGTTATTCTGTTGGTATGCTGGCTTGCATATGACTGGAACCAAACTGGATATTTTATTTCTTTTACTGGCTTCTCCTTTGGATTTGATGGATTTATATTTGAACATGGTTGTAAAACTCCTCTGAGGGGCAACTTAACCTAAAAAGTACTGTATACAGTATAAAAGCTTTTAAAACTAACAAATAGGAAATGGGTCTAGGAAAAGGAAGCATATTCTGCAGAGACTGCATTTGAAACTGGCTGGCTGTCTTTGGGATTTAGTGGTGCCCATCTTTGGTCTGGCTTTAAATTCCAGCTTGCCGGTACAGTTCCTCATTCACGCAAAGCTATAAGGGAGATGATCTTCAAAGGCACTTTTGACAGTTGGGCTGCTTGATGTTAGTTATGCCTTTGACATTCTACCCTTCCCAACTTTAGAAAGACGTTAACTGCTTTTTTTTCCACCACTGGGGCGAAATGCTATTGTCTCAGCCATGAAAGTTGCATGCATACCTTTTAAGAGTCATTACTCTGCACTTCTGGAAGATTAGCCTGTGAGGCCGCCTCCTCCTCCTCCTCCTTCTTACATGAACACAGATGTTCTATCATACATCTAAGGCTGTGATCCTGTGCATGGTTACTTAGGAATTAGTGATGTTAATGGAACATCTGAGTAAATATTGGTTTGTGGACTGGACTCTAAGCCACCTCACCTCACCAGCTCCCAAGTATCGAAGTAAAACAACAGGACATTGCAGTTCAGGATTCAGTCCATTCAAATGCATTTTGAATGTTAATGTGCTATGATTTAAAAAAATTCTGATGATAGATTTTCTGTCAGATACAGAGATTCCCTCTGTTATGGGTGAGGCAGAACATGAAGTGAGATCAATGGAGTGACTCTGGATTAAAGTGGCGAATATGGCCCATAGTCAGCTGCTGCCAACAATGCATAGAATTTACTCCTGCGGTTGTTGGGAGTTAAAAATAAAAAGCTTAACTTTAAACAATAAAGATTGCCTCTCCATTGAACTATTTGATAGTGGCCTTTGACAGAGCCATGTGTGGTTTGCTTTGATCTGTTCCCTATTGTTTCTTTTTTGCTTTTTTGTTTCAGATGTCAAATAACTCATGTGCCAGGTAACATTCCATTCATGCCTTGCCTGTCAACTGGCAGGTCTTGCAGAGTGACTCTGGACAGAAAGGAAGACTCCCTATCCCAGCCATGGCTGCACCAAGGAAAGGTTTAAGCGCCTCCCCTCCCGATGGTGGCTGGGGGTGGATGATTGTGATCGGCTGCTTCCTTGTTACTATCTGCACGAGAGCTGTAACAAGGTAAGGGCATTTATGGGTGTGATTCTTCACCCAGCTTTTGTTGTTGTTATCCCCTGCTTGAAAGCGGTGGGAAATACTACCTCGTGGTCCAGGAATGGAGGATCTTAATTAATTTATTTGGACACTTCTTAGCCACGTTATCTGCAGAATGATTACAGCAGTCCACTGGATAGCTCAGTTGGTTAGAGCATGGTGCTGATAAAACCAAGGTCACAGGGACAGCTGCATAGTCCTGCATTGCGTGAGATTGGACTAGATGATCCTCAAAGTTCCTCCCAACTCTATGATTCTAAGTCTAATAACAGCAGGATTGCTTTGCTAAGGCAGCATTAAAAGTGTGTCACATACATTGAGAAAGACCCAGGTGGATCACCTGAGGGGAGTGCATTGAACTATGGATGTGACATCCCTCTGCATCCCTGATACATGATACCTTCCTCTGATCCCTTCCTCTGATACCTGATACCATCCCTGATACCTTCCTCTGCAGAGCCGCAAAGACATGTAGGGTTGTAGCCAGCTGTGTCATACTCTTGAGTACACCTACTGAACTTGTTGGCTTTGAGTTAGTCAACCCATAGAGTGGATGAGGGCCATCAAGCTGATACTGAATCCAGACAAGATGGGTTCCATCCAGATAAAGTGAGTGGATGGAGGCTTGCAACCAGTGCTGTTTGGACATGTACTTCCCCTGGAGGACAAAGAGTAGAATTCTGGAGTTCTCCATGCCAACTGGGGAAGCTCGAGTGGTGATAGCAGCCAGGAGTGTTTTTTACCAATTTAGACTGGTATGCCAACTGTGCACCAGTCTGACCTTGCCTCAGTTATCCAAGTGTTAGTGATATGCGGGCTGGATTTCTGCAACGTGCTTCACATAGGACTGTCTTTGAAGACTGCCAAGAACATAAGAAGATCCCTGCTGGATCAGGCCAGTGCTCAATGTTCTCTTCTCGGTACGGCCAACCAGATGACTTCAATTGGTACAGAATGCAGCTGGCTGTGTCCTGTTAGGAGCCTGGCAATTGGTTCACGAGGCACTTATGCTGATTGCCAGTGCATTGCTAAGACCAATTCAAAATGAGGTGGTTACATTTATTTAGCAGGGAGCAGTTTGCATCCCCATCAGGGCACGGGGCTGAAGCTTCTCTGCCCACCTCAGCACTGTGCCAACTTTTTTCCATTTTGCTGCCACCTTCAAAATTGGTGGGCTCTTGGGAATCTATTTTGAGCAGGACAGAAGAATTTGTGGGGGGCGGGGAGCAGATCAAACCATTGGGAATCAGAGTTAGGCATCTTAGCTTTGAAAACTTAAATGCTTCGGATCTGAGTTATTTTGAGGACTGCCTTTGCAGCCTGTCCATAAGATCTGCAACGGAGGCCCTCACATGCCTGCCACTGAGAGGGTGGAGAGCACAAGAGGGAGGCCACAGTGGCCTCACATTTCTAGAAGACATTTCCTGCTGGGATTCCTCAAACCCCATCGTCATACATATCCAGGAGAGCCCTGGATACCCTCCTTTGTTTCCTTCTGATTTCCTTCTGAGATTATTTTCCTGTAGCAGTTTTGCTTGGATAATTTATGTGTGCATTTCTTGCTTTTATTAATAAATGTGAGGTTTTAATTGCAATTGTACTGCATTGCATTTTCTTTTGTAATCTGCCTTTGCGGTGGTGGTGGTGTTTGACCTTTACAAGGCAACTTAAAAGTACTGTTTTTGGCATTGGATTTAGTAAAACTGCAGAATAAGCTCCTTTTCCAGACCTGGGCATAGCCTGGGGTGGGGACTCGTTAAGGAATACAAAGGTGCTGATGACCAGTCAGATTCTTGAGGCTGAGCAAATGAGGTTGCCAGGGTAACAGTGGGCATGATGTCACCACAGGGGAAAATGTCCTTTTTTAAAAAGTGGCTTGGCTTGCATTTTTAGCAAGGGTTTTGGGGAAGAAGAAGGGTGGGGCTAGAGGTCATGTGGGCCGAGGGACGGACAAGCTGTATGGAGGAGACACAGGAATTATGTTTTGGTTGCATTTAAATCCAGTGCTGTGTCACTGTAGCAAGCAAGTCCCTCTTGAGATGTGATGCTCAGAACCCTCTCTCCATCCAGACTCAGGTGTAAATAACAAACCATATTTCATAAAGACCCTACAGCCTCCATTGTGCCCAAAGGAAACATAAGCCCTGGTTGGGTGCCAAGACCCCTTGTATCTTGCACTGCTCAGCAGAGGTTGGGGTGGCCAATAACAGTACTTTAAATAACTAAAATTAGTCTTAGCACCCGAGGCCACAAGGGTCTTTTCTATCCAATAACAGATTAAGTGGCTTATACAACTCGCTGCTCTTTCATCACATCCTAATCTTGCTGTCTGAGGCTTACTCTGCTTAGTGATAGCACTGGCCTAAGTTCACAACCTTTCCAAAAATTATGCAAGAGGATAGCAAATGAAAGAACCAAGGTGAGGACGACCTCTTGTTAGCACTGCCTCCTTGTCAGAGTCTCTACCCAAGGAAATCCTGACAAACCAGCTCCCCCTTGACTTTTCAAAGGTTGTCTTGCCCTGTACAGGCGACACCCAAGGGTGTTCTTGGCCCACATGCATGTCAGCGGAGCACACATAAACCCATTCTACCCCTGTCCAAAGGGACCCATGCATTGGTGGCTGCACATCACTTGAATGCACGCAAAATTATTGACACCTGTATTCTGAGTAGTTTTTGCCCCAACCGTTGTTAATGTTGATTGATTGGTTGCAATGTTGGTGTCAGGGAATGGTCTGAAGGCGAGTACTGGAGAATGCATTCTGTGGCAGACCAGCTTCTCTCTGATGGAGAGCTGGAGGGAGAAAAGTATCCCCCCTTGTCCACATGTTCAGAAGCAGAGAGAGAGAGAGACAGGACCTGAACAGCTTAGGGAGGAGTTAGCCAGTTTCAACATAATGACAAGAGAACCAGAAGAGAGGGGGCATCTAGTTGAGACGTCTTTTGAGAGTGTGGGGGACCCCCACCCCGTTCACCATGGACTCAGAGGTCCGAATGTATCAGAGAGCAAAGGAGTCAGAGGGAGGGACGAACTTCCCATTGACACCCAAAATGCTGCGGAAGTCGGAAGGAGAATAAGACTAGCCAACTGCCCTCCTTGCGGAGAGCTGTGTATTTGTACTCGCGACATGATGCTGTCATAAAAGGACTATAAATCTATCAACTGCTCATTAATTCTTATCTGCAAAGTTTCCGAAGGGAGGGGAGGACTCTCCATGCCTGACAGTTGGTGACTTTTTAAAAAGTTATAATTTTGATGTGAGCCACCTTGTGCAGAACATGACACATCAGTTTAGGAAATATTTCCCATGACCAAGACGCTTTGTAATATGATTTACACTTGTTCAAAAAGTAATTATTAAGTTTGTTTAATAATAATATTTGTTCAGTAAAAAAGATCCCTATCCAATGGGACTGCTGCACATACCTGATGGGCTGTATGCTGTTTTGTCTCGGTGGGCAACGTGAGAGACAGAGAGAGACAGCAGGTTTCTTGGTTCTGCCCTGTTTTTTGAGGACTTGCCTGACATGACTCATGTCTCAGACATTGGTTGTGCAATCCCTTTCCATGACTACCCTCAATGAGACGGGTGAGTGACCCAAGAAGGCCCCTTCTCTATATATACTCTTCAAGCATCTTAGATATTCAGAAAATATCTGATACTGCCTTCCTTCAAAATAGAAAATAGAAGAAGAAAAAATTGGCCAGCGTTCAGCGTTTGCATAATACACATGTGTTTTGTTTTTTAAAAAATGATATTTATTGAGAATTTTAAGGTTACAAAGAAATAAAAAGGAAAAAACAAAAGAGAGAAAAAAGGAAAGAAAAAAGTAGATAAAAGTAACAATTAAACAATACAAATCAGTAAAAACCAGAGTCAAACAGAAAAAACAAAACACACAATACATCAAATTCAAAAAGCAAAGGTAAACAATTTTTTTTAAAAACAAATCCAATATTCCCAAATCCTTAACTGTCATTACCTTATTTCATCGACCTCCTCACACCTCCCCTTTTTGTATTCTAGTTATTAATTATCTCAGCAAATCCTTTCCATCTTTCACAATATTCTGTCATTAAATTACCTTAATCTATTTTAACTTTATCTTACCATAAAAAATCCTGAAACTTAAAACTGAAATCTTATTTATACCAAATTCTCTTAACCATTACATATTCTTACAAAATTCTTTTTAACATTTCTGCTAAAGCCCAATAATTTCATTCCAACATTTTTCTAATACTCATTAATTTTACAATACTTTTCTAAATGAATTTTTAAAACTCCAATCTTCATCCATCGTCTCTTCTTCCTGGTCTCGGGTTTTGTCAGTCCTTTCTATCCCATCCATCTAGTCCATCAACCTGGTGACCTTATGTCCGAGGCTCTTAAGTCTCTTCTATGTCCCTTCCGCAGGTCTTCTTCATATTTATACCTGTACTTTACTTTGTCTTCTGCTCCTTTCACTTGGGGAGACTCCAACTTGACAATATTTTTGTCCCTTCTCAACACATCAGCCCCTTTTCCATAGTCTACACTGAAATCCACATGGTATGTGAAGGCATGTTTCGAGGCCCCTCCAAAGTTAGAGGCCCCCACAACTCCGAGCTCCCCCCAGCCCAAGGCCAGACTTGAAAAATCAAAATCAAAATCAAAACATCCTTGCATAGGGGGGTCAGTCCAACCCCCCATCTCCAAACCAAACAGAACTCCATCTCTCCAAATCTGACTTTTTCCAGGTTCATTCGTCAATTCCAACAACTCATGTTCCTGCTGGGCCACAGCTCCCCCCATCTCTGCCACCCGAGGTCCAGCAACAGCCTCCTCCTTCATCTCATCTGTCAAAGCACATTCCTGAATTAATTCCTGAGTGGGTTCTATATAGGTACCCACTGCCTGTCCAAAATTTCCGATCGCAACAGTCATCAAATCCATCTTCTCATGTAACTGTTCCAATAAAGCACTTGTCTTGCAAAAAGCAAGCACCAGAGCTTCCAGTACATTCTTGTTCAAGGTCGAAGTCTGGTCCCACAATCTTAATCTATTCCCGCTGCAACGCTCCCAAGTTCGGCTTTAATAACATTTTCAAATGCTCCCCCTTGGGTAAAAAATTTCTATTTGTATCAATCCTTTTTTTTTTTAAAGCAGATCTAGCAACAAAGTTTTCCTTTTTTGGATATTTTGTCAATATTTTGTTCCTTTTAAATGTGAAGGGGAACAATGGAATCAATATGTTTCTCTTCTTTTAACTATCTGTCAAAACGTTTCTCCATAGTCAATGAACTTCCTGACACCCGCTCCCAGGTTCAAGACGGTGGAAAATTGCCTTTCTTTACTCTCTCTTCTGCAGGTTTAAACAGTCTAAAAAAGGTTCCCCCCTCTTCTCCTGCTTCCAAGGGGGGTTCAGTGATTTTAAATGATGGAATTTTGGTCCTTTACAAACAACTTTCTAAACTCTAGCTTGCCGTGTCTTTGCTTCGATCTATCTACAAAAGCGGAAGGCGGACTTCCTGTTTAGACCTTCCCGCTTCAGTGCCAAATTAAAAAATTTCTTAATCCAGTTTTCCGTTCTACTCACGGGCAGTTGTTAAAAATCCAATTGTCCACAGGAAAAAGTCAGCGCTCTCCGGCAACAGCAATGCGGCTTCACTCCATGAAAGAAGCAGTCGATTCAAAGCACCGCGCCACTCACCCCACTTCACTCCGGATCTCCGAAACCGGGTTTCCCCGCGAGTAGGCAAAGGTGCCGGCCGAATCCCACATCCACAGGCTTCTTCCGCCTGTGGTTTTTGATGGGTCTCCGCCTCGCCACGGCGGTTCAGACCCTGTTTTCCACGGAGCGGATTCCTCCCGATCGGAGGAAATACGCCATTGCCAGAGGCGCCAACCCGGAAGTCCATAATACACATGTGTTTTGGAGACAAAATTATTCCACCAGGTGTTGCTCTTCATCCACATAACACATATCATGCAAACTACAACACTGATTCAGAGCCGCTTTTTACAAACTGTGCAAGGACTGTTCAAGAGTGCATTGCACAAATTAAAATGCATTTGGCCCTGAGGTGTGAAGGAAATTTAGGCAAGCCTGTCTCTGTTGGTTTGCAAATGTGGCTTCAGTTCCATTTTCTTCCTGATGATAAAACTTTAAGAAATAGAATTACACATGGAATCTTGTTCCCACCAACCCAAAGAGGGCAGAAACATCCAGCCAAATATTTAACACTGCAGGCTGTGTCTGCTAACTTGTCTAGAGGAAAGAGACTGAAGCCTCAGAGTATAGACCAGGAGGAATATCTTGCAGCTATACCAAGTGCGACAGATGACATACCTGGGGAGCACATGAAAATGGGCCTCAGTGTTCCAGCCAAATCAGCTGGCACGGAAAGAGAGCTCCGAGTTGTTTTTCAGAGGTGAACGTGTTTCAGTTAATGCTGTATCATGATGAGCTTGAAACAAACACTGCCATTAATCATCAGTTGTGCACACACGGGCCCCTCGGAAGGGCAGTTTTCTGTCATGTTTGCAGTTTCCCCAGGAGGAAGCTTGTTTATCTGTGTGAAGCAAGATAAAATGGAGAAAAGCCTTTTTAATCCACACCTCTTGGGTGTGTGTGTGTGTGTGTCTTGCGCAGAACAGTGAAAACTGATGTATAGATCACAATAATCGGACATAAACATTATAAGCTTCAAGCTCCATTTCGTATTCCTTCATAAGAACACCACTCAGTAGATCTGTGTTGTTCAGAACAATGCACCTGCTTGTACAGGCTCTGTGCATACCTGGGATAGGAGCTTTAGTCTGAGACTACACAAAAGATGGTCAGCCACCGTCACCCTCCTGTTTCTTACAGAAGCAATCTTTCTCATTTCTCTTTGCCATCAGAGGGCTTATTTGAAAGAAGGGGCCCAGTAACCCTCACAACAGGGTAAAATCCATGGCTAAATAGTCAATGTCCATTGGCCACGAGGCCCATATTCTCCCTCCACAGTCGGACACAGCAGGCCTCTGAGTGCCAGTCGCTGGGAAACACAAGTGAGGAGAGTGTTGTCGGGCTCAAGTTCTGCTGGTGGGTTTCCCAGAGGCATCTGGCTGGCTTCTGTGAGATCAGGGTGCTGGAGTAAATGGGCCATGGACCTGATCCAGCAGGGCTCTTCTTACTCTATTAAAAATAAGTCTCCCTGAAATAACAAACTGGGCCTTGAGCCCAAAGACATTCCAAGGCCCCTTGGTGCCCTCAAAGTAAAAACTAAATGGAGTCCACACACTGGTGAGGAGAAATGGACAATTTGCAATTCTTTAATGCTAATCTCCACCCCCCCAAAAAAAGAAATCTGTAAAATTTTCAGGTTTCCTTGCTTTGCTAATGGGAGGGCTGCTTGATTATCAGGAGTTACCAACCTTTTGGGACCTGGGGGCATATTTTCAAACCAAAGAAACTGTTGTTGGCAGCACACAGGAGCCCCAACTCTCACCTCCCCTACACCCTCGAAAATCCCTCTGTGCCTGGGCATGGAAAAGGGTAAAAGAGTATTGGGAAATGATTTATAATGAATTGAAAAAAATGTTTAAAATTACTTTCCCCCTCCCAAACCCCCCAGAGTCCTTTCTGTTGGGGATAATTCAGACTGAAATTCCTACGTGTAAGAAAAGGTGGTTTATGTATGCGACAACTGTAGCCCATGCTTTGTTAGCCCAAAAATGGAAAACTAGCAAGGCCCCAACCAAAGAAGATTGGCAATTTAAGTTGACAGAATATGTACAGCTTGCAGACTTAACATATAGAATAAGAGAACAAGAAGAACATACATTTAAAGAAGATTGGAAAAGGTTTATTGAATATATTTAAAATAATTCTGTACATCTGAAAATGCTGGCAGTATTAAGATAAATTCAATGGTGTAAAGAAGTTTTGATGGATGTAATAATGGAAAACCGACTGGTATAGTTTTTGTAAGATATGCAGGGATATAAGATATGTAAAATGAACCATGGAAAGAGAAGAAGGGAAGTCAGTGATATCTTAAGTATGTAAAATGTTTATCTGAAATTGTAAAACAGGAAATTTAATAAAACACACACACACACACACACACACACACACAATCCCTCTGTGCCACAATTTGGGTTTTTTTGGTTGAGCAGTGGGGAGTATTCTGTTGGCTAAAGGTCCATGAATGTTACTTAACTTTAGATAAATGATGATAGATAGATGATAGATGATAGATAGATAGATAGATGATAGATAGATAGATAGACAGATAGATAGATAGATAGATAGATAGATAGATAGATAGATAGATGATGCATAGATATAGATAGCTAATAGTGCTCATATTTGTTTCTATTTCCATTCCTGCCCTCGAGTGAACACGTGAATTATGGCAATTTCCATGCCCCTTTCCCTTGCTTTGACATTCCTAGCTCAAAAAGCACAAGGAACCATGTTGAATGCAACTCTCTGCCTTTCACTTGGAATCCACCATACATCTTAAGTTAGTTTGCATTTATTCTTTAACTGCAGTAGCTTAACATGTTGAATTAAATGTGTGTGTTTTTTCCAGGTGCATCTCAATTTTTTTTGTGGAGTTCCAGACTTACTTTGCTCAAGATTATGCCCGGACAGCTTGGATCCATTCCATAGTAGACTGTGCTACAATGTTTTGTGGTGAGTATTTGGATCAATTGTGTGTATGGGTGAAGTACTTTTAGGCTGCAGTCCTATGCCTAAAAGTCTCATTCAATTCAGTAGGACTTCCGTCTGGGCAAATATGCATAAGATTGTGCTGCACGTCTCCTTTTAGTAACGGTTTGATACATAGTCATAAAAAACCAGAACTAAATGAGCAGAGTTTCTGGTTTAGACCTGCCTGATGATCAGAACAAGCAGTTCCACACAATCTCTCTGGTTTCCAGTTGTTTCATTTCATTTATAGTGCACTGCTTTCCTGTTATGGTTTAAAATACACAATATGCATTTTAGTAATTAGGGAATCAAAGTTTATTTTTTATTTTTTTATAAGATATTTATTAAAGTTTCAACATAATACAAAAATAAGTGAAAAAAGAAAGAAAAAAAGAAAAAAAATAGAAAATGAAAATACAAAATAAAAACAGTTAAAAAACAGATTAGTCTTTCCATATCTTAACTTTCATTTGCTTGTTTTCCCGACCTCCTCACACCTCCCTTTTTTGTATTCCAGTTCAAATTAGTTAATTCAGCAAATCCTTTCCCTCTTTGATTCTATCTTAATCTTTTATCTTAATATATTGTAACTTTAGATTATCACCTGTTAACAATCCACTTTTACATATTCCTTCATAACTTTGCTGCTAAAAACCATTTAACTTCAATCCAACATCATTCTAACATTCATTAATTTTACAGTATTTCTGTAGATAGTCTTTAAATTTCTTCCAATCTTCTTCCACCAACTCTTCTCCCTGGTCTCGGATTCTGCCAGTCATTTCCGCCAGTTCCATATAGTCCATCACCTTCATCTGCCATTCTTCCAGAGTGGGTAAATCTTGTGTCTTCCAGTACTTTGCAATAAGAATTCTTGCTGCTGTTGTAGCATACATAAAGAAAGTTCTGTCCTTCTTTGGCACCAATTGGCCGACTATGCCCAGGAGAAAGGCCTCTGATTTCTTCAGGAAGGTATATTTAAATACCTTTTTCATTTCATTATAGATCATCTCCAGAAAGCCTTAATCCTTGGGCACGTCCACCAAAGGTGAAAGAATGTACCTTCAGTTTCTTTACATTTCCAACATTTATTATCGGGCAAATGATAGATTTTTGCAAGCTTGACTGGTGTCATGTACCACCTGTATATCATTTTCATAATATTCTCTCTTAAGGCATTACATGCCGTAAACTTCATACATGTGGTCCATAACTGTTCCCAGTCAGCCATCATTATGTTATGTCCAACATCTTGTGCCCATTTAATCATAGCAGATTTCACCGTTTCATCCTGAGTATTCCATTTCAACAGCAAGTTATACATCTTTGACAAAGTCTTAGTTTTGGAATCTAACAGTTCTGCTTCCAATTTTGATTTTTCCACCTGGAAGCCAATTTTATTATCCAGATTATATGCCTCCATTATCTGATAATAATGAAGCCAATCTCGCACTTTACTTTTTAGTTTTTCAAAACTCTGCAATTTCAATTTATTTCCCTCTTGTTCCAAAATTTCCCAATATTTCGGCCATTTGGCCTCCATATTGAGCTTTTTCAGAGCTTTCGCTTCCATCGGTGACAACCACCTTGGGGTTTTATTTTCAAGTAGGTCTTTGTATCTTATCCAGACATTAAACAATGCTTTCCTGACAATATGATTTTTAAATGCTTTATGTGCTTTAACCTTGTCATACCACAAATATGCATGCCATCCAAATACATTGTTAAGACCTTCTAAATCCAAAATGTCTGTGTTTTCAAGAAGTAGCCACTTTTTCAGCCAGCAGAAAGCTGCTGATTCATAATAAAGTTTAAGGTCTGGCAGGGCAAATCCACCTCTTTCCTTTGCGTCCGTTAGTATTTTAAATTTTATTCTAGGCTTCTTGCCCTGCCAGACAAATCTAGAAATATCTCTCTGCCACTTCTTGAAACAATCCATTTTGTCCACAATTTGCAATGTTTGAAACAAGAACAACATTCTAGGCAATACATTCATTTTTATCGCAGCAATACGGCCTAGCCATGAAAGCTTCAAATTTGACCAAATTTCTAAATCTTTTTTCACTTCAGTCCAGCATTTTTCATAATTGTCTTTAAATAAGTTCCCATTTTTAGCTGTCATGTTAATCCCCAGGTATTTCACTTTCTTAACCACTGTTAAACCTGTCTCATTCTGAAACCTCTCTCTCTCAATCGCTGTTAAATTTTTCTCTAAAACCTTTGTTTTTAACTTATTCAGTTTAAATCCTGCAACCTGACCAAATTCTTGAATCAGTTCTAAAACTCTTTTGGTACTAGATTCTGGCTCCTGTAATGTCAATACTAAGTCATCTGCAAATGCTCTCAATTTGTACTGTTTAGCTCCGACTTGTATACCTTTTAGGGAATCAAAGTTTAAGGCAGGTACTGATTGGAGAAACTTTTAGGATGCACTCCCATCACTTTGTTTTGGACTACAGTGGTACCTCTACTTACGAACGCAATTTGTTTCAGGGTGCCGTTCACACCCCAAAGGTCCGTAAGTAGAGTGCCACTACTGCGCGTGTGCAAAGCACAATAGAGCGCTTCTGCACATGCATGAAGCGCACAGATTGCTTCTGCGTGTGCGGCAAACCCGGAAGTAAACACTTCTGGGTTGGCCGCATTTGTAACCTGAAAAGCCGCAACGTGAAGGAAATGTAACACGAGGTGTGACTGTAATTACACAAGCTGAAATGCAAAACTCACAGGGTACAATTCACTTCCTGGCCTCCGAAGCCATATTTGCGTAAGCAGAAGGGAATTGGCACTTCTTTTCATGAAAGACCTTTTAAAAAACGGTGGTATTTGACTTAAGTTTTATTCAGAGCAGACCTACTGAAATGAGTTAAGCCCATTCACTTCAGTGAGCCTACTCTGAATAACATTTAGTCGAACGCCACCCAGTGTGAACTTTCGTACGTTTAAAAAAATTCACAGACCAGCATGGAAAAAAGACAGAACAGATTTATGAATGGGTATGTTTAGAACTGAGACAGAGTAGAAACAGGCCAATCTGCTCATCCCAACTCACATCTGTTGTCAAGTGTCACCTGGGAAGGGGATGACATGGGCTCCTTTGACCCGTATGTCTATTGCTTCCCCATCTGCAAACCATCACTCACTGGCAATTCCCTTATGAGATAATCTCTACCCACATTTCATTTATGAGATGCACAGAGTCATTATGGGGCATAGAACCTATTTTTTCCTCGTCGGAGGATAACATTTCAACATAACTTAGGGAGTGTGTTATTAATTTAAATGCGCAAATCACCTGGGCTCTAGAGTGGATGCCAATATTTTCTTTTATCCCCCTCCCCACCGTTCTTGATTTTTTTTTTTTTGGAGGGGAAACAGCCATGGTTGAAAGCTTTATGGAGAGTAGGGTGCACAACCTATGGCGTCCTTTCTCTCTGTTTGATTTGGGAGCACCACAGATATGTGTGTATCCCTTTTTAGTACACAGAAATCTATCCCCAATGTGCATGCTGGTCCATGTGAAAGTACGTGTGTTCAAATGGAGATGCACCCCACTGACTGCCTTCATTTTCATTTTAAGCTCCACTGGGGAGTTTCATCAGCAATCACCTCTCCTGCCAAGTGGGCATCATTCTGGGAGGACTTCTTGCATCTGCTGGACTTATCCTGAGCTCCTTTGCCACAAGCCTAGAGCATCTTTACCTTTCCTTAGGAATTCTTACAGGTATATTATTATTATTATTATTATTATTATTATTATTATTATTATAGCATCAACACTATTAATCTCCATGCTTCAGGAACCTCCTCTGAGAGTCCAGTTTGTGCATTTTTCTGGGAAATAAGCTCTGCTGCTGAATTCATTGAGACTTAATCCCAGATAGGCATCTAGAGGACTGCAGCCTTGCAGCAGAGCTCCATGCATGTTGCTCAGGAGACTAATTTGACTAACTTGTGTGTGTTGTGTGTGTTTAGGGCTGCAGCCGCTGCCCAAAATCCAGATGGTCGTCCTAGTGCTGTTGCTTCACCAGAGGCACCCACTAATGGAGGACAAGAGGAGATGATGTTGGCTGATTCTCTCTCCACCTGCAGCCCCTGGTAGTCCCTGAAAATCTGTCCTGGAGGGTTGAGGGACCCCTCAGAGCATATTTGTGGAGCAACACTGAAGGCTGCAGAGAGGAAAGAAGATGGGGTGTGGGGTGTGTGTGGAAACTCTCCCCTCCTCCTCCATTAGTAGACATATCTGTTAATGGATCAGAATATCTTACGCTTTTACGTATGACCAGCTGTCAGTTTCCCAACTATGTATTTGAATTAGGACACCATAATTCCATTTTACAGATTGGGAACTGAGGTAAGGAGACAGTGACTTGAACAAAGCCATACAGTGAGAACCATAACTATGGTGAGATGTGGAGAGGGGAAAAGGAGGGAACCTGGTCAACAAAATCAGGAATATGAAGGAAACAATCAGAACAAAGCCAAGGTTACTTTTGAAAAAATTATAATAATTCTGACTTGGATTCTCAGATTGCAAATTCAAATGTTGAAAATCACAATGGGATCTTAATTTTGAAATTCAGAAGTGCAGGTTTGTTGTTTTGGTGGAATGCCATAATTGTGTGCCTATGGCTGTTCAAATGTTGGTGTTACAATGTGAGGCTCACCAATGACACCTTTTGAAGTTCTGGTCAAATTTCCCACTACTTCTCACTAAGATTCTCAAGTCTGCAGCTGAAAATTCTGCCCCTCAAACTCTGGATTCTGAAAGTTCATCAGATTTCAAGTGATTACATGATCCCCCCAGTTAAAGGCCACACATTGTGACAGTGTGAAGTAAGCACACCAGTTAACCTTCTGTGGTTAATTCACTAAATTTAAATGTGGAACCAGCATCTTCAGCTGATTACATTGCCCAGGATCATCCCCAGCGATTTCAGCCGCGCGTGCGTGTGTGTAATAACCTGCAATGTTCTGCTAGTTCGTTTTCTTCAAAGATGAGGAACGGAAATGTTTACACAGAAATTGCTGACTTGTTAAAACTCGCATTATAGCCACGGTGATGGGAGCTTAGTGCACAGACCCCTGCAGTTTAATAACAATTTTGTAGAAATGCTGTACTCAAATGCTGCCAATAGCTTGTTTGCTAAGAAAAAAAGGTCCCTGTTATAGCACATATTGTGCGAGTGCTTCAGTATCAGCCTTCAGCTCAGCTATTGCCCAAAAATAACCAGCACTTTGTACTAGCAGATTTCCTTCATGCCTTGGCAGCTTCCTGAATGACAATTACTATGAGAACATCTATGGAACTCACTGCTGCAAGATATGATGGTGAGCCCTCAGTTCAGTGTGCCTCTTGAACATAGCAAAAATCTGAGAGCAAACTATGGAAGGAGGGCTATTTTCTTTATGCTGATCTCATTGACCTCTTGCATGGTTAACAGAGAAAAGAAACAGTGATGGAATCTGCATTGCTAACAAATCATGTTTTGCATGTGTTTGTGATTTTCTTCTTCCAGGCCTGGGATTTGCACTTTCTTATTCACCAGCCATAGCCATGGTGGGCAACTATTTCAACAAGAGGAAAGCCCTGGCTTATGGGATGGCCATGTCGGGCAGCGGCATTGGCACCTTCATCCTGGCCCCGGTGGTCCAGCTCCTAATTGAACAGTTTTCCTGGCGGGGAGCCTTGCTCATCCTGGGCGGTTTTGTTTTAAACCTCTGTGTCTGCGGTGCCTTGATGAGACCGGTTGCGGGCAAAGAGGACCGCAAGAGCGTGCCCGACTTCTCGGAGCAGGAGTTTGGGCCAGAAGCACAGAAGCAGGACTTGACACAGTGGTCGGTCTGCTCCCCTCTGATCAAAGTCTGGTCCCACAAATACCTGTGCCAGTGCTCGTGGCAGGAGTACCACTTTCTGCTGATGCCGGACTTTGTGGTGCTCGCGGTGTCCGTCTTGTTCATGGCTTACGGCTGCAGCCCCCTCTTCGTTTACCTGGTGCCTTATGCCTTAAGGGTCGGGATGAGTCATCAGCAGGCGGCCTTCCTCATGTCCATCCTTGGGGTCGTCGACATCATCGGCAACATCACTTTTGGATGGCTGACAGATAGACGGTAATGGCCAAGAGCGATGACATAGAAAGCTGGGTGATGTGGGATAACGACCCTCATTGCATGCCCCACGGATTATTTTCCACGTTAAGAAGAGTGCATCTTTCCTTCCTCCCCCCTTCAGCATTAACAATTTTATTGTGGTATCCATTTTATTCAGTACATCTCGGACTGCGTGTCCCTGCTAAATATTACAGGCTAGTTGGGACAAGGGTGGCGTTGTGGTCTAAACCACTGAGCCTCTTGGGCTTGCTGATCGGAAGGTCGGCGGTTCAAATCCCCACAATGAGGTGAGCTCTCGTTGCTCTGTCCCAGCTCCTGCCAACCTAGCAGTTTGAAAGCATGCCAGTGCAAGTAGATAAATAAGTACTGGTGCAGCAGGAAGGTTTCAGTGTCCTCTGGCACTCATCACGGTCCTCTGTGTGCCAGTAGTGGTTTAGTCCTGCTGGCCACATGACCTGGAAAACTGTCTGTGGACAAATGCCGGCTCCCATGGCCTGAAAGTGAGATGAGTGCCACAACCCCATAGTCGCCTTTGACTGGACTTAACTGTCCAGGGATCCTTTACCCTTTTATTACAGGCTAGAGTCCACAACCAAAGGAGACAAAAATCCAACAAATGCAACAGAGCATGTCCAGGCAGAAAACATGAGGATCAGCCCATGGAGTTGCCGATAGATAGATAGATAGATAGATAGATAGACCCCAGCTACAGTGAAGATCACAGATATCAGATGAAATAAATATTACTTCATTGCAACTGACTCTCTTGCCTACTGCCTTGCAGGTGTTTGAAGAAGTATCGTTATGTTTGCTACTTCTTTGCGGTGGGAATGGATGGCCTGTGCTGCCTTTTCCTTCCAGTTCTCCAGAGCTTTCCGCTCCTTGTGCCTTTCTCCTTCACCTTTGGGTATTTCGATGGAGCCTACATCACGCTTCTCCCAGTGGTGACTGCGGACGTGGTGGGCACGGCTTCCTTGTCATCCGCCCTTGGGGTGGTGTACTTCCTTCACGCAATACCCTACCTAATCAGCCCACCTGTTGCAGGTCAGTTTTGTATGTGAATCAGCTTCCCTGGTTATGTATGAATCTCAAGTACATGGCTTTACCGGCGCCTTCCTTTTCTTTCCAATCGCTGTTTGGATTCCTCTTGCACTAAACTGAACACCAGAGGGCAATACATTCCTTCTGTATGCAAGGCAAATGCAAGAAAGAGGACCCTAGAGAGGTCCAGTTAAGAGGAAACGAAAAAAAACAGCAGACACCATACTGCATTGTTGCTATAAAGCCAGTAATATGTGACAGATCTGAACAGATTTCTTCATTGTCTTCTGGGTATTTTTCTTCATTCTCTCACTGTGAACTTTCAGTGCAAAATCACACCTTGTTTTCCTTAACCGCTCTAATGCAAAGGCCGCCTGTGGATACTCTTGAGCTGCTATTTAGAAGTAGCGTTTGCCACTGCCACCAAATGTCTGCGTCAAGGCAACTCAAATTATCTGCTGAAGAAATTGGAACCATTTGCCTTATGTGAGCTATGCAGACCAAACAGTCTGGCAGGTCTGGGTTTAAACTCTTACTCAGCTGTGAAGCTCATTGGGGGACTGGGACTCAGTTGCTCTCAGCCTGACCCCTCCTCATGGGATTATTGTGAGGACAAAGCAGGGTAACCCACATCCATGCAGATGACTATGGGATACAGAGGTTGTTGATGATAATAGCTTCTGCTGCTTCTAGTTTGGATTGCACCTGCTTCTAGTTGCATTGCACCTGGCAATGCAAAGAGTGGAAGCCCTGCCTGTCATAATGCTCAGCATGTCCTCTGGCTTTCGAGATTTCACCAGGTATCATCAACACATTTTCAAGGGTGACCTTTGCAGCCATAAGGGTAGTCAGCGGTTCTCAACCTGTGTGTCCCCAGATGTTGTTGGACTACAACTCCCATCATCCCTGAGCTCTGGCCTTGCTAGCTAGGGGTGATGGGAGTTGTACTTCAACAACATCTGGGGACCCACAGGTTGAGAAAGGCTGGGTTAGGTTCTCCCTAATGCATTCTTAATATTGTACACTACCCTGGAATCTTTTGATAAAGGGTTGTATATAAATTGAAGTAATAATAATAATAATAATAATAATAGCAGCAATGTTGTATCTTTCCCTACAGGTTGGCTTGTGGACACAACTGGCAACTACATGGCCTCGTTTCTGCTGTGTGGGTTTTCCATGATATTCAGCTCGATGCTACTGTGTTGCGCAAGACTAGCCAAGAAGGCGAAACGGACTCCCTTGAGGCCTGGGGCCAAGCAACCAAGCTGGACAAATGGAGCCATTGTCTATTCTGTAACTAGAGAATTAGATCCCAGAGGTGTGGAGCTGCTGGCCAGTGAGGCAAACAGTTATAGCAAAAGATGACAACGTGCTTGAAAGGGCCCTCCCCCTCTCCTTAGTGTACCCAATAACCTTTTGCTAAGATAGATTTTTGTTAAGTCTTGCTACACTATTTGAAGATGTTCCTCCCCACTGGAAGAAAGGAGAGAAGGAATGCGCCTTTGCATGGGACTTTTGTTTTCTGTCCTTTCAGCAGGTAAAAAGCCTGTGCCCTAATGAGGGTAGCAGAGAAGGAGGAAGTTCTTCTCTGAGGATGTAGTTAAGATAGTTTCTAACGCAGTGCCGGGGAGGTTGAGGGTGGCCCTGTATGCACAAAGAAGGCAAACTAGACATTCAAATAGATGATAAAACTGTGTGTAAAACAGTGTTGACACAGTAAAAAGCCTTTTAATTTTGCACGTGGCTGCTCTTGCCTGGAATAAGCAGGGATGAAAAAAGGTTAAATGTGTTCTTTGGCTAACTCTGAAAATCAACAGATGCCTACTGACTTCTGCAAAGGAACTCAGCTGCAGAACTGCTGCTTTATACTGTGGTTAACTTCATTTCAAAAGGTCACAAGATATGCTTTATGATGTGCCTGGATTTGATAAACAACTGGGATGTGGCTTTTGGAAGGCTGGCGATTCTCACAGGTTTCTTCTTTAAAACACCTGAAAACAATTTGTAGTAATCAGAGGGAACAAATGGAAGGAACGAATTTCCATTTGAAAAAACTCATAGCAAAGCTGGCTCTAGTATCACAAGGAGTTGTTGCGACATTGCTGGTATGGAGGCAGCTTTCTACTGAGCAATACTGAGCTTTTGCAGTATTGATGTGCAAAGTAAACACACTCGAATATCTTGAGTACATGCATCCAGCCATGTGGGTTCTTGCTTGTGATGTAGCCACTTAAGTGCAGTTGTCTATGGTAAGCTTCGCCCTCTTGTTTGGGAATCATAATACAATGAACATCTAGAAAGGGGCTTTCGTTAAATTTAACTAAGGTTTGTTCCTATATTTTAAAGCCTTTTTGATTTCCAAAAAGGCAGTTAATTTTAGCTTTGAAATTCTTTGTGTGCTTGTTCTGCTCAGTTGCACACATATTAAAACCCAGAGAACGTTCATTGTTGATGAGTGCATGCTAGAGATGGGGGAGAAATGAGTTCAGTTTGCATTTGAAGTTGATGCAGATGAATTCTTCATTCCTTCAGTGAATGCATCCGGTGTTAATAATGCAGGTGGCACTGTGGTCTAAACCACTGAGCCTCTTGGGCTTGCTGATCAAAAGGTCAGGGGTTCGAATCCCCGTGATGGAGTGAGCTCCTGTTGCTCTGTCCCAGCTCACACCAACCTAGCAGTTCGAAAGCACACCAGTGCAAGTAGATAAATAGGTACCATTGTAGCGGGAAATTAAACTGTTTCCATGAGCTCTGGCTTCCATCACAGTGTTCCATTGCACCAGAAGCAGTTTAGTCATGCTGGCCACATGACGCAGAAAGCTGTCTATGGACAAACGCCGGCTCCCTCAGCCTGAAAGCGAGATGAGCACTGCATCCCATAGTTGCCTTTGACTGGACTTAACTGTCCAGGGGTCCTTTACCTTTACCTTTTTTTAATAATGAACATTCTCTGGGTTTAGATGATCTTGATAGTGAACAGACGCAGTTTACACTTCCTGAACAATACGTGAGCCGAAACACAGTGCTCCTTAAAAATTTGCATCTTTTGCCTTGTATTTCTCCAACCGAGAATGTGTACAGTACATGTGATTGAAAAGTGCACGTGGAATGCATATATTAGCGAAATCCAGCCCCTGCCCAACGAAGATGCTTTCTGTCAGAAGAAAACTGCTTGACAAAATGCATATACTAAGCAGAATTATGCAGCACAAATGGAAGGTATTTCTCTGCGTTTCAGCCACATCTCCTGCTTAATAGCACAACAATTATAAACCATTGCAGTGACTCTGTTTCTAGGTGTAGCTAGCCACATTTGCTTGTTCATGATGCAGTTATGTGGGTGCAACCTGTTTGTGTGAGGCAGCTCTCTCTCTGCAGTTGTGGTCACTTCAAGTAACCTGTTTTATGACATGGCTGGAATCTGCACATCTGTCCTGAAGTGGTTTTATATATATAACTTCCCACGTAGGTGGCAAATGGTTTTGCATTGTTCACGGTTGGTGTGTTTTGGGCCTTGCCTGTTCTATTGGCCAAAAATAAGAATTCTAGTACATGATTACCTACATGCAGGAGAGACATTCCAATAATGGTTGATCTTACAAATGGCTACTAGACCTCTTCAAGGTTCCTTTTAAAGCAAACCATGAGGAAACTTTTTTGGTCACTCAAGGGTAATCCATGAGGTGACACATGCTGGTGGTGTGCAGAGCCAGAGAATTAAGTGGGTGGGACTGTCTCTTCTTCCTCCTCCTCCTCCTCCTCTTCTTCCAACCTTCTTTCTTTTCCCTCCCTCCTTACCCAGCAGGCTTTGGGGACTGGTGATGGGGACCAGATCAATCTAAACTGACTGCTTGCAGAGGGGATTCACCTGTTAAACATGTAAAGCCAACATGTTCTCAAAAGAAACTTTGGGAGCCATCACCCCAATTATATAAGGAACTCACTATTGATCTTTGAACATGTCTGTTGTCACCACTTGGACATTCCACTGCTAGCTGCCAAAAACCAATGATTTTCTGAGCTAATCCTTCCATTGTAAATCAGAGTCTGGTGAGTCTGTTGCATAAATAGCTAGGCAATTTAATATTAAATTAACAGCTTGCTTTCATCAGTTTCAAAAGGTTAATCAGTATAAAAATTTCCAAACCAAACCAGTGATCAAAGACTAAACACACACTTCCCCAAAGCTACATTTGGCTAAATATTCTACTGAATTTAATTGTGTTCATGAGTAACTCAGGGGAGTTAGTGCCTGCAGTCCATGCAGTATGCATGCCCCAGCCACAGCGAAGTTATCAATTGCTCTTCCTTTCACAAAGATGTTCAGATCTCACACGACACACAGTCCTGTATTGCCGGGACTGGCAGGTAGACATCTAGTGCTGCCACAAGGATACAGCTCATTGTTTCCTCCATACAACTTTTCACAGGCCCTCCTAGGTAGCCAACACAGCTTCCTCCAGGTGTTATAGGTAACAACTCCCACTAGGCCTTGACAGCTTGTGTTGGCTGGGGTGGATGGGAATTGGAGGGTATCCAGTTGGCCAGGGCTGCATTAGTACAGACATATTTTTCTGTCCTGAGAGAATGAGTAGGTTTTCACAGTAGCCCATTTAGCTCAGCACAACTTTGGGGCAATGTTTTAGCACCCGTGTTACAAATCTTTGAACACCTGCAGTGAACACTATTCCACAGAATAGACTTATAAATTTGCATTTCAGCTTAGTTGGCAGAACATGAGACTCTTGATCTCAGGGTTGTGAGTTTGAGCCCCATGTTGGGCCTAAGATTCCTGCATTGCAGGGGGTTGGACTCAGGGTCCCTTCCAACTTTACAGTTCTGTGATCTATGAAAATGCTATTAAATAATAGTTATTAAAGAATAAGTACAACGAGCTACAGACTAGAATGAGACATCAGAAACAACAGTGTTTCATTTGAAATGCTTGAAGGCTGGTACAAATATTCCGGCTGTGTCTGTCTTTAAATTTACTCCCTTTAAATGTACTCCCCTGCACAACCAACCTACAATCTCTGTTGCGCCTGGCATCTCATTTTCTACTGCATAGCAGAGGACTGTAAACAAATTGTGAGTACTGTGAACATGGTCACAGAATTCATACCAGAAGTCAATCCTATTGGGAGGCTAAGGATGGAGATGGCCACTATTGCTACACAAAAGCCTCCCGTTTATTTACATCACCCTTATGATAAACATTCCAGCTTCTAGCTACCACTTTTACAATTGCAGATTTCAGTTTGAAACTTCAAATGTGGAAGATGAGCCATTAAATGCCCGAATTGAGCTCAGCAATTCTTTGCTGTGACCAAAGTATTGTAGTCTGTAAGTTCCTGGTTCAGTATTGTTTTGAATGTGCCATTGTAATTGAGATATGCTTTGTCCCCAGTTGCCTTTTTGCCAGATGAACCTGGTTGGGAGAGTGAGGGTGATGGATTAAGCCAAGTCAGAGAATACACAAGCAACAGTTACCAGAAAAGTACATTTCATAGGGCAAAATATTCCTGCACTGCAGGGAATTGGACAAGATGAGCCTTGTGGCCCCTTCCAGCCCTACAGTTCAATGATTCTATGGGAGAAAGGGACACGATGGATCCCTGTTGTGTGCTTCCCAGTCCCTTGTCTTCAGGAAAGGATTGGGAAATGAGATTGCAAGCATGCAATTACCGGTAGTAGTTTTTTATTGGAACGTGGGCAAGCTAATGACTATGGGATGTCCAGATAGCTATCTGAAATGTCACAGTTTGCATTTCATGGTGTCTGCTTCCTATGCCCAACTGGGATGAGCAAGGGCCCTGATATTACGAGCAACAAATTTCAAATTAGATGTTGAGACATTTAAAGCCATAATTGCTGAAGGTTAACATAATATACCTATATATAAGCCAATTCATCAACTTCGTATTTTCACATTTATACTTCCCATTTCTACTGTATGAAACAGGCTGCATCAGTGATAATTTTGCACAAAAAGGAATGCAGTTGCCTGGTGGCCCCCAAATTGATAAAAGATTGCACCAAGCAAGCCTCCCTGGGGAGTGCATTCCACAAATCTGGAAGCAGAGGTGCATGTCATTGCTTTTGGAGGACATAATCAAGAACAAGCTACATGACACATGGGGAGGCTTCGAAAGAAAAATTCCCTCCCAGGTTGTGGTCCCAATAAAAACCACTGCTCTGTAAATTGCTGTTTGGAATGGAATAGAAGCTCTCACTGGAACCAAGAAGAACTTGCATCTTGTACCAAGGAATTTTCGTCAGTACTTTGGCAGAGAAGCATAAGGGTTAAATCTCCCTGCCTACAATTGTCCCCTTACTGATTGTCTCCCTCTTAAAGATGCTATTTGCATTTTAAAAAAAGAGGATTGCTGCAACCTGCAAGCAATGCTTTTAGGATTGTGAAAAGGTTGGCCCACAGCAGTTTGAGGAAAATGTAACTCCTGCCAGTTCTCTGTATTATTATTTTTTAATTGGCTCACCTGGTGTCCCATGAGGCATCATCATGCACTACTTGCCAACTTCTGGAAGCATTGTCAAATTTCTCTACTATGAGAAATGTGAAACTGGTCTGGAAAAAAAAAAGTTTACAGAACAGTGACCCAGAGATTATCACGAGAAGCATGAGATGAGACTTGCCTCTGCAGAGGCGCGTTGGCATAAATGTTTTTTTCAAACAATGTGTTTTTAAAGTTCCCAGTGCTATTCCTTCCTCACCTTTGTTTCCTCTCGGTATCCCTTATGCTCCCATATTTCTTGCACCTCAAATCTCTGCACATAAATGCAGGGAGATGGGGGGGAGGGGCTGGAAACCAACAAACCCAGAAAAAACCTGTCCCTGAAGATTCTTACCATATTTGCTGCAGAATTCCTTGGATTTGCACCAACAAAATGAACATCGACAACTTCGCCCTGAGGTGTGAGAGAGAGAATTGTTCTTGAGGAAACGAACGCTATGTTGTGTGTACACACCACACAACACTGCTCCTGCGCAAGGAGGTCAGGTGATGATCGCTACTTCCCTCTGAGCACTAGGGTGGTGTTTGTTCAGCTCCTACTATAGTAGCAGCCATTAAACAGACATAAAGGAATGTGCTGTATTGTACAGTGGCTTTGAAAAGAGGGTGGGGTTATTTCTCTGTTGCACAAATGGTGCTGTTTTGGTTCAATAAAGAACTCAGAGGAATGGAGGGTAGTGGCTATATTCTTACCTTTTTTGGGGGGGGGGGTTAAACATTATTTTCGTAATTTCTTTCGTATGTTTTTCATTTGTATTTTGTTAATTCAGATTTAGTTCTTCTGTATTTCAAAATTCAGATTGCATTTCAGAAGCTAACTTTGCACAGATCTGCGCAGTGGGGCAAAAAAAGTCCACTTCCAACATAAAAGCATTGGGGGGGGGCGACACCCCTTCAGTTGCCCAACTTTCATCATGTGTGTGTTGGAGTAGAGTGTGTGTGTGTGTAGAGCTAAATAAATCTGGAAAGGGTGTGTGTGGAAAAAGAAGGCTGAAAATAATTAATGAAAAAAAGTGTTTGGGGTTATCTCATTTGGAGTTCTTTTGGTTCATGTCTATTTAATCCAATATGAATATTAATGGGGCTACTACCATTCTAACTTCTAATTCTATTTCCTAAATGCATATCCTTAATTAGTATATTTGATGTAAGTTAAGAAACTGCATAATTTCCATGTTCAAAATAGTACAAAGAAGAACACCGTAGTATTTTATTTTTAAAAAAATGGTATACATACCACCCTGTACGTTGACCGTGCATCTTGTACGACATCCCCAAATTTGCTACCAAGTGGTTTTGCATCAAGAACAGGAAGCAAAAGGTTCAGGCTTATGTTGGAAATGACTGGCTCTGGGAGTTTGGGCAAGTCTGGAACAGTATCCTGAAATGAGTTAAATTTGCTTTGAAATGGCAATGGTCTGTTGCGTCTTAATGATGTACAGTGGTACCTTGGGTTACATACGCTTCAGGTTACATACGCTTCAGGTTACAGACTCCGCTAATCCAGAAATAATACCTCGGGTTAAGAACTTTGTTTCAGGATGAGAACAGAAATCGTGCTCCGGCAGTGCAGCGGCAGCAGCAAGAGGCCGCATTAGCTAAAGTGGTGCTTCAGGTTAAGAACAGTTTCAGGTTAAGAACGGACCTCCGGAATGAATTAAGTTCCTAACCCAAGGTACCACTGTACAGGCATGGAAAAGGGAAGAGGCAAGAGCTTAGCGCTGCCACCATCTACCTAATGGTAGAGCCGGTCCTAAATACTGAGCGTCCAAGCTGCATTACGAAATAGCCCTTGAAGAACACAAAAGAAAAGACCGCACTTCTGTTTCAATTAAATATAGAGAGTCCCATCTGTACAGCTCAGCAATTACCTTAGCAATAGCCCTGGCCAGAGCACGGAATGACTGGATGTAAGCAGAAAGGGTGTGTGGTCCAAAAATGGTGGATGCTCCTTCGTATCGTTGAACCTGTGAAGTGACATAGGAAAACACCTGAGTTCTGGGCTGGCATCAAGGGCCTCAGAACTTGCCAAAGTGCCCTGCCTGCCCCTGCTGCTTTTGTGTGGTGGTGGTGGCTTCTTCTGGAGACGTGCCGAAGTTGCCATGTGACCCCTGTAAGCTAGGCAGAGGCAGGGTGGCATCTTCCTGTTTTGCCTCAGGTGGTGAAGGAGGACCGGCTGCTCTGATCTGGCTTCTGTGCGCAAGGACAAGGAACAATAACCTCCACTCCCTGTGGGAGTGTAATGAGGTGTAGTGGCATCAACAGAAAAACAGGGAGCAGGCCCTCTGGGGTTTATTGTTGTTTCATGCTCCTGCTAAATTACTAGATGACAGGTACCTTCGAAAAGTGCCTTTATATGCACATGGGGCTTCCAATCTATCCACAATTTTTCTGGAGGTAATTTTGAGTCATTCATTTGCTGGTGTGGGTGTTAATGAGTTTGCAGCTGTAATGAAAGATGGTCAGATATGAAAGAAAAAGAAATTTTGTACAAGGGTGGTGCCAGTTTATTTACCTGGTATTCTTCGTAAGTAGTTACATAGTGGGTATAAATATTACACAGTCCCGAAAGTATAATGTTCATTCTTGGTTTCCCTTGACTCTCAAATTCCTAAGAAACAGGTGCACAAATGAGTCAATCGGCATGAAGCAGAAGAACTAATGACTATTCAGAACTAATGACCTTGGGATTGAATCATGCATTAGCTGCATGGGCCTGTAGGGTGCATAGCCAAAGCAGCAGAATTTGACCCTCCGCTCATCAGCTGATAAGTAGGGTGGGGGTTAAATCCTCCTCAGTTTAGCAAGACTGTGGCAGTGGCATGTGAGCAGGATGGGATGGGACTAGTAGAAAGAAACTATTGCCCAAGCTAGCTTTTTATAATAGTCTATTGATTCAGCCAGAAGCAGCTTAGTCATGCTGGCCACATGACCCGGAAGCTGTACGCTGGCTCCCTTGGCCAGTAAAGCGAGATGAGCGCTGCAACCCCAGAGTTGGCCACGACTGGACCTGATGGTCAGGGTTCCCTTTACCTTTACCTTATTGATTCAAAGGGGAAATGAATAAATCAAGAGCGGGAGAATTGTCTTATGGGCAATCCCATATACTTTTAAAGCTGTGAACTTACACTTTTAACAGCTTCACGCACCCTTCTACCAGCCATTGTCCTGAGAAACATGAAAACAGATACATCAATGTCCATACCCTCCCACTGAGCTGTAAGTAAATCAGGTTTCAAGACTATCAAAGCACCTTGAAGGTTTGTAGGTGATTGGTACAGAACCGATTTTTTATGTTGTGAACCACCCTGAGATCTATGGATGTAACACAGATATTACTACTACTACTACTACTACTATTAAGCATCCCCCCATTTGGTGCCCTCTAGATGTTATGGGCTATCCCTTCCATGGTCATGCTGACTGGAGTTGATGGGATTTGTACTTCCAAAATCTGTAGGGGATTTAGGAGAAGGGCAAAAACAATTACTGACATCTCTGACATTGCACAAGGGAATAGAAAAGGACTTGTAGATCTAGATCAGAGCTACTCTTTAAGTTAAGCTGAAACTTAGAGAACAAGCTAGTGACTAGATTAAGTCCCATTGCTTTAAATACGACTGATACTGCAGCCCTATATTACTGCAGGTAATTGGGCACAGAATTGCAACCTTAATCATGACTTATCTTTTGCTCAGTTGTGTCCACTGTGTATTAAATATAACATAGTTACTATGCTAATGTGTACAAAGTCAAACGGGAATGGATCTTTTCCAGTGCTATTTTTTCTGGGAGTATTCAAGGGTAAACGGCCTCGGTCCAGTATACCTGAAGGAGTGTCTCCACCCCCATCGTTCTACCCGGACACTGAAATCCAACACCGAGGGCCTTCTGGCGGTTCCCTCGTTCCAAGAAGCCAAGTTACAGGGAACCAGGCAGAGGGCCTTCTCGGTAGTGGCACCCGCCCTGTGGAACACCCTCCCACCAGATGTCAAAGAGAACAACAACTACCAGACTTTTAGAAGACATCAGAAGACAGCCCTGTTTAGGGAAGCTTTTAATGTTTAATGGACTATTGTATTTTAATATTCTGTTGGAAGCCGCCCAGAGTGGTTGGGGAAACCCAGCCAGATGGGCGGGGTATAAATAATAAATTATTATTATTACTTAGTACCAGCTCCACCTTTCCCCCACCTTTTTTTTTTTGCAAATGTTGAAAGTGTGGCACTTAATGGACAACTTCATGGTGAATACTGGCACCTTTTTTATTATTAAAAAAAAAAAAAAGCATTGGACCTTCTCCTTTTAAGTTTGCAGTACTTTAATACAGAACTAATATGCCACTCATATTGTCTGTTTGACCTTTCCACTTTCCCAGCTGTTTTTCATTCCATTTCCAAATGCACAGCTGCAGGTCTTTCAGAACTATCTCTTTCCCTTCAACTATTTATCCTGCTTTTGAACGCACTGTGAAGGTCCTTAACACACATTAATGAATGCACTTTACTATCAACGTAGAATGTGAATACATACGTAAACTCTCCTGGAAGAGCCACTATTGCCACAGATCCAATGGTTGCTATTTGAACATCAATCACATGTGGGTGCCATGGGTAAGGTTTTGAAAGCTTAAGAAATTCAGGAAGTAAATGAGAATCTCATGTTAGCTTTTATTCTGAAAGATGCCATTCTGGCTGAATCTAGACACATCAAAGAAGCGTTTCAGTTAAAAGCATTCTAAATTTAAACAGGGAAAACGTGTAGAGAAAAACGGGGCTCCACAGCGCTATCTGGTGGCACAATGTTATATCGCATATATAATGCATATCAATCGCTTTTTCTTTACCAATCTAGCTGAGTCCTCTGAAACAGTCCATCCTCATCCTCACCAAAATTGTGGGGACTAGTGACTGATCAGAGAAAAGTGAATGGAGGTATGAGGAGATGCGCCTCTATCTATGCTTCACCTATTTTATTTGTAAATAAACTCAAATATTGCACAATGGCAATCAGCCTCTTCCAGGAAAACCAGCCTGGGAAAGTGCCTTTTTGCTCAGAGAAGACTGGTGTGCACAGCATTATGTTGACTATCTAGGTCCACATCAATTAGATTACTCAAGTCTGAGCTGAAATGGATTCACTCCTGGCAGCAAATTCTCATGTTTCATACCTCTCCTGTAGGAATCAGGATGGGCTTCGGACTGTGGCATTCTTTTGTTTCATTGGATGGCTCAACAAGTAATGCATCACGAAGTGCATCCCACAATGAATTGCCTTCTGTTGTGCCTGTCAACAAATATGTAAGATAGTTTAAGAGGTGTTTATTAGATTTTTGAAGGCAAAAAGCTGGAGCTAAAGAGAGAGGATGTTGCTTTGAACATTATATTCTGCATGAGCCATACTATTTCCATACTATTTTAAGAGCATTAGAGTGTTTTCTATTGATTGGTTTTTGCCTGACATTTCCACCTTCCTTTCCACTGGTTCCAACCGGGCATCTCAAGAAGTAGGTAGCTAAGGGTATAAGGCTGGTCACTGTGAGAACAGTCTTGGACTAAATGGGCCAGAGGGTTCTTGTCATGTTCTCATGTGGTTACTCATGGAAGCTCATGCTATTTTGTTATAAAAAGCACATTAAATGTTAGTCTCATGCTGCTGCTGAACACATTTTTCTTTAGCAGGTAACCTGTTAATATTTTACTTATTTTTGAAATAATATATATGTTGAGAATGAATGCCTAGCTTTAGTTCTAATATAAAAACCTATTATGTGCATTTAAAAAATACACGCACAGCATTTTCAAAAGAAGCCTGATGGATATGTAGTTTCGATTCCATTACCTTGAAAAAAAACAAATAGCTTAGGCTCCTCCAAAAACATTATCACTAATTCATATTGCTGTCAAGTATGACTTAAGGTAAAGGTAAAGGGACCCCTGACCATCAGGTCCAGTCGTGGCCGACTCTGGGGTTGTGGCGCTTATCTCGCTTTATTGGCCGAGGGAGCCGGCGTACAGCTTCCGGGTCATGTGGCAAGCAGGACTAAGCTGCTTCTGGCAAACCAGAGCAGCACACAGAAACGCTGTTTACATTCCCGCTGGAGTGGTACCTATTTATCTACTTGCACCTTGAAATGCTTTCGAACTGCTAGGTTGGTAGGAGCAGGGACCGAGCAACAGGAGCTCACCCCGTCGCGAGGATTTGAACCGCCAACCTTCTGATTGGCAAGTCCTAGGCTCTGTTTTTTAACCCACAGCGCCACCCATGTCCCCAAGCTATAAAAAGCTGCTAATTACAGCTACCCATCATTTAAAGAGTTTGAGATGATTAATCAACCAACTGAACTTTAATATAGAGAAAAACATTTATGTCGAAATGAGAGATCAAAGAAAGATTCCTTACCACATTTTAATGGCCGCTGCCCTACTTTTAATAGTGCTCATGATTTTCACTGCAGAAGGCTGTGCGATTTCATTACCCTCTGAACTAAGCTGACTAACAAACATTGCCTGCAGCAGTGGGAACTGCTGTCCACAACATGGCTTATCTCACAGTAGTCTACGTAAGCATAGGAGGATACAAATCATGTGGTGGTGCTGTGGTCTAAACCACTGAGCCTCTTGGGCTTGCCGATCAGAAGGTCGCGGTTTGAATCTCCGCGATGGGGTGAGCTCCTGTTGCTTGGTCCCAGCTCCTGCCAACCTAGAAGTTTCGAAAGCACGCCAAAAAGTGCAAGTAGATAAATAGGTACAGCTCTGGCGGAAATGGTGTTTCCATGCGCTGCTCTGGTTTTGCCAGAAACAGCTTAGTCATGCTGGCCACATGACCCTGAAAAACTGTCTGAGGACAAACTCTGGCTCCCTCCGCCTGTAAAGCGAGATGAGCACCGCAACCCCAGAGTCATCTGTGACTGAACTTAACTGTCAGGGGTCCATTACCTTTTTAATCATTTGGGTAAAATCAGACTAAGGGTGTTTAAGGCCTAGCTGGTGTGCACAAGAGAGGGACACCTGAAGTTAGGAGCCATCTTGGGGTGGGCCACCTGAGGGGTGAGTTTTAGGCCAGTGGTGAAATCAGATCAGATTAGAAGCTATCCGACCCTTCCAAATCAACACTAGCTGATTTCAAGGTCCATACTGATCACAAAATGTTATACAATCAATAACAATAATTAGCAAACATTTTTTTTTTAAGAATTATTTTTTATTAACCGACCAATCACATCAAATCAAACCAAATTACATAAATTCCAAATTACAGAGCCGAATTTTAAATTTTTGTTGGGGGTACCCATATTTCAAGTTCCGAAGGGATCCAATCAACTTCTTGCTTCTTACTGCTGTTTTAATGTCCACAAATCTAACCTTATGATGTTTACAGTACTATCCAGTCCTTTCTTATTATTTTTCCACATCTCTTGTTATTTTCATATATTTTTCCTTTCTCTTTGTGACCTCTGATGGTCTCCGCAAGCTGGTTAGAACAGTTTGTAATCCTGCGTGGATATATATATTTTTTTAATCCAGTAGCCATATCCAGATGTTTTCCATATAACATCACTTCCATACATCAAAACAGTCTTAGCGTCATTAATCTTCACCAATCTGCCTCCTTTCTCAAAACCTCTGAGGAGATTCACTAGGAATGCAGTCTGAAAACAAATCTGTTCTTCCTCCCGGCTGTAAATCCTTTGGCAAGATGGCGACTCCGAATTAATTGCTGCGCCATTCCCAAAAGCTCTTATTGCTTCTCGGTCTCCATAAAGCATACTTTTGGTTAAAGTTTATCTCCACACAGACCTTAATCATCCTGCTTGGGTCAGTTCAACCGACGGTTCTAATGAGGAGGGGTTCTTGTAAATCACATAGAAGGAAAGTAAAAAAGGTCCCCCCCCCATTCAGCCCCATTGTCAACATACCCCGCCTTTAGTGTATCTTCATCGTAAAATATTCCTGTTTCTCCAGCCCGTCGTCTTCTTTCGTAGAGGTCACTTAAATTAGCAGATTTCACTCCCCTTCTTCACTTGAAATATGTGCATTTGCTTCTTTTGTAATTAATTATTCCAAATTGCTGCAACTAGTGCGCGATCAGAGACAGCATCCAGGAGAGCCGATGTCCACACGGGGGCATTCTGCCTAGGGCCCTCACCCCTTCTTTCGAATTAGGGGGTGATTTATGGGCACAGCAGGCAAGGGCAGTGTTCCCGATTTCCTTGGGGCAACAAGGGAGGCTGCCTACTCCCATAACAGCCTCTTAATTACCCCGTGTGGGTCGGAGAGATGGTATTGTCGGCCATCTTCCAATGCGCCCCTAGTGGCCCCCCAATAATTAGCAAACATATACAGACAACTTACAACTTTTGTGGGTATTAGTTTCCAGGGACTGTACACAAAGGGAAAAATAGTGCATAGCCTGAACTTACCATGTGTGATCATCCCTCTCTCTGGAACCCAACATGCCAGGCATGCAAAGCTGTAATCGCGCAAGTTAAAAGTGTGCAAGTTGCAAGTCAACTGTAATGTTTATCTCCACTTGCCTTGAGTGAAATTCAGGACGCCTGGTCCATCTACAGTACCAGCAGCAAAGCTGTACCCCATAGCAGGTTTACATGTTTTTCCCTTGAGAAAAGCATAATGAAAAAGTTAAGGTGCGCTTTGTAAATGCCTCTGTATTGTTGTTTATTTGCTGACTTTCTACCTAGCAACAGACTTCCAAGGTGGCTGCTGATACTTTACCGAGTGAGTAGCATTGAGCTGCACAGTGAAGTTAGCCATGTCCACCCACTCGTGACTTGATCTGATGGGGCCACTTATCTCTTCGGAGGCCTTCATAGACAGTTCCTGAAATACAAATGGCAGTCATGGGAAAACCCACCCTAATCTGCATGCTTATATTTCCGGAGGCTCTGTCCTACCAACTTCCCCTACACATAGGAAGGCTGGAGCCCCTATTGCATAGCCTCCCCCTCCTTGCTTTGCTATTTGCTCCTGAGATGGAGTGAGTCTCAGCCATGTCAACAGTTGGTTCCTGAGGGGGTGAGAAGTGGAGGCAGTGGTACCCTTCCGGAGGCAGCGACAGGGCATTTGGGATGGGGCAAGGTTGGGTGAGCTCTGGGGTGGGAGCAATGGATACACTTTTGGGAACACTGCACCTGCCCCAGACATTTGCTGATTTCACTGCAACCCCAGCACTGTCCCGACAAGTGCAGTGCTATCGTGTACAGAAGGATGCCATCATCTCTGCCCCACTCCCAAGAGTCATCTCTGCACGTCATATTAGCCTTGGGTGAATCGTCATTACTGGCGGTCCTTTTTCTGTTCTATTGTTCTCTCTCATGCAGCCGATTTAATCTTCTCTGCTAGTTAGGAGGGGGTAATACTGGAAGAGAAGAAAGCCAGAACAACGATCAACTACTCTATGGAATAGAACTGCTTCTTCTGAGGACAAGAATGATCTATATCCTTCCTGGGTATCTGAACTGAGTCTTAATAGGTCATGGATATTTGCCTTTTTTTAAAAAACAAAACACAACAACAACACACCACCACCCCCTACTAGAATGGTAGGAACTGTTTATGGCACAGCTAGTTTGTGCACAATAGTGATATTTATTCCCACTCTATTGAATAGGAGTCAGGCTGGTATGACCAACAATATTTCAGAGGAAGAAATTCACAGCAAACTATTCAGTCATCACTATTCAGTAGCGCTTCCTGGGTTTGAACTAGTTACATACCATCAGCCTTACCTGTCAGATAAGGTGCCTATCAATATGAAGTAAGATAAGAATGTATTGTGACTCTCCCTATGTCCTTGGAATGGACTGGAAAAAGAACTCTGAAGCGAGATGGGTGCCGCACCCCATAGCTGCCTTTGACTGGACCTAACCGTCCAGGGGTCCTTTACCTTTACCTACCTATTTCCAGCTGGAAGAAATGGTCAAAGGCATTTTCAAAGACTTACAGATGAAAACTTAATTGTCAGAAGAATGCTTGTTTTTAAAACACAAAGGCATCCTAGAATTTCAACCCATCAAAGCTTACCTTCGCTTTCAAGTAGATGTTTCTGCCAATTGTTTTGGTGCTCTCAAACATATCCTTGCCAGGACCTGAAGCTATGCACTTTGTGGCCTAACATTGGAAAGAACAAATAAAAGGGGAAAGGCACAAACTGTTAGTATATAGTTTTATACTATAGTATACAGAGGCAAAAACTGTTGTAGCAGTTTTATCAAAGAGGGCAGCTCTTATATGTATTTCCATCATAATTCCATGGACCTGCACTGTCAGGAAACTTATTTATATTACTCCGCTATTATGGGACTCCTACATAGCTAGGAAAATATATGAATTGGGCCTTAGGGCCGGCCAAGATGCTTGCTAGATACAGAACAGGCACCTGTGCATCTAGTTTTCCTTGCTTAAATTCAGGCATTGAAGGGGAGGGACCCTTATCAGGAAGTGGGGAGGCTTATCTCTTTTCTCCCAGTGTGATCAGAAGGAACTGTCTCCCCACTTATCTCTTATCCCAATAGTACATCTCTCCCTGTGATCTTTGCTCCTGCAGCTCAGTTCCTATGTTCTACTCTAGGTGCACACAATTGAGACAAACACACCAGTTGCTTCTCTAGTAACTCTCCGCCTCTCCTCGCCTTCCTCTTGTTGATAAAACCATTGATTTGGCACAAGTTAAAACCAATTAAAACTCAATTAAAATCATGTGATCAGCAGAGCTCCGGAGCCAGCTTTCTGACCTGACACCATCTTAACCAGAGTCCCTTCCTCTTGTTGATTTTCTCTCAGTTGATTTTTGGATTGTAAGCACCCTGAGGCAGGAACGTGGCCTCTGGTGCTCTGTAAAGCACCGCACATATTTATTTATGCTAAATAAATAAATATTTCCCTTTCACTCATCTTGTAGGGAAGATAGAAAGATGTCCTGAATAGAATTCTAACACTGCCACAGGCCACTCTGGGGGCACCAGGGAGGATGCTGTTTCTCCACTACTGTGGAATGGATTTCATTTGTCGTCTTTGCAACCCCCCACCCCCACCCCAAAATGAGATCAAACCCACTATTTGATCTCATATGTCCCTTTCCTTGTTTGCCAGTCTGGCATCTCATTGTGAGTTTCGAGGAAAGGCACATGCAAATAACAGAAGTTATTGGTACTGAATGGGAATGGGGAAATAGCATTTGCATCAGCCGCACACCACGCCTTTAAACTGAACTGTGACAAAAACCTCAACAGCAGCTACAGAAAACTGGGTTATTGTGGATCATTGTCCTGGTTTGAGAGATGCTCAGAATGACTCCCCAAGTTCATGAAATTGGTTGCTATAAACGTTGGCTGCATTTCACCTAGGTTCTGGCCAAATTCACAGGCTGAGCTCAAGCCATTTGGTTGTGCCATCAGGATTGCTACTGGCCTAATTCATTATGTCAGCTAGAATGGTGCTGGATGAAGCACCATTTGCAAAAGCGCAGTACAAACAATTCTAAACTCTTTCCGTGGGTAAAGATGTAATTAGCCAGCGGCATTTAACTTGGGCAGCAGTAGTGTAATTTTGTATTTAATGAGTATCTGAAACTCCTCTTGAGATAATTTATGTACAAAGTATGCTGAAACAGAAATACCGAGACATTTATAGATGGCTGAGTATGTAGGAGTTGTGGTTTTGCTAAACCTGCTTATTGAGGTTTTAGAGGGTGTGAGGGAAGCACTGGGAACCCTATAATTGAAACTGGAGAGGAGACAAAACCAATCTAGACATAGATTGATTTTAGCAGTCGGTTTTAAGGAGTATTTTATCCTGTGCTATGTGAGCCACTCAAAGGTTTTTGTTGATTAGGCAATATTTAAACCTTGTTAAATAAATCAAGATAAAATGATACCTACCCCACCTACTGGGCAGTAATTGTTGAAGTTCTCACACGACTCTCCCGTGTTAATGCAATGTGGACCTTTTGTGTTTGGAGACACATCTCCCAGGTTAGATGATGCAAAACCTGCTACATACGGCCCCTGCAAGGGGAGGAATGGTCTCATTGGTGATGCCATCCAAAATATTGCTGCAAAATGTCTGCCACACATTCATTTTTGTGCCTCACGGAAAATGTTTGTAGATGCAAGAATGTGAAACCAGTTAATGCTCACTAGATAGCATGCATCACCTAGATTCTCCCATCCACCTCAGTTAAGTCATATATGGCATGATATAATGGAAGTAAATGGTCCTTTATCACAGTGGAGCCCAACATCTCTGCTATCTTTGTTGTTTCCCTTCATTTCATGTCCCTCAACTTTGTGTGATGTAATGTTTATACACTGAGCACCTGTATAGGTAGACATTTCCCTTACAAGGTGAGAAACTATGTGGCAGGAGGGGGAGTCGGACTTCTTATGCTGCTGTGTGAAAGTGGTGTGACTGTCCTTTTTTGCTGTGCTGAGGAGCTGCTATGGAGCTCCACCTGCCTTTCCCATTAGATCCCCTTTTTAGGAGATTGTGCTCTTTTTTATGAGCACCCTAATCTCCAAGCACTGAGAAGTTACAGGGTGTGCAGTGTGTACTTCAGGTTTGCTTTCCTTCAAAGGAAGGCCACTAGAGACTGTAGTATCTTTGCAATATATAACATAACACAACACAACAACACCCTACTGGATCAAGCCAATCAGGGCAGATCTACTGGGAAACTAATGAAGCTTAAGCTTCAAGGCCTCTAATCCTTGAGGGACTCCAGAAGCGACTTTAGTCCACACTGCTTAAAAATTGTGGGTCTAGTAGACCCAATTTGAGTCACACGATTCCAGTTGGTTACTTTTTTGTTGTATATATTTCAACAATCCCAAAGTTTGAGAGTCGGTAATACAGATGTTGTAAAGGTGTGGTGATCTGTTGCGGAACAACCCCACTGAAGAAGATAACAATGGTTACCCAGACCTTGTTGCTGGTTGCCAATTATTGCCAATTATACAATTATTGAAAGCCACTGTAAAACACTGAGGTAAAAATTAAGGGCACCATCCAATTAAGTGCTGGTACATCATATTGGTTTCAGCTAGAGAGTGAATAATTTCCTGCCTTCCATATAGAGAAGTGGTATCTAAAACTGGCTGGATTGTGACTAATATTTTACAAGAATTTGGGCATAATTTCTGAACTAGAATTCTGTGCTGGATTGAGCAGGTGGAATTAGAAAGGGGAGATTACAGCTGGAAAAAGGTGATATCCACTACTGTTTTTTAAAAGTTCCTTTTTAACTTCTCCATGCTAAGATTAAAAATAAAATACTAAAAATAAATTATACACTATAGAACTAAAAAAATACTTAAAAAACAAAACAAAAGTAGTATGAAAATTGACAATTGGGAAACACCAGTCTGTGAGAGCTCCAGTTGGAGAACAGCCTCTATCAAAGGTGTTATGGACTTTAAGATGTTCGAACTCAGGTTGAAAGGGAGAAACGTGCTAAGAGGAAGCTACGTTTGGCAAACCCTCACCATGATCAGCTCCCACCTGGAAACCTATGTCCTCACTGTAGAAGGACATGCGGATCCAAAATTGGCCTCCACAGTCACTTACAGACTTACTGTTAAGATCGTGATCATGGGAGACAATCTTACTCAGCTATAAGTGATCGCCAAAGAAGAAAGAAGATATCACTGGCTGATAAACCAGTGATGCTGACTGATCACAGTAGCCTGAACATTGGAAAGTCTTGATAAGGTATTGCATTGGTAAAATCCTAATTTATTTTGGGAGCACAGTAAACGGTTCCTACCTTTCCTTGAAAATATCCTACGTTTTTCTCTTCTTCAAGGAGATGAGCTGCATAACCAACGTTGTCACTACATGTAAGACGGTTGGTGTTGTTCATACTGACAGGGTGAATTGGAAACCACCTAAGAAAAATTAATAAGAATTTTAAAAATTTGAAAAATATTCAGGGGGGGGGCGCTAGGGGTGCCTTGGAAGATGGCCGACAATACCATCTCTCCAGCTCGCACGAGGTAATTAAGGGGCTGAGATGGGAGTAAATAAGCCTCCCAAATTCTTCCCGGTGGAAGGGAAGATGCAGCCTTGTCCGTGGTTGCCCATAAATCACCCCCGAGTGCAAAAGAAGGAGGGGATGAGGGCACTGGACGGAAAGCCCTCGAGTGAGTTCGGATCTCCCGGACGCTGTCTCTGAGAGTGACTCTAGTTGCATTTCTTAAGATGAAAAATTGGAAATAAGAATTATTGCACATGCTTCGAGCGAAGAAAAGGGCATGTTAGCTGCTAATTAAGCCTGCCACTGAGAAGTTAAGAGTGATGGAATGGACTGGAAAGTAGATAACATTAAAGAATAACATCTATGCCAGTATGTTGAAACGGAACGGAAAGAGGGGGGACTTTTTCTTTTTTTATTATGATATTACCTAACAACCCACCCCCCCCGAAGAACCGTCATACAACCTATAGCAAGTGAGATTGGAAAATAAACTGTGTGAAAATAAAAATATCAACTAAAGCCTTTGTTTTTTGATATATCTGGAAAGAAAATAAAAGGCTCTCTTGTGATGCAGTTTTTAATCGGGATCCGCCATTATGAGACAAACTATGTTGCGAGATTAATAGTCAAAGGGGGAGGTGAGCCATTACTCTGTTATCATGTTTGTATTCTAAGTTCGACTTGGCAAAACTTCTCTGGAAAGACTAATTTATGGTGCAACCTGTCTGGGAAAATTAATGAGCAAAGGTCTAGACTGTATTTCATCGGAACTGAGAAAAATGGCGTTTGCCGCCCGAGGAGGACTTTTGGATCAGCGTGTGAAGATTTATTGCAAACAAAAGGCTTACCAGCTTTTTAAAAAAGGGAGAGCCTTACAAAGTTCACACAGAAGTATAATATTGCTTACTTTAACTCGCCTGTGGAAATAACTCAGAGGCTATTAAGAAGAAAAAGGATAACAACAAGAAGATTGAAAGATCGGACGGGTGAATACTAAAAGCAGCAGAAATATGAGATGATTGGACCCTTACTGAACTCGAAGCATGGGAACCCCCAACAAAAAAATTATAATTTGGCAAAATATTTGGACTTTATGATATGTATTGGTATAATTTGGAATAATTAATGTGGTATGATTGGTTTGTTAAATGGGACTTAATAAAAATTATTTTTTAAAAAATTTAAAAATATTCACTAATGCAGCCTTTTTAGATAATTCGTGTAAATCACATAAAAAGATTATATATATATGTATAATATATATATATTACACAAAGCAGGAAGCATTCAAAAGTCACCTCATTCTGCCACATGTATAGACCAAGGGCTACTTCACATTTTTATTAATTCATAGAATCTTAGAGTTGGAAGGGACCCCAAGGGTCACCTAGTCCAACCCCCTGCAATGCAGGAATCTCAGCTAAAGCATCCATGACAGTTGGCCACCCAACTTCTGTTTAAAAACTTCCAAGGAAGGAGAGTCCACCACCTCTCGTGGGAGTCTGTTCCACTGCTGAACCGCTCTTGCTGTCAGAATATTTTCCCGAATGTTTAGTTCAAGAGACTCAAAATCTGTATTTCCTTTTTAACCCAGTCTCTATTAACATCCCTTTGCCATCTAAGCCTACAGCTTGATTTTTCTCTTTATCTATTTGCAATGGTTGCCCTTGTGCTCGCAGAACCTATTTGATCAAGTGGGTGCTTCTATCAAAAGATGATTCTTGCCAATTCTCCATGTCCCCTGCAGTGCCCGCCCACGCCCAGCACCTTCCTGTTCTTGTGCTGCTCTGGAGCTCTGTTTCCTAGGAAATACTAAGGGGCTGTTGTTGGCATCCATCTCAAGAGACAACGGATTGCACCTCCAGGGGTGAAGTCAAACCGCTGGAGAATCACAGCGCCTGCTGTGGCTGCAGAGACTGGCAACTCATAACTGATTGCCTCCTCTCTTTATTAATAGAGACATCCACTGGATCAAAAGCCCTCCTGTGAGTGTGAGGGTCACCAGCTGGATTCCACTCAATATCACAGGTCTCTTTAAACTCCTCTCTCTGCTAACTTTCTTTAAATTTCCATTGTGTGGTCTCTCTTCTCTCTCTGTCCCACCACACCCACCTGTCAGATCATCCTAATCTTTAAAAAAATTAAAGTGACTGAAAAAAATCATTCTGATATAGTATTTACCTCCCCTTGATTTTTTTAAATGGAACATTCATAATTCTTACATAAACAGTCCAATGTCTTCGCCGCTGTCAGCAACCATCTTCAGCACCACCATTTCTTGGTCTGTATTTGATGAATACCTGGATAACGTGAGGAAAAGAGATACAGTCATACCTCATGTTACGTCCGCTTCATGTTACCGCTTCATGTTCAGGATACGTCCTGCAGCGACCCGGAAAGGGTTACTTCCTGGTTTCACCACTCGCGCATGCGCAGAGAGGAAAAATGACATCACGTGCATGTGTAGAAGCGGCAAATCGCAACCCGCGCATGCGCAGACACACCACTGCGGGTTGCGTTCTTTTCATGTTGTGAATGGGCCTCCGGAACGGATCCCATTCGCAACCAGAGGTACCACTGTACTCTTCACAATGCAGACTTGGAAACAGATGCAAGTCACAATTGGGGAAATGAAATTCTCCTGCACTCTCTCTCTCTCTCTCTCTGAATTAATGGGAAATCTGCAAGAACCAATGGTGCTGTAATGTAATTTTAGACTCTGGACTGAATAGTCTTACGAAGGCGCCATCTTTAAGGGGGAAAGCGATTAACCAGTCTCGCTTTGAAGGAGTTCTTCTGCTGAGTGAGGCTGTGGACCTCTGCCCCAAAGTTCTGCCCTGATTGCACCACTGTCCAGAGCACTACTGTGCTGTAGTGCACAGGGCTGGCACCAGAAATATGCATCATCCATGCCAGAACCCATGTTCCAGTAACATGCTAACTACCACCCCCTGGAGCCTGCTGTCCCTGACATTTCTCCTTCCTGCAGTTGTTGCCTGTTCACCTGCCGTCTCTAAGGGAGCTGTCAGTCGAAGGCAGCATGCCTTTCCCTCAGGGAGCTCGTTCACAGTGGGCACAGAGGCAGAGGCATGTGAATGAACAGTGGCAACAGCACCAGGAAGAGATGCATATGTTATAAATGGAGCACTTGGCACGCATGTACAGGATCACTATAATAATAATAATTTATTATTTATACCTCGCCCATCTGGCTGGTTTCCCCACCCACTCTGGGCGGCTTCCAACAAAACACTAAAATACAATAACCTATTAAACGTTAAAAGCTTCCCTAAACAAGGCTGCCTTCAGATGTCTTCTAAAAGTTTGGTAGTTATTTTTCTCTTTGACATCTGGTGGGAGGGCATTCCACGGGGGGGGGTGCCACTACCAAAAAGGCCCTCCGCCTGCTTTCCTGTAACTTGGCTTCTCGCAGTGAGGAAACTGCCAGAAGGCCATCGGTGTTGGACCTCAGTTTCCGGGTAGAACGATGGAGGTGGAGACGCTCCTTCAGATAAATCGTTCTTATTTCATATATTAAAGAACATCAAAATACTACAGGACGATAATCTCACTTAGTCTGTCTATGTGATGATTCACAAACAAAGGTTTGATACACATTGTTAACGCCTGTTGTTGGTTTTTTTTGGTAAGGTCAGGTTATGGTTAACAGAGACCATTTCATTTCTAAGCAATTCCCATAGTTTCACATGCATACATAAAGTACATGAACAGTCTTGGGATAGAAATGGATCTTCTTGGCACACACAGCATGTCATATTCAATGCTATAATAAGCTGGGATGGCAGGTGCTGCCCCTCTTATTTTGGCAGTCATTTCTGTCATATCAAAAAGTGAACTTGCATTTTTTAGACATTCATCTGAAAAAGTAGATAAGGAATTTTCACAAGGTTAAGATTTCCTGTTTGGTTAGAGCCTTAGTTCTGGAGAGCCAGTGTGGTGTAGTGGTTAAGAGCAGTGGACTCATAATCTGATGAACCAGGTTCGCTTCCCGGCTCCTCCATGTGCAGCTGCTGGGTGACCTTGGGCTAGTCACACTTCTCTGAAGTCTCTCAGCCTCACTCACCTCAGAGAGTGTTGTGGGGAAGGAAGGGAAAGGAGACTGTTAGCCGCTTTCAGACTCCTTAGGGTAGTGATAAAGCGGGATATCAAATCCAAACTCCTCCTCCTCCTTCTTAGTTGGCATCCTAGAATAAGTTCACCTTGTTCCTTGTCCAAAGTGCAGACCAGCTTGATCTTCTACTGTATACGCAGCACTATTTACTGTCATTAGTCTCCTGACCAAAGTGCTACGTAGCTTATCTTTGATTCCCATCTAAGTATGATATTGCTTATTGCTCTTGTTTGCTAAGACCACATCTTTCATAACAGGCCATTGCTTCCCCCTGCCCCCACTTTTTAGAACTATGATAACCATTTATTCATGACCTGTAAAATGGTACATATGCTGCTAATAAACAGATCAGAGGAGAGAGTTTGTATAATTGGATCCAGACCTCTGTCTTCCCTCCAGAACCAGTGCCAGAGTTACGTATAGCTAAACAAGCTATAGCTTAGGCCCCCAAAAAATTTAAAGGAAAAAACACCTGGATGTACATTTCCAAAATACAAGATAAAAAAGAAATAAAATAAAACCTACATACAGCAAGAGTGTTTTTTGTTGTGTAGACTCCTATGATGTAAGTAATGGGCCCCGCTGCTAGCCTGCTCCCTCATATATTACTGGTTTGGTCATTTCTATATATAGGGTGCCTACATTCTGCATGGACTGGCTCATGGCAACATGTAGCATGCAGCTGCAGACTGCAGTGCAGCACAGTTGAATGTAGGTCAAACTGTTGTACCTGTCATCTAATACTAAAATACACATTTTGTTATGTGCAAATGGCTTTAGATACCTATTAGGTCTATAAATTACCATATAGCATATGTTCAACACAAAAAACAGTGACAATGTGTTGTTGACAAAGGACAGCTGGACATATAAAGGGCTCCATTACCTTCAGTGGCTTAGGGCCTCATCAAACCTAAATCCAGTCCTTTCCAGAACAGCTGATGGACAACAGAGCTGGCACATTATTCTGGCTCTTCCACCCCATCTCCTTTCTGCCATTTTGCTCCCTCATTGCTGCGAGCCCAGTCTTCTTTGTCCTGCCCCTCCAGCTTCTGCTTTGCCACTGTTAAAGTGGTACCAGCTATGGCGGTGATGTGATAAACCTCTGCACCATTAGGCCAATGGATATCGAAGCTACTGAATCCAGTGTTATGAAGACAAATAATCTTGTCACAGCGGAAGGTGGCTGGCCCCAGTTTGGGGTAGGAGCTGAAATTTGTGCCAGGATTATGCAAGGTCCTGCTTCCACCCACCTTGACACACCTGTTGTGCATGTCACCAGGGCTGACATTCCCACGCCTTATGCAAAGATCTCGGAGAAGAGCTGCATACCTCAAGTAAAAGATATAATTTTTGCAGTGAAGAAAATGCTAAATATCTAGTTCTGTGTATGCTGTATGTGGATGTTGTTCTTCTGGAGTTAAAAATAAAAGTTCCTTCTTCAGACTGAGGCATGCTAGACTCAGTGGCCCAAAGTTCATGTGCTGTCATGGCTAGAGAGTGTCTTTTAAATGTCTAAGTTACTAGAGAGTCTCTTTTCAATTACTAAGTTACTTAGTAATGCAAACCTTCAAAAAAATCTAATACAGTGGTACCTTGGGTTACAGACGCTTCAAGTTACAGACGCTTCAGGTTACAGACTCCGCTAACCCAGAAATAGTACCTCGGGTTAAGAACTTTACTTCAGGATGAGAACAGAAATCGTCTGGCGGCGGCACAGCAGCAGCAGGAGGCCCCATTAGCTAAAGTGGTACCTCAGGTTAAGAACAGTTTCAGGCTAAGAACGGACCTCCAGAATGAATTAAGTTCTTAACCTGAGGTACCACTGTAAGAATAAATTCCAGTTGCTTTGGCCAAACCATGGGAGTATGCTCACTCTCCAAAGCTACCTTGCCCAGAAAGCCTTGCTCTGAAGAAGGACTCCTTTCCTCAGCAAGGCAGGGGAAGCAATGGCAGTGCCATTGCTGCCTCCACTAGCATTTAACTACAGTTAACAAGCCAGGTGAGATGAGAAGAGAAGGAGGTATGGTGGTGGAGGAGGGCACAAGATTACTCTGGCAAGCCAGTGATAGGGACTCAATGGGTCGTGTCTGCTGATGAGACAAGTGAGATGAAAATTACAATCTCCACCCCCTGCAGCAATTGAAATTAATCAGCTGACCCTGATTAATTCCCCACCCACTTGCTGAGGGAAACACATGTGGAAGACTAATCGACCGGCGAGAGAAATGTGGAAAACGATCACTACATTTAAGCTGGTTTTTTTTAGCCATAACCATCACAGACATGACAAAATTCAGTTCATATTCTTTCATGAAACAAGAAATAAGTGATGGCTCAGTACAGAACCGTACAAACATATTAGTATCTCAATTCCGTTTCCTTCCCAAACTTTACCTGAGCTTTTCAGGCTCGGGATTACGAAGATAAGAAAAGGGACTTCTGTTGATTTGAGAGTTCTCTATCAAGCCTTTATTGATAAAAACGTGTCCTTTTGTCATATTTTGATGAGCCATATCAACACTCTGTTGATTAGAAAATAGGAAAACCATTGAGATACTGGTCATCACAGCACAAACAAGATGTTAACATGAGAAGGTTGGGGGGGGGGAATCAACAAAGATCCCTGTGGTATCTTAAAGAACTAACAGATTTATTGTAGCATATGGACTAGAGTTCACTTCACTGAATACACAAAGGTTTGTCTTCATTCAGCTGGCAAGGAAAACTGTAAACAGTGGGGCCAAATAGCTTTGAGGTGCAAAAAGCAGTTTTATGTTAATTCCATTTAAAGCTAAAGATAAACAGAGTGATCATTCCTCGGTTGCAGTAAATGTGAATGGCACAACCATTCTAAGCTTTGCTGGATTAATTTAGACTTGTAGCATAGCAGGAGACCATTGTCTCAACTGAAGCCTAAAGAAACAGAATCAAACATGCTGAGAAGTTCTAATTCAACAATTTCAGACTGCAGTCACATTGATAATTTCTCACATTATCACAGACTGTCCTTTTCGTATTTCATAGTGATATTTCAGAGCCCCCCCTTCTACATTCCCCCCTTTTCCGTCAGTAACCATATACTATGTATATGTGACAAATGATGATAAGACTTCATGCATCTGATGAAGTGGACTCTAGTCGATGAAAGGTACCATCCCTGCTTTTGCAGTAACAGACTGTCGAACCAAAGGTGAGACTGTTCTGTACAGGGGTGCCAACTTGAATGAAATATTGGGTGGGCCAAGGTAAGTCCTGCCCCGCACAATAAATCACATGATGGGGCATACACATACACCATTTGAATGGCTATTAACATTGCCCCGCCCCGTTCCTCAAATATTTTATTGGGGAGGCCAAAGGGACCTTGGCCCCTAGAAGTTGACTCCTATGGTTCTGGAAGATCCGCAAACACCTTATTGGTAGTCTAGATAACTAAGTGGACTACCAAAACTAACTGGGAGTTGTTATGGGAGCAAGCTCATATATATCTATGTATTCACTTGCTTTAATTTATGCTCATTGGCTCACTTTGATGCTGTGCTTATCTGTGGACCTTGGGATGCTGGGCTGTAGGCCCAGAGAGGGGAGACGCTTTGGACACTGGGCCTCACCCAGTGGCGGAGGAACCCTTTCTGACACCTGGGTCGGAATGCCAAGGGGCGGGGCAAACCGCCCGGTGATGCAGGCGCGCCCTCCGCTGCTCTACAGCTGGGGGGAGGCAGCGGGCCATCTTGTCACCCCCCTGGGCGGTGCCTGGGACAGCCCACCCCTCCCCCCTTCATACACCCCTGGCCTCACCAGCCCGGTGTGCTGGGAGGTTCTAGGTAAACTGATGTATGTTGTTTTGTGCATAAGGGATGTATACATGTCTGCTTTGCTGCTGACAAGCCAGCTCCTTGCTGTGGTGTCCATCCTATGTCTGTAAAGGGCTGGGACACCCGGCAGGCTGATTTGCTGTAAGTCCATACCCTTCTTTAATAAAGCAGTAGAACTTAACACTCGGGCGTTTTTGACATCCTTATTAGGTCTCCCTGTACCCACTTACTCCCACAAGCTCACCTTTGGACTAGTGGACCAGGACACTAACACAGCCAACTGCTGGCAGCAGCATAAGAACATGGACAATGATGCACATCAGACTACTTAACATGTTTAAGCAACACTAGCTCAGATGCAGTCATGAATTCGCATCCAGCAGTTTCTAGGCTAGGAATCTACACTGTAGTTCTGCACATGCTTACATGGACAGTGGAAGTAAAGCTCACTCAGTTCAATGCCGCTTACTTCCAGTTGAGCATGAGTAGGGATGCTCATCAAGTTGCACATTTCACGATAAACAGACAAGTAGCAGCACATGCATTGCTTAAACGTTCGACTTCCAAAACGTTCGGAAACCAAAGCACAGCTTCTGATTGGCTGCAGGAAGCTCCTGCAGCCAATCGGAAGCTGCTGAAGCCCTGTCAGACATTCAGGTTCCAAAGAACGTTTGTAAACCGGAACACTCACTTCAGGGTTTGCGGCGTTTGGGAGCCAAAACGTTCGACTCGCAAGGCGTTTGGGATCCAAGGTCCGATTGTACTTTAGATTTGTACTGGTCTGATGATCTCTTTTAATTAGCCAATGAATGTACTGTATTTTTTGCTCTATAAGACTCCCTTTTTCCCTCCTAAAAAGTAAGGGGAAACGTGTGTGCGTCTTATGGAGCGAATGCAGGCTGCGCAGCTATCCCAGAAGCCAGAACAGCAAGAGGGATCGCTGCTTTCGCTGCACAGCGATCGCTCTTGCTGTTCTGGCTTCTGAAATTCAGAATGCTTTTTTTCTTGTTTTCCTCCTCCAAAAACTAGGTGCGTCTTGTGGTCTGGTGCGTCTTATAGAGCGAAAAATACGGTATATAGAAGATTAAGGAACTGCTTTATTGGCTCTCAAAATAAGTCTCCCAGTTCATCTTAACCTTTTCGTAGACTATCAACAACTCCATAAATATTTCCCTACAGAATGCTGCAGTAGACTTGTCAAGCACTAAAAGTGAGAGGCTGGGGTGGTTCTTACCTCTAGGATCCCATTGAGAATGGCATTCAAGGATGGCTTTATAAGCCCCTTCCCTGCTATCATGAAGAGAGTGTATTGAAAATACCCTGCAGGCCCTGAATGGGTATGAACTGCAGACAGTATTACGTTGTCATGCTGGTAGAGATCGCCATATCTTTCCTTCAACTGTTTCATTACCTAAGGACAGCAATGGTGCAATTACTGCATTTTCTGATTTGGTATGTTTATTAGATTAGTTGAAAAGAAAAGAAAAGAAGAAGATGATGTACCTGGTATGGAACCTTATAACTCTGACTTACAAAGGATGTGCTCTACCACTGAGGTACCATTCCTGGCAAGTTGGAAAATAATACTCCACAAACCTCATCCAGTGGCATCCTAAAGGCTAACACATTTACAATGGCATGGGTTTTTTGTGGCAAGATTCTACTTCCTCAGGTTGTTCAGCAAAATTAACCTCAGAACAGTCATTTCAAGAGGTTGTTAAAGGCATTAAAGTACTCCAGGAACAGAAGGCACAGCTAGAAATGGAAAGACTACCTAGGTTTCTTCTGCTGAGCAAAACACACTGGAATAAAATGGAAATCTTGAAATAGATGAGTAAAATATATTGTATTAAAAGAGCTGGAATTATATTATATATTATGAGTTATGAATATATATACCTTCACAAACATTCAAACACTCTGACAATAGACAAGGCGTGAATCCAAATATATGCCTTTCTTTATATAAGGTCATGATTTTCTGTTGCATTTTCTTCCTCACTCACCACATTTTCTCTTTTTTTCTTACTTCACAAATATACTTCTTTTGATTTAGGATATTTTATAGTGGATGTAAGATCATTGTAGATCTCTCAGCTCTTGGCTTGCAGGAGCTGTTATATTTGCACCTACAATATATATAGACATCTCAGGGATTGTGGTGGTTAAGACACCATACATTGTTCAAATCGATTGTTGTGCTGCACACACACACACACACACACACACACACACACCATATATTTATGCCCATCACAATTCCATATATAAGGGAGTAGGGGAGAGAGACAATTCTTTGAGGCCAATGATTTTTGGATGATATAAAAACCTAAAAGGAAAAAAGGAAAGAGAGCTACTCTATCTCACCCCTGCCCCACACTTACCTCCAGCCTAAGCCTTTGAGACATCATTCCTATCTCAGCAGTAACATACAACACTCGTTTGCTCCAGTCGTCGGGCTCTGCTATGATGAATGCTCTACAGTACAGTCGTGAGATCATGCCAGCACCAATCTGATCTGGATTCGCATAGCCCATCTACAGGGGGACACAACATCTCCTTAGCCACACACAATGTGCAATCCCATACTTATTTATTCAGAAGCAAGTCTCTCTGCATTCAATGTTTCCAGGCCATGTCGCTTTTGTACTGTATTTACCCATAATTCCTTTCTTTTCCATTATGGCACTGAGCTATGGGTTTGTTTTAACCCCGCACCCCACCCCCACAAAAAAGTCTTTTTCAACATCGTATTTTCTATCAAAATATAATTTAAATGTTTATTTTGATATATTTCAGCATGCTAAGAACTGCACTGCAACATTTGCAGAAGCGTGAAACCCAGTGCATAGCTAAGAGGTGCAGTTCAGGTCACTTTATTCAGGTCACTACATTCAGGAATTTGCAACAAATGAATTGCTCCAGCATCCTTAATTAAACAGAGCTTACTCTGGGGCAAGAGTGCATAATGCTTTTGTGTACTTGTAATGCCTTGATACTCATTGGGGAAGGCTCTTCTCATTTCTCCTGCCCTGGCTTCTGAAGCAAAGTGTGTTAATAAAGGAAACATAGCAGTTTCTTTCATGGTGCATACACATATAGTAACATACTGTCAGGGACCATGTTGAGGAGGGCTGCACTGAGAAAGAATGGTGGGAGCCACCCCCTCCTCCTCCCCCTCCTCTTCTTCCTGATCCCGAATCTTCTCAGGAGCAGGAAAACAGTATAGATTTGGAACAGTGGTTTGCAGAGGAGCATAGTTCAAAAGGCAGAAGCTGGGAAATACTGGATGGGGAACAGCTAACAGAAGAAACACTAGGAGAGAGAGAGTTAACAGATTCACAGTCTCTGGAGAGTATCCACCCCTCTCCCCCAAAGTCCCAGAAAGCTCAGAAAGTGTCAGAACTGAAAACACAGCGGCTCCAAATTCAGATTACAAGATGTAGGAGTGACGTAGATTAATAGGGACAGAGGAGGGAAAGACCTTAATTGGGAGCACTGCCATCCTTCACTAATTGGTAAGAATTCTCTTTCGTTTGATCTGCTCATTTGTGGCCACGGGGCAGGAAGCCGATTCCCTGAAGCCTGACACATTCTTCTTATCATTATCATTATGATGCTTTTAATAATAATAATAATTATAATTATAATTAAATTATAATTATAATTATATTTTTTATTTGCATCCCGCCCTTCCCTGGATGAGGAACATAGACATTTCACTCCTACAAGTATATGGGAATCTGATGCAAACAAACCCCATTACTGTCATCGTTATTTCAAGTTGTAAGTTGCTTCCCACAAAAGTCTTGATGCAACTTACCAAAAAATAAAAACAAAATCCAGTGACAGGGCATTACTACTGAAAATGCCTGCCTTCTCTGAGTCCTCCTCTGGGCTACTATATAAAGGCCTTGTAGAGTGTCAAAAAAAGAAGAAGGAAAAAGCTGAAAGGGGGTGGAAATGGGCTTGTGTTTTCAGTGAAAAGAAGAAAGAAAACTCAGATTGGGTACTTACAAAAGGAATCTCTGCTACAGGGCCGGTACAGTCAGCTCGACCAACACCAATCATGTAGCCAGCTAGAGAAGGTATGAGAATAATACTGCAATTAGAAGCAGAAAAGAACAGGACACTTCTTCCAATGCAGGGGCCCAGGACAAGACAGATGCCACTTGCCACTTAAAAATATACAGGCACACCTTGGAGAAAGTACAGGTTCAGTTCCAGACCACTGCAATAAAGCGAATATTGCAATAAAGCAAGTCACACAATTTTGGGGGGGGTTTCCCAGTGCATATAAAAGTTATGTTTAGACTGTACTGTAATCGATTCAGCCAGCATCCACTGACGTCAGGGGTGGGAGGGAAAGCCCTGTCTCCAGCCCTAGTCAGCTCAGCTCCATTTCCGCTGCCAGAAGAGGACCACCAGCAGCAGCAGTGGGGAGGGGTGGGGCTTCCTTGTCCCAGAAGCAGCTGGGCTGCCTGCAGCTACACCTGCATCCTCATAAGGGATCTTCGCTCTGAAGTGAAATACAATAAAAAGAAGTATGCCTGTATCTGAACTAGGCTAGAACCCTTCTCAGTGACACCTTTTTTTTCTGTGTGGAAGGACGTTTTCGTTTGGTTTGGTGCAGTGGAATGTTCAGTCATGTGATCTTGCACCTCTGATACAGGTGCAGTCCAGACATGATTTACCAGTTTGTTGAAAACAAGGTCTAAATATGAAGGAATATTTGTTCTACTTTTCTGTCGGAAGGACTACCTTTGTCAACTGTTAGACATATGTGGCTGCTTTTGCTTTAATTCACCTCACCAGATGAGGTGAAAATGGTTACTGAATATAATGTAATCTGGGCACCCCCAGCTATTTGGGGGGCACATCGCCTTCAGGCTGATATGAATTATTTATTTTGATATTCTGATACCACCTTTCAGGGCAGAAATGCCCTTCCAAAGCAGCTCACTATATGGAAGTAATTAATTAAGTAAGATACTTCTCTATGCTAAAGCAGCAGTTTACAACCAAGTCTGAGCTACAGTAAATCCTTCTCAAGTGTAAAAATCAGTTACACAAATAGTAAAATAGAAATGTTCATAATTGGCACAAGAAAAATATAGTAACAATATACAGTCGTACCTCGGGATAAATATGCTTCAGGTTGAGCTCTTTCGGGTTGCGCTCTGCGGCGACCTGGAAGTAACAGAGTGCGTTACGTCCAGGTTTCGCCACTCACGCATGCGCAGATGGTCAAAATGATGTCACACACACGCGTGGAAGTGGCAAAACGCAACCTGCGCACGCGCAGACATGCTGTTCTGTCTTACGTTCTGTTCGGGATGTGAACAGGGCTCTGGAACAGATCCCGTTCGCATCCTGAGGTACCACTGTATAACATATTAAACTGAACACCAGGGTAAAACAGATCAAACCCAGACTGTATTATTTGGTGCAATGGCAACTGTAAAATGCTACTATTGCTCCCTGTTCACATTGGGATAACTCCTTGACTGTGACCAGGCTGAAGGATATTACCTGATTGAGGCATTCTACTCATGGCTAAGGAGAGCACATGAATGGGTGTGGCGTTTGCCCTCCTAGGTGGGTCATAAGGAAGGGATTAAATGAGTGTGAAGTGATTGGCCAGTGGGAACCCAAGCGGGGGAGTTGAGAGTTGGGAGTTGGAGAAGGAAGAGGGAGGATAAGTCTGTGGGTTGGTCGAGTTGTGTTGTGAGAGAGTGAGAGAAACTGATAGGAGGAGTCAGATAGACAGTTGAGATAATCAGTTAGCAGTTATTAAGAAAGGTATAAGCCGGTATAGAAACTAAGATTAAGAAACTGACAAGAAAAATTATCTGAAACCATAAACTTATTAAGGCTTATAAAATAAACTTGTTTATTTGATTTAATGTTAACAACTGTCTGGACTCTGTGTGTACCCGAGAAAACCGGGTTGGTGGCAGCGGGAAAGCAATCACAGTGGTGGCACAGGGATCAATAGACCGTCAAATGTCCGGGGACCCTGTGTGATCGCCACAATGGGGTATTTGCCAAACAGTCTTTTTCCGTACAGTGCAAACATCTGAAGGAAACTTTCACGCTTACAGGCTGTCACACAATCTGGAACATTATTAGAGATTTCATTAACTTTTTCTTTAAGGGGCCACAAGACCTTCATTGTTTTTGCTACAAAATATTAACAGAGCAACACTTCTGGAAAATCTTTAACTTTGAGGGAGAATACACATGACCCGCAACCCCAGAGTCAGCCATGACTGGACCTAATAGTCAGGGGTCCCTTTACCTTTATCTTACACAAGGAAGGTAACTGATGGATAAATATCAGCCGCTGCACATCTGCTATGTGCTACAATACATAAAAGTAGTTCTATTTCCATATCAGCACACCACAAAGTAGAATAAAAGCTTGTGCAAAATAAATCAATTTGCATTGGAACAGAAAATACAGTGGTGCCCCGCAAGACGAATGCCTCGCAAGACGAAAAACTCGGTAGACGAAAGGGTTTTGTGTTTTTTGAGTCGTTCCGCAAGACGAATTTCCCTATGGGCTTGCATCGCAAGACAAAACGTCTTGCAAGTTCTTGCGAGTTTGTTTCCTTTTTCTTAAAGCCGCTAAGCCACTAATAGCCGCTAAGCCGCTAATAGCCGTGCTTCGCAAGACGAAAAAACCACAAGACGAAGAGACTCGCGGAACGGATTAATTTCGTCTTGCGAGGCACCACTGTACTAGAAGAGAGTGTTAATGATTGTCGGAATGGATTAAGGCAACTTTGTACACACAATGTTGCTCAGAATCTTTCTTCAGAATGCTGCCATTCACCACCAAATCTCTTAGGTACCACAATATAGATATTTCAAGACATTAAGTAATTGTTGTTACCATTTTTCTCACTGAAGAAATAGTGGACAACGAACAGTGTCACAAGAACCGCTATCACCAGCACCACAAAGACAGTGATGACAATTGCCAGCCGTGAGAGAGTTGTCTTAGGCTTTTTCATTCTGAAAACAACACCTATAAAAAGAGAAGTAGAGGTAACTGGTAAAATAGAAGAAGTAAAAATCCTGAATGATGTATCACTTCACAACTTTGACTATTGCCTACGTTGTGTGTACAGAACCTGAAGAAACAGCTAGTTCTCTCGAACTGAAAAAACAACAGCAAAACATCCTTACCTTATTGTTAATAGTTGACTGAAATAAAAGACGAATTATTCTGGAAATTTGGATCTTCCTTGCTAAACGGTGCAGCCTTTGGATCTTCTTTTCTGATCACACCTTTACAGACACCTCAAAATTTCTCAAGCTGTGAAAGAAACATATTAAAACAAAATGACAACTTTGTGAGACTTTTGTAAGGGTATGAAATGTATGTGCAAGTTACTTATGGACCTCGCCACCATGCACATTATGTCAATGCTCACATATTTATATATATATGGCCAGCTATCAAAAATGACATATTTGGTGCTGTTTCCTTGATAAGGTACACTGCATTAGCTAAAAGCAAGAGATCGCTAACACATGATCAGCTTTCATCTAGCCCTTGAACTTTCTGGCATTTATTGCATTTAGGTTGCGAAGTTCAGCGATCAACAGATACAGATTATTCTTTGGCCTTTTCAAAAGCAAATCAGGCACAGCACTGATTTTTATCAGGTCACTGATTTTTCACTACCTTTGTTTCTTACTCCTGGCCCCAGCTTCTTAAAATGTCCAATAGCCAGAGACAACTTTCTCCTTGTTGTGGATTAAAGTGGCAGCATTAAGGCAGTGTATGGGAATAATGTAAGAAGGGGGTAAAGGCAGGTGCTAGTGACTGGGGGCAGAAATGCAGGGAAGTTGTGGACAAGAAAAGTCAAGAAGAAATGACCAGGCCAAAGTGGGGAAACTATAGAAAGCCCACAAGGGGAGTTGATCTCACAGACTTCACAGGTAATGGAGGCAGAACGAATCGGGAGGAGACTGATATGCATATGGCTTATAGCCTTCTCACAAATGAAAACAGGTTCGGAATATTGCATCAAGCAGCCACTTTGTTAATTATAAAGAAGATCCAAGGACAAATCATTGCAAAGATAAGATTAGGCTAAGCAGCCTCGTTGCTATCTCCAAGGGTAAACTTTGTTCATTAAGGTCTTAATCTGAACTGCTTTGCAACTATAAGCATTATTTCAGTAATAACATTTATGGTACTGGTCACAGCCTGATCGCTGGCTCTGTCTTTGTATTATTAGCTGAGTTTCAGCAAGCCTTTTTGTATCATTAGCTTTGCTTTGGGACAGGGGAGTGGAAATGTGACCCAAGGGCAGGGCCGGATTTAGGTTTGATGAGGCCCTAAGCTACTGAAGGTTTGATGAGGCCCTAAGCAACTAAAGGTAAACTGTCCTTTGTCAACAACACATTGTCACTTTTGTGTGTGTTGAACATATGCTATATGGTAATTTATGGACCTAATAAGTATCTAAAGCCATTTGCACATAACAGAATATGTATTTTATCAAAGTAATTGTTGAACTGAAATACAATTAAGAAGAAGTATATTAATAGTGAGATACAATTAAGAAGAAGTAAAATAATTATAATAAATTATGTATGCAATAAATTATGTATTGCATGAAATCAATCAGTAGGCATAAGATTCATACCCTTAGTCCATGCCATAGCTGTCAACTATGGGAAAGGGAAATTCCCTTATTCCGAATAGGATTCCTCGCAAGAAAAGGGAAAAGTTGACAGCTATGGTCTATGCTGCCTGATCATCAGTCTACAAGCTCTCTTTAATATTAGATAACAGGTACAACAGCTTGACCTACATTCAACTGTGCTGCACTGCAGTCTGCAGCTGCATGCTACATGGTGTCATGCAACCAGTCCCTGCAGAATGTAGGCACCCTATATATAGAAATGAGCAAACCAGTGATATTTTAGGGAGCAGGCTAGAAGGCGGGGCCCATTACTTACATCATAGGAGTCTACACAACACAAAACACTCTTGCTATATGTAGGTTTTATTTTATTTCTTTTTTATCTTATATTTTGGAAATGTACATCCAGTTTTTCCCCCTTTAATTTTTTTTGGGGGCCCCCAAGAGAGTGGGGCTCTAAGCTATAGCTTGTTTAGCTTATACGTAAATCTGGCACTGCCGCAGGTTGCTCTGCCTAAATTCAGCTGCATTGAGGAAGCCCTGTGGGAGAGGAAGAGGGAGATCTGAAATGGATGGAGTGGGGGAGGCCAGAAAGCCATCTGCAAACCATCAGTTAAGACCTCTGGCTAGAGGTCCCTTCTGCAACAGGATGCTGGGCCGGGAGGAAGGAGTGAAAGAAAGTGTGAGAGTAATGAGGATAACTTGATTCACTCTTTATTTTGAAGCAATTTAACACACCCTGCTCCTGAACCAGTGCTCGGATTGGAAGTAGATATATGTCCATGTATCTTTGGTCACATCCATGCCATATATTAAAAGTGCAAGGCTTTCCCCCGAAGAATCCTGGGAACTGCAGTGTGTAACTGCCACAAATCTACCATTCCCAGCTGCTCTTAACAAACCACAGTTCTCGGGATTCTTTGCAGGAAGTCATTAACTTTAAATGTGCTTTAAATGCATGGTGTGGGCATGAGTCTGCACACAGCCCAACTACTTGCAGTTTATGAGGCAGTTCAAGGGCTGTCTTTCTCGTCTTTTATAGCAGGGATGGGGAACCCCAGGTTCAGGGGCCAAATGTAGTCACCCAGGCCTCTCTTTTTGGCTCCAGGAGTAATGCGTCCTGCTAACCTAGGCTTAGAATTGTGGATGGAATTGTGTATATAGAGACCTCTGGCTTTTGCCTGACTGGAATGTAGGTAAGAGTCACAAGAAGTGATCCATTCACTTTTGCCACTGCCCAGACTCACCTTTGCCCGCAAAAGAAGGAATGTTGCTCAGAAGCCAAATAAGGGCCCTCATTCATTTTGCAGTTAAGAGCAGTGCCTTTTCTCTTAAAAAAATGTTTAGGGGTACTCTCATTTTCCTACTCATATTGAAATACTACCCCTCAATGAGGCCAAACTTAATTCACAAAAGGTTTAGGGGTATGCGTACCCCTGCGTCCCCCCAGACAAAAAGCACTGGTTAAGAGAAGCTAGGAAGCATCTCATGGGTCTAGAACTGACTTTGAACATGCTCCAGGAAGCAGTCATACATCATTATGTGAAGTTCCTTTCTGGGGAACTCTGTTGGGGCAGGGAAGTTAGCAGCTCCTGTGTATGGATGAGGGCAGCCATATTTTTCCATCTAATTTTTGTGGTAGCAATATACTGTACAAATGATATTTGGGCATAATTTCTGAACTAGAATTTTGTGTTGGATTGAGCAGGTGGAATAAGAAAGGGGAGATTACAGCAGAAAAAAGGTGATATCCACTACTGTTTTTTAAAAGTTCCTTTTTAACTTATCCATGTTAAAATTATAAATTATACTAAAAATAAATTACATACTATAGAACTAAAAAAATACTTTTAAAAATGTAGTATAAACACCGACAACTGGGAAACACTGGCCTGTGAGTGTTCCAATTGGAGAACAGCCTTTACCAAAGGTGTCATGGACTTTAAGATGATTTAAGAACTCAGGATGAAAGGGAGAAACATGCTAAGAGGAAGGCATGTTTGCCAAACCTTTGCCATGATCAGCTCCACCTGGAAACCTACGTTCCCACTGTGGAAGGACATGCGGATCCAGAATTGGCCTCCACAGTCACTTACAGACTCACTGTTAAAACCGTGTTCATGGAAGACAATCTTACCTGGCTACGAGCGATCACCAAAGAAGAAGAAGAAGAAGATTTGGTAACCTAGTAATTTAATATTATTTGGAACAATTAAACTTGTGATATACAGTGGTACCTCGGTTTACGAACTGTCCTGTTTACGAATGATTCGGTTTACAAACTCCACAAAACCGGAAGTAGTGTTCCGGTTCGCGAACTTTACCTCGGTCTACAAATGGAAGCCTAACGGTGGAAGGGCACTGGTGGTGGGAGGCCTCATTAGGGAAAGCGAGCCTTGGTTTAAGAACGGGTTTGGTTTAAGAACGGAATTCAGGAACGGATTAAGTTCGTAAACCGAGGTACCACTGTATTCACATACAAAGCTTTTAAAAACATGTCTTGGACATCTTTATTCTATTTTTTTATTCTATCCTTTTGAAAGATAAGAAAACTATTTTTAACTGGATTGAAAACTTGTGAGCTATGCAGAACAGAATGTATCAACTTTGATAAGATATGGATAGCAATCAGAACAGAACTGTTATATTTTTCAGTGTGTTTGTTTGTGATTGGTTTTTGCTTACAGGACGCCAAAAAATCAAAGAAGCAAGTTTGGTCTGGCAGATGACCAATGTGAGCAATCTGAACTTTTGCTACTTTATGCTACAAACTTTGGCCCTAATCAAACAGAGGATGTTCCCGTTCATGTGAAGAGACAACTCAATCCTGGATCTTGGCAAAGAGGAAGGTTGTTTCCACAACTGGATTTCTGGATCCTATTGGATAAGACAGGGCTTCACCATCCCCGGTGTGCACAAAGACATTTCTGTCTCAGAGGCAGCTCAGAGAAGGCAATTGCGGAAGAAAGATTGCAGTAGATTGCGGAAGAAAGAAAAATTGCGGAAGAATTGCAATTTTGGCAGAGAAGTTGAGGCAGAAAAGCCAGTTTGGGGTGGAAAAGGCTTAGAACTTAGACTATGGAACTGAGAAGACCGAGGAGATAAATGGGGGGTGGGTATTGCAATTCACAAAAAGGATTACAATTCAGAGAAGTCTTAATATAGAGAAATGTGTCACCACCATTCACTTTCCCCTCTACTTCTGCTTGTTACAGGATCCATAGCCCGGGTCCCAAGTGTGTGTGTGTGTGTGTGTGTGTGTGTGTGTGTGTATATCCCCCACCCTTGGTATGTCTGAATTAAGGGTTTGTCTGCCGAGGTCAGATAATTCCTTCACTTCAGTTTTGATTCCTCATTTCCAGGGTTATTCTTCACTAGGGAGAAAATACCCTTGCTGTAACATTTAGCAAATAAAACTGTGAACAATCATTTTCGGTCAGATTGTTTATCCCAATATCCTTGCATTTCCCATTTGCAAAGAAAGGATCCTGCGCTCTGTGTCTCAGGCCTGATTAACCTGGGCATGCACAGCAAAGCTGATGTTTAAAGTTCACAATCTAGTTCCACCCTAACAGGGGTTCGTGACAACTTGTTACCCCACAGTCTGCCAGTGACTTAAAACACTATTAAAAGCATAATTAATTACACCATAAAGCAGAATAAAAACAACCCCCATAACAGCTGCAGAAAGCTTTGACAACAAAAGAACATCACTTTCAATCCAGCGAAAGGCTGAGGAGGGAGAGGGAGAAGATAAATATTTACCTGGTGCTAAAAAGGATAGTTTTGGACAGGGAGCCACAACTGAAAAGCCCCTCTCCCTTGTCACCACCCTCTGAGGGGACTGTACATGACAACAGCATTCATTTTGACAATAACAGGGACACACTTGAGCAGGTCAGTCCTAGGGACTTTCAGACCCTCAGATTGCAATAAAATGTACTTCCATAGAAATGCACAGGACTGTAAACATGATTATTATCTATTTGCATAGGAGACATTTAATCAATGAGTAAATACGGAAATAAGGCACCTGCAATGCCAGATAGGAGCTCTGCTGGATCTCTTACAAGGCCTGTGTAGTACAGATTCCTGCTCCCCACAGGGCTCAGCTTACAGTGGAAGGTAACTCTGCTGGAGAGGAGGGAAAGTTCTTCACTCAAAGCTCACAGCATCAAAACAACAAAACAGGGCTATCATGGTGCTCATGGAGAAACAAGAATTCTGAAAGTCACAGGAGATATCTATGCCACAACATACATCTAATCTATACATCTTCCAAACATCGCTGTGAAGCATCAAGACAAAACCACTCTCTCAAGAAAGTCGCCTCACACTCCTTCCCTTCTCTTCCTACTCAAGCACAGCAAGTGGCAAGCTAGTGATCTGAGTTTCTAATATTTGTTTGGCCATCCTCTTGCTCCTCTTTTTCCTCCCCCAAAAGAAGATTATGGTTGATATTTCTAAGGAATGACCTAGTTTAATTTTAAAAGGAAGAGACTCAAATGCAGCATACTCACTTATTGCATAATCCCACGAGATGGGTGCTCACAGTAAGCTGCCTCTTGCTTTTGTGTCTTAAATACACCTATGTAAGTAGCTATTATGAGGACTCTGACCCTCCCAGCAAGTGACTCATTAGCTTCCCAACTCAGTAGGCGTCTCTAAAATGGGAAACCTCTGCCTGGGCTTTACCACTAGGGCACAGGGTAAGGCTCATAGGAAAGAATACTCCTCTATCCCAAGACTACCACTAGTATAACTAGCCCTCAAAACCCTTTCCCCAGAAAAAAACTAGACTTGAAGGACAAGAGTTATAGCCTGTCAGGGACTGATCAGATGGGGCGGAGTGGTGAAGACTGCCACTCCAAGAGGCTTCCAAGGTGGGGGCAGATGAAGATGGCATGGAGCCAGGTTTGGTGTGTGGGGTGGGGTGGGTGGCAAACAAGACACACCCCAGAAGAAGAAGAGAAGAGCTTGGAAACAATGGAGAGTGAGGAACAGGAGCATGTTCTAGTCCTGAACAGAGATAGGAGTCAGGTGTGCTAGATACAGGACAGAAGCCAGTTGACAGGAAGGTTTGCTAGGGTAACTGGGTATCAGGTGACAGAAAAAGGGAGTCTTTTAGCAAGGTGTGCTGGGAAGAAAGAAGGCAGGTTGGGAGAGATGCCTTGGACTCCGAGGCTGCATTGCTGTCGGGGATAAGCAGCTCTTGAAAGGACCATGCTGTAAGATCTGGACTCCCTCCATGCAGACTGAAGGTCTAAATAGGCGAATAAACCCTATTTCTTAAAGCTACGACCAGAGGCGTCTTTCCCATTGGGGTTATTGGAGTGTTGCGCCAGGGCGCCGGCCTCTCAGAGGTGCTCCAGCAAGTGGGGGAGCTGCGTGGCTTTGCTGGCAGCTTCCCCTTTCCCTGCACGCCAGCCAGCTGCGCCTTGCCAACCATATGGCTGGCTGGCGTGCAGCTTCCTTCCCAAGCCTCGGCGGGAGGAGAGCGATCCCTGCAGAAGCTTAGGGTGGCAGCTGCGCCCTGCCAACTATATGGCTGGCTGGCATGCAGTGCTCTCTCTCTCTCTCTCTCTTTTGCCCGCCTGCCCTGTGGGAAGAGTGAGGTGGGCAATGGCAAGGAGGAAGCAGAGTGCGAGGAGGAGGAGGAGGGTGGAAGGAAGGAAGGAAGGAAGGAAGGAAGGAAGGAAGGAAGGAAGGAGAAGAGGAGGCGGTACCCCCTGACTTGCTCCGGTTCTTCCTCCTGTATCCTGCCTCGGAGCCACCACGCTGGGTTTGCAGCCCTGCTTGCAGGGTTCCCTTGCCCGTCCTGTTCAGCTACATCTAGCCCGAGCCGTTAGTAGCTGCTGCCCTGGTTTCTTTCTCTCCCTGGAATTGTGCCCTGTGTTTAATGTTATGGGCAACTCTATCCCGGGAAGGGAAGCAGCTTCTTCTTCTTCTTCCTCTTCTTCTTCTTCCTCTTCTTCCTCTTCTTCTTCTTCTTCTTCTTCCTCTTCCCCCTCCTCTTCCTCCTCCTCCTCCTCCCCCTCTTCCTCCTCTTCCTCCTCCTCTTCTTCCTCTTCTTCTTCTGCTGTGGGCTCCTTCTCTGCCCCCCCAACCCACCAAGAAGGTCCCTAGGGGTTGTAAAGCAAGCCAGGCCATTTAGTACCTACCGCATTCATTCCAGCAGCTGGCCATCACCCACTCACTCCAAGCCCTGTGAAAAATATCACCATTATTAATTATTATTATTATTATTATTATTACTACTACTACTACTAGTACTGCCCTCCACCCATAGATATCAGGGCGGCTCACAGTCTGAAACTACGGTACTATGCACATGCTAAAAACTAGAACAAAGGCAAACCAAATCAAGCCAGCAACCTTCCTTCTCCCTTATTTGTGAAACAAGCCTGTTAATTGCCTATCCAACTAAAACAAAAACAAAAAAACACTGAAGGTTTTTGAGATCAATGCAAGCTAAAAAGCATTGCAGGGAGTTGGGCTAGATGACCTGCAGGGTCCCTTCCAATTCTATGTTTTTCTGAAAAACACACGCGCACAACCAAACTATGGTCCCTCTGCAGTCCTCGCCCCAAGCAACTGTGTGAGAGACTTCCTCCCCAGAAAGTGTGTCTTGTCTTGCTACCTGTGGTTTTTGGTCTCTTGTCAGCCCCCTCCCCCCAATCTATTCTCCAATATTACATTTTCCTCTGGTTGAGACTTAAAACAGAAAGCCCTAATTCCCAGCTGTGTTTCTTGCTGCAGTCCTACTGTCTACTCAGAAGTAAGGTCCTATTAGATTCAGCAGAGCTTACTTTCCAGTAAATGCTGGTAGGGATGCAGCCTTTGTGACCCAGGTTTTGGGTCCTTTTTAGGTTCAGGATGTCACTGCTTTACACACACCCCCCCACAATATTTGAAAAAGTCAGCTTTGTACTTAAACACAAATTGGCCTGGAACTTAATTGTGTCTTTATTAATTTATTTAAAGAACAACAAACTGGTGGTTGCTTTAACTTTTTGATATGTGGTGATTTGAATCATGAGTATGAATTAGAAGAACTGCTGAATCTTGAATGAGTCTTGCTTTGGAATTGAGGACTTCAATAGATTTTTCTTCTGCCTTTTCATTTTTTTTTTCATTTTCTTATCATTTGTTCTAAGGGGTTGTTAGAGATAATGTGTAAGTGTGGTGTCAGCTCCCTAAAAAAAAAAAAAAGGACAACTCTGGGGAACCTTTCCTGAAAAAGGTCAACAACTTTGGGGTCCCCCCCCTTAAAAAAGGTTGAAAACTCTGGGAAATGTGGGGGGGGGGCGCCGGAGGGATCTTTGCACTACAGCACTTGATATGCTTAAGACAGTCCTTGTTAGAGGGGTTTTTTTCTTCTGGTGGCAGATGGCAGAAGCTATGACACCCCGAGACCAGTGTAAAACCAAATCAAATAAAGGTTTTATTACAAAACAACAAACAGCAAAGCTTGTGGGTGTTTTTCCTTCAGGTAAATTCAAACTGCAGCTTTTCCTCCTTTTGTAGTCATGACCAGCTGTACCCAATCTGCCCAAAGCTCACAGAAACTGTTCTTAAAGGTACAAACATCTTTACTGTTTCTTTGCAGAATGACTCCCAACACTCTCTCATTCAAACAGAAACAAACAAAACAGTACTTTCAACATATACAAAACATATTTATACATCATGCACAACAATTCCTAATTTTGTCACTAGTTGTGCATGTTTCTCGAAAGTTAGTGCTTTCGTAAATATATCAGCCACATTTTGCATGCTCTCACAGTATTTCAGCATTATCAGGTTTTGTTTAACATTTTCGATTACATTTTGATACTTAATTTCTAAATGTTTGGATTTATTTTTAAACTGCTCGGAGCCAGCCAAAGTTATTGCAGCTTGATTGTCTTCCCATATTTGAACTGGATAATCACATTGTATATCTAAATCACTGAGGATTTGAATGTAAAATTTTATTTCATTACACAACTACGATAAAACACAGTATTCAGCCTCTGTTGAAGATGTGGACATGATTCCTTGCTTTTTGGACTTCTAACCTATCAAGGAACCCCCAAATTGAAACACCATACCAGAAATGGATTTTTTATCAGGCAGGTTGGCCCAATCGCTGTCAACGTGACACTGCAATTTTGTAGACCCTGAAGATGGTAATCTTAAACAATAATCAAGTGTATGTTTTAAATACCAGAAAAATACGTTTTAAGCCTTTCCAGGCATTTTCTGTGGGATAGCTTACTAGTCTGCTCAGTATTCCAACTGCATAATTCAAATCTGGTCTGCTCCACAATGAAATGTATAATAAACTTCCAACTATTGAATGGTACATTTCAGGATTTACTGGTTCTGTGCATTCTCCTTCATTCTTGAAAAAACCTATTTCCATTGGGGTTTTTACTACCTTGCTGTTTTGCATATTGTTTCTTTCAAGTAATTCCATTATTTTATCTTTTTGACTCAACAAAAACCTTCCACTGTTTGTTCTTTGAATTTCTAGACTGAGATAATTTTTTACTGGTCCCAAATCTCTTACTTTAAATTCCTTTCTTAGTTATTCTGCAAATTTTTCCACTTGCTTGTCATTTTTTGTAGAATAAAGCAAATCATCAACATAAGGTAAAGGTAAAGGTACCCCTGCCTGTACGGGCCAGTCGTGTCTGACTCTACGGTTGCGTGCTCATCTCGCTCTAGAGGCCGTGAGCTGGCGCCGTCCGAAGACACTTCCGGGTCACGTGGCCAGCGTGACGAAGCTGCAGCTGGCGAGCCAGTACCAGCGCAGCACACGGAAACGCCGTTTACCTTCCCGCTATAAAGCGGTACCTATTTATCTACTTGCACTTAAGAGTGCTTTCGAACTGCTAGGTGGGCAGGAGATGGGACCGAATGACGGGAGCTCACCCCACTGCAGGGATTCGAACCGCCAACCATATGATCGGCAAGTCCTAGGCACTGAGGTTTTACAAGCAATTATCAGTGTACAAGCAATTATCAGCTAAGCTTCTTCTAAAGCCAAGATTTTTTAAAGCATTATCAAGATGCTCGTTCCAATTTCTAGCTGATGGTTTGAGCCCATAGATTGCTTTGTGTAACCTATATACAGAATTCTGTTCAACTGCCTCAAATCCTGGTGCTTGTTTCATAAAAATTTCTTCATGCAGATTTGCGTTAAGATAAGCTGTTTCAATATCAAAATGATTTACCTTAAACCCACATTGTGCTGCAATAGCTAGCAATAAACGTACGCTTTCACTCCTTGCAGTAGGAGAAAAAGTTATCATCAAAACTTTCACCTTTTCTTTGAGTAAAGTCTCGTGCTACCAGTCTAGCTTTGTACTTAACACTACCATCTGCCAAGTGTTTTATTTTATACACCCATCTACAGTCCACTGCCTTTTTTTCCTTCTGACAATGGCTCAGTAGTAAATACATTATGCTCTGCCAAAGATTTCATTTCTGCTCTCATTGCATTTTTCCATATTACTATTTCCTGGTGTGGTAACTTTAAAACCTCCTCATAATCACAAGGTTCTTTCTTCACATCAACAGTTTTAACTTCTTGTATAGTAAACCTTTCTGCAGGTACCCCCTTATTCCTTCTTTGTGATCTTCTAACTTGAACACTTTCCCCCTCTGAACTATCTTCCCCTTCTAATTCATCTTGCTCAGGAGAAATTGGTTCAGCTTTAGGAGATTGTGTACTGGAACCCTCATCCCCTGATTCCTCATCACTATCACTTTCAGAACTTTCTTTAATTTGTGGCTTTTCTTCCTCAGATTTCACAAATTTATCTGTATCATCTGAAGATAAAACAACTTCTGAATTTCCATGTAAACGAGCCCAACCATCCTGTTCACAAAACTCTGCATGTCTTGATATCACAACTCTGCCATGCCCTAGTGCAAAACGATACCCTTTTGACCAACTTTGAAAGCCAACAAACCTAAGTCTCTTTGCCTTGGGATCTCCTTTCCTTCTCTGTCCTTTTCGGATGTGAATCCAAGCCCAACAACCAAAAGTTTTAACATGGTCCAAAAAAGGTTTTTTTCCATAAAGCAAAAAATGAGGGGTATTGTTTATGGTAGAATGAAACAATCTGTTCTGTATGTAATTAGCACAGAGAATTGCTTCCCCCCAAAACTTCCTGGGTAAGCCAGAATCACATAGCATAGAATCTAGCATTGTTTGCAAAGACCTTATCTTGCTTTCTGCAACTGAATTTTTCTTCAGTTGAAAAAGGAAACGATTTATGGTGACTAATACCATGTTTTTTCAACCATATCTAAAGGGCTTCAGACATGAACTCGCCTCCACGGTCACTCTGCAATTGGGTAACGTTGTAGGAAAATTGCCTTTCTATATAGTTGACCCAACTTTTAATCAGTTGACCAGTTACACTATTGTGCTTTAACAAGTATACCCAAGTATACTGGCTATAATCATCCACAAGAACCAGAAAAAACTTTGCTCCTCCTTCAGATTCCGCAAATGGCCCACAAAGGTCTGAGTGTACTAAAGCAAATGGCTTCTTGCTAATTCTATTACTTTTAGGATAAGATCCCCACTTACTTTTAGACTCCTTGCAGGTATTGCAGTCCAGAAAACCTGAACATTTTTTCATTTTAATTCCCTTACTTAATTCTGGCATTTTTGCAATACTGCGGAAATTGGCATGCCCCAAATGACGATGCCACAAATGCTGGCACTCACCATGCGAGGCTCTATTACAGGCTTTAACACATGCCCCAGACTCACTTATTAGCTGGTCTTTCAAAACAAACCATTTTTTATTGACGCTGTAACCACTTTTCCAGCTTTCTCTATTTTACAGCCTGAACTAGAGAAGGTTACCTTAAACCCCTGCTTAGCAAGACTTGTAACTGAAAGCAAATTATTTTCTAAACTTGGTACACATAAAACATGGGTAAATTTGGTGCTTAAGCAGTTAATATTCACATTACCCTTTCCAGCTGACTCATGCACTGTTCCATCAGCTAGTACTACATTTACAGATTTACAAGGTTGCTTTTCTATAAGGGCTTGTGCAGACAACAAAAATGTTTGTTGCTGCTGAGTCTAAAATCCAGTCCTGTCCAACGTCGTGACTGGTGCCTCAAACTGCTGCAGAAACATACTGGACTCGACTCTTCCTGTCTCCTCGCTTCCCAGCAAACACAGGCTGCCCTTTTCTTGTGTTTTCTCCCACAGACACAGTGCACTGTCGTACTAAATGCTTTGTTGACCCACAACAATAGCATCTTTTGACTGTGAAAGCTGCTTCCTCTGCATGGTGAACAACCTCTTTAGGTTGCCACTCCTCATCAGTTGCATATCTTTTACTGGACCACCTCCCATTTCCGGAGTTACGGTGAGGGGTTGTCGCCTTCCTCTCATGGCGTCTTTCCTCCTCATCAAGCAAATGCCCAGTTAAGAAATGCATTGTTAATTGGCTTTCTGGAATTGCCTCCAGCGTCATCACTAAATTATCCCATGACTCAGGAAGTAAAGACAGCACAATATAAACCTTTTTCTGCTCAGAAAAATGTTCCCCAAGTTCATTTAACTGTGAAAATAAATCACACGTTCTTTGAAGGTGTTTTGAAACACATTCACCCTCACTTAGTCTGGCTCGGTACAGAGCTCTCATTAGAGTAATTTTGCTGCCAGCAGTATCTCTAATGTGTATTGCTCAGTGCTTTCCAAATCTCACTTGCTGTTTCAAGGTCTCGCACATGAGATAACTGAGACTTCTCTCAACTCAAAATTAAATTGGCATATGCTTTGTCCTCCAGTCTTTGGTCTGCTTCATCTACTTCTTCATCCTCATCTTTTACAGGAGGGCTAACAATAACAGTCCAACATTGTTCTTTCTTTAAAAATGCCTGCATCTGTAAACTCCATGACATATAATTGGACTCTCCCAGTTTCTCTACTGGAAAATATGAAGCTCCCCCTTGAGCTCCAGCTCCAAGTCCAGCCATAGCTCCACCCAGCTTTCAGCTTTCCACTCAGTCTTTACTCACACATGGCTTGAAGAATTGTTTGGCTCCTGGTCTCAAACAGACACTCACTGCCGACGCCTTCACACAGCCAGCTGATTGAGAAACACTGAGTTGCTTCCAGTCTCTGGGTTCTTTTCCACACTCTGTCTCTGCCCACTCAGGACTGGCGCCCATAACCTGTTAAAAAGGTTTTTCCCTCTGGTGGCAGATGACAGAAGCTATGACACCACAAGACCAGTATAAAACCAAATCAAATAAAGGTTTTATTACAAAACAGCAAAGCTTGTGGGTGTTTTTCCTTCAGGCAAATTCAAACTGCAGCTTTTCCTCCTTTTGTAGTCATGACCAGCTGTACCCAATCTGCCCAAAGCTCACAGAAACTGTTCTTAAAGGTACAAACATCTTTACTGTTTCTTTGCAGAATGACTCCCAACAGTCCTGGCTTCGACAGTCTCGCTGTGTCTTAATTCTTCAAAGGGACACAAACCCTGGGTGAGTGCCTGGAATGCCCCTGGAATCTTGCTATCACTCGGCAGAGAGAGGGAGACGCTTTTGTAACAACGATTTTATTGCTGGTTTGTGTTATATTGTTTTGCTGCTAACGTCAAGATATTCCCTTGAGCCTCAGTTGAGGACCAGCATCTAAACCACTTAAAAGGTTTAATTCAAACTGTGTGGAGTCATCTTGGGTTTACAAACTCAAATAGAATTGCTGAATTCTAACTCCTATATATACAGTAAAGAGACAAATTGCTTTGCCCTTGATTACTATTATTGCTGCCCTTTATTAACTAAACTAACTGGACTTACCGATCGTCAGGTCGGCGGTTCGAATCCCCGCGGCGGGGTGCGCTCCCGTTGCTCGGTCCCAGCGCCTGCCAACCTAGCAGTTCGAAAGCACCCCCGGGTGCAAGTAGATAAATAGGGACCGCTTACCAGCGGGAAGGTAAACGGCGTTTCCGTGTGCTGCGCTGGCTCGCCAGATGCAGCTTGTCACTCTGGCCACGTGACCCGGAAGTGTCTGTGGACAGCGCTGGCCCCTGGCCTCTTAAGTGAGATGGGCGCACAACCCTAGAGTCAGACACGACTGGCCCGTACGGGCAGGGGTACCTTTACCTTTACCTTAACTAACTAACTAACTAACGGCTCCTATATTACTCCCAGTATTGCGTTCCCAGCATTGTTATATAGTGGTACTTCTGGTTACAGACGCTTCAGGTTACATACGGTTACAGACTCCGCTAACCCAGAAATAGTACCTCAGGTTAATAACTTTGCTTCAGGATGAGAACAGAAACCATGCGGTGGCGGCACAGCGGCAGCGGGAGGCCCCATTAGCTAAAGTGGTACCTCAGGTTAAGAACAGTTTCAGGTTAAGAACGGACCTCCAGAACGAATTAAGTTCTTAACCCGAGGTACCACTGTACTGAGTTTTGCAACTAGGATGAGACATACTGTAAAATATATGCCAACATTTCAGTGAGTCTCCCTACCCCCATAATTGTAGTTTTGCCCATGCCATAACCATGCAGCAGTGCTCTGGGCCAGCTCACCTGTTTATATTCTTTTGCCGGCATCATTTTTTTGTCTTTTCAACAAACCCTTTGGGGAGTTTTGATTGGTTAATTAATTCATTTTGGAATTTTGGAAGTGCCCTGAATTTATCACTGCATTTTTGAATTTTTGTTGGGCAACTTTTAATAGGTAAGAAATCAAATTACAAAAGATGTGTTCCTAACGGGATTAAACCTTCATGCTCATTTATTGTAAAAAGATCACAGTTCTTTATTAATCCTTTTTGCATCCATGCACCTTGACTGAAATACTTCCTTCCAAAAGAAACAAAAAAGGCACCAGCGTTGATCTTACACCAGGTAAAGTTTGTTCTGTATTTCCCTTATTGCCAGTTGTATTTTTCTACAAAACGTGGTGCCGGAGCTCACCATGAATGCCTCCCTTGTTCTTTTAGAATGGCAATGGCGCCTACCTGAGAGGTGCTGGAACTGAGTCCCAGAGAGTTCCGGCTGAAAAAAAGCCCTGCTTATTGCATCTCTAACTGCATTCAGTTGAATTATTGCATACTCTTTATTTTCCCATATCCATTCATTTAGGAATACCTACCATTTCAGGAGGGACGCGGGTGGCGCTGTGGGCTAAACCACAGAGCCTAGGACTTGCTGATCAGAGGGTCAGCGGTTCGAATCCCTGCAAAGGGGGTGAGCTACCGTTGTTCAGTCCCTGCTTCTGCCAACCTAGCAGTTCGAAAGCACGTCAAAGTGCAAGTAGATAAATAGGTACCGCTCCGGCGGGTAGGTAAACGGCATTTCTGTGCGCTGCTCTGGTTTGCCAGAAGCGGCTCAGTCATGCTGGCCACATGACCCGGAAGCTGTACGCCGGCTCCCTTGGCCAATAAAGCGAGATGAGCGCCACAACCCCAGAGTTGGCCACGACTGGACCTAATGGTCAGGGGTCCCTTTACCTTTACCTACCATTTCGGGATACTTATTGTTCTACCCTCTGAGACCTTGGCTGCTTAAACTGGGATGTGGGGAGATTTCAGTCTGGGCCATATTGTGTTTGTAGAAGAGATCAGTGTGGGATGGTGCGGGCATGGGTGTATCTGGGTGTGAGTGGGGCAGGATGTTGCAGTAGGAGGTGCATGTGTTATTGCCAGGTGTGATCCACTGCACACCTAACCACTGCATGACACTGTCATATTCCATAACTAAAGGAATAGGCATTGCATATAACACTCTGCAAACAGTCCAATCCGGGCAAGCTTCAGAAATAGATCTCTGCCTGCCATGCCTTATTTTGCCAGCAGAGACTAGCAGATTGCATTATACATTTACAAATCTCAGTGTATTTTTTTTGCCTTCTTATAATTCCCGTGTGACACCGGGTACTTTCTGCTAATATCCATGCCTTTTAAAATGTAAACATAGTGGTGGCAAAAAACCCGAAACCTCTTCTTAGCCCTATGCATGCTTGCACTGCCTTGGAACATCCCAGAATGAATACATGTTTTTGCACCACCATGTTGAGAAAGAGGATATGCAGCATCATCCTTAAACATATCAAAGAAGAAGAAGATAGGGAGGGAGCTGGCCAGGGTTTCAATTTCTGTTTGCTTTCTTGGAAGATGACATTCTTTTCACATGGTATTAGGTTATTGGATCAGCAAGTACTTAAAACTTCCTCGTTCAATATGTATCTTGCTCTGTAGTTCTACAACAATAACATTACTATGTGGCAATTTGGAGAACATACCTTATGTCACATTTTAATGTGGTAGGGAGGATCCTTCAGATGTTGTAGATATGGTAACACCTCGAGTATCACAAACACTTTGAGTATCACTTCGAGTATCACAAACAAGCTCAGACCTGAAACATGGCGGCGCGTGTAGATGCTGCTGCTGGTTGCTCCTCAACTCAGAATTTGGCTTTTTTGTCCTGCCAAAATAGACTTGTTTAAAGTCGGCAGGATATGTTATCTGTTCGGCTACGGAGTGAGTGCTGCACAAATTGTGAGTGTCTCCGCGTCTGCAAGGAAGATTTTTTGACTTCAAAGAACTGGGGAGTAAAGAGACACAGGAGAGACCGTAAACAGAAGAGAGGCTGCAGAGGAGGAAGGCGATTAAGACAATTAAGGTTGAAGACACAACATTATAACTTACCGCTTCCCAGCATTTTCTATGCAAATGTGAGATCTTTGGTGAATAAGCTGGAGGAGTGGAAATTGTGGATAGCAACGGAGAAAACTGTGAGTGAATGCTGTCTTCTGCTGCTTACAGAAACTTGGCTGACACCAATTATTCCTGACTCAGCCATAGAACTAACAGGCTATACAGTGTTCCGCCATGATAGAACAGAGGACTCTGGTAAAAGAAGGGGGGGAGGTTTGTGTGCATACGTGAATAACAGCTGGTGCACAAACCACGCTGTGATAGCTAGCTATTGCTCCCCAACTGTGGAATTTATGACGCTTAAATGCAGACCTATATATATCCCCCCGAGAATTTACAGCAGTACTGATAACTATAGTATACATTGCACCTGATGTGAACATCAATGAGGCAATGGGTCTTCTGCATGATGCCATTAGCAGGCAACAAGGCAAGTACCCCGAGGCTGCATTTCTTGTATGCAGGGATTTCAACCAGGCAGATTTGAAAGTGGTCCTACCTAAATTCTATCAACACATAAAGTGTGCAACCAGGGGAGAAAAGACTCTGGACAGGCTGTATACAAATGTCAAACAGGCCTATAAGGCCGAACCATTGGCACATCTAGGCCAATCTGATCATGTGTCCCTGCTCCTGACTCCTGAATATATTCCATTGAGGAAACGGACTCCAGCTATAAAGAGGGATATTACAATATGGCCAGCTGAAGCATCCCAACAACTACAAGACTGTTTTCATGACACCGATTGGGAGGTATTCGCCCAACAGGATGTAGAGACTCATATTGAGCAAGTGTTGGACTATATTAGGTTCTGCACTGACAATGTAACATGGAGGCGCGGGATAAAGATCTACCCAAACAGGAAGCCCTGGATGACAAGGGAGGTCCAGGGGTTGCTAAAGGCAAGAAATACTGCTTTCAGAAGTGGAAATAAGTCGCTGTACAGCTTAGCTAGAGCCGATCTAAAGAGAGGTATCCGTGTAGCAAAGGAGGCATATAGACAGCAGCTGGAGAATCATCTACAAAGTAACGACACCAGGCAGGTGTGGCAAGGTGTACAAGAATTAACAGGGTATAAATCCAAGGACTCCCTGGCAGACGAGGGAGGGGCATCCCTCGCAGAGGATTTGAATGCCTTTTTTGCCTGTTTTGAAGTAACATCTGCAGCAACACCTGCTGAGGCGTTACCAACACCACCACCACTCCCTGTGAAGGCTTTGCCATCATCACCACCATTACCATCATCAGTACAAAGGAATGTAGTAGTCTCTGTGGAAAAGGAAGAGATGAGGAAGGTGTTGAAGGGAATCAACCCAAGGAAGGCCACAGGGCCAGATGGGGTAGCTGGAAGGGTATTGAGAGACTGTGCAGATCAACTAGCAGGAGTTTTCACTGGGATTTTAAATCGATCCCTAGCCCAGGCTATTGTTCCATCCTGCCTAAAGTCCTCTATTATCGTTCCAATAACAAAAAAATCTAACCCAGAAGATCTGAATGATTTTCGTCCAGTAGCACTCACACCTATAATCACGAAGTGCTTTGAAAAGCTGGTACGAAATTATGTCATTGCCTGCCTACCAGAGGGGCTGGACACATTCCAATTTGCTTATAAAACAAAAAGATCGACAGAGGACGCTGTTGCGATTGCCCTCCATGCCGTCCTTGCACATTTGGAGCAGCGGGGGGGTTATGCCAGACTGCTTTTTTTAGATTTCAGCTCGGCATTTAATACCATTCTACCACAATGTCTGATGTCTAAACTGGAAGATCTGGGGCTTCCGTTATCACTTTGTGGGTGGATATTGGACTTTTTGTCAGACCGCCCCCAGATGGTTCGGTTGGGCCCTTATACCTCTAATATGCTTAAGACTAACACAGGAACACCACAGGGATGCGTACTCAGTCCGCTCCTTTATATTCTCTACACGTACGATTGTGTCGCTACTCACCCTAATAACAGGGTTGTTAAATTTGCAGATGACACAACCGTGATTGGGCTCATCCCTGAAAGGGAGGGTGAAACGGATTATAGAGATGAGGTGGAGCGGCTGACAGAGTGGTGCAGAGCTAACAACTTGCTCATAAATACAAGGAAGACAAAGGAGCTTGTGGTGGACTTCAGGAGACAGAAGAGCAACGTCCAGCCACTTTTGATTGATGGGGTCTGTGTGGAGATGGTAACAATGTTCAGATTTTTGGGCATTGAATTACAAGAGGATCTGTCCTGGAGTGTCAACACAAGGGGGCTTGTGAAGAAGGCGCAGCAGAGACTGTACTTTTTGAGAATACTAAGGAAAAACCATCTTCCGCAGAAACTGCTGCTTGCCTTCTATCACTGTGCCATTGAGAGCGTGCTTACTTATGGCTTATGTGTGTGGTACGGAAGCTGTACTACCCAGGACAGGATGAAGAAGAAGAAGAAGAGTTTGGATTTGATATCCCGCCTTTCACTCCCCTTCAGGAGTCTCAAAGTGGCTAACATTCTCCTTTCCCTTCCTCCCCCACAACACACACTCTGTGAGATGAGTGGGGCTGAGAGACTTCAAAGAAGTGTGACTGGCCCAAGGTCACCCAGCAGCTGCATGTGGAGGAGCGGAGACGCGAACCCGGTTCCCCAGATTAGGAGACTACCGCTCTTAACCACTACACCACACTGGCTCTCACTGGATGGGGTTGTGCAGGGTTGTTAAGGCAGCAGAGAGCATTGTTGGCTGCCCACTCTCCACCTTAGAGCAGATTTATGCCACAAGGTGCCATAGGAAGGCACTGGACATAGTAAAAGATCCATCGCATCCTGGTCACTGTCTCTTCAAGCTCTTGCCGTTGGGACGGAGATACAGGACGATGAAGAGAAGAACGAGCCGTCTTAAGAACAGCATCTTCTCCAGAGCGATCTCGGCCCTGAATGGGAAGCCCGGACTTTGAAAGTCATCTAATCTCCCTTGCTGTATTATACTGTATTGTTTAATTAGTGTTTTTATGGAGCAGTCAAGTAATTTCGTTGTCCCCGAAGGGGGCAATGACAATAAAGATATTATTATTATTATTATTATTATTATTATTATTATTATTATTATTTCCTCTTGCATGAGAATAGGTGAAGGTTTTGGTTCTCTATCATATCACTTAATCAGCATCATTATCATTTATTTGTATCTCACCCTCCCTGGCTGAAACCGGGCTCAGGGCGGCTAACACCAGATATATAACATTGGTATAAGATCAAACAACTGATGTGCTTAAGATATCCTAGCGAACTGCCAAGGTATTTCTTTCCATGATATAGAAAATCAGGTACAGTAATAATGAGTGTGTTTGTATACAGTGGCAGCTGGTGCTTATTAGGGTTCATAGGGCAGAAGATAGGGAGAACCAACATCAACAGGGGACAAAGCCAATGTCAGGCAGAGCAAACTAGTGGTTGTTTTGTCCTCCTCTTCCTGCTGAGTTCTACAAGGGAAACATTGAGACTAATGAGACCTAAACCATAGAAATTTGTTATGGTTTCAGACCAGGCTTAGATGTTGTTGAGTAAATGACATCTTGGTCTTCAATTCTGTGAAATCTAAACACCTTGCCAGACAGTTTTGTTGTTGTTTAGTCGTCTTAGTCATGTTTGACTCTCCGTGACCCCATGAACCAGAGCATGCCTTGGAAACTCTCACTTTCTTCTCAAAGCTTCTCCTTTTTGTCCATGGAGTTTTCTTGGCAAAATACTGGAGTGGTTTGCCAGTTCCTTCTCCAAGTGGATCACATTTAGTCTAAACCAGGCTTCCTCAACCTCGGCCCTCCAGATGTTTTGAGACTACAATTCCCATAATCCCTGACCACTGGTCCTGCTAGCTAGGGATCATGGGAGTTGTAGGCCAAAAACATCTGGAGGGCTGAGGTTGAGGAAGCCTGGTCTAAACTCTTGGCTATGACCTGTCCGTCTTGGGTGGCCCTGCATGGCATAGCTCATAGCTTCTTGGAGTTCTTCAAGCCCCTAGGACCCTCGTACCTACAGAACCGCCTCTCCTGGTATGCCCCGTGGAGGACCTTAAGGTCCCCAGATAACAACACTTTGGAGGTCCAGAGCCACAAGATGGTTAGATTGGTCTCAACTAGGGCCAGGGCCTTTTCAGGCCCCAACTTGGTGGAACACTCTATCACAAGAGACCAGGGCCCTGTGGGATTTGACATCTTTCTGCAGGGCCTGCAAGACGGAGCTATTCTGCCTGGCCTTTGGTTTGGACACAGTCTGACCCTTATGTTTCCCTCCCCGTATGGTTTTGATTTATGGGCTACTACTAAAATGAGGCTGCATTTTAAATTGTATTTTAACCCGTATTTTAATTAACTGTTTTTTCTTTTTCTTTTATGTTTTATTGTAATTTTATTGGTTTTATCTGCCCTGAGCCTGGTTCTGGCTGGGGAGGGCAGGGTATAAATAAAAATTTATTTTATTATTATTTTATTATTATTCACCCCGAAAAGGCAGTGATCCATGAAGGGGCCCCAGACAGTTAGCTAACACTAAAAACATTGCATGTGCCAATTCACTTTTCCTGGGCCAAGCTGGAAGCAGAAAGGCGGCCTTCTGCGAAATGGATCAGTTGACCCAAAGGCGCTCCCTCAGTGGCATGACCAGGAATATAAAAGGAACCGTTCAAAGAATACCATGAGGGGACTTTCATTCATTCCTCCTCACCACTATGAGCTGAATAAAGAGCATGAAATCACTTTGCGACTCTGAGTATATATATATATATATATATATATATATATATATATATATATACTCAAACACCAAGGAGGCTATATCCCCACCTGAACCGAAACTACGGTACTCACACTGTGTCCACATTGCAAAGTGTGGTTTCTCATATTTAATTAACCTTATTGATGTGTGTGTTTGTGTGTGTTTATACTCTCATTGTGGGCTTTTTAGCAGGTATTTTACATTAACAAGGAGGAGAAGAAATGGAGGAGAGGATGGAAATGATAGTATCAATACTTACATCCCATACAGATAAACATCTCAGTGCCCATTGCTGTAATTAAATAAAAACTGAAAGATCAATTTCGGAATTTAATCCTACCAGCTGTAATGTTTTAAATAAAAATATTAAATGTGCTTCTTGTTGTTTTAGTGTTTTTTTAATGTCCTGTTTACTATATTTCGCAGGAACAAATTGCCAGATCCCAAAGAACAATAAGTCCATATCACTATGTTTCATTTCGAGATAGTGCTGCGTTAAAGGAGCCTTGACTACCTTGTTACGGATTCTTGATCTATGCTCACCTATGCGTAATTTAAGGGGAACGTGTTGTATTTCCTATGTATAATTTGTCACATGGGCAACAAATACAATAGACGACATTTTTGGAGTTACAAGTGATTGTTGAATTAATTGTAAATGCAAAGCGCATGTGTGCGCTATTAATTTCTTTCACTTGCAAGCTGTACAGGCACATGTTACAATGCCCACACCTATAGTAACCCCTAGTGGTGGTGGTTGGTAATTCGAGGCAGTCAGCTCTGACTAATTGATTGCAAAGGGATCCTTTCTTCCTTAAACCCAAAAGGGGAGGATCTTTGCAGCCGGGGATATCCTTGATTATATGCCAGTGTTTATTTATAATCTTTATTTATAATCTTATAATCTGGCAAGGGGTGTATAGTCCAATGCCGTGGTAAGGCGTGTTTGATATGTGTTGCTACAGTTAAGCAGATCATTCCGGTCTAAACCATTTGCGTGTCTAAGCGCTTCCTGCACAGTGTTACTAACTATTGGTTAGGGCTCTACTTAGTTGCCCCACTGCTCTTCTATAATCATTTTCTTCAGTAGCATTCCTTTTTAACCTTACCAGCTGCCCATGAGGTAGATTTTTTCTTAAATGCAGTGGATGACTGGAAAAGAAATGAAGCAGAGTATACCTATCTGTGGGTTTCTTATAGGGCTTGAAATAGCACTGGCTCTTCCCCATCTTAATTTTCCTGGGCAGGCTAGCTGTGGAAACAGAGCTGGGAATCTTATTATTTCTGATGTGGAATGTTTGGCTTACCGTATTTTTTGCTCTATAAGACTCCCCTTTTCCCTCCGAAAAACTAAGGGGAAATGTGCGTGCGTCCTATGGAGCGAATGCAGGCTGTGCAGCTATCTCAGAAGCCAGAACAGCAAGAGGGATTGCTGCTTTCACTGCACAGCGATCCCTTTTGCTATTCTGGCTTCTGGGATTCAGAATATTTTTTTTCTTGTTTTCCTCCTCCAAAAACTAGGTGCGTCTTGTGGTCTCGTGCGTCTTATAGAGCGAAAAATATGGTATATGCCAAAACAGCACTATCCACACATACCAGGAAGGTATTGGCAGACTTTTGGTAAACCTGATGTTTCTTTAAAAACCTTACGGCAGCATCACAAGAAGATCAAGCACATTTGTTGATAGGAAATCTTGAGAAGTGAACCATTTGAAAAAAGGACCTCTACATAGTTACAAACACCACATTTATATTAGCTGTTAAGTATAGGTCTGAAACTACCTGTATAAAGATTTCTCAGACAGTGACTAGTTTAATACCTTTAATTGTTACAGTTCACAACAGCAATTCAAATATGCTATTAAATATAAGCAACACTGAATTCCTGATAATTAAGCACTTATTTAAAAATGAGTGGACTCTCCTTCATTTGAGGTTTTTGTGCAGAGGCTGGATGGCCATCTGCCATGGATGCTTTAATTGACATTTCTGCATCGCAGGGGGTTGGACTAGATGTCCCTTAAGAGTCCCTTCCAACTCTAGAATTATATGATTCTAAGATCCACAGATTAGAATGACAAATGGTTATTATTGTATGCTGCTGCCAAATATAATCCGGTCACTTTCTTTGAATTAATTTGAGCTATGCAAATCTGTTTGAAGCAAACTCAATGCACTTAAACTGGTACAGTTAAAATACAATCATTGATCCCCGGATACTAATTTCCACATATCCCATTTCTAAACAGGCCTGTACATTTCCAAATAAAAAAATCTGATGCAGCGATCTCTTAAGGCATATATGTGTGTGACAATGTATGGTAATCACAGCAATAACATTAAAACTTGCAAAATGCCTATTAGAAAGCCATCTTCCTCAGCTGAATTCCTTAAAAGAAAACTCAAAAGGAGCTACTGCCAAACAAGAAGTTTGTGACTAGTGTTTTTTACATTACCTTACATTAACTGATAGGGAAAAGTGAAGAACATACAATTGCATGCATGTTAGTTTTGTAAGGAAAGTCTTAAGTCCAAAAGAGCACTGAAATATTCTTCATTATCAGGATCCAATTTCAAGGCTCGTTCATAGCACTCAATTGCCTGCTGCTTTTCTCCATCAAGCTGGTGAATGAATCCACGGATGCCAAAACTCTTAGCATCTGCCGGATCTATCTTGGTTCTTCTTTCTATTAATTTCTTCAGGTTATATTTGCATTTATTTCTCTCAAATGATTCATTTTCAATCTTCAGCCCGGCCAGATAATGTTCAACAGCCTCCAATTCTGATTTCTTGTGGTATACCAGAAAGCGCCCATAATTGAAGTGGAGCTGCTGTTTCTCTTCACAAGTAAGTTTCCTCATTGCAAACACTTCCTGAAACGTCTCTTCCGCTTTCTGGAGCTCTTTCCCTTCTGCATACATGTTTGCAAGATCCAAGTGAGCATAGACGAATTTGGTTTTGTGCTCCACCACTTCTTTGAAATGAAAGATGCACAGTCTGATCAGTTCTGCCATCTTTCTTTTGTCTTTATGTGGGTCTTCTGATAATTTGATTTTAAAATACTGTGCTCTGTAGCAAAGCCCCATCTGGTGATGTAGGAAGCCTGAGTTTGGTGTCAAGCTCAACGCCTCCTTCAAAAGCTCCAGGGATCTTTCCACATCACCCTTTTTCCTGTAAAATATGGCAGCGTACCTCAGCACATAAGGGATGCCAGGGAATTTGCCTAGCGCTTCTTCAATGAGCTCTTTTCCTTCTTCCACTTTATTAGTTTCCTGCAGCTTCAATGCAAGGATAGGTAGGAGAAAGGAATTATTGGGATTCAGTTTTGCTGCCTTCTTCAAGGGTTCCAGAGATGACCCTTCTGCTGCAGATTTTTTCCCATAATAATCTTCCAGGCGATATACTGTGATTGCATAGCCAGCATTATATTCTGGGTTTTCAGGTTCTTTTCCTAGTGCCTTTAAAAAGCTCTCCTTGGCTTTTTCATGATACTTTCCCCCAAATTTTAGGAGTGCCCATCCCTTTTCACCATCGATATGTGGGATTTTCATTCTATAGGGAGAGGCACTTCCATGTTCCTTGCAGGTTGTTTCCACCTTCTTTATGTAGCTTTGTACTTCTGCAAGTTTGTCCATGCGGTAATACACCCAGGCAAAGTTGCCCCATGTAATAAGGCTTGCCTTTTCAACTTCTTCTGAGTACTCTGTTTTTATACTCTCTTCAGCCTTCTGCAGATTTTCCAGAGCCTCTTCCTCCTTGCCATTCAAGTACTTCACATAGGCCAGCAGGTTATAATTTCTGACTTTGGACGGTAAAAACTTGATCTGTTCAGCCATTCTTTCCTCTAATTCATCAAGATCAATATCTTCTTTCAGCAACCTCCAAGTAAAATGGCATTCAAGTTCCAACAGGATCCGTTTTAAAGATTCCTTGGAAATTTCACTACAGACCATGAGGGAAGAGAAAAAAGACAGTCACATTTATATGCTGAAAAAACCACAGATCCAAGCATATCCTCATTTGTCATGGAAGTTCTTTCAGAACTGACTAGATTTCGTTTCTTTGCCACATATGCATGCAGTACTTCAAATGGGAGAACTGCGAAGTTTCACGATGCAGCTGGTTCAAGTCTGACCTGAAAGCTATCATATGTAGCTGTTACACATGTAATAAATCACCTTTCCCACATACTGAGGGTCTTTTTAAAGTTTTTTTTAAACGACAGCATATTTTTATTAAAGATTTCTTGGTTTACAAAAGTATGTGCAATGTCTCTTTTTTCAAGTTACATTTTCTACAGATCAGTTTCATTTGTCGAGACGTTAGTGTTACATTAGGAAGAAAGGGGGAAAGAGGTGGAGGGGGGCATGGTGAGTGGGGATGGGGTTGGGTGGCAACGGTTCTATTCTACTTAAGTGTATGTGTGGGGTTTTGTGTCAGCGTCGTTTGTGCAGGTTCTCTTTACTATTCACTTACAGTCATACCTTGGGTTACAGACGCTTCAGGTGGCGTTTTTTCGGGTTACTGACCTGCCGAAACCTGGAAGTACTGGAACGGGTTATTTCTGGGTTTCGGAGGTCACGCATGCACAGAAGCACTAAATCGCACTTTGCGCATGCGCAGAAGTGTCGAATCACAACCCGCATGTGCGCAGACACGGCGCTGCGGGTTGCGAATGTGCCTCCCGCATGGATCACGTTCGCAACCTGAGCGTCCACTGTATTTGGTGTTTCTTTGGTGGTGAGAGAGGTTGGGGTTGGCCTAGAGTGTGGTTGTTTGTTTGTGATTGGATGTGGTGAACTTTTTCCCCATGTGTGATTGGGTTGGGTGGGTGTTTTTGGATCAGGTTAGCCAGATTGATTCGAATGCTGTTGGTGGGTTCTTCTTGTTGTCTTGTTGGGTAACCATATCAGGGTAAAGGCGTCTTCTTCTATTTGTCCCCTTGTCAGTTTCAGCTTGTTGGTTAGTTTTTCTAATAAGGCTGTTCCCCATACTATTCAATACCATTGGTCTATGCTTGCTCCTGACAGGTCTTTTTAAAGTTCGGTGTCACGTGTGTCCAGAGAAAAAGGCTGTTTTAAGGATTAATAGCATGGAACAACTCAGATTAATCCTTTAGGTCAGTTTTCCCAATTTGTGGTCTGTGTAATCCACCCAGGGGTCCATGGCATCATTCACATAACGAAAACTACCGTTATAGGGGGTCCATGGCTTAGCTTCTGAAAAAATAAGGGGTCTGCATTACGTAGCCAATTGGGAACCACTGCTTTAGATTATTTTCTCATTTTAGATTAAAAAGGGAATCTACAATACAGTTTTAATTTTTTTTAAAGCAGACTGTATTACAAACAAGAATTTGTAGGATTGAATTTAGCCATTCAAGCTAATAGTTCTAAAGCAAACAAAGATAAGAAAATGTTGGTGTGGTTTATTTGATAAGGGATTGTGAGGAGAATTTTAGCTAAAGGAGGAATGGCCAGTCTGGACAAAGAGAGAGATACACATGAACAGCCTTCAGTGAATTATAGCTCAGTTGGTAGAACCTTGAGAGTCTTAATCTTAGGGTCGTGGGTTCAAGCCCCCATTGGGCAAGATTCCTGCATTGAAGGGGTTGGACTGCACGATCCATGCGGTCCCACTCCTATGAATGAGGTTCTGGGAGGAAGGTCAGTCCAGAAGTCCCAGCTCCTCTGTGTGAAGCATCAGTTTATATGGGGTCAGGTTAGGGTTAAAATGTACATACCACTTACTAGAAAAAAGCCCTCTAAGCTGTTTAGAACAACAACAGAAATAATAATATCAATTTAAAATAAAAAAACTACCTAAAAATGTAAAATACTGTATGACTAAACTCAATAATTTAAAACAAACAAATGAAATGCTAAGATTACAAGCCTGGGTAGGCTTGCTGAAACAAAAGAAAAGGCTTTAGTAGGCACTGAAGACAATACAGCAAAGTTGAGGCTTAGTGATGAAATGAATAAATAAAACCACATATTTGTGCCTCAGAGTCAGGTTGGAGGAAGCTAAGTGACAGACTGGAAGTAAACTGGTTGAAGATCTTATCTCCTCTTGGTTTAATAAAAAGGAGGTAAAGATTGACATGCAACTGAAGGCAACACCTGCTGCTCACTTGTATGCCAGGAGCCTGAGGCATTTAGCCAGTGATATTCAGGTAGTTCAAAAGCACATCAAAGTGCAAGTAGATAAATAGGTACCACTCCGGCTGGAAGGTAAATGGCATTTCCGTGCGCTGCTCTGGTTTGCCAGAAGCGGCTTAGTCATGCTGGCCACATGACCGGGAAGCTGTACGCTGGCTCCCTCGGCCAATAAAGCGAGATGAGCACCGCAATCCCAGAGTCGGCCACGACTGGACCTAATGGTCAGGGATCCCTTTACCTTTATTCAGGTAAGAGAACAGGAAGTCAGGGTATTAGTTTGGAGAAAATAGGTGTACCAGAAGGGTTACCTTGAAAGCATTTCAGAGAACGTGCCTCTCCTGGCTCTGGCAATGGCTTATGTCTTTTGTTTCATGCAAATATAGTAGCATCCTGATATAATTTGAATTAAATGCACTGACGGGGTAGCCAATATGGTGCCTTCCAAATGCTTGGGGTACAATTCTCATCAGCCCTAGCGCCAGAATGGTCACTGGCCATGGGTGATAGAAACAGCTGTTCAAAACATCTGGGTTGCACCAAGTTGACTAACCCTTTTGTCATCTGTCCTCTCCTCCCAACACTTGGAAGAAGAGAGCAATTCCTTTCTTCTCACACTGAGCAGATAGGAGAAGAAAACGTGCAAGAAACTGACACATAATCTAACTTGCTTCTGGTTTTATTTACCCAATCATATAGGTCAATTTCAGCCAAATTCAAGTTGAGGGCAAATTGATTGCTTTTCTTTTAAACTGAGCTACCAGAAAGTAGTTTGTACTGGAAATAAGCCGTCAATACCATAACCGTTTTAATCCACCCTTAGCTTTCAAATTAACAGTTACATTGGAAGCACAATTCTATGTTTACGCAATAGAGCTAACTTTCTTTTTAAAAGTGAGTTTAGTTTTGTTACTTTAGGCAGCAATCCTATGTAGTCTTGGGAGTAAACACCACTGAACTCAGTGGATCTAAAACCATTTTAAGATGACAGAGCTAGTAGCCTAGAAAATCGAGAAACCCAGTCATTTGTTACTTACCCCATGCTTTCCAGATCTGTTATCAATTATAAAATATACTCGGTCTTTCTCTCTCTCTCTTTGGCCCTGGAAGGGACTGGAAGTAGCCTTTCGTTAAAGATGGGCGAATCTTACTGTTGTTACTGATGTTTCCTTTTTATAGCCCTCTGCAGCACTGGCAAATGTTTGCTCTCTGCTTGCAAAAACGAAAGTGGAAAGTGAAACTTAGCTGCTCAAGAGCTAGGAAACAGAAACTTAGAAAAACAGTCGAGAGGGTATGATAGAATGGGATCGGTTTCCTTTTCCTCTGATCCCATAACACTGTTTACACTAGACTACATCAGTGACAATTTTTTTGTCTGAATACTGTGCCCATGAGTGGTGGGGTGGGGTTCTGTGTGTTTGAAAGTAGAAGCTGTACTGATGGCTGCGTGATGTATTTACTGTATTAAGAAATCTGCCAAATCACCAAAGAAAAGAAAAGAAAAGAAAAGAAAAGAAAAGAAAGCAGCATTAGAATTGACTTGATGGATTAGATTGAAGACCTGCCTTATTTTTCCTGACAAGATTAACCTGCTGAAATTCCCTCTTCTGCAGAGTTTTTTAAAGGTGCTAGAGCACTGTCCACTCTTCCACTTGGCCCTGGAGTTGCTGTACAAGAGAGGGGAAGGGTGCAATTTATATCACACAACTAGAGAGCAACAGCTGAATCCTATTTGTGGTGAAAAATAAGTGAGTCCCACAATAGGTGTATATATATTGCAGATTTGCAGCCTAAGATACACTGAGTACAGAGGGACATGTTTCTGTGTAAGGATTACACTGCAGAACTGATTTTCCAGCCCTGTTTATTACATCCTCATTTCCTTCTTTAAAAAGAAAAGAAAAATTTAAAATGATTTTGAAGCAGGTTCCACCCTCCCATATTGTCCACCAACTCCTCGTCTTCTTTCCCACCCTTCCAAGGCAGCAAACCAATCAACAATAAGAACACATCTTTAAAAGCACCCAAAAGCTCTTTAGAACATTTTGAAAAAGGTTGAAACTTTTTCCCAACCAGGAATTTCAGGGTTTCCAGGAACGGCAACTTCCAGCCATCAAATGTGTGTGTCGGAGAGAGACATCTCACCAGAGATTGCATTTCACAGATGGGAAACTGCCACTGAAGATTCCCTGTAACAGGCCAATGGCAAACATGCAGCATCCATTGGTAGCACCACCTAGGCCTCACATGCCAATTGTAGGGTCCAAAATGGTTGATATTGGGGGAGATGCTCATTAGATACTTGTGTCCCTATGCATTCAGGCTTTATATGTTAGTACTAGTACCTTGAGGGACGCGGGTGGCGCTGTGGGTAAAACCTCAGTGCCTAGGACTTGCCGATCGCATGGTCGGCGGTTCGAATCCCCGCAGCGGGGTGAGCTCCCGTCGTTCGGTCCCAGCTCCTGCCCACCTAGCAGTTCGAAAGCACCCCCAAGTGCAAGTAGATAAATAGGTACCGCTTTATAGCGGGAAGGTAACGGCGTTTCCGTGCGCTGCGCTGGTGCTGGTTTGCCAGAGCAGCTTCGTCACGCTGGGCACGTGACCCGGAAGTGTCTTTGGACAGCGCTGGCTCCCGGCCTCTTAAGCAAGATGAGCACGCAACCCCAGAGTCGGACACGACTGGCCCATACGGGCAGGGGTACCTTTACCTTTACCTTACTAGTACCTTGGGGGACGTGGGTGGCGCTGTGGGTTAAATCACAGAGCCTAGGACTTGCTGATCAGAAGGTCGGTGGTTCAAATCCCCGCGACGGGGTGAGCTCTCGTCGTTCGGTCCCTGCTCCTGCCAACTTAGTAGTTCAAAAGCATGTCAAAGTGCAAGTAGATAAATAGGTACCGCTCTGGCAGGAAGGTAAATGGCGTTTCCATGCACTGCTCTGGTTCGCCAGAAGCGGCTTAGTCATGCTGGCCACATGACCCGGAAGTTGTACGCTGGCTCCCTCTGCCAATAAAGCGAGATGAGCGCCACAACCCCAGAGTCGGTCACGACTGGACCTAATGGTCAGGGGTCCCTTTACCTTTACTAGTACCTTGAATTGGGGCTGGTAGCTCACTGCCAACTAATGACACATGGGGCGGATCGATACACAGGAAAAGAAACATTTTAAATAAGTCAGAAATTAGATTGTTATAACAAAATAATAATAAAAAAAACCTATGGAAAAATGGGTATTAAAATTTCCTGCTCTCTGGCACCATCTGGTGTTGCATGCTTATAGCACATTCAAATTGTTTCTTTACTAATGTAGGTGAGTCCATGGTCCCATCAGGCTGACTCACTTACCAGCCTGGCAGCAACTTTCTGCACTAGCTGCAGATACTGTACCTTCTTCAAGTGCAGCCCCACATACCGCACATAATGGTAGTCCAGACTAGGGAAGGGGTCACTAGAGCAAGGAACATCTATAGCTGTTGAGTCAGCCTAATCTGTGCATTAACACCTGAAAAATGTGTACAGTTGTACTTTGGATCTTGAACGACTTGTGAGTCGAACATTTTGTGAGTCGAATGCCGCAAATCCGGAAGTGATTGTTTCAGTTTGTGAATGTTCTTTGGAGTCCAAATGTCCATCACAACTTCCACAGCTTCTGATTGGCTGCAGGAGCTTCCTGCAGCCAATCAGAAGCTGTGCCTTGGTTTCCAAACTGTTTTAGAAGTCGAATGGACTTCCAGAATGGATTCTGTTCGACTTCCAAGGCACAACTGTACTTTATTACCTTATGGTGCAGCTTCAAGAGCTATTTTTAATCCCAAACCCTGCCACCAATGTCCTGGATGGTTCATCTACTTTATAGGTGCCCCCCTCCATGCAGTTCAGACCTGACCCAGGAACCCAGGTCAGCACTTGTCTGTGTTGAAAGCAGAAGTCCCCCCAGAGCTCAGGGTAAACCACTCCTCTGAGGTAGGAAGCTGCCACCACTCTTGTTAAAGTCCAGCTTGATCCCAGGAGATCCCTGAGTTGTATGTTGGACATCCCAAAGATTCCAAGAAGCAAAAGCTAAAGGGATCACCCCCTGCTTCCTGAAGCTTCAGGCAAATATATGGTATACAAATGTGATGCAAAGGGTCTGAGGTACTGTTTTAGGCTTAAGGCTTTACCCAAAATAACCATACAAAAGCGAAGTATACATATTTTATGGATAAGACTAAAATAGCATAGCATGAACCTGTAACCCAATAGGAATAAAAGGATTAAGAATAATATTGGCTAATACTGATGAAGCAGAACATTTACGAACACACACAAATATAACAAAGTCTAGCTAAGGGCTTGCCCACACTTTCTTTTGCTCTGACACTTTCACTCAGAAAAATCTACTGTTTACTGCTGAATTGGAGCAAACGTCAATTGGGTTTTCTGTGGACGGACAGCGTTAAAGAGTGGGTTTTCCCGGGGAAACAACAGGACTAACGGAAAACTGCTCTGACTTGTGCCTAGGAAACACAGTACAAGCAGAAAATTGCTTGGAACCATGCTTTTAGGCTGTTGCTCAAGGTGTCAGCTGGGAAACAAAATTCAGGGTAGGGGCAGAACAGGGGCAAAAGAATACTGTGAAGTAAATGTTTCAATGCCCCCTTGCTTAGCACCATGCCCCTCTCTCTTCAGCCTGTCAAAAGACTTCCACTGTATATAACTTTCCAGAAGCCCAAGTCTGGTGATGACCCCCATGACAACACAGCTGAAAAACATTATTCCAAATAAGAAACTAACCACATAGGCCCTCAAGACACTGGCAGGAAATATCGGGGCTTCTTAACAATTAGTTGAGGGAGAGAGAACTCACCCAGATGTCAAAACTCCTTTACTGAACCAAAGTTTTAAATTTAGAAACAAAATTTGGACATGGGCCTGGCACAAGATCCAAGTACACTGACAAGGAGTACTCCCAGACTATGTATCTGTTCTTTCCGGAGAAGTGCAACCCCTCCCAGAACAGGTAATACACCCAATTCCCAGACATGGCAATCACCACCCACAGCATTTGTGTCTTTTCAGGCTCTGGCTGAGTTTCTTGACCCCATCCAGTCCCTCACTGCTTCCAGACCTTCACAGACCTCTCCTGATTCCAACAGAATATGGAGCTATTGCCATGGTTTGTTGGCATTTGGAAGATAATATGCTCCAGATCCCCTGATGATGGTTCCCAATGCTTTCATACAAATTTTAAATGCACTGGAAGCAGAATGGACCCCACAAACCCAAAAGCCGTGGGGGCTGTGTAACTGTCTCCTAGCACTAAATAACCGTGTCACACATTGTTGTTTCAAAAGCCCAAAATAGAAGGCCAAAACATAATTTGCAGTAAGCTTCATGAATTATAAACAATACTAAGATGGAACAAAATTAAAATTAAAATTAGTATTAAATTAGTAATATTATTAGTAATATTTATATGGGAGTATTTACTTTCAGCGACATTATCAACTGTGTCCTTGGCTACACCCAGAGTATACATATTGGTGCCCTAACTATGTTTGCTTTTTCAGCAATCAGAGCAAATATTCTGAAACTCTGATTCACAGTCCCATATAAGATAACAGTATTGAATGGAGAATTCTGGGGGTGGGTGAATGTGGCAGCACAGTGATAATACAGCAAAAAAACACTAGTCAGGACCGAGGGTGAACCTATTTAAATCAATAAGTCTCAAACTCATATATCCACAGTTATTATTATTTATTTTAAATGTCCCAAACCATTTGTGGTGATGGAAGTTTATAAGGCTGAATGTCTTCTAAGAGGGCTTGCTGCAGACAGAGACACTTTCTGACTTGGCTTTGTTGATGTTGGTCAGTCTCCCTAGTCCAGGGGTCAGCAACCTTTTTCAGCCATGGGCCGGTCCACTCTCCCTCAGACCATGTGGTGGGCCGGACTATATTTTTTTGGGAAAAATGAATGAATTCCTATGCCCCACAAATAACCCAGAGATGCATTTTAAATAAAAGCACACATTCTACTCATGTAAAAACACCAGGCAGGTCCCACAAATAACCCAGAGATGCAAGCAGGAGTGGAGGTGGGGATCTCTCCCCTTTGATGTTTCCACACCCCAGGGTGGAAATGAGAACTGCCTATATAAAACAATAAAGAATTTTAGCCTACTTGAGAAGCAGGAGTCCACTCAGAAAGATGTAACAGCATATACAGTAGTTCTTGCTTTAAGCTAGGACTTACTTTGTGAGAAAAACGTGATTGCTGTCGGGGGAGTTTGTATAAACTACAGACCACTATCCCCATGATACAGATTAGGAGTGAAGTTGCTGTAATATTCCTACTTCCTTAAGCTGCTTACACACAGCTCCCATGGTCAGCGGTGTTCAGGGTCGCACTCGCCTCCCTCCCTCCCTCCCCACAAAGGTCAGCAATTGGGCTGACTACCTTTCAGAATAAGGAACCTCCAAAAGGAAGCTTCTGGTGGAATGAGAGGCACCGGCACCCACTCTGTTCCCACTGCAATTTGGAACCAGTTTTAGTCTCTGCTGATGCAGCTGTAGGGAATGCTAGAGAACAGACTTCTTTCTCCTTAAGAGAACTGCCTAGACAACAGCACCACCTACTGACAAGGTTAGAATGTACATGGAAAAACTAAGATGAGGCTTTTCGCGCAGCATGCTAGCTTTCCCCCAGGCCGTGGGCATTTTGACATGAGGAAACTTACAGACATCCAATCCCTTCCCTGCAGTTGCTGAAATGCTACAGTGCTGGTGAGGGAAGGAGGGATGCATTTTCAAAAGAGGGGAGGAAGTGAGAAGCCACCAGAGTCAGAGAGAGAGACATGCAGAGGGGGAGGCAGTTCCATTATCCTGGAAGAGGCCACCTGTGATGGCCTTGGAATCAGATTCAGAGGCTGAACCTGAGGAATCCCAGCCTGCACAGGAGTCCCCACCTCCAGGACCAGCTGAGCCGGGCCTGGGGCATGAGCCTGAAGGGTCCTCACCTGTGCTGGATCCTCAGGAGCAGACACCAGCTGAGTCTGCTCTGGCTCCGGAGGTGATCGAGGACCCATTGCCTGCAGGTGCTCCACTCTCAGCCCCATCAGGGGAAGTTGAGGTTGCCTCTGGGTCTGGTAACCCTCCAGCCTCTCCTGAGCTACAGAGGTTCAGGGCAGAGAGGTGGAGGGAACTAAGTTCCCGCAGGAGTGCTCGCCTCTAGGCCAGGAGAGGCGAGTCACCTGTGGACCGGGGCCACCCTATGCCTCGGGGCAGATAAAAGCCAGCCAGCCCAGTCCCAGGTTGTGGGAGCAACATTGTTGGTAGCCTGTTCCTGTTGGCAACCTGTCCTGCTCTTCTGCCAGAGTTCCTGACCTCACCCGACTTCTTGCCTTGGACCCCCCTTCAGCCTTGAAGGACAGCCTCCATACCATACCCTCAACCTCGAACTGGACTCAGACCACGCCGCATGGTAACCCCCCGGGATCAGCACACCACCCCAGTAGGTTGCTGGTCCCCCCCCATTCTGTCCTCCAATTCAAATAGCCTGGATAACAATAACAACAATAATAACAATTTATTATTTATACCCCGCTCATCTGGCTGGGTTTCCCCAGCCACTCTGGGCTGCTTCCAACAAAATATTAAAAATACAATAAAACACCAGTCTTTAAAAACTTCCTTAAACAGGGCTGCCTTCATATGTCTTCTAAATGTCAGATAGTTGTTTATTTCATTGACATCTGATGGGAGGGCGTTCCACAGGGCAGCCACCACTACCAAATAGGCCCTCAGCCTTCTTGGCAACAGCCCCACCACTGGATTGAAAATGCTGCTGGTCAGTGCCAGGCTGGAGAATGTTAAAGCTGGCATGTAGGTGTGTTATTCTTCCTCGGCTCCACCAGGATAATAATAGTAATAATTTTATTATTTGTGTTCCACTCATCTGACTGGGTTGCCCCAGCCACCCTGCGTGCCTTCCAACAGATATAAAAACATAACAAAACATTGTCTTCTGAAAGTTGTAGAGTTCTTGACATCTGATGGAAGGGCGATCCACAGGGTGGGCGCCACTACCAAGAAGGCCCTCTGCCTGATTCCCTGTAACTTCACTTCTCTCCACGAGTGAACCACCAGGAGGCTTTCGAAGGTGGACCTCAGTGTCAGAACGGTGGTGGTTCAGATCTTTTGTGTACATGACTGCCACAACCACAAATCCAATTTCATGCCTCTCGTTCTCGCAAAAATCCAGATTGCCAGGTTACTCATCTGCTAGGTCAGTGGTGGTGAACCTATGGCACACATAGTGGTGGTGAACCTATGTGCCCTCTCTGTGGGCACATGCGCCATTGTGCCAGCAGGGCTGTAGCTTCCGTGCTGTGGGTGGGGGAGGAGGAGGAGAGGAGGGCTCACGTGCTAGCAGGAGTGGAGGTGGGAATCTCTCAGAAGTGGAGTGGAAGCTTTGCGCTGAGAGATCCCCGCCTCCACTCCTTTTTGCATGCAAGTAGGAGCAGGATGGGGCAGCTCAGTTGTTGAGTGCCTGGCTACCTTCTTGTGGTGCAGGGGCTCTCAGATCCAGCTTCCGGGCTGCCTCCACCTTCCCCAACCCCAGCAACTATTCAGCCTGGCTGCCTTCACAGGGTTGAGGGGATCTGATGTGGAGGTGGGGGCTCCTTTAAACTTCTCCCTTTAGGGGAGTACAGCTGCGAACCCCTCAACGGAAAGTGTGATGGAGCCTGCACCTCCCCAGCTGAGCAGCCCCGATCCAACTCATTCCTGTGCAAGCAGCAATGCTGCCTAGAGGAGCAAGCAGGAGCAGGCTGGGGGGAGGGGTGGCAGTGACATCCCTTACCTGCTCGCTTACCTCCCGGCCCGCCTTCCCTCACTAGGAAAACGGAAGTGTGGCACTCAAAATGGAAGTTATATTCAGAACAGAGCATGTTCAGCTTCTGAAAAAAGTTCCAAAACTGGAACACTCATTTCCGGGTTTGAAGTGTTCAGGTTCCAAGTAGTTCAAGAACTAAGCTGTTCGAAAACTGAGGTACAACTGTATTTATTTTTCTCAATTTGAACTGTATTTATTTCCCCTGATTTGAACTGTATTTATTCCCCCACCCCCTGTGGTGATTTTCTTGAGTCAAAATGAGAGTACCCCTAAACATTTCTTTTTAGGGAAAAAAGCATTGAGTTATACCATAAAATTATATATCAATGGAAAGATAATTTAATGAAGAATATAATGCAACAATTTTTATGAAGGATTATTTATTAGAACTGCAGTCATAACGAAGAAACGCGAAACACACACAAAAAATGAGATATACAGGTTAAATTGCTGTGTTGGCACTTTGCAACAAATAAGTGGGTTTTGGGTTTCAGTTTGGGCACTCAGTCTCTAACAGGTTCACCATCACTGTGCTAGGTCACACCTGTTTCTTTGTTTCTTAGCCAGCAAAATCCAGTCACATACAAACCAACACACAGATGTAACTACTGTATTCTGCTCTGGTTACCCCGCATACCTGAACTATTTTTTACTGAAGTTGATACATTCTGCTCTGGAAAGCTCACAATTTAAGTTTTCAATTCAACAGAGCTAAAAACACAGCTTACTGTACTTCACTTTTAAAAACAAAAGGAGTCATGTTACATGTTTTTAAAGCATTATATATTAATAACTCACAACCCTAAAGGTTTCTAACAGTGTAAATAAGTTTTGATGGATGTAATAATGGAATGCTGAATAGTTTAGTTAATGTAAAATATGCAGGGATTTAAGATATGCAAATGAACCCTGGAAAGAGAAGGGAAGTCACTGATATTTTAAGGATATTTAAATAGGTATTTAGAATAGTAAAACAGAAAATTTAATTATATATATATATATATATATATGTTATAGCTTGAAGGAAGAACCAAGTACCACATATTGAAATGTTTAGCTTTGTACAGAAAACTTCAACTCCAAAAGAGCACTGATATATTCTTCATTATCAGGATCCATTTCTAGGGCTCGTTCATAACACTCAATTGCTTGATGCTTTTCTTCATCAAGTTGGTGAATGAAGCCACGGATGCCGAAACTCTTAGCATTTGTGGTACCTCTCTTAATTTTCTTTTCTATTAACTTCTTCAAATAACACTTGCATTGATGTCCTGCAAATGATTTGATTTCAATTCTCAGCCCGGTCAGATAATGTTCAACAGCCTCCGATTCCGATTTTTTGTGGTATTCCTGAAAGCGCCCATAATTGAAGTGGAGCTGCTGTTCCTCTGAACAAGTAAGTTTCCTCATTGTAAACACTTTCTGAAAAGTCTCTTCTGCTTTCTGGAGTTCTTTCCCTTCTGCATACATGTTTGCAAGATCCAGGTGAGCATAGACGAATTTGGTTTTGCGCTCCACCACCTCTTCGAAATGAAAAATGCACAGTCTGATCAGTTCTGCCATCTTTCTTCTGTCTTTATATGGGTCTTCTGATGATTTGATTTTTAAATACTGTGCTCTGTAGCAAAGCCCCATCTGGTGATGTAGGAAGCCTGAGTTTGGTGTCAAGCTCAACACCTCCTTTAAAAGCTCCAGGGCTCTTTCTATGTCACCCTTTTTCCTAAAAAAAATGGCTGCATGCCCCAGCACGTAAGGAGAGCTTGGGTGCTTTTCGAGGGCCTCCTTGATATACTTTCCCCCTTCTTCAGTGTTGTTAGTTTGCTGCAGCTTTAACGCAAGGAGAGACAAGACTAATGCATTATCTGGATCCAGTTTTGCTGCCTTCTTCAAGGGTTCCAGAGATGAGCCTTCTGCTGCAGATTTTTTCCCATAAAAATCCTCCAGGCGGTATACTGTGATGGCATAGCTGGAATTGAATTCTGGGTTTTCAGGTTCTTTTTCCAGGGCCTTTGCAAAGCTCTCTTTGGCTTCTGCAGTATAATTCTGGCCAAACATTAGCTGTGCCCACCCCTTTTCATAGTACGTTTGTGGGCGTTCCATCCTATAAGGAGAGGCACTTCCATTTTCCTTGCAGGTAGTTTCCACCTTGTTTATGTAGGTCTGTGCTTCTGTAAGTTTGCCCATGTGGTAGTACACCCAAGCATAGTTGCCCCATGTAACAAGGCTTGCCTTTTTGACTTCTTCCGGGTACTCTATTTTAACAGCCTCTTCAGCCCTTTGTAAATTTTCCAGAGCCTCTTCTTTCTTGCCATTCAAGAATTTTACATAGGCCAGCAGGTTATAAATTCCGATGTTGGATAGTAAATGCTCAGTCTTTGTAGCAATTCTTCCCTCTAATTCATCGCGATCCATGTCCTCCATCAACACTGCCCAAGTAAAATGGCATTCAAGCTGCTGAAGGATCTTGTATAAACGTTTTTCACTGCAAAATGGGAGGGGGGGGAGAGAGAGAGGCCCTTTAAAATTTTGCAAAGAAAGGCACATTCCTGCATATTATCCTTTTTTTTTAGAAAGGTGTTTGACAACTGACTTCATTTGTGCATTTTTTAACCTCTTGGTTTTCCTTCCATGTTTACAGCTAGCACTTACTAGTTGCTGCGCTATCTTGGTGGGTCTGGACTGGATTCTTTTGATATGTATTCACATGACATTATTTGCTATAAGTCATTCCATTTTAAAGTTATGTTTTATTATGACTTTTTGTACTGGATCAGATTATTGTAAGGTGTGTGTTCTTTATTGTGAATTTTGTTGTAAACTGCCTTTTGTATAGTAATATAGAAATACATAAAATTATGTATTTAATTTTTAATACAAATTAAAAAGTGAAATGAAATAAAACAATATTTCACATGTAAGCCCTGTGAGGCATGTGTCATCCATGTCTGAGCTAAAGAGTACCGGTAACTAAATCTTGTCAGAAAGGTTTACTGTATGCTGGCATCTGCAAACATCAAACAAGTGCTTTTTGTTTTAAGAACCTAAAAAGGTTTTGCTAGATTTGAACCAGCCTCCATCTAGTCAATCATCCTAACTAGGGTTGCCAGTAAAAGCCCACCTCAACTGAGAGGTCAATTTTAAAAACTCGCAAATTATTTCCCATCTTAGAATGAAATCCAACCCAGAGATGAATTGCCAGTTTTTCTGCCTGGGAAATGCACTATGCATTGGTGTCAATAAACCATTAGCATCAGCACTGATTGGCTGTGGCTCCCCAGGGTTTCAAGCAGGAATCTTGCCCAGCTCCATCAGGGATTGAGCCTGGGATGTTGTGCATGAAAAGTATGCCTTCTACCACTGTTTAACGGCTCTGCAGACCTTCCCTCTCAGTGCAAGAATTTATGGGGTAGAGTGAGTGTACTCCCTGGGAGAAATTGGAACAGAACCAGCATGTGCTCATGGCCTCCTGCAAGCCAAGTGTCTGTGGACAGCTCACTACAAAGTACATATGGGAGAACAAGATTAGACTGTCCCTGCCCATTGAAAAACTAGCAAATGGGGTGTGTGTGAGGCTAGAACTTTTTCCTATGAAATGCTAGCTTTCCTCAGGCAAGGGCTTTTTCACACGAGGAAGCATGCACTTCTACAATATGCCTTTACATGCAATTAGGGACTCTTGCATAATTACCACAATCTATTAAGGGAGTGGCTACAGTAATAATTTGTTAAGGGAGGCTATAAAATATAGTGGTCAGAGCAATAACACCCAAAACAGTAAAATGCTTAGCCTTAACCAGACCAGCATCAACTCAATTCCTGGACTGTAATGGAATAAGAATGGAATACTGTGGAACAAGGAGACGGTGAATGTGTCCCCCCCCCTCACACACACATTATTAATAAAGCAGCTCAGAGAACCACATGTAGAAATGTTTACCTTTGTACAGAAAGCCTCAACTCCAAGAGGACACTGCTATATTCTTCATTCTCAGGATCCGTTTCCAGAGCTTGTTCATAACACTCAATTGCTTGCTGCTTTTCTCCATCGAGCTGGTGAATGAATGCACGGATTCCCAAACTCTTAGTATCTGCAGGACCTTCCTTAATTCTCTTTTCTATTAACATCTTCAAATTCCATTTGCATTTATTTCTCTCAAATGATTCATTTTCAATCCTAAGCCCAGCCAGATAGTGTTCAACAGCCTCAGATTTTGAATTTTTGTGATTTTCCAGAAAGTGCCCATAATTGAAGTGGAGCTGCTGTTTCTCTTCACAAGTAAGTTTCCTCATTGCAAACACTTCCTGAAACGTCTCTTCCGCTTTCTGGAGCTCTTTCCCTTCTGCATACATGTTTGCAAGATCCAAGTGAGCATAGACGAATTTGGTTTTGTGCTCCACCACTTCTTTGAAATGAAAGATGCACAGTCTGATCAGTTCTGCCATCTTTCTTTTGTCTTTATGTGGGTCTTCTGATAATTTGATTTTAAAATACTGTGCTCTGTAGCAAAGCCCCATCTGGTGATGTAGGAAGCCTGAGTTTGGTGTCAAGCTCAACGCCTCCTTCAAAAGCTCCAGGGATCTTTCCACATCACCTTTTTTCCTGTAAAATATGGCAGCATACCTCAGCACATAAGGAAGGCCAGGGTGTTTGCCTAGTGCTTCTTCAATGAGCTCTTCTCCTTCTTCCACTTTCCTAGTTTCCTGCAGCTTCAATGCAAGGAATGACAAGACAAAGGCATCATCCGGATTCAGTTTTGCTGCCTTCTTCAAGAGTTCCAGAGATGAACCTACTGCAGCAGATCTTTTTTCATACTCTTTCTCCAGGTGATAGACTGAGGTTGCATAGCCAGAATTGAATTCTGCGTTTTCAGGATCTTTTTCCAGGGCCTTTGCAAAGCTCTCTTTGGCAGCATAATTCTGGCCAAACGTTAGCTGTGCCCACCCCCTTTCACAGGACTCCTGTGGGGGTTCCATCCTATAAGGAGAGGCACTTCCATTTTCCTTGCAGGTACTTTCCACCTTGTTTATGTAGGTCTGTGCTTCTGTAAGTTTGCCCATGAGGTAGTACATCCAAGCATAGTTGCCCCATGTAACAAGGCTTGCCTTTTCGACTTCTTCTGGGTCCTCTATTTTTACATTCTCTTCAGCTTTTTGTAAAATTTCCAGAGCCTCTTCTTTCTTGCCATTCAAGTACTTCACATAGGCCAGCAGGTTATAATGTTGAACTCTGCCCACTAAAAACTTAATCTGGTCAGCAATTCTTCCCTCTAATTCGTCAAGATCAATGTCTTCCTCCAGCAATGTCCATGTAAAATGGCAGTCCATCTGCTGGAGTATTTCATACAAAGGATCCTTGGAAATGTCACTACACAATGAGAATAAAAAGAGACAGAGACATTACTAAGTTGCAAAGAAAGGCTGATGAAAGCTTATCATTATTTGTATTGGTCCATGACCAATACCTCTCCTAACTTGCCTTGTACATGCCTGATCTAAAACCACTACAGCATTGTCAGAAATGTTTACCTGCTAGATAAGAGGTCGGCAAACTAAGGCCTGAGAGCCGGATCAGGCCCAATTGCCCTCTGGATCTGGCCCATGGATGGTCCTGGAATCGCCGCTTTGGATTGGCATGATTGTTCGGGCTGTGCCATTTTTGGGGAATTTTTTTCAGGCGCCATTTTCCCCTTCCTTCCCTCACACTGCAGCGGCACTTTTAAACCAGATCCCCCCTACACACATTCATGCCTTCTGAGTACCAAAGAACATTTTACATCTAGCCCCTCAGACAGAGGGAACTCTAAAGAGTGTTCTAAAGCCCTCTTCCCCCACCTCGCCTTTCTCCACCCCCTCGCGTGGGCAGGGGACACTTGCGCGGGCGCCGCCATTAGGATGCTCATGCAGGTGACATTCCCCGCCCCCCATGGGTGACATGCCCCCCCCACGGCAACGTGCCCCACCCTGCCGCTCCAGGTACAAAAGCCCCCAGCTCCACCACTGGTCAAGAGGCCTTGGACCCATGACAACTAGGGTCCAAAGTGTGTGAGGCTAAATAACACATACATGCTCAAATTCACACGCTCTCTGCTTGCCTTTTGTGTACACTCATGTACCTAGATCCCACTTTCTCAGCTTGGTGTCACTGATGCATGCCAAGGGAGCAAAAAATATCTATACCAAAGGACAGAGAGAAAATACAGCGAGCTAACCAGGCAGGAATCGATCTCATCCTGAATCACTAGTTCACTGCATTTCTCTGCTGTTTATTGAGAAAGAGGCTTTCTGAATAAAAAAATGCAACTACAGTGGTACCTCGGGTTAAGTACTTAATTTGTTCCGGAGGTCCGTTCTTAACCTGAAACTGTTCTTAACCTGAAGTACCACTTTAGCTAATGGGGCCTCCTGCTGCCGCCGCGCCGCTGGAGCACGATTTCTGTTCTCATCCTGAAGCAAAGTTCTTAACCCGAGGTAATATTTCTGGGTTAGCAGATTCTGTAACCTGAAGCATATGTAACCCGAGGTACCACTGTAATTGGTGAGTCAGGCAGAGACGTATTCCTACATGGGCAACTCTCCACAAAACCAAGTAGGTGAGGTGGTTACATGGTAAGCCAATTTTTTAAGTTTTTCTGAGGAGACCCTGCTAGCCATTCCAGTACCAATGAATTGCCATTTGGTGACAATGCCACAGTGGATCTTTTTTGTGATAGCAACCAGTCTCAAATGCCCTCCCTCAAGTAATTTTTAAGCTCCATATTTCGTAATCTATCTATATTTATCTAGCAAAGCAAAAAAAAGTATCTCTTTATCTATATCATTCATATGAATAATATAAACAAGAAGCAAGCACTGTACACACTAACCTATTATTTGTTACTTACCCCATAATCTCAGATTGTTTATAAGGTGTAATGAAGCTTGACCTTCCTCTTTCCATAAAACTGGGTATGGTAGGGAGTGCTCTTTCCTCTTTATAGTCTTCACAGTACTTACAAGAATTTGTTATCTGCTTGTAAAAGGAAAATGGAAAGTGAAACTTATGAGCTCCAGATTCTGGAATCAGAAACTTAAAAAAAGGGGAATCTGTTTCCTGTTCCTCTGATCCCATGACACTGTTTAGACTAGAGTACATCAGTGATTAAATGTTTGGCTATATGCTGTACCCATGGGTGGGGGAGTTTCTGTGTATTTTAAAGTGGAAACTGTAGCGATGGCTGTATGACAAATCACCAAAAAATTAAGCAGCCTTAGAATTGACTTGATGGATCAGGTTCTTTTGCCTGACATGCTAATCCTGCTGAAATTCCCCTCTTCTACGTAGTCTGTTTGTTATAGGTGCTAGAGCCCTGTCCTCCCTTTCACTTGGTCACTACAGACCCTGAGTTGCTGTACAAGAGAGGGGAAAGGTGCAATTTTTAACATAGTAGGTAAAGGGACCCCTGACCAGTCACGGACAACTCTGGGGTTGCGGCGCTCATCTCACTTTACTGGCTGAGGGAGCCGGCGTACAGCTTCCAGGTCATGTGGCCAGCATGACTAAGCCGCTTCTGGCAAACTAGAGCGGTGCATGGAAACGCCGTTTACCTTCCTGCCAGAGCGGTACCTATTTATCTACTTGCACTTTGACGTGCTTTCAAACTGCTAGGTTGGCAGGAGCTGGAACCGAGCAACGGGAGCTCGCACCATCGCAGGGATTCGAACTGACGACCTTCTGATTGGCAACCCCTAGGCTCTGTGGTTTAACCCACAGCGCCATACTACCAGGGAGTAAAAGCTGAATCCTATACATGCTGAAAAACAAGTGAGCCCTGCAATGTGTGCATATACTGTAGATTTGCAGCCTGAGCCACGCTTGAGTACAGAAGGGGTATGCTTCTGTTCAGTTCAACTGTTTTTAAATAGTTGCCTCCCGTAGTACACAACAGGATATTTAAGTGGAAAGTGACACTTAAGAGATGGATGGAGAACTGCACTGGAAAATTCAGGGAAGTGTGAATTGTGAAGAATGGCTGTTTCGATTCACGTGATGTTTTGGAAAGTGCAGATTATTGGTAACTTTGCCTTTAAATCCAAACTGTATCCAATTTCTTTTCTACCCCTATTAGTAAGTCAAAAGGGGCTTCTTTCTCAGTAAATACATAGATAGGATGGTATTGCATGAATGGTTTCCCCTTCTCTCTCTATGTATATATGCCTTTTGGGTGGTGGTTGTTGTTGTTGTTGTTGTTATTGTTGTTTTGCATGTGTATGTCTTCCATACAGATGCACCTGGCCAGGGGACGATGGAAGCATGTGTTTCAAAAGTGGTGCTTGCTTGCACATTCAGTTTGAAGTGGACATCAATTTGAAATGCCACTGAGACAAGCTGTGTGCTAGTTTGCTTGCTCAGGGTAGCCATATCCCTGCAAATGATGGCAGGGAGTGAGGAGTGCCTGCTGGGCAGTCTTAGTTGATGCTGAGTGGAGGGAGGCGGCTAGCCTGATGCCACCAGCCTAGTGCTATCACTGTACTTTTAGCTTGCCTGCTGGAGTCTGAATTTGGAAGAAGAGCGGTGTCAGTAGAACTTATCTGCCAGTCCAGGCAAAAAAGGAGGAAGCAGATAAGCCAAGGCCTACATCACCCCCACCCTCGGGTGTGCACAGATGTGAAAGTACGGTAAGTATTACCCAACATTGCACTGTTACTTAATTTTGGTTCTCTGTACATGTTTATTTTATTCAGGGGGTGTCCTCTTTTTGTTTTTAATACATGTGATCCACCCATCCATTTTACCATATCAGATTGCATGTGTGTCTTAAAACAGGCCTGCATAAATTTGTAAAGGACAAAGCAAACCAGACACAGCTCACCATCTACACAGTATGCCTCAGGCACTTTAAAAAAAGAAGAAGTCATCTGTTTTGCTGCCTTTCTGCAAAAAGGAAATATGTTGAATCCGCCTCTCTCCACCCACCCATCCACCCCAGTTTTCTGGAACCATTAGTTCCTTGCAACATGGAAGATGCCCCAAAGCTGCTCCCCTTCGCCCATCCTTAGCAGCAAGGCAGGGAATGCAGGAGGGGAGACAAAGCCAGGCGGAAGGGTCCAGCCAGCCTAGGGTTTGCTCCTCTGCTTGGCAACAGCCAAAAGCAGTGAGGAGAGTCCAAGGCTCCAGGAATCCTGCACAGCTCTTGGGTCTCAAGCTCATGGAAATTCAGAGAACAAAACAAGTACAACCAAATCCACCAAACAGCATGTTTTAGCAAGAAAGTGATCCTTTTGGATCACAAAAGATGCTGTGTAAAAGGAATACAGTCCTTTGGATTATATAAGATGTTGTATAGAGCGCAAACAGTCATTTTATTTACAACGAAAGAAAAAAGGACTTGAGGCTTTGCTCAAACAAGGCATCATGCCATATTTGCCTATGCACCACAAGGTGGTGCTGTGATATCCACAAGCTAACATAGTTACCTTTCTTTGGTAGTTATGCTTGTGTTTTCAACAGAAATAGAAACCAGCTGTTTGTCCAGTGTTACTACATCATCTAGGCTAGAATATGTTCGTTGTTAAAGCTCTACGGTATTCAGAGCCATTGTGAGACAAAACAATAAACCTTTTTAAGAATTTCACTAGCCCTCTATGCTTTAGAGTAGTGGGTTTCAAATGGTCCAGACCCAAGACCCACCTCCCAACCTGCAACATGGCACCTACTTCCACATATTCATTTTTTATTTATATTTAATAGCACTAATAAGGCACATGATTAATCCTAAAATGGCAATTTACAGAGCAAGCTTAGTATTGCTACTATGTAGATGAAAACCAGTGGGGTTTTTTCCATACTTGCTCAAAATTTCAGTGAGACATCTGGACATGTTTGTTGTTCCAGATTTCATTCCAGTGAGGAGTGATATTAGAAAGGCCAACTCACATCTCATTCCATGCAGATAAACTGTTGTTTTTTGGATCATGATTCTTGAGAAGTCTGATCACAAGACAAGTGGTATACAAAATAGCAGCGGGTGGATGATTGTTTCATTTGCTAATTCTGGGTATGTATTCTTTAGTCACTGAAATCCAAAACTTTGGTAATGTTACTTGCTGAAATTTCCCTTTTAAGGTTGTGTCACAAGAGAGCTCAAGGAACTGTTCTTGTAACTCATATCTTGATTCCAGTGCCTCTGTGTCCACAGTGAATAATTGTACTCACTGTACATCCTCACACAGTTTTTTGGGGAAATAGGCACTGAACCAGTTAACTGCTCTACATATTACATAATTTCTCCTTTGATGGAAACAATTATTTACTTTTTGATCAGCCAGTCAACCACTCAAAAACCAGTCAAAAGTGGTAAAAGCCACCATGAGTTGTCAAATGAAGCACATGCTGATTATTTATTTCTGAAGAAAACCAGAACAGCCTTGTGAGCAATTGTCCTCCTGACAATCACCTCACTTTTATGCGTAACAAGAGTTTGGAGTGCAGAACCCACTCTTTTGCAGAGAACTTGTATGAAGAGTACTGCTTTTGATTAAATTAACAATTTTCTTAATTTTCACACATTTTTCTAGAATAGGGTCCACCTACTTGGAAGCTAGGGTTTCTCTGTGAAGAGAGTGGTTTATCAAAGTTGCATTTGAAGCAACTTTGTGAACAAGTCGGATCAGTCCATTCTTCCTGTCATAGATGGTGCAAAGTTTTCTTGCTCTTAAAAACTGGTTGCCTATTATTTGGGGATGGGGGGAATCAAGAGGCTTGTATTAAAAACTGGTATGCTCCCCCCCGCCCACCCCAATGCCTCAACGGACACTTCATTTGCTAGTGTCTTGCCACATTTTACCCACTGAAGTATTGGCATGCTACTTTTTTCAATATTAGTGAACTCATTTTCATTGGTCCATATCTCGGATCCTTTTAGTGGTTGTGACCTCTCTTTTCACTTCAGTCATGTTGAGCAAGTGGACAAGTCATCATCACCCTTATGTTTGCGTTTTCTTACCAGAAAAGCATCCTGGTAGCATCTCCCTCACCATCTGTTTCTTCTCCCACTTTCTCTTTCTGGTGTGTTCCCTCCCTTTTGTTTTCACAACAACCCTGTGAGGTAGGCAAGACTGAGAGTTCAATAACTGGTTTAAGGTTACTCTGAGCTTTATGGCTGAGTGGATTCACACCTGGGTCTCCTTCTAGCCTTGACACTCAAACCGCTGCAACTCTGTTGGGATTTCTGCTAACACACAGGAAACCAAAACTGTTCACCAACCTGGGGCTCTCAGAGCCAAGTCAGTAACGTGTGCCCAGTTCCTTGTGGCACAATGGACCAGTGCATCTGGCTGTTAACTAGAAGGTTGGGGGCTCGTGCCCACCCAGGGATGGTTGTGGGTAGGATTCCTGCACTTCAGGGGGTTGGACTAGATGACCCTTGGAACCCCTTCCAACTTTATGATTCTATGTGCTGTAAAAGCCCAATCCCAACATGGGTCACATCTCCAACACACACTGAGAGCACACGTGTAACAATTAACAGTCTCACTGTCCCCTAAAGAATCCTGGGAACTGTAGTCTGTTAAGGGTGCTGATCTCTCAGAGCTACAATTCCCAGTCTTGTGGTATTGAATGGATCACATAGTACAGCCACTCCTTTTTTATATAATCATTTTTATTAATTTTTCTGTTTTACAATTTCAAATAAGCATTTTACAAACTTTAAAATATCCAATGACTTCCCTTCTTCTCTTTCCATTGTTCATTTTACATATCATACATCCCTGCATATTTACTATAACCATTCAAAGCAATTTTCCACTTTTATATCCATCAAAAATTATTTACTCTGTTAAATGTGTCTTAATGCTGCCAGAATTTCCAGCTGTATGCAGTTATTTTCCATATATCCAATAAATGTTTTCCAATCTTCTTTAAATGCATGTTCTTATTCTATATGTTAAATCTGCAAGTTGTGCATATTCTGTCAACATAAGTTGCCAACCGTCTTTAGTTGGGACCTTGCTCACTTTCCATTTTGGGGCTAACAAAACAAGGGCTGCAGTTGTTGCATACATAAATAGCCTTTTCTGGCACCTGAGAATTTCAATCTGGGTTATCCCCAGTGCTTCCCCCCCCCCCCGGGGGGTACGCCGGGGTATGCATACCCCTCAACATTTTGTGAATCTGACAGGCGAATTTAATACTGACTCCAACAAGAGCTTCATTGCATTTAAACACTGTAGCCAACTTAATATTTATAAAATTGGTTGGCCCTCCATTGAGTTTGTTTAAGCCTTCAGTGTGTGTAAATTCATGGTTTTTGAAAGGACGACATCTGGCGACCGACACCGACAGCAAGCAGAGGAATCGGGAAGATGTTAGTGTACACAACCTCGTGCCAATACTGTGAGCTGTCAGCTGTGTAATATGAGGTAATGCGTGTTCTTTGTACTTTTGTCCGTTTACTGTATTTATTTTCCCCGATTTGAACTATAAAGTGGTGATTTTCTTGAGTCAAAATGAGAGTACAGTGGTACCTCAGGTTACATAGGCTTCAGGTTACAGACTCCGCTAACCCAGAAATAGTACCTCGGGTTAAGAACTTTGCTTCAGGATGAGAACAGTAATCATGCTCCGGCGGTGCAGCGGGAGGTCCCATTAGCTAAAGTGGTGCTTCAGGTTAAGAACAGTTTCAGGTTAAGTACGGACCTCCGGAACGAATTAAGTACGTAACCAGAGGTACCACTGTACCCCTAAACATTTCCTTTTTTTAGAAAAAAAGCACTGGTTATCCCGCATACTACAGCCACTCCTGGACACTTGAGAAGTAGCTCAGTGGCAGAACATCTCTGCTCTACCTGCAGAAGGTCTCGGCTTCGGTCCTTGGCATCTCTAGGCAGGGCTGGCTGGGAAGCTTCCCTTCTCTGATGCCCGGATGAGCCGCTGCCGGCCAGAGCTGGCAATATTAGCCTGGATGGTCTCCCGGGGAGCTCCCGGGGAGTTCAAAGGGACTCGCCTCCTCGTAAATGTGCTCATGCCCGCATGAGTCACCACCACGGGAGGAGCACCAGCTCCTCCGCGCGGACGCCAGAGGAAGAGGAAGACCATAAAGGCGTAGAGGCGGGTTGCCCTTGACGCTCGGCGGCGCCATTACCGACTCCAGCCCGCGCTCCCTCAGCCTCGCCCGCTGCCTCTGCCAGCCCCCGACCACCGGCGCCCAGGCCTCGGCTGGGTGGGCGGAGGAAGAGACACGGGTGGGCATTCTCTCCCTCTCCGCGCGCTCTGATTGGACGGCGTACGTGGCCTGAGAGGGACAAGCGAGGCTTGGGGTTGGCTGTGCCGCGCGCCCCCTTTTGCCGCTGAGGGGAAGAAGCCTGCATTGCAACTCCTTCGTCCCTCGGCTTTCCGGTGAGTGGCTTCGCTTCCCAAGCGCACAAGGGGCGAGGAGAGATGCTGGGGCATCGCCTGAAGGGAGGCCGGGTGGGAGAGTCAACAGGGCGCCTCTTGTGCATGGTGCTCCGCGGCCATTGAAGTCCGCAGGAACTGAGGAATCCCTTCCCTGGGGCTATAAGCAAAGGTGGGGCGCCAAGACCTGGAGGGGAACGGAAAGTGGCCTGGAGCCTAGCGACTCGCGCGGGGACGCTCCGGCCCGTCGTGGAGGCGAGAGGAGCCTCCTGTGCGGTGCTGAAGGGCGCCCGTGGCCTGCACGAAGGGACGCCTGTTGCTGGACCCTTGCTCGGGTTGGGGGGATAGTTGCCAGCTAAAGCTTTCGGGACGGGGGGTTGGCAGGCCCTCCAAGTGTCCCTCTTGCCCAGGGACAGTCCCGGGTTGGCAGAAGCCCTCCCCGTTTCTGATTGGACCCCAGAATGTCCGGCTTTCCCCTAGGAAGTCCCTGTTTTCATCGGAGAAATGCTGGAGGGTACGGGGTGGGGAATGGCGATATGGACCAGAAGGGAATTGGCAACAGCAAATAAGGCAACACCTAGAAAGAGGGAAAGTGGCAATGGCAGGCTGTCCCTTCACAGCACCCCTGCCCTCCATTGGTGCTTCTGCATTGCAGGGGGTTGGACTAGATGATCCTCAGGGTCCCTTCCAACTCTACAATTCTCCCATGCTGGTGGAATGAACTAGCTTCTTTAACGCTACAGGTCTTCCTCCCCCCCGCCATGCCTTGCCCTCAAGTGTGTGTCTTTTTGTTCTTTATATGCTGCATAACGGGCTGAAATGGATCACAAATGAATTACTGGCATGGGGATGGACCTAACTAAGTGGTTGTTTTACTTGGGGTGGTAGGAACTTAATTTTGCTGCTCCCATTTGGCGTCTCCCTCCTATGAAACCTTTCAGTCTTTTACTCAAGAATGGGTTGCACTTTAGATTAGGACCCTTTAGCTCTTGCAGTTTTAAGTGGTGAGATGGTGCTTTAAAAAGATTAGCTTTCCCCCAGTCTTCTAGCTGCATATTTTGGGCGTGAAATAGGGGTACTGATATACAGCACAGGACACTTGTTCATTCTAATCTGCAACCTGAAATCCGTTTAAATTTATGTTCAGTTTTCTTTTCTTTCTGTCTAGATGGCCAGCTAAAAAGGGAAAGCAGTAGAAATCAAGAGTCTTGTGGCATTTCAGAAAGCTTCCACAGATTTATTGTGGCAGAAGCTTCTGTGGCAAGGGTAGCAGATATGATGCGCTCCAGACGTCATAAGGACTACCACTCCCATCAGCCCCAGCCAGCATGGCCAGTGGCCCAGCATGATGGGAGTTGTAGTTCAACAACTTCTGTTGTTGGCCACCCCCATTCTGTGGACTAGAAGCTACTTCATCAGATGCAGCAGATCTTTTTCAAGTTTTGAGAGTTGTGAGAGTTGAAAGAAGTGGGGGTTTTCTCCGGTTTGCAATGATAAGAGACACCTGTGTCTGATGAAATTGCCTCTGCTGAACAACTCTGAAAACTGTTGCTATACTGATAATTCCTTTTTTTAAAGGTCTAAACAAACACGTAAGAAAATGATGCACTCCTAAGAGCCCCGATCCATCAGCTGAAGACCTTAGTTCAGTGGTAGAGCACAAGCTTTGCATGCAAAAATCTTATATTCAGTCCTGGCCATCCGCAGGTAGGACCAGCGTGGGGAAAGCCCTGCCTGAAATGCTGGAGAGCCACTAGTCAGTATAGACTAGGGTTAGCCAATGTAGTGTCCTCCAGATAATGTAGGACTACAATTCCCATTTGCCCCAGCCAACATGACCAATGGTCAGGAATGATGGGAGTTGTTGTCCAACAACATCTGGAGGTCACCAAATTGGCTACCCCTGGTGTGTGCAGTAATAAGCTGGATTGACCAATGATCTGGTTTCGTAAAAGGTAGCTTGACAGGTTTCAATTATCTATGGGATATACAACTTGGGAGAAACAAAAGAAGCTCTAATTTTGTAATCAGAGAATACTTCATGGTCCCAACTCTGGGTGCTGTAGAAAACTGGGTAGACCAACACACAGTACCTCTCTTCTCTGCAGTGTTAGAAACTAAGAAAGCTAGGAGCTAAATGACACCTTAAACTTAGGTTATGGACGCCACAATGGAGTGTCTAGGCACACTTTTTTACAACAAGAATACAAACCTGAAAATGAATGAACTGCAGGTAAAATCTTACGTTCATTTTTCACATGGTCTAGTTCTTCCCCTGCACACCACCTTAATATTCTTAAGAAGGCCCCTTCTCCTGGCTAAAGAGAGTGACTGGAAGTGGGGAGGCAGAAAAAGTGGCAGTACTGCAGTGGCAGTACTGCACAGTGGCACAGTACTGTGCCCAGAGCTCAGAAACTGTTCACATTAATGAAATTCACTGTTGCAAAATTCACCTAGAGCAATGGGAGTTTCAAACACTGCTGCTCTGACTTCCCAGTGTAATCCCTGCAGCTGTGCAGAATGTAGTGGAGATCCTAACCCATTTTAGTGACTGTGAATATGACGGTTATTCCAGGGCAATTAGAGAGAGAGAGAAAGTGCTATGCTGGAATTGACAACTTGTTAACCAGGTCCTTCATGTATAAGAGCAGCTTCATCTGCAGACATTAGCCAGTGCTGATTCTCACCTTCATGCCCAGAAATACTTCGCCTGCTGGTTTCTACAGATCACAGCAGTTGTTAAACTTTCACAGTTAAAAGGCACAAGGGCAGGCCAGACTGGTTATTCTCTGGTTAGCTGATAACTTTAGCATGTACAGGCCTGTGTACTCCCCAACCTTGTGATTGTTTCCTGTGTTGATTTGTCATGTTTTTGCTACTGGTTTTTAAGCCTCTCCAGGTTCTTTTGGGATTTCTCTTTCAAAGTGGTTTCCTCAGTGAGCATTGCTAAGGTAGTTAGGGTTGTGGGAAAATACGTATTTTCCTACTTCTTAGGAGACTTCTGCTTGTCAGATGCTGTCTGTGAAAGGAGAAATAAATCTTTCATGGCAACGTTAGCACCACTAGCAAGTAACACTTCTTTAACTTCTTCTTTTAGAACAGTTGTGTGTTTCTTAATACCTGCTGCTTCCATGTTTCTGTTCTCTGAAAGAGAGATGAGCAACAACATGTTGTTGCAAGGAGTGCTCCTGTCCAGTGTTCCAGATAGCCATTCCAGCCTCCCCCCCCCCCGCGCACTCAACAAATTGTTCCATTTTCCCCTGTAGGCTCTCCCCCCTCCCAAAATATTTTTTGTACTTCTACAGACCTGGAATATTGCCATGTCTTTTGTGCCATTTGGTTAAACCAGGATCCACCCACTGATGGGAAAAGAAAATGGGAAGGAAGAGACAGAAATAGGGGAAGTTTTCCTTTTTCAGTGATACATTTAAACCAGTGTTGGTTTATCTTTTTGTAAACGGCTTTGAGGATTTTTTTTTTTTTTTTACACAACCAATTACCAGTGAATCAATTACCAGTGGTGGCTAATGCCCCTTGGAACCAGTAGGGTGGAAGGCAGGGAGGTGAACAGCAGGTGGCCAATGACAGGCGGAGACAACTCTTACCCCACCCCCTCCCAATACTCCTCTTTGCTGAGTTCTGTAAGACTGAGACTGAAGAATAGGAGGCTGACAACCAGTATAACTCCCTGGACTGGCTGTAGGATGGGGGTAGCTTGACCAGTGTAATCCATGCATCGGTAACATTTGTAAGCTTGAGGCTGCATTAGTGAAACCTGCTCTGTGTTGGGTGGCCCTTGGGTTTGGGACGTCTACAGGTAACTCCTCATTTGCTTCTTCAGTGCCTTGAAAGCTGAAAGCCTTTCCCAAGAGACAATTCGGCTCAAAAGCTGACTAGGTTTTAAAAACACTGACAGAGGTGTTTTTAAAAATCTGTGATAAAGAAGGGTACTGATTTACTGGCCTTGCAATTGCATCTTTGATCAGAAGGTGAAGATTTCTTGGCATGGATGTAAACTGAGGGGGAAAGTTCTCACTCTCTGTGGTGCTGCTGAAGGCAGGGTTAGCAAAAATAAAGGAAAGGAAAGAAAACTTTGTAGTTTAATGTGATTAATGTTAATATACCAATGACTCTCTTGGTGCCTTGACTTTTATGTTATCTTTCCCCTTGGCCTTTTAGCTAAAACAGGCTTTGTTTAGCTGATCATGGAGCAGTTTCAGGAAAGCGTGATTGCAATGAACTTTATCTTCTCTCAGTCATGTGCTGTTAAAAAGCATGTGGGGAAACTGCAGAACAAGGACAGCCATAGTCACAGATCAAAGGCCAAACTCAATCATGTTTTGCATGTCATATTGGGTGGCGCATGTCTCCCTGTCTTTTATCTGAAAGATAAGACTCTCCCCTTGGACAGAGAATGAGAACTGCAACAAGATTACTATTATTTTTAAATTCAGTATTTGCAACTTTTGAAATTCATCCCTCTCTTGTTGATGATTTAAATTATCAAGGAAATAACTTTTTAAATAATGAGTTTATATAATGCCCTTGTAGAAATGCCATATACATATTCTGATATATGCCAGAAGAGGTTTGGCTATAGGTGATAATGGCTTCATATTCTGGCTTGTTTTGAAGTCATTATCTATAGTTTCCAGGCTTTCACATAATGGAAATCTCTTGCTAAATGCTGGCTCTTGGCATGCTTTATTGCTTGTTTAGAGGGCACAGCAAAACAACAGGGAGATGGTCCTACATGTGAGTGCACACACACTGGTTTATTATGTCAGGGTTTCTGGCACAGCATTATGTGTGGGCATGGCTGATATGAAAGGGAGCAAGGGATGGTCTTTTGATTTAAGACAAAGTGTTTTAAGCTGACACAAGATTACTATCATGTGGACAACTGGTGGCCTCCACAGGTCACTGGAAAATTTCAGAAGCAGATCTGCCACACCAAATGATTGAATGGTGACTGCTCCTTTTTCTGGTTGCACATGTCAAGTTGATTCAGCCTTTTCAATAGCTGTCACAGTTCAAATGATCCATTTGGCATGCCAACCAAACAGGAATATTCAAAGTGTCCTTTTTCAACACCCAAATACAGTTGACCAGTATTATCTTAAAAGAATAACAATCCGTGTGTAACCACCCGATGAGATTTGGACAAGATACTTGTTAATTCATGACTTGTACACTTAACCATTACACTGAGACAGCACACCACATATAAAGTTTTGTTAAGCCAAGGCTGCAAACCTGGACCCGCTTCTTGTAAAGTAAATCACATGGAACTGCCTTCTGGGTATATGTGCATGGAATTATGCTGGATCTTGAGCAAGGCCAAAACCAATTATCTCTAATACAGAGGTGTTTTCCTTCTAGGAAAGTACTGTTCATTCTTAAAAACTGTTGGTCTTACTCTTCAAAAGCTGCTTTATGTACCGTTTCTTTCTGTGAAACGTGTGCGCACATCCTTGACTGTTCTCTTTGTGGATTTCACTGTAAAAGTATTAATTTTTTCCCTCAAGTGAATTTTTATTGTTTTCCTTACATATTCTTTCCCAACAAATTGTAATAGCACCATACATTCCCTTTGACTCTGCCGAGTCGCGACCCCCCTCCCTCCCCACAACTGGTATATTTATCCTCTTTCCATCACGCACATCATTCTCATATTAGTACTATTATACATTGGAGGTATTATGTCAATCCTGCTAGTGTCTTGACCTCTTTACAATTCTTCTTTAAATATTCAATAAATTTACTCCAGTTATTTTGGTATCTTTGATCTCCCTGGTCCCGGATCCTCCCTGACAGTTTGGCAAGTTCTGCATATTCTGTCAACTTCGCCTGCCACTCCTGAATAGTTGGTATATCTTGTACTTTCCATCTTTGGGCCAGAAGGGTCCTTGCGGCAGCTGTAGCATACATGAAGAAATTTTGATCTTCTATTTTAATTTCTGTTCCTATTAAGCCTAATAGACACGCTTCTGGTCTTTTGGGGAAAGTATATCTAATTTTTTTTTTTGAGTTCATTATAAATTGATTCCCAAATTTTTTTTACCTTATCGCAGGTCCACCACATATGGAAATAGTCCCCATCTGCCTTTTTACATTTCCAACATTTTCTTTCTTTTTTCCTATACATTTTAGCTAATTTTACTGGCGTCAAATGCCATCTATACATCATTTTTAGCAAGTTTTCCTTTAAAGCCATGCATCCTGTAAATCTCGAACCCTCCTTCCATAATCTTTTCCACGCATCCAATTCAATGTTATGCCCAATATCAATTGCCCATTTTATCATTGATTCCTTTACTTCTTCGTCTTTTGTATACCATTCTAGCAATAAACTATACATTCTTGATAAAAGTTTATCTTTACAGTCTATTAACTCGATATGGAATTTTGATTTTTTATCTTCGAACCCATTTCTCTTTTTATCTTCCTTTAATAAGTCACTGATCTGGTGGTATTGCAGCCACCCTGTTAACATCTTTTCAATTTGGTCATATGGTTTGAGCTTTATCCCTTGGTCTGTTTTCCTAGTAATATCCTCATATGTTACTCTTTCCCCTTCCATGTTTACTTTTTTTGTTGTCAACACCTCAATTGGTGATATCCACCACGGTGTCTTTCTTTCCAGGAGGTTTTTATTCCGATCCCATACTTCATATAAAGATTTCCTAATCACATGGTTTAGAAAACCTTTATGTACCTTTACTTTGTTGTACCATAGGTACGAATGCCAACCGTATCTATTGTCGTGGCCCTCTAGATCTAATAGGTCAGTGTTTTCTAAAGTCAGCCAATCTTTTAACCATACCAAGCACGAAGCTTCATAATATAAAGTCAGGTCTGGTAAATCAAAACCTCCTCTCTCTTTCTTATCTACTAGTATCTTCATTTTTATCCTTGGCCTTTTCCCCTGCCAGACAAATTTTGCTAAATTTTTTCCCCAATCCTTAAATTGTCTTATCCCTTTTACCACTGGTATTGCTTGAAATAGAAATAACAATCTAGGTAGTATATTCATTTTTATCACAGAGATTCTGCCTAATAATGACAATTTTAGTCTGCTCCATATATCCATATCTTTCTTAATTTCTTTCCATACCACCTCATAGTTGTCCTTGTACAGGTTTATATTTTTTGTTGTCATCCAAATTCCTAAATATTTTATTTTTTTAGCTATCGCGATTCCTGAGTCTACTTGTAATTCTTCCATCTCTTCTTTCTTCAGATTTTTTGCTAGCATTTTCGTCTTGTTTTTGTTGAGTTTAAACCCTGATACCTTCCCAAATTCTTCCATTCTTTTTATTGCCTCTTTCACACTTTGTCTTGGTTCTTCCAACGTTAAGACTAGATCATCTGCGAAGGCTCTTAATTTAAATTCTTTTCGTCCCACCTTAATGCCTCTGACTTCTGATGATTCTCTTAGCTTCTTGTTCAAGACCTCTAGGACTGTAATAAATAGCAAGGGAGACAAAGGACATCCCTGCCTAGTACCTTTAGTTATCTCAAAGTTATCTGATATGTTGTTATTAATTATTAACTTTGCTTTTTGGTCCGAATAGATCGTGTCAATACCTCTCAAAAATTTTCCACCAATTCCTACTTTTCACCAATGCCAAGAAACATTATCGAACGCTTTTTCCGCGTCTATAAACATTAGTACTGCCTGTTTCTCATTTCTGACTTCAAGGTATTCAATTATATTTATCAGGTTTCTTACGTTGTCCCTTAGTTGCCTCCCCGGCAGAAAGCCTGTTTGGTCCTTGTGTATCACCTTATTTAACACCATTTTTAGTCTATTCGCTAGTATATCCGCAAATACCTTATAGTTGTTATTCAATAACGAAATTGGTCTGAAATTTTTTACATCTAATATATCCACCTCTTTCTTTGGGATCAGTGTAATATAGGCTTCTTTCCAGGTGTTTGGCATCCTTCCTTCTCTTAAGACTTTATTCATTACTTCACTTAGAACAGGTGTCAGGTATTGCGATAGTGTTTTATAATACTTTGCTGAGATACCGTCCGGTCCTGGGGCCTTCCCTATTTTCATTCTTTTTATTGCCTTCATGACCTCTTGTTCTGTTATCTCCTGGTTAAGCATTTCATAAGAAGTCTGAGGCTTCACGGTGTGGGTTTAAAGTTGCTCCCCCTTTGTGCCCGCAGCTCAATCCCATCCCTGAGTCTATTATTAAGACCCAGGGAGCAAGAGAGCACCTCTGGGCACCGCTGGGTACCAGCGCCCCTCAGGATCTCTTCCCGAGGTTCCGAGGTCTGCGTAGCCTTCGCGAAACCTCTCAAATAGCCCCCACACCGCTCGAGACCCCCCGGAGGGTTATCTCGCACTTCTTATCATGTCTGCAGTTCCGCCGGAAGCCCTGTAAAAGTATTAATTTAGGTTTGTGGAAAAGTAGTCTTACATATGTGTACTGAAAGATGAATTTGTTTTCATGCAGATCAAGGATGTGGCTCCTCATAGTCGTGGCGAGTTTGATCCAAGGACTTGCAACTTCAGAAAACTTTGTGAGAAGACGAAATGTTGACCCTGAAGCTACTATGAATATTGTAAGCCCTTTTTATCTTTCTGTGTCGTATCTATGATAGTTAAAAGCATCAGTGGCAATTGGTGCTCCGCTTGATATTCCTGAAGTTGCATTTTCACTGAAAGTTGGGATTACATGAAGCATGAAAATATTCACTTACCATTATTATTTTTTAGGAGCATAACCTTCCCTTCCGATACAATTACATTGCTCAGGGTGACTTACAGCCATCAAAGCAAAACAAACAAACAAACAAACAAAAAACAACAATCCCATAAAAGATATAAAGTGGCAGCGACAGACTTGGCGGATAGCAGAACTATATGCCCACATTCCAAAATGTTTCTGTCCAGCAAGTCTTGCTCAACACTCTCGTGACCCACTAACACGGGGATGGTTGGACTTATTGTTGAAACATGCCTTCTATTTGCTACAACAGTAAGCTTCTTTCAATCCTCTCCCCCCCCCTTCTCTCTCTCTCTCTCTCTCTCTCTCTCTCTCTCGTGTGGAGAGAGAGTGGAATCCTGCAAATTTAAGGGAAGGTCTCTGAGTGTGCATATGAGGGCACGACACTGAAAAACCTTGTGCTAAACTATTTGTTAGGTGTTAAATTTCCCTTGATAATTATTCTTGGGAAAACTGGAGGCTGGCTCAATGAGTCTGTTGCTCAAGTACCTAATCGGATAGCTCTAGAAAGCTGAATTGCCTCAGGGATACTGTTCGGTTTTGCATTAAAGGCGGTCACCAAACAGACTGCTGAGTTGTCCACAGCAATAACTTATTAGACTTCTTTGGAACTGACAAATAAACTGATTGTGTGGGACAGTCCTCCTCCCTTTTCTAACTTTGCACCTTTTTGCTCACTCCAGGTACTGACTGTCTTCTGTGGAAGACAATTGTCCAGGCCTTTTTACAGCCATTTGCTAACATTTCCAACTGAATGCTGCCCATTCTTTCCTTTCCCTCCCAGAGCGAAATTATTTCCTTCAGAGGATATCCCAGTGAGGAATATGAAGTGGTGACAGATGATGGGTATATCCTGAGTATTAACAGAATCCCTCATGGGAAAATAAATCAGTGGAACAAGGGTGAGTGTGTGTTTTGAGGTAATATATTGTGTGTACACGTAAATGCAAATGTCCCACATTATGCAGAGATATAGATATAGATACAGAGAAAGAAATGAAGGCTTCTTGCTTTGGAGAAATTTGGCTTACATCAGGTTTCACCAGTGCGAAAATAGATAATTTGTTTGATAATGTAGGGTTCTTATAGATCTATCAATAACAGATTCTTTGTTCAGCGAAACTAACAGTTAAAAAGCAGTTATATATACATACACACATTGCTTATTGAGCTCACTCCTACAAAATGAATCTGTCCCCCTCCCCCGCAACCCTTTTACCATCTAAGAATTGGGGCATGAGCATAGAAGGGAAAGCTGGTAGGTATTATTATTTAGCTTTTTACCGTTGTTGTTTTTTAAAAAAATAACAGTGTATTTTCAGTCTTTTTCATCTTCAGGGTTTTCCCCTCCCACAAAGGCAGTAGCATAATCTGGGCCACAGAGAATTTGCAAGACATTAAGATGAATATTACCACACTTGGAGTTCATCCAAAACATGGCACCATTCTGCCCTCCACTGGGACCAGTTTTGCTTGCATGGCTTCATTACATATGCCCCAAGGGCATGGGAGAGCACAGCACTTTCTCTCTTCATGTGGGGAAGTGAACATTCCCTGCTTCTTTTCCCAAAGGCATTAGATGTGGAAACATTGTACTCGACTGAGCAGGACTGAGCTAAAGCTACTCCACCCACCCACCCTCAGAAGTTGGATATGAGAAGGTTTTGGTTCAAAGGAGCACAGGAAGCCTTGCCATGTGAGTGAGGACATAGGCCAGGCACAAGCTCTTGCCTGTCTTCCACCCCCAGTTCAAATTCCTTGATTTGCCCATAGGGTGCTGGCAGGTCTCTTCCCAAGCAGTGAAAGTTTGTTGGCTCTCTTCTCCATTCTTGGAGATGTAGGATAGATAGTTTATGTTGATAATGACTGGGCAGCCTGCTATTCTTTTTATTATTATCCATTTTGCTTTCTTGGTTGTCTCTTGCTATCCAATGTAGCAAAATAACATGGTGGTCTCCTTTTTCCTATAAAAGTGATGGTTGCCAGCCAAGGTGTCCTCTTCTGCTTTTGTATTTTGTGGTCTCACCAGTTGCTCAGCAATGTGGGAGGAAGTGCACACAATTGCCCAACATGTTCTTGTTCTTTTTTTCTTTTAAGATTTCAAAAAAATAGGCCATACTAATAGATGAAGTCAAGGATATTTTAATCCTTTCCTGAGCTATTAAAAGAAGTGTGGAAGTGTGGTGGCAGGCAGAAAGGGAAGCTAGAATAACTAGTTCATAGTCCATGTTGACATCAGCTGTTTTCAGTCCTGATGTAGCTGTGAGCTGCGCACCACCTTGACACAAGTGACAGGGAAGTGCATGTGATCTTTTTGGGGGCGGCGGGGGTGGATCTCTTTAGTTGCAAAAGATTCTTTTTGCAGTTGTCACAGATGCACTTGCTTCAGCCATTCACAGAGATTCACTACTACCTCTTCTTTCAAAAAGGGTGGAGATGGTAGCACATCCAGCTCAGTGTCCCAACGCCTTTGCCTCTCTTGTCTGCAGCTTTTTCCTTGAGTAAAAGGACTTCGCTCCAAGGTTTGGGGCTAGGACAGATAAAATAAGAGCTGTATTGAATTGAGCAAAGGTTGGATATTTAAAAAATGTGTTTGCTCTGCTTTCCACATTGCATTCAGAAGTGATTGGGTGGTATGCCACCAAGTTTTACTCAGAGTAGACCTGTTGTTGACCTAGTCATCCTCATTAATTTCGGTGAGCAAAACTTGGTTGACTGTCCCCCCTATTCATTCCAGACTAAAAGACGCCACTTGTGGAATTGCTGGCTATGCATTCTCTTTGCCCCATGTTTATAGCAGGCATGGAATGATCACATGACTGGCATTAAAAATTTCGATGGATCTCATTCTTGTTGGAAGCAGACACTGAAGCAGTAACTTTGCTTAAAACATTTCACTTTCAGGTCCCAAGCCTTCAGTGTTTCTGCAGCACGGCTTGCTTGCTGATGGCAGTAACTGGGTGACAAATCTGGACTACAACAGCCTGGGCTTTATGCTGGCTGATGCTGGGTATGATGTTTGGCTGGGAAACAGCAGAGGTAACACTTGGTCCAGAAAACACATACACTATACAGCAGACCAAGAAGAATTCTGGATGTTCAGGTAGGGTGAAATATCCAAACTTACTTGCATGTCGCTGGTTCCTGGTTTTGCCCTTTAGACTCATGCTCTTCATATTGGTAGTTAAATAAACAATCAAACTTGCACATATTGCACATATGGGGAATTGTGTTTGGTTGAAATGCACAATTGGGATAACCTCAGCATCAAAGGATGAAACCGGTTGGCAATTCATTTTGGGGCCCAATTCGGGGTGCTCACATTAGTGTTTAAAGTTCTAAACGACTTAGGACCAAAATATCTATAGACACTAGCATCTGCAGCAAGGGCTGATGAACTACAACTTCCTGATTCCTACCTTTTCTTAATTTTTTAAAAAAGAGTTAACTCTTTCTAGCATTTGGAAAATCTGTAGTATGTTGCAAATTGTACAGGTGCAATTATTCTTTTTTTTAAAATGAGAAACTAGCCTGCTCCCATTTCAGTGTTTTGAACCCCGCTGAAAATTTATCCTGGTGCCCATGCCTACAAACCCTCTATGGGAGAACGGAACCTCTTGGTAGTTCTGTCACCCTCAGAGCTTCAGAAAGTGACCACCTGGGAGAGGGCATTCTGTGTGGCAGCCCCTAAGTTTTGGAGTTCCCTCCTCATAGAGGTGCACTTAATGTATCTTTTGTTATGTGCTGAAGAGTCATCTCTTTCCTCTGGCCCTTGACACCAGAGGTGTATAATTTAGGACCCACCCTCTTTTCTTTTATTGTAAAGTCTTTTAACTGTTCTTAATACTGCATTTTAAAATTGTTGCAGCCCACCCTGATACCTCAGGGTGAAGCGCAGGTAAGGCATTCAATATATAATGATGGTGGTGAAAAGCGTCTTTAGTGGTGTTAATAGACTTTGGGTGGAATTAGATTTGATGTGGGAGAACATCCTCAGACATGGGCATGAGAGGAAGCAGAGCCCTCCGCTGCCCACTGCATAAATTCTGTTCCTCCCAAATTGACATTTTAAATAGTTGTTTGTTCCATTATTTCCAGTATTTATCACACTGGGAGAAACATGGCTTTTTCATCTCCCTTTTCCAGCAGCATTTGTCTTCCAGTCTGTCGATGTTGCATTTGTAAACCGCCCTGATGATTTATAAGAACTTTGGTGGAAGTTTGGTTTGCCTTGTTTGGTTTTCCAGGTGCTGCTATCTGACATCTAGAGACAGCTTGCCTGTCAAAACTGTCACATTTTGGTAGCCACATGGTTGCTGTGAACTAGGTAGTGGCCTTTCTTCATGTGCAGTGAATTGCTCATAATGTGGCATTGACCATTTCTGAACAGCGCCGGTGGAGATATCTAAGGAGGACGAGTAATGGCTTGATTAAAAAAAAGACTCTGCTTCACAAACGTTCAGAGAATTGGGGACTTGATGGGTCTGTGGTGAACTTTGATCTACCAAATCCAAGCCTGTTTCTTCGACTGCATTGTGCTGAGAACATTGCGTTTGAGACTAACAAAATGTGGGTCCCACTGCATATGCAAGTCTGTTAAACATAGGCTGTTTTTTTCCTTTCCTTTGCAGTTTTGATGAAATGGCTAGATATGACATTCCCGCTTCAATAGATTTTATCCTGAACAAAACCGGACAGGAGCAAATATTTTATGTTGGCCATTCCCAAGGCACCACAATGGGTAGGTTTTCAGGTTTCTTAAATGCACATTGACAATTCTAATAGCTACAGCTATTTCTTTGTACAGCTGCTATTCCAAATTACTTTTAGGAGGAAGCTTGTTCATAGTACCGCGACTACACATGGTGTCACTGGACACACATTGGAAATAAAAACAACCATTATTCAATTGTAACAGGAAGCTGCAGTCCAACAAACCCAGGAAGTATTGCATTAAGGCCCATGAGAGAAGGCAAGAAGGGAGTGTGTGGGCCGAACACCCATTCTCAGTCAGAAAAGTCACAGGGCAATAGTAGTAGTAAAAGGAGATTTACTCCTTCCCCTGTACCATCTGCTTTAAATTTGATCTGGAGAATTGGGTGAACCCAATGACAGTTTCAGGGGGCACACAAGGAGAGAACATTCTGTTGCACAAGGAAAAGTCCTTGCTGTAATGGAATATTTGCCTCAGTGCTATGTTGAATAGAACCTGCAGTTGAATAACCAACACAGTCATATCTTAACCTCACCACTGACTGTCACTTCATGTTTTGTTGATTCTTAAGTTTATTGATCAAGTGAATTTACAGTTACTACACTGTTGAGGATATATATGCAACCGTAAACGTTTTAAATTGGTCAAAAGCAAGAAAGGGTATTTTCTGTTTCAATGCCCAGGTTAAAAAACTCCATCCATAGATCCATAGAGGGGTGTGCTTGAGTCCCTCTGTTTTAACCTTCATGTGTGCTGCTAAGGCTTTTCTATTATGCCAGGTTTTCACTCTGATTTCATGTATCTTTCCCCCCCACTTTTAAATTTCGCCAATGCTGGTTGTATTAGAATTGTTTGCCACGATAGTAATTTCATAAGCCACTTTGAGTTTATTTATAAATAAAAGAAAGGTTCAGATTTCTTAATGCAAAGAACTTCCTTTTGACTTGAAGGTTCTGATTGTAAATGGTTCCACACAGGCCATAAAATACTTCATTGCTTTTGTGTTATGAGAGATCTGAGTTTAAAATTTTGATCTTGGGTTTTGTTTGAGAATGCCCAGCTAGCTATATTCATTTCTCTTCTCTCCTTTTCCATCCCACTACCCAGCGTTCATTGCATTTTCAACCATGCCACAGCTAGCAAAGAAGGTAAAGATGTTCTTTGGACTGGCGCCGGTAGCCACCATAAAGTTTTCAACCAGCCCGCTAGCCAAGATTGGAGTGTTTCCTGAACTAATGTTCAAGGTATGTGTAAAGGTAAAGGGACCCCTGACCATTAGGTCCAGTCACGGATGACTCTGGGGTTGCGGCGCTCATCTCGCTTTACTGGCCAAGGGAGCTGGCGTACAGCTTCTGGGTCATGTGGCCAGCATGACTAAGCCGCTTCTGGCGAACCAGAGCAGCGCACGGAAACACCATTTACCTTCCCACTGGAGCAGTACCTATTTATATACTTGCACTTTGACGTGCTTTCGAACTGCTAGGTTGGCAGGAGCAGGGACCGAGCAACGGGAGCTCACCCCATCGCAGGGATTCGAACCACCGACCTTCTGATCGGCAAGCCCCAGGCTCAGTGGTTTCGACCACAGCGCCACCCACATCCAAAGTATTTTGGACCAAATACTTGCTTGAACCACAGTCCGCAATTGTTGCTGGATGTAACTAAGTACTTGGGAGTGTGCTTTTTCGTTGGCTCTGTACATACTTGAAGAAAAGAAGGAACATACCGTTTAACAAAAGCCTAAATGAGTGGCTCGTTTCAAAAGTAAACACATCAGTTGACCCGAGACTGCTTGTAACGCTCTTCAGCACCTAAGCTGCTCAAACTAGTTGCTGCTGCCACTTGGCATCAGGGTGTTGCTGTAGGTACTGTTTCCTTCAGTGGGCTGTAATGACAATGTCTGTGTTGAGAATATAGTGCAGGATCCTTTTGCCTATGCGTGTGGGATTTGAATGGGTTCTCTATCCTAAGTGACTGAGTAGAAGATTCTCATAATACTTTTTGTCATGCTTTGTTGCTGCTTGATACGATTAGCAGTATCCGCAGGAAACAGACGATTGACTTAACCTAGTGACCTATATACTAATGTTTTTGTTTTGGCAGGCAATGTTTGGGACTAAGCAGTTTCTCCCTCAGAACAAAATTATGAGCTGGCTTGCTACTCACTTATGCGACCATTTCGTATTTGATTATCTTTGTGGCAATGTTTTCTTCCTACTATGTGGGTTTAATGAGAAAAACTTAAATATGGTAAGTTTTCTGACTACCTAATAAAAGGTACAGACAATGATCTAAATAATTTGGATGTGTGTGAACTTTTCTAAAATTATTACAGCTTATGCCATCCATATCTTACTTTACCTTGGGCAAAATTTGCTTGAATCTTACAAGTGTCTGCACATGTTGCTTTGGCATATTGGAAAACACATGATTGCTTGGGTATAACTCATAGTTCCATATGTTTCTCTTCCTGTTATGGGATTGTATATTGTAATTTTATGTTGTGAACTGCTTTCAGATCTGCAGACGAAGGGCGGTATACAAATAAAAAAAATAAAAAATAGTGACCCTGGCATAGAACTAAGTTGTGACTGCCCACTTTGTAAAAATGGAAAGGGGGGGAAATGTTGGTGTGGGTTATTACGTGATCTTCTAGATGTAGTTATTATTATTTCCTTTCTTTTCTACCAGATTTCTTCTTTTCCTAGGGTTACAGTGATAAACAATGTGAATAAAGTACACTCATGTAATCATACAATTATGTTGAATATTTTTTATGCATTGATCTGTGGCACACTACAGCTTTAGAATTACAATGTGAACCATGATGTGAAATGAATGTTTGTAGTTGTTATGCCACACCCTGAATACCAATCAGGGCTGGTGCACAGGGAACTATTTAAAAATGTATTGTAGACTGCAAGCAGGCTGTGGCATTATGCTCTCTTTCCTTGCCACCTTGACTCAGTATGAACATGGTCAAGAGTGCTCCTGAATTCTATTTTAGCTTTTCCCAATTAGAATCCTAGAATGCCCCTTAACCATGATTGGTAGCTATTGGATACAACGTGAAACAAGGGTAGGATTAGTTCATGTGCTAGAGAGGTGAGAGTATGCAATCCCATGACACACCCACAGTTGTTTATTGTCATATCTGCATTGGCCCTAGGGAAGTTGTGCTGGATCATTACATGAATTATCAGGGCTTTAACATACCTGGGAAGCAAAGCCTTGCTGAACACAGTAAAACTTAATTCTCGCAACACACTCATAGGATTTCACTGAAATAATTTTGCTACGTAATATGTAAAATGCAGTCATGTTGTGGGACGTTAGTTAAAACTAATGTAGTGGGACAATCAGGTAAAAACTCAAATACCTTGCCCTAAGGTAATGTCACTGGTAACATAATATTGAGATTTACAGCTTGTTTAGAGTGCCAAGTTGATCTCTGTAAAGAGCTGTAGGTAGTTACTATTTTGCTGCAAATAAACACAGAACTGCATGATCTCTGATGCAGTACTTTTGTTCAAATAAACCAAATGGAACAAAAGAAATTAAGTGGCTGTGCCATTTTGTGATGGTTTCACTCGATAATGTTGCTGTTTGTTACAGACTCGAGTAGATGTATATTCAACACACTGTCCAGCTGGGACATCTGTTCAGAACATGCTGCACTGGGCTCAGGTAGAACCTATACCCTTAATTCTGTTTAAAGAAGCTTCCTGCATATAAAAACAATAAATAAATAAATAATATGTGAAGGTATATGCAAACATTACAAATGCAGCATGCCTCTTTTTTTAGGCTGTGAAGTCTGGACAGCTCAAAGCCTTTGACTGGGGTAGCAAGAAAGCAAACATGGCTCACTACAACCAGGTAAGAATTTCTCACTCATTTGTAATGCAATGGACTCCTAACTCCCATCAGCCCTAACCAGTACAGTCATACCTTGGTTCCCGAACACTCTGGAACTAGGACATTTTGGCTCCCGATTGCCGCAAATCCGGAAGTGATTGTTCCGGTTTGTGAACGTTCTTTTGGAACCTGGACGTCCGACGGGGCTTCTGTGGCTTCTGATTGTCTGCAGAAGCTGCAGTTTGGTTTTCCAATGTTTTGGAAGTCGAATGGACTTCCGGAATGGATTCCATTCAACTTCCAAGGTACGACTGTATGACCAGTGATATTGATAGGACAGGGCTTTCCAACAGGTCTATCTACCGGTCGATCGTGGGCTGTCCCTGGTCGATCCTAGTCAATCCTGCGATCTCCACCGATAGCCCCCCCAAAAAAGCTCAACAACTCTGATCCCTCTCCCTAAAAAAGTCTCAACAACTTTGACTTACCCCTTCCCAAAAAAGCTCCACAACTTTGCTCATCCTCTCCAATGGGTAGATCACTGCCAGTTTATTTACAGTGGGAGTAGATCACAGTCTCTTGGAAGTTGGACACCCTGTGATAGGAGATGTGGTCCAGCAATATCTAGAAGGCCACACATTCCCTATTCCTAATGTAGACTGTGTATGCATATGCTATTTTTTTATCCATAAATCTTTGTTGTATTCTGAACTACAAACTTGCCGTTTTTTAAAACAAACAAACAAACAAGCTAACTAACTAACTAACTAACTGTTTTTCTTCCCCATCCCTTTTAGTCAACACCACCTTTCTACAAAGTAAAGGAGATGACTGTTCCAACAGCTCTCTGGACTGGAGGTCATGACTGGCTTGCTGACCCAAAGGACATTGCCCTATTGATGACTCAGGTCCCGAACTTAGTTTACCACAAGAATATCCCTGAATGGGAACATCTGGATTTCATCTGGGGCCTCGATGCCCCACAGCGCATGTACAAAGATATAATTCAACTGATGCAGAAATATCAATAAGGCCACATCATCCTAGGAGCTGTGATTCTGAAGCATTTCTTCAAGAAACTAGCATGATCACGCTGCTTTTTTTTGTTTAATCATGGAAAGAAATCCTTCCTTCTTTAAATACGCATTCTCTTATTAACCTGTCTACATGCAGTTTAGTAATACCTCAGGAAATTTACATTTTTGCACTGCTCATAAGTGTTGTCATGCATCTTGAATGAAGATGTTGAGACACAACTTAAGTGTTCTTCTCGTTGTGGTAGTCTTGAGGAAAGGAAAAGCCTTGTTGCTAATCTTCTCTAGTGATAAGTATCTGAAAGTAAATCTGATCTCCCCAAACTTGTTATGGAGAGCAGGGTGGAGAAATGTTCTGGCTAAAGCCTTGCTAACATCAGGAAGCTTTATAAAATGAGATCTTTGCTCATCCCACTTCGCATAGCAGAGTTAGGAAGATGAGCTGTACTTTCGATCAGAGAGCATGGGTGCGTGTTGTAGGCCTATTTCCAAGTGTGTCTGATAATGCCAGTGGGAAGCTTCCATCATTTGCTGATCTTGGCTGACTCTGCACATTACAAGAAGAAAACAGCACACTGCAGTGGTTAAGTGTTCCCAGCATGGGATTCCTCTAGGGCTCTTTTTTTGAGTGTTGGACCTTATAGTCCACCTTATTCTGAAGTGCGTTCCCTGGATTGCTCTGGAACTACTCAGGGACAAATGCTTTATAGCTGTGCCCTTGTGATCAAAGCACAAACTGTGTTCTAAAGCTGGTACTTCTTTGAAGATAAACTGGCATGTGTTCAGGAATTAAAATGCATGCCTTAAAATGTGTGACACTGTGTCGCATTGGGAGAACAATGCATGTGACTCTTTCAAAGAGGAGCTGCATCTAGGGCTTGCTTCTGTAGCTGTAGAAATATGCGAAAGTATTAGCCTTCCAGTGTTCATGTTTAAAATATGTGGGTGCTGTTCCAAGGCAGCAACCCTGTGTTTTGAAAGCAGCAAGGTACGTAGCACTTATTTAAAGGCTGCCAGGTTGAGCCTAAATGCATTTTATTAGGGTTTTGAAAGAAAAAGAAACTTTCTCCAACAAGTCATTTTTTATTGGAATACAAGCTCTGAGCATGTATTATAATGCTGTCCCCAGTAGAACATTGCTCAGTGGTGGAGCACATCCTTTACACCCCATGTTTAACCCGTCATTTCTGGGTAGACCTTGGAAAGACCCCTGGAGAGCTGCTGCCAACTGGTGTAGGTAATATGGAGTTAGATGGGCTAAATGTTCAGACTAAGGCTGCATCCAGATGTCACTTAGTTATGTCTTCCTAGCATTTGCCTACCTGTGCATTTTTGTGTTTTATGTGATCTTTCACGCAATGCAACAGCCACCTCTGGAAATCTAGTGAATGTTTACCACTCATGCCCAATGCTAATTCTCTCCAGGAAATAATAATAATAATAATTTGCAATTGTCTTAATTTGGAAAATCGCTGGAGTTTTGTATTGACAAAATTTGGGGCGCTATCCCAGCATATAGTTCTTTAACCACCATTTAAATTAGCACAACATGGCAGCATATTGATCAAAAAGCCCAAGTTCTAAAATGCAACAGGTGCTACAGTATAAAAGGAATGTTAGTGATCGGGACAGAAGCACTTAGCATTATAACCAGTAAAACTAATGCAACCTCAGAGCAAGGTAGCTTCCTATGGCTGATGTTTCACAGGCCAAGCCTCAGTGAAACGTCCAATACTACCTACCTCCTTGATATTTCAGACCCTATGGAGCTTTTTTCTATATCAAATAAGTGTTGTGAAAATATATGTTCAAACTGTGAGATGAATTCAGAATTGAGATGGCATGAAATATTTTTATTAACTAAATTCAGAACTAGCTTATATGGAAAATGACTCTTTTTGCAACTTCACAGATCCATAAAGAATGATTAAAAGGAATGGTTTGGATTTTATAAAGTTCAGTTTGCAACTTGGAGACGTGTTTTTTTTCTGCAGAGATGAAATGAACGGCAGTGCATAGACTGACTACCAAAGATGCTCAGTTATATAGTGTCTATGCTCTGATTCTTTATGCTCTGATTCTCTTAATTTTTCTAACTTTTGCACTGAACTGTAATTAACAGATGGAAATGGGGATCTGACAAGTTAACATTATTCATAATGCTTTAATAAAGTTTTTTTTAAAAAAATAAAAATACTTTTTACTTTGGGTTGTTTTGTAAAATCAGCAAATATCAGTTCTACATTTTATGTGCAATATTAAGACATTCTAACCACTTCCCCTAAATATGAAAACTGATACTTGTAGTTATGCCCGCTTTTTAATCTTACTATTATATGCCATTTTCTGCTTTGGGTGCAAATTAATATTTTAATAACAAAAACAAGGAAGCATAGTTGCAAATATTAAACTTTGTTGAAGAAATCACTCTGGGAAACCCATGCACTGTGTCTCATGTTTGTCTAAGCTTTTTTGGGAGGAAATGACAGCACTGAATAAAAATATAACTGAAACTAAAAGTGGTCTCCATGTGTTGTTCCCACAGATGCAAGTATTATACTCTGAAAAGATCTTTCTAATGAAGGCTTTTAATCACAAAAATTGTACATATGAAGGACCCCTGTCTTATCCAAACAAGATTGGATAGTGGAAGGAAATTACTTGTGTTACAGAAAGCAGAGATCCCTGGTGGAATTTCTATGAGCTTAATTTAAAATAGTTGACTGGAAAGTCCGTAAGAATGCTCAATCATGGCAGAAATGCCTGAAAATTCAGAACAAGGATTTTGGATAACAGAATACCCTTATAGGTAGTACTGTACCGCCAGAGTCTGCTTCCTGTTGTCTGTCTGAAACAATAGACCCCTACTCTCTCCCATCCCCACAAACCAATGCATAATATTTACCTCATAATTCTAGTTTATCAGTGACCGTTCAGTGGTATTGCTGCTTCGCATTGTAGAGGCACTGCTCTGCCACAATAGACACACAAGTGTACACACAACCCTTAAAATAATGCTATATGGCGTTAACAGGTGTTCCTATCTGAGGCCACAAACCTGTTATACTCACAGGCCTTCCCTTAGCCACCCCAGCAGTGATCCAATAGAAGGAGTGGTACCAGCAGACATAGGGTGGCAGGCAGGTGAATTTGAAAAAAGGGAGGAAGTACCCCAGAAGTAGCTTTCATTGTGATTGAATATGCAAAGTCTGAAGTTCAGAAAATCCTAGATGGGAATTCTTAATGCTGTCCTTTCTGCTTTAATTTGGAAGCATTTCTGGAGCAAGCTACGATTTAAAGCAAGTTGATGCTGTTTTCTGCCACAAGATGGCGCATTGTCCCTTACCAGTGATACTTTGTAACTGGTCCGTAACATTTTTAGCTGAGAGACACTGCTTTTGTAACATGTATCAAAAAAGAGAGAAGCTGCCCCAACCTTTCCCTAATGTTTGAAAGCAAGAATACAAATATCTAGCCAGTTTCGCAACATTGCTTGTTGGGGGGGGGGGAATAGATCTGTATGTTTAGGGAGAAGACCAATGCGTTGTGGGTTCCTGTGTGGGTTCCACTGTACAATTCTATGGTTCCATACGTGCAGAACTGGTAAAATGCAACAGGGCTGGTTCAATAGATCAAACTGCTGGAGTGGACATATACAGTATGGGGAAAGGCAATCCTGGAAGTAAACTGCTCCCTAGCTGTAACGGGCTTTATACAGTATACAGTACTAATAGTGATACCTTGAGCTTGGCCTCGTAGCAAATGGGGAAGTAGCGCTGATCTTCCGCCGCAGGTGTTCTATGCTGACAGGATCTCATTCACGAAAGCAGCACGTTGTAATACACAATCCAATGCAAACTTAGCGGGGAATAAGGGTCATCGAAAGCCACGGGACTTACAGTGGTACCTCTGGTTACGTACTTAATTCGTTCCGGAGGTCCGTTCTTAACCTGGAACTGTTCTTAACCTGAAGCACCACTTTAGCTAATGGGGCCTCCTGCTGCTGCCGGGCCGCCGGAGCACGATTTCTGTTCTCATCCTGAAGCAAAGTTCTAAACCCGAGGTACTATTTCTGGGTTAGCGGAGTGTGTAACCTGAAGCGTATGTAACCCGAGGTACCACTGTACTTCCAAGTCAGCGTGCAAGGGATTGCAGGACCGGCGGACTTGGCGGTGGGGGTGGTTGCTGGAGCCTCGTCTGTCCTTTCACCCCCGCACCCACCGCGCACCCCTTCCTATGCCACTGGTAGCTAGGCGAGGCGGGGGGCAATGGGCGCCACACCTCGGTGCCTGCAGCGTGCCTGAGCCATGCGTCTGCGGGCGAAGTGCCCGCAAGCTCCGCGCTGGCCTCTGCCCACCGCCTCAGCCGCCCTACAGCTGAGCGGGAGGCTGCAGCGAGGCTCCGCGCAGCGCGCCCTGCCTTGGCTCGCCCCTGGCTTCAGGACGCGCGCGCCGCCCCGGGCACCCGAGCAGCTAGCTACGCCGCTGCGCGGAGGTGCTCGTGAGATGCCGTCTCCCCGGGGCGCATGGAAAAGCCACCCGCCCCCTGAAGGAGCCCGAGTGGCAGCGCCGCCTCTCCCTGCCTGCGTCGCGAGCAGCTTCCCTTTTCCCTGGGGCAGCTTGGGTCTTCATGGAGCTGCAGCCGCCAAGCGGAAATGCGCTCCGACGGGGCGTTTCAGTCTGGTGCTGCCGACGCGAGCAGCGGGAATGAAGTGGCTTCTCTCTCTCTCTCCTCCGGGGCGGAGGAGCCGAGCGGGGGGAGCTTCTCGGGCAGGAGGGCTGGGAGGGAGCGTTGCCTGCTGAGGAGGCGAGAAACCGAGGGGAGAGAGCGAGCGAGCTTCTGAGGGCTCCCGCGGCAATTTTGCACAAGAGTAAGTCCCCTTCGGTTTCATGGGCTTGGATTTGCTGCCAGAGTACTGTCAAGGCCGGAGGCAAATAACGGGGTCGGGGGTGGGTGGGGAGGAAGGAAGGGGGGCGTGGGGTTTCCCAAATCTCCCACTACAATCCTAACCATGTTTACTCCGATGACTGCCGGGCAGGTGGGGTGAAGTCACCTTGCAGTTGTAACCATCCTCAGTCAGAAGCCACCCCCATTCAGTTTGTAATGTGGCCTGCAATTGCAGCCTTGTAAAAATGATAATCTCACCACTTTAAGGGGAAACTTTATTTTATAGCAACCAATTTTTTTTTTTAAAGTGTTTGACGTTTCATTATGCTTTTATGTGTTGGAAACCACCTGGAGTTGCTGGGGCAACCCAGCCAGATGGGTGGGGGTATAAATAATAAAATTATTTGATTGGAGGACAGTTACTAGACAATTATTTGATTGGAGGACAGTTTGACTTTTTAATGTAAATGGCACAATCCTTCACACATCTACTCCGAAGTGAGTCCCTCTGTGTCTTAATGGGGCTTATTCCTGAATAACTGAGCATAGAATCACAGCCTTGAACAACTGAATTCATTCTCCCCCTCCCTTTTATTGATGCATCAATAAATAATATAGCATTTAAAATAGGTCTGTTAAAACTTCAGTGTGTCATCATGGGACTCTTCTGCTACTTTCCAGAATCGCGTTGCCAACAGATTACATAAATGCTGCTTAAAACAGGTTCTAAACCCATGTGATATGGATAATAGCTGTTGTCACAACTGTAAGAACTTGATGGTTAGGCAACACAGTGCATGGCAGCCATAAAAAAAATAATATTGGAAGCTTTGGGCTTTGTTGGACAATAGTTACTGCTTGAAGTTGAGATGTGTCTCAACAGGTTTGCTCAAAAATAACTTTCATCATTCAGCAGAGCTTGCTCTCAAGTAAATGTGCATAGGATTGTAGCCTTAATTTTTTAATCTTTCCTTTTTATCACACCTTTCCTAGAAAGAGCTCAAGGCGTCATACGTGCCCCTCTCCACCACATTCCAAATTAAGTCACATATCCGAGCAAAGTGAGCTCCATTTTCCAAAAGCTGAAGCTACCACATTTGTTACTAAACCTATGCAATTTCAGCCACTATTGAATGCTTAACAACATGGGTGTGTGTGTGTGTGTCAAGTCTTTGGTCCTCCAGATGCAGCTGGAAATTGGGTAAGGCCAAACTAATCATATTAACTGGAGAGAACTGGCTGGGGTTCCCCCACCCCATCCAGGAAAGCACTGTCTGTTCTTGACGAGCAGTTAGTTGCAAGCAATGTAAGCCATGTTATCTGCCATTTCTTTCTGTGAAATATAATATAGCTTTCAGTGCATCTTTTTGACAGTTGGTTTAATCTAGCTGTGTGGAGGACCAGTCTTGTATATTTGTGCTGAAAGATGGATTTGTTTCCACACAGATCAAGGATGTGGTTCCTCATAAGAGGGGCAGGTTTGGTCCAAGCCCTTGTTACTTCAAAAACACTTCCAAGAAGAAAATACCTGGATCCAGAAGCTGCTATGAATATTGTAAGCTATTTATCTTTTTGTGTTGTATTTGCTTTAGTTAAGGCATATTTGGCAACAAGTGCTGGATTCTACAACTATTCACTCTACCTATGCTATCATCTATCTATCTGGCTATCTCTCTATCTATCTCTCTATCATCCGTCTATCTATCTATCTAATTTCAAAATACTATTCCTGCCATCCAAATACAAATGCTCAAGACAGCTTACAACATGTTTTCTTCTTTTCCCCCCTAAGCAAGTCCGAAAGAGTTACCAATCTGTGCTCTAGTACGGTATATTGCAATTATTCAACAAAAGGCAGAAAAGTAATTTTGTAGCCCACCGAGACCCTGAGCGATATTCAGGTGTTCAAGGGTTGGGAACCACTGCCAGCACAACAACACAACAGCAGAAATAGGCTGGGCTACAACAGAAGGCTCATAGTTCCAGCAGGGGGAGACAGGTGCCAGGAAAGTTCTCTGCCCTTGAATATCACACTTCCCTGAAAAGCCAGAGCAAACTGCGTAGCTCTTGCTCTTGCTGTTCTGGCTTCAGTGATAGCTGCACAGCGCCTCTTCAGCGAAGCGGGAGGAGGAACGGAAGGGGCTCCGTAAGGGCTCCCTTCCATTCCTCCTCCTGCTTTATTGGGAAGCCAGCAGAACAAGAGGTGCTGCACAGCTCTTGCTCTGCTGGCTTCAGCAATAGCTGCGCAGCCTGCATTCACTCCATAAGATGCACACACATTTCCCCTTACTTTTTAGGAGGAAAAAAAATGCGTCTTATGGAGCAAAAAATACGGTATATTTTTCTCACAGTCCAGCTGGGACATCAGTCCAGACCATGCTTCACTGGGCTCAGGTAGCACCTAAATCCTCAGTTATGTTAAAATAAGTTTTGTGTATAGATTTCAGCTTTAAATGGCTAATCATATTCATGAGAACAGGCTGATAAAGAGGTGCAGGACTTCTTTGACCACATATGGCACATGTCGTGGACTTGTGACAGTGAAGGATATGGATCTGTATTTCCTCTGCCCATGAGAATTTGAGTGTTTTTGTAGAGAGGTATTGGAAACTGGCTTGTTTCTTTGAGCCATCTGGAGTTGTCTCTTCCTAAATGCGGCTTGCCATGAACCTCTTCTCTGTTTAGGATCAATTGTGGTACTGTAGGATGATCCTTACGGCTCTGGTGGCTGCAGTAGGGTTTGAAGGAGTTGGTCTTTTCTGACTCCGATTTTGTGACTTGGGCTGCAATCCTAGACATGCTTCTCTGGGAGTAAGTCCCATTGAACCGTTTGGAATAGGCACAGAGAGATTTGTGCTGGTGGGGCTCTGTTTGCTCCACCACTTTCCCCTAGGGAAACCTGATCTTTAGAGCTGAATCGGAACAAATGGCAATCAGGTGTTCTGCAGATTGTCATTTGTTGTGATTATTATTAATAATAATAATTTATTATTTATACCCCGCCCATCTGGCTGGGCTTCCCCAGCCACTCTGGGCGGCTTCCAAAACAATATTAAAATACTATAATACATCAAACATTAAAAGCTTCCCTAAACAGGGCTGCCTTCAGATGTCTTCTAAAAGTCTGGTAGTTGTTGTTCTCTTTGACATCTGGTGGGAGGGCGTTCCACAGGGAAGGTGCCACTACCGAGAAGGCCCTCTGCCTGGTTCCCTGTAACTTGGCTTCTCTCAATGAGGGAACTGCCAAAAGGCCCTCGGTGCTGGACCTCAGTGTCTGGGTAGAACGATGGGGGTGGAGACACTCCTTCAGATATACTGGACCAAGGCCGTTTAGGGCTTTAAAGGTCAGCACTGACACTTTGAATTGTGCTCGGAAACGTACTGGGAGCCAATGTAGGTCTTTCAAGACCAGTGTTATGTGGTCTCTGTGGCCGCTCCCAGTCACCAGTCTAGCTGCCGCGTTCTGGATTAGTTGTAGTTTCTGGGTCACCTTCAAAGGTAGCCCCACATTTATAGCTAAAGAGCAGGTTTTCCGGGGGGGGGGGGCAGTGAGGCAAAGGCAAAACCACTCAGACCTGTACCTAGAAAGTGCAGGATAAACAGAAAACTTCTTTTCTGTGTACGGGACAAGAGGAAGTGTGGACAAGCCCTTAGACTACAGTCCTAAATACACTTTGAAATGGCTCTGTTTAAGATTTTTATTCCTGTATGTCAGGATTGGGTAACCTATTTAGCTCCACAGGCCAGAGTCTTATTAAGATGAGTTTTATAGGCCAAAATTAAGAGCAGGGTAGGGCCACTCATTTGTCAGTAACCTGATGTAACAACGAATGACTTCAAAACACTTTGCACAATGCTCTTGAAATAATTCTCTCTCTGTTTTAGTTGAAGATTCCAATGCAAACCTCTTCCTGATTCATCTGAATGAAAACTCCTTACTTATTCAGGATCTGATTTACATGGGATCCCACTCACCAGCTGGCTTATCCTTAAGTAACCCTAAGTAATGTGGGAGTCCCTAAGTAAAATAGGAGAGATAGGTGAATGAGCAATATAGAAGAACACCAAAAGCTTTAATAAGACCTGCTGCTTTCAGGTGGTTTCCATATTATTTTAAACCAAAAGCAGAGGAAGTGAAAAGAAATAAAAACATAGGGAGCCTGCATCCGCACGAATGGTCTGTCGACCGTATCTCGTTCAGAAGGGGCATGGAAGCAGAGGGAGGAGGAGGAAAAGGAGTTGACCTGGCAACTGAGTTGGCACAGGCAACTACAGAAAGTACAGCCCTTGAGGCCCGACCAGAACAGGAGCCTCAGCTGGGAGACCCAGAAACCAAGTCAAAAGAATCCACCCATCAACCTATGCTTAGAGGAAAGGGGGGGTCCCCTGCCCCGACAGAGGTGGAGGAGTGGCTAAACGACACAAGAGCTCGACATCCAGACCTGGGCAGCTATAATTACATAATGACAGGGCTGTACAAAGATCTGTTGGAAGAACATCAAACTCAGCTAATTAAAGAACTGGGGCCTATTAAAAACTTTCTTTCAGAATGTTTGGGTTTGCTCACCTCCCTGATTGAACTAATCAGGAGGAAAGAGGATTGCCACTTTCACAAAGAAGCCATCAACAAGCCAAATGGAAATAAAACCCAGTCCAACACCAAAGAAAGGAAAACAAGCAGAGCCAAACTAGCCCAAGGAAAAGTACTGGCCACTAGGAAACCTTCCTTAAAGGGAAAGAGCCCAATGCATAAGAAGAAGCCGAAGAATGTGAAAATGGGTCGAAAGGCTAAGCTGCCCTCTCGGACTGGGAAAGTGAATTTCTCAAAGTTATTCAAGATTCTGGAGAACTCAAGCACAAAGAACTCCAACAAAACAACGCCAAATAAGAGCCAAAGCCCAAACATTTTAAATATACATCAGGTGACTAGCCCTCCAAGGCTAGCAAAACAATCGCTGCCCTCTAGTGGAAAATTAAAGGAAACTCCAGATCCAAAGCAAGAAACTCCCCAGAAGGGAGTACAAAAGAGCCAGAACTTAATTTTAATTAAACATAAATTAGTCCTCCTCCCTCTCTTCAAGCATGGAGGCCTTTCCACGCTTGCACAACAGAGAATTTATTTACTTAAGAAAATTGACTTAGTCATCAGAAGCCTTATACCAGCAGGAAATATTGTCAGCGTTAAATTTCTTCCTTTTGATATGGCCCAAAACAGAGTTGTGGTGACCTTTAAGGACTGGTCGGTAACTAAACAAATCATGGACAAGAGGGACAGGCTCCAGAGGGCTGGCCTGTTGGTGACCCGCCTTTTTGAAGAGTCCGGCGTTCCACCATCCCTCTTAGGAACACGTAAGCCGACTAGTCCGCGCACAGAATTGGAAATGGCTTCTGAAAACTGCAAACAAGGTCAACCGGAGGCAGTCAAAATTTCCAAACAGAAGGCTAAGCTCCAAAAACATTACTCCCTTCCAATGAACCCAAAAAGAAATCTTAAATGAAAAGGAGATGCTCTTTCTAGCCTCCCTTGAGCAAATTCAACAGTCCCAGGATGCGTTAATAGCTAGGTTACAAACCAAAAAATCCTTAGTCCGCCAGGGTTTTTCTGCTCCTTTGGAATTTAATTTTGCTACTAACACAACAAAGCCCTTATCCAACGAAGACTGGACGCAGTGCCGGTTCCTGTCCCCGAAGAAGTGGGTTCTCCCACACAACCCTTAACACCTCAAACAACAACACACCAGGTAGACCTTGCCATGCCGATGAGTAGGAACGGTTCAATCTTTGTGGATGCCTCAGGATCCTTAGATGGCATTCAGGTGGAGGATTGAAAGACAGATACAGCGAGGGGACACCACGCCAGTGAAACAAAACTCACTAGGTTAGTACCTACCACAAAGGATACCAACAGCTCACTCCACCTCTACAAAAACATTCATTCCATCATCCTAAAGAACAAACGGAGAAGTCTACCTTTGTTCCCCTCACCACCATATTTTCACATCTTATCGTGGAATGTGGCGGGCTGGCTGTCTAAGCAGGGCGCTGCTGATTTTCTGGATTTTCTCTCAAAATTCCAGATTATTTGTCTACAAGAGACCTGGTGCCTAGACTCTCATCCCCCTTACTTACAGGGCTATGCGGCTTTTGCTACCCCTGCGAAAAAACTAAATAACCGTGGCCGACCTAGCGGCGGTTTGGTCACTTTTATTCCTATAGAGCAAGGGTACAGGGTGCGACAACTGCAGTGGATGAAGAACAACAATTTTCAGATTTTACTTATCTCCAATAACACAGGAGGAGATCTTCTATGTTTCAACGTCTATATCCCCCGTGTGTACTTCCTCTCAGACAGTACAAATCTGGGAAGATTTGGAGTCATGCTTGGAGAAGGCCAAAATAGAATTCCCTGACTGGAACATCCTGCTGGCAGGTGACTTTAATGCCAGGATAGGCAGCGACATCAATTCGTATAGCTCCAAAACCCAGTTTCTACCAGAGGCAGACTGGCTTATCCCTTGGAGTTCTGATGAAAAGGTCTTGAACAAGGCAGGTATTACATTACTGGAGATTGCTTTTAAGCATAATCTGTACAACCTGCATGGTACTTACATGGACAGGTCAGGAGGTTTCTTCTCTTTTATCGGCCCTCGTGGTGCAAGTGTGATTGACCATATCCTGGTCTCTCCAACAATTTTGGAGAGGGTACAGGGTCTCAGCACTTTTAATAGAATTGAGAGCGACCATCTTCCTAGAGCAATCTCACTAACTCCCCTTGAATCAGGGGGATTACAACATCTACATTGTGCAGCCCCTCCTCAAGCACCGGCCCCACGCAGGCGTAAATGGAACAGCGAGCTGGAGCTTAAAATTAATCAACACCTGCACTCTCCAGATCTATTGGTTCTGAGAGACCAGTGTCCTTTACCTAACTTTGATCCTTTTTCACTATATCAGCGGGTCTCAGAGTCCCTTTTCCCATTTCTTATAAACACCAGGCCTCCCATACAACATAACAAATCGGGGCCTGGTTTGACAAAGACTGCCGGAAGCTAAGATCCCTGCTTAGGAAACAACAAAATAAGGTAAAACAGGAGAGGACTTTGTCATCTATGGTAAATTTCCACAGATGGCGCTCTCACTATAAATACACCTTAAAACTCAAGAAATCCCTTTACAGGAAGAAACAATGGGAGGCACTTGATAAGGCGATTAAATCGCGAGACGATAGAAAATTCTGGGCAATAGTAGCACAGGGAGTCTCATCCAAAGGAAAAATTGTAAACAGCAGTATTCCATCCGATGTGTGGTATCAACACTTTCTCAAGCTATACACACTCTCAAATACTGCTAATTTGAGTCCGCTCCTCCCATTGAAGAATGAGCATCTAGTTAGTTGGGATCCTGTTACGGAATCAGAGTGCCTACAGCTAATTAAAACTTTAAAAAATGGCAAAGCTCCTGGCGAGGACATGATCCCCCCTGAGGTTTTTAAATTAAATGCCCAATGGTGGGCCATCTTTTTGGCCAAACTTTTTACGGCAATGAACAACACATGTAAAATCCCAGCAAATTGGAAACTAAGTGTGGTAGTCCCTATCTATAAGAAGGGAGACATTCAAGATCCAGCAAACTACCGCCCTATAAGCCTTCTGGACATCGCATACAAACTTTATACCCGGTACCTATTAAACAAGCTGGTAGATTGGGCGGACCATTCTAACCTGTTCAACCAGGAACAGGCAGGATTTAGAAAGGGCCACAATACGATAGGTCACTGTATGGTACTACAGACCCTGGTAGCTAAATATGCAAAAGCGTATAAGAGCAGACTCTTTGTGGCCTTCGTAGACTTGACATCTGCCTTCGACTCAATCTGTAGAGATAGACTATGGAAAAATTATATGAAACGGACATTGACAGACGACTTTTAAAAATTCTCAGAGAGTTACATACAGACATTACAGTCAAAATCAGAACTGGGCCATCGGGAACTCTTACGGACCCACTGCCATTGGGGAAAGGGGTCAAACAGGGATGCCTGCTAGCCCCATTTCTTTTCAACTTTTATATAAACGACATTGTCCAGTACATGGCAAAGTACAAGTCATCGGCTCCAGCCCTTGAAGGTAAACGCCTGAATATTTTGCTATATGCCGATGACATGGTTTTAATGGCACTCACCCGAAGAGGCTTACGCAGCATGCTGGAGGGATCGCAGCCTACTGTTCCCATAATTCACTAAAGATAAACCATGATAAAACAAAAATTGTGGTGTTTACTAGAGCTCGCCACACCTTTAGATGGTCTTTAGATGAACAAGTGATTGAACAGTGCCCTTTTTTAAATATCTGGGTGTTACATTCCAGGCTACATCTAGCTGGCTAGCCCACTTTAAGGCTGTAACCATCCTAACACGAAGAACAATTGGTGTTTTGCTTAGTTTCTTCCATACCAGGGGAGGACAATTGGTGATCCCGGCATTAAGAGCTTTCGTTGGGAAAGCTATTCCCCAGATGTTATATGGGATAGAACTCTGGGGGTGGAACCAGAGGCTGTTGGAACGGCTTGAAATTTTGCAAAACTACTATCTCAAGAAGATTCTAGGCCTTCCTCAAGGAACCCCAGCAGCCTTCTTGAGGGTGGAGGTTGGTTTACCCTCTGTGTCTGCCAGGGCCCACTTAAGATTCCTACGATTTTACATCAACCTTGCAAACTCTTCAAACACCTTATTGGCCAAACAAGCCTTCGTATCTTTTCAAAAGAATACCACTTGGCGCCAAAACTTATCTGAGATCCTGGTTAGATACACCCTACCGGAGTTTAATATCCTCAAACGGTGGAGCCCGGACAAAGTCCGGAAATGGATCCTGGAGAGAGACGCTCTGTTAGATACCACAAAAATACAGATCCCAGGGTCCTCCCACTGGCTTCCCCGACTGAAAGCAGTCAAAATCTGCGCCAACTACTTGGCGAATATCACCAATCCCACTCTTCGGAGAGCCTTTACTATGGCCCGTTTTCAAACCATTCCTACGGCCTATCTGTCAGGCAGATATGCAAAAATCCCAGTAGAGCAGCGGATATGTCCTTGTTATATGAGAACCAAAGAGGATCTCATACATTACATGTTGTATTGTCCCATCTATTCGGCCTTCAGGGATGCGATGTTACAAACTATACCTAAATCAATAGTCAACTCTGAGGACCAAGTAAAGTTTTTACTGGTAGACGCTGATCCACGGATTTCTCACGTGGTAGCGGTCTTTGTGGTGAAGGCTATGAAAACTAGGGTATGGTTCCTGGATGAAATGGTGAGGTCCCTCCCATTGCTCTCCTAACCTGTTGCTGAACCTTCTTCCTTGAATGGTGGGGTTTTCTGGGTAGTTTCCTTGCTGGGACAACATGGCATGAATTTTAGCTTACTTTTATAATCTTTTTGGTTTATCTTTTAATAATGTTTTATGGTATTTTGTGTAAAGGCATGGACCTCACAAATTTAATAAATTTGTTGTTGTTGTTGTATCTTTGGGTGGTTAAAACACCAACCTTTGTTTTCCTAAAGGGAAGAAGCTAATACATTATTGCATAGCCTTAATTATAGCTTGAACATGGAAGCATCCACTGTCCTTGTTCCTGTTTGTTTGTTTTTAAAATTCAACACATCTCTTTTTCAGGGTGTGAAGACTGGGAAGTTCAAAGCCTTTGACTTGGGGTAGCAAGGAAGAAAATCTGGCTCACTACAACCAGGGAAAAATTTATCAGTAATTGCTCATGTCCCTCCCTCTGTTTACATAATAGTAAAAAATGGAAATGTATCACAATAGCTACTGGTGACAAAGACTGCTGTCCAAACTTAAATGAATTTTATAATCAGGCTAAATACTAAATATTTAGTTGACTATAGAAACCTCTATAATACAGTAATGGCAATAGATGAAACCATGAACTGAACACACACAATAGAGCCACAATGTGTGAGGAACCATGCAATAATCAGAATAAAAAGAAACAGCAGATGGGATTCTCTCAATGTTCTTCAGTTAGATTTCCTGGATAACTGAAATGCAAAATGTATTTTAGCTCACAAGCCTTTTTCGGTGGACTATTCTTTTATGTAGCATCCTTTATGCATGAGCTCAGTCTATCACAAATTTGTTTTATTTTTTAATATGTGTAATTAATATCCAAATAAACCAATGCTTAAACTAAAAAAGACCTTAATCAGATCCAACATACAGGTTTGCAGCAATTTGTACTCACCTGTCAGAAACAATGTATACAACATAGATGTCACGGCTAAAAATTGGCCGCTGTTTCTTTAGTGCTTAAAAAGCTGGGTCAGCATGAGTCAGCGGCCTGCACCGGGTTGTATATATAGAGTGAGAAATGTTAGTTTGGTGTTGGGTTGGTTGGGTTGGTTAGTGAAAGCTGGTAGTGTTGAGGTGTGTACAGTTGGTCAGTCGCTTTTGCAGAAAGATTTTAAGAATAAAAGCAGAAAGTACTCTGCAAAGATACTCTTCTCGTGGACTCTTTTATGCCGACAAGGGTCCGAGGACCAGGCTGAGGCAACAAAGGGAGGTCAGAACCTTTTTTTTTTTTACAAACACTGACAGGTTATGGACCCATTGTTTCTGAGCGTGTGCAGAGTGCAAAACAACTGACAGCATCTCAGCAGGGAGCTGGTGAGTCCTGGTGGTGTATGGAGCCAGTGGCTGTGTGTTGGAGCAGTTGGTGACAAGCTGTAACTGTCTGCAGCAATGCTGGAGCGGCTAGGATCTGAGGATCAGGAAAGCACTCAGCGTCGGCTACTGGAACAGTTTGAATTGCTAAAGGACCACAGTAGGTGACTCACAGAGCGGCTACACCAGTTGCAGAGCCAGGCGGGACCTGAGGGTCAACAGAGACAACAGCTAGAAGCCAGGGAGTGCCAGCCAGGACCATCCAGTAGGACTCTAAAGAGAGAGTCAGGAGATATTGCTGGAGGCCCCACAGAAGGGGCTCAGCAAGCACCAGCAGAGATGGCAGATTTCTAGTCTTCCTTAGTTATAAATATTGGGGGAGGCATCCCATTTGAACTTCTCTCAGAGACCAACTAGCTGAGTTGGTTAATTAGAATGCAGCAGTTGCTAAGGAGAGATGGATTATGGGACTGTGTTGAAACTGAGGTTTTGAGACGGGACTCTGCTGAGAAAAAACGGCTGGATGAAAGGGCTCGTGCCCAAATTATGCTGTGTTTGAGCAACTCTCAGTTATTGCATGTAGCAAATGCCAGCACAGCGTTTGAGTACTGGAATTTATTAAGGGCAATGCATGTCAGAGAAACTGCTGGAACTATAATTTCTCTGACCAGAAGGCTGTTCAGGACTGTTATGAAAGAAGGTGAGAGTTTGGCAACTCATCTTCAAACGCTGAAATCTCTGTTTCTTCAACCTCAACAGAGAGGTAAGCATTATGAGGAGACTGACCAAACCTACATTATCCTTTCAAGTTTGCCTGAAAGTTGGTTGCCTGTGATTAACAGCATGGAGAGTATGCATCCCCGAGATCTGGCCCTTGAGTATGTGGTTGGAAGATTGACCGAAGAAGCAGAAAGAAGGTCAGATAGACAGGCTGAACTCCAAGGTTTGGACTTGGCTATGGTGGTGAGGAGGTGCTATAGATGCAACCAACCTGGGCATCTTCAACGTCAATGCAGGGTGAGGCTTCCAGGAGACGACGTGCAGCAGAGACAGCAATCAACGCAGAAACGTAAGCAGAAGGGGTTCTCTTCAGGGAAGAAGAACACGCATTCCTCTCAGTTTGTGCCTGCATTCTCTCGAGAGGAGAGAAAGATACCTCAAGGAACATGGTTGCTGGACTCTGGGAGCAGCAGGATTTTCTGAAACAGTTGAGAGGACTTTAAGACCCTGGGGAAGCCAGCCGATGGAAAAGACTCAATCTATCTTGCTGATGGTCGTAGAAGCAAGATTGATGGCCAGGGAACATGTTTCATGCAGTGCTTGAACACTACTCTACCAGAGACTCTGTTTGTCAGCAGTTTGGACTATTGTTTACTGTCTGTAAGCTGTTTGATTAATGCAGGGTATAGTGTTAAGTTCACGCAGGATGGTTGTCTGATAAAGAATGGAACTCAGGTATGTGGCCATGCAAAGATGGAAAATGGGTTATATGTAATGCAGGACTAGCAGGTAAAGCAGCCTAGGTTGTTCAGGATAATTTGCCAGTTCATAAGGGGTGTGTACATGAACTGCACAGGAAACTGGGTCATGCAAATTTTCGTGTGCTTTCAGAGATGCAAAGGTGTGCAAGAACCTAAAAGTAAATAGCTGTAACTGTTTCCTAGATTGCAATGTATGCAAAATGGTCAAATCTAAGAGGAAGCCTGTGGCTTCTAAAAGTGACAGAGTATCTAAAGAGGTTTTTGAACTTGTCCATTGTGATGTGATAGGCCCTTTTCCACAGAAGATTGAAGAGAGCGCCAGATATGCTTTTCTGGTAACAGATGATAAATCACGTTTTAGTTGGTTGTTTTTGTTAAAGCAGAAATCAGAGTGTTTCCCCACATTCAGAGAATGGGTTGCCCAAGCTGAAAAGCTCTTCGCTCCGCCTGTTGTGCAGTTGCAAACAGATAGGGGCAGAGAATTTCTGAACAAACAATTTGGGGCATAGTTGTAAGGGGATCACTCACTGTTTGACTAATCCTTATAGCCCTGCTGAAAATGGTCTGTGTGAAAGACATGGGGCTGTAATACAGTCAGTAAAGGACTGCCTGCTAGTGGATGCAGGATTGGGTCACAACCATGGGCTGTGGGGTGAGGCTTTCCTCACAGCAAACGTTTTGATTAATAGAACCTGATCTAGCTCTATAAAAGATATTCCTTATCGTGTATTGTTTGGGAAAGAACCAGAGTGGACAATGCTCCATAACTGGGGTTCTTGGGCACATGTAAATAACCCCAAAGCTCAGCGCCAGAAAGGGGCGCTAGAGCACAGAGCTTGCAGTTTGTGGGATACCAGCCCTATGGCAAAGGGTGGTGTTTCAATTTACACGCAGGACATGTGGTTCTGTCATGAAGCGCAGACTTTGCTGACCAGGACAGATAATAAAACATATATTAGTCTTAACACTAAAGACCCAACCTCCCGTCTATTCCATATTTCAATTTCATATTACTTATTGCCAATACACACTTTTATCATATTAAACTTATTCTTAATAAATCTAATTTCTTATATCTACCTTGCAGCTATTACTGAAGTTCCTCGAATGCTGCAACAGAATTTAAACTACTATATTTATTTTTCAGATATTCTTTGAAAACCTCCCATTTTGAAACAAATTCCTCTTTTGATTTATTCTTTATTTTTTTCTGATAGACCATCTAATTTGGCATATTCTGTCAGCTTTTGGATCCAATCTTGTATGGAGGGGATTTCATTACTCTTCCATTTTGCTGCGATCAAAACTCTTGCTGCTGCTCTCGCATATAAAAAGATACCCTTCCTCTTTTGTAGAATGTCCAAATCTGTTATTCCCAGGAGGTAGGCCTCTGTTTTTTTATTGAAAGAGATCTTCAGCATTTTTTGCAGTTCTGCATGGATACTCTCCCAGAATACCTGTATTTTCCTACATATCCACCACATATGGTAGAAAGTTCCTGAGTCTCCGCATCTCCAACAATTACTTGACACATTTTTATACATTTTTGAAAGTTTCCATGGTGTTAGATACCATCGATGTTGCATTTTTTGAAAGTTCTCTCTAATCATGTAACAATTTGTGAATTTCCAATTGATCTTCCATAAGTTTTCCCATTGGGCCATGGTTATTGAATGGCCAAAATTCTGGGACCACCTCACCATTGCCACTGTTACCTCCTCCTCCTTGACTGTCCAGTCAAGGAGGAGTCGATAAATTTTGGATAGAGTTTTTCTTTTAGAATTTACAAGATCAGATTCGAATCGGGAAATTTCTGTTGAGAACCCCTTTTGTTTGTCAGATTTAAAATTTTCAAATAACTGATGGTATTGGAACAAGTCTGAGATGTGTTCTCTTATTTCCTCAAAGTTTTTAAATTTTATTTGGTTATCTTCATTTTTTAAAAGTGTTTTATATGTTGGCCAGCTTTCCTGAGTATTTTTCCATTTTACTGCTATGGCTTCTATTGGAGAAGTCCATCACGGGACCATAGGCTCCATCAGGTCTTTATATTTTTCCCATACAGCAAAGAGTGTCTTTCTTATTATATGGTTGGTAAAATTTTTATGAATTTTCGCTTTTCCATATATCAGGTAGGTGTGCCATCCCCAACGGTTGTCAAAACCTTCCAGGTCCAGGAGGTCCGGATCCTGCAATGTGCACCAATCTTTTAGCCAGGTGAAACAGGCTGCCTCGTAGTAAAGTTTTAGGTCGGGTAGAGAAAAGCTTCCTCTCTCTTTTATGTCTATTAAGATCAGGCATTTAATCCTAGGTTTCTTCCCTTCCCACAGGAATTTGGAAATTTCTTTTTGCCATATCTTGAGACAATCTGCTTCGCCCAGTATTGGAATCATTTGAAATAAAAAGATTAATTTTGGAAGCACACTCATCTTTATAATGGAAATCCTACCCAGAAATGTTAATTTTAATTTACTCCAGGTTTCAAAGTTTTTCCTAATCTCTAACCAAGTTTTGGTGTAATTATCCTGAAATAAGTTTATGTTCTTGGGGGTGATCCAAATACCCAAGTATTTCGCTTTTGAGGAGATTTTCAGGCCCAATATTTTTTCTAAGTCGTCCTTTTCTTCCATGGTTACATTTTTAACAAGCATTTTTTTTTTTTGTTATGTTCAGCTTAAAGCCTTCCACTTCTCCAAATTCTTTAATCAATTCCAGCACTCTTTTCAGACTTTCTTTAGGGTTTTCAGTCATAACAAGTAAATCGTCTGCAAAAGCTTTAATTTTGTATGTTTTGTTTCCCAGAGTGATGCCTTTAACAAGCTGATCCTTTCTTATCTGATTGTTCAAGACTTCCATCACCAAGATAAATATCAGTGGTGACAGTGGGCAGCCCTGTCTAGTTCCCTTGTTTATTTTGCACTCCTCAGTAATTCTTCCGTTGATGATCAATTTTGCTTATCAGATATCTAAAGGGGACATTAAATGTATGTTTGAAGATATCTAGTACACAAGACGAAAAGCTAGAAGTATTTGTTGATGTGGACTGCGGAAGCTGTGTAGCTGCCAGAAAATCTACAAGTGGAATGGTTATGATGTCTGTCAGGACTGGTCGTTGTCCTCTTCAGATCACCACACAAACGCTTCCTGTTCTTTTATAACTTTTTATTGTGTATTAACAAAATAATCTTATAAACAGTTCTTAACTATTATTCCTCAGAGTCACTTATTTCAGATACCTTCTGAGCTCTGCTTCTCCGTGACCAGCCACCCTCAAAATGGCGAAGGCGCCTTTGCCTTCATTTTCCTGCTCTTTTTTCTAACCTCCTGGCTAGAGCTGGCCTGTATCTCCCCTCCTCCGAATCTGAGCTAGAACTTAACCCTTGCCTTTCCTGTGAACAGCCGGTCCCTCCCTGTTGTTCCTCTTGCTCCCTTCTATTAGATTCACTGCTCTCCTTCCCCCCTTGGGGAATGCTTTCTCCCTCTGATAAACTGAAAACTTCTAACTCTTCCCTGACAATGTCTGCCAATTCCATAATTGGATGAAGGTCAAAGAAACAAGGATTTGTTGCGACCTCATCCTGTGAGGCAGAATATGGGAGCCTGTCACTAGCATGCAATGAAATCATGTGGTTTATACAGATACTAAAAGATCTAGATTGTAAAGTAGATGTTATGCCTATGAGGGTTGCCTGCATTCAGCATGTATGTTCTTTCAATTTTTTCTATACATCGATTAGCTGACTCAGATGTAAATGTGATACTTGCTGGAATAATGTTGTTTAAACTGAAATTTTGTTTGGTTAGTGCTAGCTCCGCTAAAGCACAAATGAAACTGGTGTGTATGTGTGTGATACCTGCATTTTGCTTTGAGGATCCTCAGTCACTAGTGTGACTTCCTGCTGTGGAACACTTGTGTAACATGAAACTCCACAAAACACTTTGTTAGAAAAAGAATGATGCGATAAAGGACATAAACAGACAAATTTTGCCTACAACAATGTCCCTAAAGCTAGTTACATAATTTTCCCATAGCAGTTAGTGAGATGAATGATATTTGGGTGGAAGGCAAAGTGGAGGAGAATGGGAACAGTGCGACATGTGATGAACATAGGGCGGAATGGAAGATGATGCCTTCTTACATCCATAGGTTCTATACATGCCCTTTGAAAAATGTAGAAAGAAATGAGCTGAAATCCAGTAACTCTGCAGTTCTGTCTCAGGATTCCCCCTCCCCTCCTTGTACATTTGTCCAGTGGAAAATAAACAAAACTGGTGGGACATGGAGGAACACAGAGATGGGTATTTCTTGCCATCAGTCAATGACATTGAGCTAGTTTGCAGGTAATGGTAAGCCAAACCATGGCTTGGTGTGAATGTTGGTGTGGGAGGGTTCCTAGAGAGGAGCACATGGCCTCTATATACCTCCCTTTGATCTCCTACTGAGCTAAGCCATAGTTTGTCTTTCCCAAGACACTCAATGAGTTGTAAATCCAAGAACAAACCTTGGTTCCACAGCTTGTGGTTTGTTTGGAGTGAGGCAGAACAGAACATACCCGGGATGTATAATTAATGTTAAGCAAACTATGGCTTACCTCACAGCAGAGCAGCAACACCGGGACCAGAGAAAGTTCTGTGTCCTCTTTAGCAGGTTGCACATTCATTCTGTGTCATAGTTGAGCTTAGTGTCACATGTAAGTCAGTTCACTTCTCCAGAATGCCCAGAGAATGTGCAAAATGCAGTTCACTTATGGACATGCCCCAAGGCCTGTTGAAATATATTAACTGGGTAATGTACACAATTTATTCTTTATGGTTGGATTATGTTCTCATTCTTCACAACACCATGTGAATCTGCACAATGGTAATTTCTTATGCACATTAACTGCTCAACTTACATTCCTCTTAACATATATGTGCTTGTGTGTGTTTGGTTTGATTGGGAGGTCTTTGCAGAGTTATAAACAATGAACTGTTTTTAAAACGGTTATTTCTCCCTTCTCTTTTAGTCAACACCACCTTTATGCAATGTAAAACAGATGATTGTTACAACAGCTTTCTGGAGTGGTGGTCATGAATGGCTTGCAGACCAAAGGGCATATCCCTGCTGCTACCTCAAGTCCCAGACTTAGTTTACCACAAGTATATTCCTGAATGGGAACATCTGGATTTCATTTGGAGCCTTGATGCCACACATCACATGCACATAGAGATAATTGAATTAATGCAGAAGTATCATTGAGTCTGTGTCATCTCTGGAGCTCGGATCCTGAAACATTCCTTCAAGAAACTAGCACTCTCAGTCTATGGCGAAGACGATGACGACTACACACAGGTCCTGCTTTCCAAACACAATGCATTCCCAGGAAATCATTTGTTAGGCGAGCATTTGCATAATGAACTGATGATTTCCATTATTTCCTATGGAAGCATTTCTAATCCATGCTTTCTGCCTCAGACTGCTGCAGCTAATCAGCAAAAGCCAAACAAAGGAAAAACTGACTTGTCCGATCTCTGTCCCTCCCTCCTTACTTTTTTCCTGAAATGGCTGCTACCAACCTGCAAATCACAAATAGGTAAAGAACTGGGAAACTCCAGCTGTTTGGATATCTGAATCAGCCATTTGTGTAGCAAGGTTTGGGTATTATTCTTTGTGTTTGGCTAATTGAGATTTCAGATAATGACCATTCCAATAGTGGGTACTTGAAAACAACAACACCATCACTATGGAAAGAAGTCCCTGCCATCTTAAATACATAAAATGTTCTAAGTTGTCTATGTGTGGTTTAGTAATCCATCAGACACTTACATTTTTACATTGCTCTTAGGTATTTAGATTCATACATCTTGGGTGGAAGTATCGAGACGGTATTCTCATCACAGTAGGAAATGAAGTGCTTTCCACTAAACTTGTATAGTAATATATATCTGAAAGTAAATCTGATATCCCCAAACTCTGTTATGGAGAATGGGATGGAGACAAGTTCTTATTATAGTGGTACCTCAGGTTAAGCACTTAATTCGTTCTGGAGGTCTGTACTTAACCTGAAACTGTTCTTAACCTGAAGCACCACTTTAGCTAATGGGGCCTCCTGCTGCTGCCACGCCGCTGGAGCACGATTTCTGTTCTCATCCTGAAGCAAAGTTCTTAATCTGAAGCACTATTTCTGGGTTAGCGGAGTCTGTAACCTGAAGCGTATGTAACCTGAAGCGTATGTAACCCGAGGTACCACTGTAACTTGAAAGCTATTTTTAGGAAGCTTTTTAAAACCAAGATGTTGTGTGATAGTCAACTTAAGTTTTACTCAGAGTAGTCCCATTGACAATAATGAACACAACCATATTGGGGGCCACCCCACTTCCCATAACAGAGTTAGCAAGACCAGTTTTTCGCAGTGCTCCAAAGCAGTAAACCTGCATCTTGAAAGCAACATGGTTTGTCACACTTATTTAAACACCTTAGGACTAAGCAGAATTCACTTGGAAATGATTTTTTGAAACTTTCATTTATGTAAGTCCCTAGTTGCTGGAATGCAAGCTTTGAGTGTGCATTAGAATGCTGTCCTTGGTAGACCATAGCTCAGTGGTAGAGCACCTGCATCATACCCAGGAGGCTTCATGTTCTACCTGTAGCAGTTCCAAGTAGGCTTTGGAAAGAGCCCTTTCTGAAACCCTGAATAACTGCTGCAAATCAGTGTAGGCCAGCAGTGGGGAAGTGAATCAGGTCAACAGGCTGGAGCCTTATCTCACACAGCTGTCACTCTCCTGGTGTCACAATGATGTCAGGTGATTCATTTTTGCCTGTGTGTCCAAAGCTCTGTGTGTGACACTATGCCAGGGGTCAGCAAACTTTTTCAGCAGGGGGGGCGGTCCACTGTCCCTCAGACCTTGTGGGGGGCCAGACTATATATATATATTTTTGGGGGGGGGAGACTCAAGAGTACCACGAGCCCCGGTGGCTGCTTACCTGTGTCTTATGAGTGGCAGGGGCTGGTGGCGGTGGCGGGGGGACGATGAGCGGTGTGCAAAAGGGCTCCAGAGAGGGGCTGCTTAAAATGGCTGCTCTAGAGCTGCTGCTGGCGGCACCAACAAAGCCCAGCCCCCTTCCTCCTCTAGGCAGGGCGGGGAGAAGCCAGGAGGAGGGAGGGAGAAGGCGCCACTGCCACCGCCATGTGAGGGAGAGGGAGGGAAAGGGAAAGAATGCACACGTTGGCAATCCATGCGGTGATTCCCAGACCATCCGCGGGCCGGATCCAGAAGGCAATTAGGCCTTAGTTTGCCGACCCATGCACTATGCAAATCCTGACAACCAGCTGAGTGTGAGGGCTTCCAAAGAGCTGTGGACAGGGCTCTGCAGGTGTTACTGACTGGCTGATTGGCAGAGTCTGCAACTACCTTTGGTCTAGTCCTGTCTTTACTTTCCCCACACTTGAGGCATATGGCAGGCTTTGCCAGCCCAGCCCGACAGGTCAAATAGAGATAATTGGTAAGTCTTATTAGGCATGAAGGCTTGAGACTCCCCACTGCTGATATAGACAGTATGGAGCTAGGTGGACTAATGTGCTGACTCTTACAATCCAAATCTCAGTGAGAATTCCCTAAGTGCTACCTTGATATATCTGACCCTGTGCACATCTTGGGGCTTTTACTATATTAGAGGACTGGTCTCTAATTTGAGATGGTGTGAATAGTTTTCCTTCAGATGTTTCCCAGAACTAACTTACGAGAACCAGCTTTCTGTAACTTCACAAATCTATACATGTTTACTTTGCAACTTGTTCTCTGTTCTTTTAAAACATACCTGTTTTTTCCCTGCATTGATAAACTGAGGTGCAGTGTATAGACCAGCTGACTGCCAAAGATGCTCTATCAATTGTATTGTACCTATGCTCTGATTTTCTCATTTTTACAACTATTGCACTAAAATGAAATTCACAGCTGGAAATGGAGAACATGCAAGTTAGAATGTTTCATAATGCATAATTAAAACAACACTTTAAAACCATTTTATTTTGGGGTATTTTTGTTTTTAAAAATCATTCTAACCACTTACCCTAAATGTAACCACTTACCCTTGAATCTATGTGCCCTTTTGTATTACCATGGAAAGCCATCTTCTGTCCAGGTGAATATAACATACATTATCAAAGACTCCTAAGTAAGCCTAGCAGCCATAGAATACGATTGTGGATTAGTAACCATTAAGAAATGGGAGGTAGACAGTAGGGATAAATGAACACATGTTTTGGAGTGCCGTGTCAGAAAAAGCACTTTTTGGTGGGGTAGAGGGAGCCACAGTGCAAAATTGCACGAGGTCATGGCAACCCAAACAGCCACCATGCTCTTGCGATTAAAAATACAGGAAGATGGCATCTAGGAGGATGGCATAATGGATTTTGGCTTCAAAGTGTTGGAAGGTATGCTGGTGCAGGTGTGATGCAGGCCTTGCTGTTGCCCTCTACAAGGACCCTTGCATGTGTGTAAAGAGTTGGGGAGTCACATACAGGAACTATTGCCTGCATGTACTACAAATCCTCATGTCTAGCTCCTCCTTGCCCTGGGATCAAGCAGAATGATAGATGCACTTTATTTTTCCTTACATGGGGATAATGATTGGGTTATATTTCTCCTGAACCTCTCCTCCAAATTCTACCCTTCTTCTGGAAGAGCTTCTTTTTGCTTCCTGGGTCTCAGGCTCATGGGTCTTCGGGTTGTGACCTGCTGCTGGCCTTCTCCACTACTCACTGAGAAAGCCCACTTGCTTGGGAGATGGTTAGAAAGCATTTTATCTTCTCTTTCATTAGGGACCTATTTGAAGTCCCCACCTGGGAAGACCACTCCTTCCTGGGCTGAAAATAGTTTTCTAAAGACTCTAAACCATTTGTGCTTATGTTACCTTTCATGCCTAGCAATGTGATATCCTGAAGCATAATTACAACTGGGGGAAATTCTTTTATATGTCTAGCCATGTGGGATGTGCAAGTGTACCTCAATCCTCTATTTACAGTTGTACCTTGGTTGACGGACGTCTTGCGACGCAAACGTTTGGCTCCTGAACGCCGCAAACCCGGAAGTGAGTGTTCCTGGTTTGCAAACATTCTTTGGAACCCAAATGTCTGATGCAACTTCTGCGGCTTCTAATTGAGTGCAGGAAGCTTCTGCAGCCAATCGGAAGCTGTCCCTTGGTTTTCGAATGTTTTCAGAAGTTGAATGGACTTCCGGAATGGATTCCATCCGCCAACCAAGGTACGACTAGTTGCAAAAGAGACTTTTTGCATGAAAGACAGAGATATGCACTTCTGCCATTTAGACTGAGTCACTGCTTGATTTTTTTTTTTAAATGAGAGAGAAACCAGGTCTGTGTGGAACTGGAACCTCCTATCATTGGACAGAACTGAGTTGCCCAATGTCTTTGTTTGTATGCAGCTTTTTCTTGTGTGAGGGTGGTAGGACAGCCTGAAGGTACTGCATTCAGGAAGCAGATTTATCTGAGTGATTGGGTGACAACCACCTCTCAGTGGTTTTTTTGCAGTTATCATGCGATCAGTTTTCTCAGAAAATGACACAATGCAGAATGTCCAGTGTGGAGGTTAACCAAACAGGAATATTCAAAGTGTCCCTTTTCATTCACCCAATATGGCTGTGACTAGAAGGATAACAATGTGCCTAAAGGTAAAGGTAAAGGGACCCCTGACCGTTAAGTCCAGTTGCGGACGACTCTGGGGTTGTGGCGCTCATCTCACTTTACTGGCCGAGGGAGCTGGCGTTTGTCTGCAGACAGCTTCCAGGTCATGTGGCCAGCATGACTAAGCTGCTGCTGGTGAACCAGAGCAGTGCATGGAAACACCATTTACCTTCCCACCAGAGTGGTACCTATTTATCTACTTGCACATTGACATGCTTTAAAACTGCTAGGTTGGCAGGAGCAGGGACCAAGCAACAGGAGCTCACCCCGTTGTGGGGATTCAAACCACCTACCTTCGGATCAGCAAGCCCTAGGCTCTGTGGTTTAGACCACAGTGCCACCTGCGTCCCCCCCCAACAATGTGCCTAGGTGAGTGCAAAAGGGTTTAGTTGCACTGGGCACCAAGCTTCTGGTGTACTGCAACAACAACATCCAATGGAAGGCAAGAGACGACGTGTGTGTGCACTCAGTTTCGGCATTGCACAGGGCAGCACTGAAGTTTGAGATGCCAAGGTCTGCCACTGCAGCTGCTGACTGATTGATGCTTGGTACTCTCAGCTGCTATGCTAAACTAGTTTTTACACCTTGACTAACCTATTTTTAAAAACTGAGCTTGCAGTCCTATCTATGCTTGCTTGCACAGGAGTCTACTCCTAGAGGGCCAAGCTCCCTTTGTCCCCCAATAAAATATTTTAGGGGGCTGGGCCCCTCCAAAGTTGATGGCCATGGCCATTCAAATGATGTGCATGTGTTGCATCTTGCGATCAATTATGTGGGTTGGGGCTTACATGGGCCCCTCAATATTTTTTTCCAGGTTGGCACCCATGCTTGCCTGGAAGAATGTCACATGGAATTCAGTGGTTCCATAGGCTTATACCGGGAGTTGGGCAAAGCCAAGCCAACCATATCATTACATTGAATCCACCCCCCCTTCCTGGTAGGTGTTGACAAACAATGGCTAGCTATTTAAGCCATTTTACCTGCCATTTCCTTCTGTGGATTATGAAGTGGCGTTCAGTACACTGATGGCTGCTTTAATCTAGTTTTGTGGAGGAGTAGTCTTGTACAGCTGTGCTGGAATATGAATTTGCTTCCATGCAGATCAAGGATGTGGCTCTTCATAATGGGGGCAGGCTTGGTCCAAGCCCTTCTTACATCAGAAATATTTTTTAAAAGAAGAATAAATCCAGAAGCTACTATGAATATTGTAAGCCATTAACCTTTTCTTTCCTGTCTTCTTACCTCAGGGAATCTTTGGCAATAAGTGATGCTTAATGGTGCTATACTCCATATAACTGAAGTTCATTTTTTTAATGGGCTGCTGGGATTTTAGGGGGCAAGAAAGTATTTATTATTCTTTTATTTTGAATACATACTTTGTCTTGCCAATGCATCATTGCTCAGCATAGCTTACAATATTTTCTTTAAAAGAATAAGCAGCCTAAAGTAGTTCCCAGCTTGTGCTTCATGGAACGCCAGTGCTCTGTGAGCTTCATTTAGTTGCTCCAACATTGGCAACTTTAGCATCTTGCAGAGTTCCTTATAATTGCTCAACTGCAAGAAGAAAAATATTTAAGTGGTACACCAAGACCCTCAGCAACAGAAGGCTCCCTTCATTTCTAATTACGCCAGAGGGAGGCAGGAAATCAATTCTTAGATTTCTTTTGAACTGGCAAACAACTGATTGTATTTGGCACATTCACAATCTTACTACTTTAATTGGCTTTTCACTTATCTGCGTACTCTAGTTACCAATTGTTTTCTGTGAAAATAAGTGTTTAGGCATTTTACAGTCACTATATAACCTTCCTAACCAAACCCTCTCGGCCTCGCAGAGCAAAATTATTTCTTTCAGAGGATATCCCAGTGAGGAATATGAAGTGGTGACAGATGATGAGTTTATCCTGAGTATTAACAGAATTCCTCATGGGAAAAGAAATCAGTCAAACAAGGGTGAGTTTGTGTTTGGAGTTATAATTTGTATGTATGCATAGATACAAATTCTCAATAGTGTGGGGATTTTTCATTATAATTATAATACGACAATTTCTTGCTTTGCAAAAGTTTGACTTATTGCAAGAACACATAGTGCATTTGTTTGGTAATGTGTGACTATTCTTATGATTTCTGAGTGTGTCCTTGTTCTATTTTTCCTATAAATTTGAAAGAGATAGGCCTTATAAATTGATGAGGTCAAGCATATTTTACTCTTTTCCTGAGCTATTAGAGAAATGGAAAAGTATGGTGACAAGGAGAAGGGGAAGCTAGAGTAAGTGGTTCACAGTCCACATTGACTGCAAGTCATATGAATTGTTGTGAAATTTTTTATCTATTTTAGTTTTTTGTGGGAGTTGATTTAGTTTCAAAATAGTGTTTGTGTATTCATCACGGATATATCTGCTTCAGCCATTCATAGAGGGTCACTGTTTTATTTTTTAAAAAAGGAGAACCTAGTTCACTGTGGAGATGGAGGCACTGCCAGTTTGGTTGCCCAATGCCTTTGTGTGTGTTGTATTCAGCTTTTCTTGAGGAGTAAGGAGTGAAATGAGATAGACAACCTGAGGCCGAGTAGAGGGTGACAGGAGTAAAGGTGGTGCAATGAAGTACGGGCCCATGGACTAAGTCTCCTGCTTCCAGTGTCAAGTATCAATTATAAGATGAAAGAGGGAGTGAAGCTGAACAAATAATCATGAACAGTATCATCCACTGCAATGTAAAATTAGCTTACATATTTGGTCTGCTCTAATTAAGAAGCAGTAAATGGTACCAAAGGGTGGAAAGAAAAAGTGTATGATTTCAAGGCTGGTGCTCTGGTTCCTCACACTTCTAGTCAAATGAGAGAAACATTGAATTGATGTTATATGTTGATTCTTAAAAATACCCCAGTCTTGCTACTGTCTACTTATAATCCACTTGTTTCTCAAATCTATAAAGTATTAAACTCTCAAATGCTTCCACCCCTCATAACTCTAACGGCACGATGCAAAAAAGATTTCGGTGAGCCATTAGCTGATACTTTATGTAACAGAATCTGGATAAAACTCCCTTTAAAGATGTTTATGTAAGATTCCAGGGAAATGCACTCAAATGTATACCCATTATTATTGAGTAAACTGACTAAAAACGTATTAGTTATGTGTTCAAGAATTTGTATTGCCACTGGCTGATTTATGCACATGTGGTAGCAATACTCCCAAGTTTTTTTTTGTTTGGGAAAGAAGTTTTTCATGAAGCAAACCTTATCACAAAACAACATATCACTTTGAATCCTAAAATAGCACTTCTATCATATTAGTCAGAAATTGTTCAACAACTTCCCC